CTCGCATCAATTTTGAAAGTTCGGTCGACTGACAAATTTGATTTTTAGGTCCCCGCTCTCCGTCCCCGCGAGTACGCCCAGATCTCCCGCCCCAAGAAGAATGTCAGCCGTGCCTACGGTGGTTCCCGCTGCGCTGGCTGCGTCAAGGACCGCATTGTCCGTGCCTTCCTGATCGAGGAGCAGAAGATCGTCAAGAAGGTCCTCAAGGAGTCCCAGCAGAAGGCCGGCAAGCGCTAAGCGTGCTTTCTGTCGGTGTTGTTCTTTCGGTGGAGCGAATGTTACGGGAAAAACGGCTGGGAATGGTTCTCTTAGAATCCTAAAGATGAACAGGAACAGCTAGCACGCGGGTCCCAAAAAAAAAAGGCCCACTGCTATGCAAATGAATCAATTTCATTTATCTTCATGAGTGATTCCCAAATATGTCGAATTGAGTTGTCTGAAACGGAGTTCCTTAGAGCTTGGGTGGAAGTTTCGTACTCGCCTGTTCCGACTCGCAACTGTTGTAGTCGATCTGCCTTGACACGGGTAGATCTAGAATCTGGACGCCGTTCAGACTGGCATAGACCTGATTGCAGTTCACACTATAGAACCGTCTTCGGCTCGGGCAAGAATGTAGTCGGTGGGTAAAATAAAGGCGTTCTTTGCGTTGGTGATTGCAAGCATTGCATTATCTGCCTGGTATTGAGTGTACTTCTCGGCGTCGCGGCCTCATGCTACAAGATACCTGCAGTGACACTCTCCATTGCGGTTACTCTGGTTTGGAATCCACGTCGAGTAGTCGGTCTAGACCTCCATCCCCCGGGGTGAATATCTTCACCGTGATGATTATGGATCTAATTCACGTCACCAGAAGCCAGTCTCTATGTTAGATTTTCCCCTGTGACACTGTGTATACGAATAATCCTTGTTTCATAACTTGGTCGGGATGCAGCCAGTACGGCTGCCATCTGTCTCGCTAAGCGGTTGCAGGTCATCTTGAACCCCCAGAAGAGTAGTAAATCATGACGCCGTATTATTGACAGGGTCTTGTTACTATGGGAAGTTGTTTGCGGAGATTGATCTTTTACGGATTTGTATCTTGACTAGTCGTTCAGCCAGGTTTAGGGTTAATGACACCGCTTTTCGTCGAGGGTTTCTGGGCCTTGGGTCTAGATATTTCCCACCAGTGCTATTGAATGTCACGTTGGTAGTACGTATTTGCTAGTATGACCCGCGTCAAAAGCAGTCTCGTTATCAGTGGTTGTAATAATGTGTGTTGTGACATATATACTTGCAGATATATATAAAGTGGCAAGAGCCGCACAAGTAACCAGAAGAACTGTTCTTAGCAAACTTCGTATTGGAAACGAAATTAGACAGGGTTAATACATCGGCATGACGCCTCTGAGTTGCTGATACTCTCTTGGATTGCCATTTCGAGTAGGAGCTTCATCCCTGCAGCAGCATTGACCTGCGTGAGGCTGCAGACGGGATTGGTTGCAGATACACTGCGCAAGTGACCATTTGGTTCTATCGGTCATTCTGAGTACAGGTACATACATGTCAAACATTAAACAAGGTCCACTTGGCTTTAAGGTTAATATGAAACAGAGACATAGCATTATGCTCGGACGTTGTTTGTAGCCTTTCTACCCATCCACTACGCGACATGAACATGGTGTCTGACGACCACCAAAGATCTCCCTCTCAACAGAGATCTATCCTGTACCACCAGTCTGAACTGGCTCGAATATTGCCAAGAAAGAAATGAAAAAGAAGATCGTGTTGGAATTTTATGTCCAAAAGTACCAATAAACATCGATTCCTCCACTTCCACTGTTCTACTGAATGTGCGAATGCGCATGTACATCTACTTAAGAGGGACCACACAATTCGTCCAAAATTTCGGAGCCTCGAAGCGAGCAAAAGATTCAGCCGCCGGTCTAGATGACTTTTGTTTCTTTTCTTTGCTTTCTTTTTTGCCTGTCAAAAGCAAAACAAGAAGGATTTTCGCCGTTGGATCCACCCAAGGCCCGGGGAGGCGGCTAACAGCAGACAATGGGATCTACCGACGAACACCCAAGGAGCGGTCAGACGATGATTCTATATCGGATGACTCTATGGGATTTCGGCTGCGAGTGTGGAACAAAAACATGCACAATTGACTGCTGTTGAACCGGCCCACTCCATCCCAGAAACACATGACAGGTGAAGTTTGTGCTCAGTATTCAAAGCCAGAGAAGTGTTTGCGCCCCCGAAGTTTTTCTAAGTGTGCTTTTTCTTTGTTACAGCTGATCATCGCAAGTATCCTAAAAGTAAAGAAAATCGGATTTACAAGTCCGAGAAGCCCCGCACCCAGCAGGCTGGACATCCTATCGGCTAACGACGAGTGACAGATCGAGATCGATCTGGGAAAACAAGCCAGGCTAGATTTAGCGACTGCAATGCGATCGTTTGGGTAATATAGTGGGGCTGTACCTGAAATTCCTCTTGGAAGTGAGGCTATACATGCTGACTGCCTCTACTCTGCATTGGAGCGGCACCGAAGATCTTAGCTCATTCACAAAGATGCGGTATACAGGATATGCAGACCTACAGTAGGTACCAACCAAATCAAAAGAGGACGTAATACCGCATAGAACAAGGCAGAAACTAGGAATTCAGAGAATACAGTATTACGACACACTACACAAGGGGCTGCCTCCCGAAATGTTGCCACGATCACAGAGATCTCCTAATCTTGGATCTGGTGGCCACTTGCGCAGTGTGCACATTGCTAGTCAGATCAGATTTACTCGGACATCTCCGCTCCCTTCGATAAAGGAAGCTTGTCATGTCACTAAAGATATGGTCAGTCACCGGGACGTTTACACGTCGATTAGGCGGCCACTGTCCCCGCGATTGACATGTAGCCAACGCGAACATCTGTCGAGCCACTGGAACGCGAGCTAGTGTGCCTTGCCCTCACTAAAAGATCTCATGCCTAATCAAGACTAGCGAAGGCCCATGCGGACATCAAAGAAAAGATCCCAACAAAAGTCCACATAAATCATAAACCCCGTATGACATTGGCCGTTAAGGTTAGATGAAGGGTAGTTTCGTACTCGCAGCTCTCGGGGCCACCCTCCAATAGTCCGCAAAATTATATCATTTCCCCTCCAAAAAATTAAAATATACCGGCAGGCCCGTAGGGAACTTTGAAATCCACTGCAAAGCCTCCTAGTAGGTGCGCTCTCCCGGCCACATTGTGAATCGCATTGCAGCTGTCACCTGTCTAACGGCGTTCAGGTACAGCCTGTACATAAAAGTGCATACTTACACACCTTTGCCACTGTCCCCCCACGACCCTCTCTGCAGATGCAAGTTGCTTGCCCAAGTAGGTATACGGAGGTATTGAACTAAGTACCTGTAGAGAAGTAGAACGATCTCCCCGAGGCTGCACGGTCATAACTAACATCACCCCCTACCCATTCTTCGTAACCCTGCTCAGACATGCTGATTGTGCCAGATCTACTGACCCACAAGCTCTGAATTCATGTTCGATATATCTCACACATGTACTCGGGGAAGGGGTTCTCAATGCCGGTGTTAATGTTACTTTCGTCACTGGTGTGTTGTCAATCTGTCTGTTACGCGAGTCAGTCGCGACATCACCGGGGAGATTGCCGTACACTAAGGCGTTGTTTTGATTCATGTGCGGAAGTAGTCTCCCTCCCCCTGAAAGTTGATAGCAGAATATTATCGGCATAAATCCAAAAAAAGGAAATGGCTTCCCTGCGCAGTATCCGTTCCGCTGGTATCCTCTTTCATATATGATTCGGATTCTTCGTAACCCGGACAGGGGTCTTGAAATGCGACTGAATGGGCCATTGCTCTATCCATGATCGATACAGAATACCGGGGCCATGAGATTCTGCTCGTTTGACGACCCGAAAGGGGAGGTGGGGAAAAAAGAGGTGCGATGACCAGGAAGCATTGGCAGCACACTGCCACGGAGGATGTCCGCGTCACCCTAGCACCTGGTGATTGCAGGCAGTCAAAATAGCGATAGAGCGGGGTGATGGGGGCGGCATATGGTGGTCACTTAGCTCCCTGTGGATATTCGGCCCGGGCTTCGAAAGAGACTACGGAAGACTAGCAGAAGGGGGCCGTCCATAGAGTGTTAGACCCCTGCACTGACAGGGAAAGAACGTCTATTCACGACCTAACTATGCAGGTTATAGTTCAATGATTTCCCCTCTACTGTGGTTGGATACTATTCCTGTCACCTGAGACACCGCCGTCTTGTACAGGCCGTAGGAAGCAAATCCAACGGCACAGCATGTGGTCTATCTGTGCCACTTTCTACAAGGCCGATGTATTCCCACGGAGAATAACTTTCGTTGGAAGAAGGATATTGCCGTTTCTTGGCATTGTTCATTCCCAACAGTGCATAATTCCATTTGTATGGCTCTGAAGACGGCGGGACTCAATTGTACCGAGACCACACTTGAAAAAAAAATCTTTAAACTAACATAGGTGGGTCAGCTGAAAACCCAACGGTTGACGAATTTGACAGAGAACGATGATCGGCATAAGGATGTGGGTGATAGATCCCGATAAAATTGAACCTGGGCAAATGCCACTTGACCTATGATACACTTGAAAAAAAAAAAAACATAGATTAAGAGAAAAGAAAACATCCATGTCCTCATGTCAGAAATACCCAAGAGAAAAAGCAGAAACCCAAGCCAGAACGAGGCAAAGAGGCAAGAGATAGATCGCCTTTGCCATGAGGCTCGCGCCGTGTGAACACCCACAAAGATGATTCCCAATCCGAGTAGTAGACATGCACAAAAATGCACCGTGCCTCTAGTGTGTTGGAAGGCCAGATTGGCGTCGGCTAGGAAAATAGAAAAATTACAAAAGAAAGAAATAAAACGAATTATGCAAGTCAGCGTAGTTGCCGGGCTTTTTCACCACCAAAATTTCTTTCCAGTACCCCCATTTCCCTTGTTTCCGCGCGCGCGTGTGTAGCTTCCCTACACACAGTGGTGGAGATCGACTGGAGCATCGGATCCTGTCATCATCGCAATATTGTGATCCGACGGCGATGCATACCAGCCTGCATGTGCCGCTGGTCTCGGTGCAAACGACTCATTGTCCAGCGTAGCACGCATGGAATCATAGAATGACCCATTGTGGGCTGGTGGCAGGTTTGTACAGCCGATCACAGAGTCCATACCGTATCTCTGCAATGCATTGTCGATAGGCGGGGCGAGGGCGGGTGAGATGTAGTGTGGCATCATTTGAGGGTCCGGGCGAGGGTAATGATCATCCACAGGGCAAGAAGACAGGATCATTGGCTGGCGATGATAGATTTCATTGGGCTCGTCACAACTGGTATTGGGATGGCGTGTTTTCACTGCCTTCAAGGAATTACCACCCTTGATCTCTGTGCGCTGGCGCTGAACGGCACGAGCATTTGCACCCAGGACCTTTCGTGCACTCGCTTGCTTGCGGTATCGAGTGGTTGATTGGACTTGACCATGGCGAATCGCCTCAGGTGTCAGGCGCCAAAAGTTCACTGCCTTTTTGCCCGGGCCCAATTCTTCCTTGACGGCTTCAAATCCCTGCATGAAACTGTTAGTACTTGTGTCCAAGGTACATGGGTTGAAATGAAGCAGCCATCAAAGTGAAACTGGTATCCAGGATAGAGCGGGGCACCTACTGCATTCATGGACAGATTATGCCGAATACTGTTTTGCCATCCTTTGGAACCCGAGCTCTTGGCCTTGTCCGTGTTCCTCTCGAACCAGTTGTAGATCCCCTGGAGAGGGAGCTTGTTGTCTTTGGCTTCCTTTAGGGCCCGGAAAATTAAGTGGGAATACGGAGTTGGTCCAGGTTGATCTTCTCTGTCGTCCTCACTAGACCCTGGTGAAAACTGGTCAACTGTTTGGACAGTCATTGTTGGACTGGCGACAGCCAGAGATTCTGGGGACTCGTAAGAGGAGATGGTCGATAGTGGCGATGGGGGGGTGTTTTGCACTGCGTGGACAAATGGCAGGTGAGTGGGAAACTCGCAAATCTCATCAACTTTGAAGACAGGCGAGGGCTGCAAACCTGTCCAATCTGAATGGACTTCAAGCTGTCTCCTTCCCTCAGAAGTAAATGAAGCCATGCATGGGTTAGCCATGGTAGGGTCCGGACGTAAAGGGGGACACAAATTATCGAGGTAAGCAGCTTGACCGTCCTGATAATGATGGGTATTATTGGCGTTGGACTCGTATTGACCATGGTCAACAACGAAAGGATTGGGAAAGCAAGGTTGATGAAGAGGTGCCATGATCATGGCCTGGTGAGATCTAAATCTCGGCCAGTGCTCGGCTTGATGACTGGGGTTGTAAGGCTGGAGAGAGTTTAATTGGTAGATGGAATCTGGAGAAGAGGATTCAGTTTGCTGTGCCGAGAGAGTGTGCTCGCTTGCTCGGTCCATTGGCAAATGAGCCATGTGGAAGTGAAGAGATGAGATCGAGGTATCCATCACCCAAGTGATTTTTGATAATGCTCTGAGTGGGAAGTGAGGTGTTGGAGAAGAGAGAAAGGACAGGAAAGCGAAGGTAAAATAAGAGATGAGGAAGAGAGAAGGTCTAGGTCAAAGGGAAAAAAACTACTGTAGAAGTAGAGAGCATAAAGCGATCCCCCAGCTGTTACCATTCAAGATTGGAGCTGTACACTTCAAGAAGCCACTCAAGCACGATCTTCCCTTGCCAGCACATAAGGCACATGCTCTTCTACCTGCAAACAGCCTTGAAATGCATTCCAATACAAACAAAAGATGGTCTGGGCCGAACCCTTTGGTTTTTTTGTTTTTGTATTTGTTTTTCTTTTTTGAAAAGAATACAGGGAGACTAGTACTTCCTACGGAAAACGCCTCCCTAGATGCCCAAGTCGTGGAACGATTCATAGTCTAGCCAGCCAATGATTGCGCAGAAGACCAAGGTGGCTGGATGCAGGATCTAGTGCCACTGGCATAGAGAAGGCCTAGCGGACACCTGCAGTGAAAGTCATACACCGGGTTGAAAGCTGACCTTCTGGAAGTTAACCGCGAAATCGCCTCTGGGCGCCGTTCTGGAAAAGGCCCCAGCTTTGCCTGATTTTTGTCTAGTCCAGACTCTATTTTCCTTTTTCCTTTTTTCTTTTCTGTTTGTGGGCTGCATCCAGCGAGCCGGAAGAGAGAGAATCAGCCCTGCACTCTGCAGGCCGGGATAGTGTTACCAAAGGCCCCCAACGTCTCCCGTTTTGTGAGAGAACACCCTAGTAAAATGGATTAAAAAGAGAATAGAGAGAAAAAGGAGCCCAAGCAGTATTCATCAATACACTAGTTACCCCCCAGACAGACGTTCAGGGGGGTGGTGAGATGTGGCATGGCCAGCGGTAAAATTAAGGTAGTTGGAACAAGGGTTCGAAATTCCCAAATGTATCGAGTCCGGTTGATTCAAGTGTTGAAAACTTCGGGGGAAATGTTTCCAGCCCAATCAATCCATCTTTGGCTGGATTCACTGGGTATCAGGCATCTGGAAAATACACCCCGAATGTCTCCCTGCATAGTTATCCACCTCTCCATCCCGAAATGACGCCCATGTGGAAAGTCGTTGCGCGTGTGTTACTTCCGGTAATAGATCTGAGACAAGTTAGCGATGTTTCTCGAACGGCAGAGTTCGACTTACCCTTTTGAATTGGAAATGAAGTTGAAGAATTCCCTAAAAAGAACAATTACGTCAGTGGTGAGGGCTTGAGAGTTGCACGGCATGACTGACCTTGTCGAAGGTACTCTTGAAACCCCTCTCTCGCTTTGCACTGTAGTCCCATTCTTTGTCGACAATCCGGAAAGCAATGTCTTCGTACGGTGGTCCAGCCATAAACCGAATGAGACATGTGTCCTCCTCGCCCGCCTCGGCCGTTGATTCACCGCGCTTGCGACCATTTTCACGTTCGATGCGATATGTTGGGGCCTTGGTTTTGTCGATCAAGTCGGGGTAAAAGATATTGAACTTGTAACCCTGTACAACCTTGGGTGGCGGGTTATCATGGTCATAATGAGTTTGGTTGTATTTGTTCCATTCGTAACCCATTTGAACTCGGTTAAAGTAGCGGGGTTTTCTGGGCCGATGTTTACCAGCCCATTGGGGTTGCGATACCGTACTGACGGCCTCTTCACCGGTAAAGATCTCCTCATTCTCGCTGACGCCCTTAGCAAGCTCCCTTTCGTAGAGCGCTTTGGTTGCTTGGGAGAAGTCCTCGTTCGGGATGGAGGAGAATCTGGTGGATGTAGATACCGCGGGCGTGCCCGTAGATGTTGGGTTTGCCACTGTCGCGGACTTTTCAGTAGCTCGCTGACGAAGTGGGACAAAGCCCATGCGGAGAATTTTCTGACGTTCGCGCGCCTGTGTAATTGATTAGAATTTAGTCCGACAGTAGGTGATGCAAGGGCATTTACCACTTGGTTCAGGAATGCAGACTCGTCCATAATTTCCAAAATCTTGTCCTCGGGGCGAATTTGGAGCAATGGGTCTGGATCCAAGCCTTCAAATTCAGCAGAGTTTGTGGTGTCACCTGCGATGACAACAGGAGCAAGAGGCGCCAGTTTCGCCCGGATTGATTCAGCTTCCTCCGTCTGCTGCTTTCTCAAGTCGCGGACACGCTCCTCAATGATAGTTTGATAAACGTTCCTCAGTCTCGCCCTTGCCTTCCAAACTGTAAGACTGCGGAGCAGTTCTTCCCAGTAGTCTGTATCAATCGGCTCGTTCGAGTTCAACTTTCTTCTCACTTGTACTTCCAGATTTTTTAGTTGTTCGTAAGATTTGGGGCTCAACAGCTTGTTGATATCGGCAGCAACAGAGCTCAGGGCACGCCCTTCGGGTGTAGAGGTCTTTTGACGGTCTCGGCAGATGACTTTCATAGTCTAGAGAATAATTGTGGTCAATAGCATCCTTAATATGAATGTAAACGAGTCTTACCTGCCAAAAGTCGCGGTTCTGCGCATTTGTTTCAAGATTCACGAATGTATCGATGTCCTTCTCAAGGTCTTGTAGCTGGGTCTGCGACAGACCCTCGAACACGCCATCTGGGTCCACGACATCGAGATCGGAGTCTGCAATCTCATCGTCCAAAGGATCGCGGGTAGGATCGATTACACGCAGAGTGACCGTAAGCCAGTCGATAGGCTTTGCGCGACCTTCCTTGACTCGGATCTCTGCCTTCTTCTTGGCCTGCTTCAGCACGAACACGTCCTCCTGCGCGACCCACTCGCGCACTTGCTGATCTTCTTGAAGCAAGTTGAGACGGACTTGGTCGCGCATATTGCGAGGCTGTTGAGAGGGACCAGGTCTCCCATTATCCCATTTGCGATCGGAGTCTTGTCGATCCCGCCATTCTCTATCGTCGCGGCGGGGATGGTTCTGCTGGCGCTGTGAGTACGGCGATCGCGACCGGTTGCGCCTAGAATCTGATCGATCTGGAAGTCGCGAAGACATTGTGGTGTGAACAGATCAAAGAGTAGCAAAGATGAAGCTGGACGGAGGTCAGAAATTCGGGAGATCTGCAGGAAAGAAACGCGGGCGGCAAACCTTCCCTGCGGTCCCAGGCAGCTATGACAACTTCCCTGGACAAATGCAACACCATGTTCAACAATGCCTTCATCATGGCAACGGCTTCATGTGTCCCACAGAGGATTACCTCCGCTGCTCTTTCAATATACCTGGACTCAGCAAGGCTATGAAATCTACCTCACAGATCTCACATGTGTTTGGGCAGAGCGGCTGTTCTATGAGGACATTGCCAAAAGAGCAGAGGAAGAGGCTGCAACGATCGACCCCGGAGAGGATCCAGAACAGCTCAAAGTCCTCCTGGAGAAAATCGGACAATCTCTCCAGGAGGGCAAAGAAAGCACAGTCCTAAGCTGTGGGACGCAAACCGACTCGCTTGAAATCACAACAACAACCAAGCTACCGGCACCGTTGAAGCCGCTAATATGGCCTTTGAAGCTTTCAAAAGAGCCCTTGTCCGCCGTGAAAAGTTGCATACTCATTCCACTGTTGAAAGAGCAGGCAGATATGGAGTTGCGCCAGCGCTCTTTGCTCAGTCAGATCAAACAGAAAGACTATGTGCTGGGCAGATTGTTTGACAAGCTTGAATCTCTAGGTGCTGAACTGGGATCTGTGTTTCCGAGCGCTGCAGGTTTACGCACATCTCGCAAAGGCAGTACACGTTCTGAGGCCGGAAGATTTGTGAAAGGTATTGCGCCGTTCGACGAAGAGGCCTGGCTCGCCGAAGTCGGATCCTCTACTGGCACAGGATTTGGAATCCATCTGTTCCACGAGATCTTGGAATCAGGAAAGATCGAGGGTTTGAAAAGCATTAATCATCAGGGCGAATGGTGGCATCAACTTCAGAGAAGCGCTCAGAAACATACGAGAGAAGCAACTCCATTTGAAGAGGAAGTTGCTGTAAGTCCAAAGAAGCAATCTACAGGCCCTCGACCACAACATCATGCCGAGGAAGGCGAATCAACGGCAAACAGCGATCCCGATGGGTTTGAGGTATGCCACACTTTCCCTCTGATCATTCTAACAGTATGATAAATTTTACTCTACTTTATAGCGACAAGAAACACCTCCACATCTCAAGCGCCAGCATGTTCAAGAGTCGGTTCCCTCGCCAAGACCAAAGGCCAAAAGGAAGAGTCCAACTTCACCAGCTCCGTCAGAAGAAGACGAAGCTACAGCATCAGATACCGACCCTGAGCCTGAACTAGCACCAAAACTAGCACCACGCAAAAGCCGTATTTCAAGTAGCTCGCCTGAGCCTGAGCCTGAGCCAGCTTCACCCGCACCCAAGAAGAAGCCAAGAGGCGGGTTGGGTGTTATCGGTGGCAAGAAGAAAAAAGACCCGGAGCCAGAGCCAGTCTCTTCCTCGCCGAAGCCCAATCAGCAACTCAAATCACCGGAAGAGAAAGCAAGCAATGACAAAGTTCGTTCAACGTCCCCAGCGCCAGCATCAGCCAAACCGAAACGTACCGGCAAGTTGGGCGTGATAGGCGGCAAAGCCAAAACCAAAGGCAGCCAACAACCCCAATATGAGCCTCCTTCATCTACATCCCAAACAGTAGTTGCTTCATCCGAGCAAGCATCACCCGTCAAACCCAGACCAGCCCAGAAAGACAATGCCCCGGAGCCAACAGCTCAGCAGACTATCAAGCAGGAAGAATCACCCATACTCAAACCAGCCGCTGAGAGAGCTAGCGCCAATCCCCCCGCGGAACCAGAGACAGAAGATCAGCGGGCATCACGGAAACGCGAAGAATTAAAACGGCAGCTTGAGGCGAAGAGCAAAGCCCCCGCCAAGAAAAAGCGGAGGTTCTAATTCTGGGGGCATGATCTCGAAGTAATACCCTGTTTACTTCAGTTGGTCTCCTGATCTTGCATGTCATGCTGGCAGGTACCATGATGGGTGCACTAAGTCTTAAGTTTGTGACTCCATGTACTTGTTGCAAGAATTTCTGTTTATAAGGACCTCTAGTCAAACCAGTCATTTCATTAGATGTATCGCGCGGTAGGGGAATCAATTCGGAATAAAACAGAGAGCCAGCCATGACCCAGAATAAGAGAAAAAAAACCAAAAGAAAAAAAGAAAAGCAAAACGCTAACTAATACAAGTACACCACGAAAATGGGGCAACCAGGCACGAGTCACAACCACGAGCTTATTCCCTCGAAATAACGTCCACACGAGCAGAAGCACCATTCTCCTGCTCCTGCTCGGTAGGAGTAACAAGCCTTACCCTCTTAGGCGACATCGCACCCGACGAAACAGGCGTCGGGGCAGCAGTAGTATTCGTCGACATAACCGGCCCAGCACCACTACCACCAGTAGCAGCAGCAACACCAGCAACGCCAAGCATACCGCGAACCTTCTCCACGGCTTTACTTTCGCCCTTCGTCCAGGGATCCCGCTTAACAAGGCCAGCGCCAGAAGAGCGACTCGCTGAATCGCGGCGCTTGGACTCTGCTTGCAGGGTTTGGCGGTTTATTTCGCGGCGTGGACCGGGGCCGCAATCGTGCGTGCAGCCTGCTGTTGCGCATCCGCCTTCGCTCATTGTTACGTCGCCTAGCCAGGTTGTTATGCAGGCTAGGTGGCCGCCGTGGCCGCAGCCTTGACACCAGGTCCAGATCGCGGAGCCTTTCGGTCTGGGAGCTGAGAAGGGTATCAACGTCTCCATTTCTGAGTCTGAGACTGGCTCGGTGGGGACAGAAGATTGAGATGAGTCGTGAGAGGTGGTTTCAGAGTCTGGGTTTGGGCTTGAGAGGGTGGATGAGGTGAGTTGTGTTTGTTTTCGGTCGGTGGCCCATTCTGGTGGCGGTTCAAGGCACATGCAGATGGAGCATGGTGCTTGGGGTGTACTGCAGCGATAGCAGCGGGTATTGTCCTGTTTCGGATTTTCAAAGGGCCGTTGACAGGTGTAGCAATAAACGTTTATAAACGAGTCTGTCTGCGCGTAGTCGTAAACGGCAGGGTATGATTCCACACAGGACAGACGGAGCTCTGCCGCCTCCAAGTCCATCGAGTGCCGGATTAGGTGCTCGTTGTACGTTTTGAAGACCATTTCGCATTCTTCATATGGCAGGATTTGCTCGCAGTCGTGGAAGAGAACATGGAGCTTCTGAAGAAGATGGGCTGCTGTCTGGATGTCAACAGAGCTACTGCTGCTGTGATAATAACGAACTGCTTCTTTCAGGATTGCTTCAATGCTCCACGGCTTCAAGTCTGTCCCGTTAGGCATAAGTGGAATCTTTACTCGTAAAATATCGTCATTCGCTGAATAAGGTGCAGTACCCCTGTAATTTGTATCGTCGGGAAAGGATATTTCTCCCAGTGGCTCAAGCGGGATTGATTCCTTTATCAAAGGAGGAGGACTGGATGGACGCTGAAGATGCAGTTGATCGCTGTCTGTAATAGCCGTTTCGAAAAGCTCGTCTTCGCATTCCTCGCGCGTGGGAGCTAGATTCGATCCTCTTCTCGTCGTAGAGGATTGACCAGCGTCCGGCAATCTAGATACATCAAGCTGTCCGTTGGATGAGTATGAAGCAGCGATAGATCTTGATGGATGCGAGCTGTCTGTGGAGGTAGAGAACATGGGGAAACTCTCTGAAGAATCGTGTCGGCCATATCGTTCGGTGGGGGGAGGCCGATTAGATTCCATTGTTGATTCGAGAGTCAGCGGCTTTTTGGGGTATTGCTTGAAATCCCGAATAGCTGCACGCTTGTCCTCTAACCGTTGGTCATAGTCATCCTCTGAATTTTCTCGAGCAAAGCCTGTGTGGCCATGTCGGCGCCAATCTGCTTTGCCAGCAATAGCTCGAGGTGCAGACCGTTGGTCATTGTCCAAGTCTTCCTGTGTTGGATCTCGTAGGTGTTCTGATAAAACAGCATCATCAATGGATGATACTTGTGGCTGCGGGTTAGATTTATGACGAACGTCGAGATCTGACATCCCCCAGCCATTGTGAGAACTCAGAACCGATGGCGGTAGAGGATCAATGACAATGCCCCTATCATCTAATGATGGTATGTGAGAATCATCAGTGCTAGACCAAGAGTCCATTACCGGTGAGTCTGGCAATGGTTTCGCTAGAGGGGTTGTCATGTTCGAGGTGCTTTCAACCTCGGGCACTGCTTCCATGACTCCTTTGAACAATCGACTTTTCGCCCTCTCGTGACGACCATCCTCGCGCGATCTGTCCGCCAAGGAGCCATCTTTGGATGTTCTGTCTCTAAGACCACCTTTGGCAGGTTGCTCCCTTGCTCGGCGCTGGAGCTCCTGAAGAATAACAAATTTGACAATTCTCCAAGTCTGGGCCACCTTGATTAGTGAAACCTCATCAGCACACTCAGCATTGTGGTCCAGGGACTCGATCAAGGAGTTCAGAATATCAGCCTGTGTCCTTGATTCACGATATTCGTCCATTAACGGCGTGTAGTTGCTTGCAAGATACCGGAATACTTCTGGGTCATTCGTAGCACCTGGAATGGTAGCAATGGTTCCCAGCTGACTGGGTGCGGGAGTCGCAATCTTAGCCAGGGCCTGGTCAAGAGGCAGGACTGGAGTGAAATCCACTGCCCCCGGTGGAGTACTTCCCAAGGACTTGGATGGTCGAGTTGTGGCCGATTTAGCATTCTGATGCCGAAGAGAAGTAGCCAAAGCTCCTTCGTCGATAATATCATCGCCAGGACTTTGACTCAACGATTTCTCATCGGTACTATCCTCATCTTCCTCATGAAGTAGAAATTCAGCAGCATTGACTCCCAAGGGACGTCGACGGGGGCGCTTCTGGCCAAACGCAACGAATTCGCCATTAGGACTCCAAGCCACCGAGCACATGGGTCGGCGGTTGATCACGGCTGGCGCATACCGTACATCAGTCTGCGTAAAAGCTCCGGCCTCACCGACGGTCCACAGGAGGTCTTTGGATCGCCACAGCAGATCTGATGCGGGGGAGTCGTACCGATCAAACTCCCGGAATGGGACATGAGGGCGTCGAAGGTCCCAGAGGTGAACACGCGGATCTTCCTTGTCGTAGGACGTAACGATTTGAGATGATTGCCATTCTCCAGAGGCAGGTGACTCGCCGACCCAGGAGGGAGGCCGCCATCGCACATTAGTGACCGCCTGGGGTGTTCGGAACTGAAACGCAGGTTTCTGCCGTCGCTCTGCAGACGAAGAGAAGTCCCAAACTTTTACCTGGCGGTCTGTACCACCACTGACTATATGCTTGCCGTCGGGGTGCCAGTCCACGGCGAAACATGGCCGATCGTGAGCGGCAATTCTCATCAAGGGTGCATTGCCCTTGCGATAATCCCACATCTGGATGGCGCCGCTGTCCGAGGCGGTCGCAAACACGACCCCGTCACTAGGAGACCACCGGACGTCCCGGATGGCACCGCTATTGCCCTGGTACACATGCTTGCTGCCGCAAGTGGAACTGCCCCGATTCGCAGAGGCGGCGCGCAGATCCCACATCCGAATACTGCCATCTTGACTACCAGACAAGAGCCAAGAAGGGAAATGGGGATTGAAGGCGAGCCTATGAACCTGGCGGTTGTGGCCTTGGAACCGACATAATTGGAGGCCGGGCCGCTGCAGGTCGTAGACGACAATCCGACCATTTGCAACTGCAGTTGCGATTGTCCGGTCAAAGTTCCCATGTGACCATTTAACGTCCTTGACGTTCAATTGATCTTTGTGTGGCATCGACACACCCGTTTCATGATGGGTGGATGCATAGCTGATGACCGCATTTCGAATATTAAATTCCTCCGAAGAGTGGTCGGGCGAGACGCGGATGGTTTTGAGAATCTCCTTGCCCGCGATGACCGCATGTGTCCGTTCAGGTGATATGTCCAAGGCCGTGATTGCGATCCCTGTTTTATGGGTGACTGTCTGCGGTTCTCCTGGTCTTCACAGAAGCGCATTAGAGAGAATTCCATTGGCTAATCTGACTTCGCGATCTCACTAGCCCCGATGACATCAAATCGCGGGGGGTTGAAGGTCTAGAAGACAGAAAATATCAGAGCGGTGAGAGACATACAGCGACTTGGATCTGATTGATCGGGGACCATCCGCACGACTGCTTTGTGGACTTGGAGGCCTCGAGCCGAAGAAGGGCGCGAACCTCGCCAGGGCACTGGCAGCCCGATTCGAGTACTTTTGTGGCGGAGGAGGGGGAGGGGGGAGGGACCGGAGAGCGCGAACCTGAGAGGTCCGACATCATTCAACAGAGTCTCCAGGCTCCATACTGGGCACACGACAGAAGAAGCGGAGAGTTGAAGATCAATATGGGGGCGGCGGTGAGAGACGATCCCTGAGGCACCCATGCCTCACTCTTGCACTACTTGCCATCTTCCACTCTTCCACTGTTCCACATATCTCGATCATCTTATAAGGCGCCAGTCAGGTAGTTGTACTCCCTGTTTCCTCCACTCAAATTCTAGATTTTCAAACGGTCTGCAAGACATCGGGCCGAAACACATGTTAAGAGCGGTCTAGATAGACAACACAGAACAGAACGAGGATTGTCTTACCTCGACCGGGGACTCGGTACTTCCGTGGGACAAAGAAAGCACATGGATATTCATAGATCCAACGCCTCTAAGCGGAAATCCCTGTATCTTATGATCTATCCTCTGTATGCCTCAGATGACAGTGAAGTCATATACATGTTGGACTGTTCTCGATCGATAGATCGACATGTAGGAGAATTTCAACCCGGACCATTGGGCAAGATTGAGGTTCGGACTTTTAGCAAACAATATCCTGGACTGTCTTTCAAACATAAGAAGCTTGGAGAGTCCCTAACTCCGTGTGGAGACCTTAGACCTTAGCTGCAGCATCCACACCGTACTTCTCTATTTTCTGTATATCTACTTGGGATTTTGGATTCTTCGTGAAGAACTGAGAACATTTCCTATTTTATTAACTTCTCGTTTTACTTCTTTTTTTTTTCCCTTTCTTTTTTCCTGGTTTTTTGCTTCTTTAAACTCCAAGGTTGACCACGTGGAAACCGGTTAGGAAGTTCCCATCCCTCGCGTCGATCCTTCGCCATACCCGTCCAGTCCTTTCCGATCCGAACTCTCCTCCCTTCCACCTGCCATGGACCTTTGAAGTCTTCACCATGTATCCCCACGCAGCTCTTGAGCTGCTGGAGTACCTGCGCACATGCTACCCTATCTTTCTCCTCATCCTCTTCGTTGCGGCGTTTGTGGCAAATACCACCGTCACCGCGAAGAGAGCCAACAAGCATGCCTCTGAGACCCTGGGGCCTGGAGGCCGGCCACTGCCTCAACGATCACGAGCTAAGCCCGCCTACGAGAAACCTCAAGAGTTTTCTCGGAACGTGAAACGCGCTTTCAACTTGCTCTCTGTTGGCATTCTCCTCACATTCATTGCCGATGCAACTATCTATATCACCCACGTTATGGTGGCCCGGGCAGAGAATTGGTGGCGAGGACAATCGGTTGTGGTACATTCTCTCGGGCCCTTTTTTTCCCTTTGGCTGTAAGCTGACCCGCATCTAGATCTACATCGTTGGCTCGTTCTTCGTCTACGCAGTGATGCTCATGGCATTGCTCGACACCTCTCCTTCCCCGACCCTCGCCCAATTTGTCTGCTGGTCGATCGCCATCCCGATTGAATTGGTTATTGTTAGCACATCCCTGTCGGTGTACACCTCGGTTCACCATGAACCAATCGTTGGAGATCCAGAGGGAGGCCGGCTCCGCAAAACTATTACACCGTGGGAATGCATGGAGGTGGTGTCGAACAGTGTCCGCATCCTAGTTCTCTTCTCGCTGGTTCTTCTCTATGTCTGCCAGTCGGTCAGGATGAAGAGCCATGAGAAGAAGGCATCTTATACCAATGGAGTCTCGGAATCCACTGGGCTCTTGGATCCCGCTGCTACTGAAAATGGACACGGGAATGGCAATGGAAATTCCAATGGCAATGGCCATACATATGGTTCCACGAACGGAGGGCCTCCCTCCGGAGCCGCCAAACCTCAGGATCCATGGGTGCGTCCCACTACGATCCCCTCTACCAGCTGGTGGGAGTATCTGAGCGGATACTCACTCTTTTTTCCATACCTGTGGCCCTCCAAGTCCCGCCGTCTGCAGCTGGTGGTCATGTTCTGCTTCGTGCTCCTTATTGCCCAGCGCGTTGTCAACGTTCTGGTGCCTTATCAAGTCGGTGTGATTACCGGTGCTCTCACCAGAGATGATGGCGAGGAATTCCAGGTGCCGTGGCTCCAAATCTGCCTCTATGTGATCTACCGCTGGTTGCAGGGTGGTCAGGGTTTGCTCAGCTCTCTGCGCTCCAGTCTCTGGATCCCCGTGAGTCAGTATTCCTACATGGAGCTCTCCACAGCTGCATTCGAGCATGTCCATGGTCTCAGCCTAGACTTCCACCTCGGCAAGAAGACTGGCGAGGTCCTGTCTGCTCTCAGCAAGGGTAGCTCGATCAACACATTCCTAGAGCAGGTTACTTTCCAGGTGGTACCAATGCTCGTTGATCTTGTTGTTGCCATTGCATTCTTCCTGATCGCATTCGATGTATACTATGCCTTGGCTGTTGGGATTTCCACCTTTGGCTATCTCTATGTCACCATCCGTATGGCTCAATGGAGAGCAGAAATCAGAAGACAGATGGTCAACGCATCTAGACAAGAAGACGCTGTGAAGTAAGAATGGCCCCGTCCGTGGATAAATATACACAACGAAGGGAACTAACACTCGCTCTAGGAATGACTCGATGGTCTCATATGAGACAGTGAAATACTTCAACGCTGAACATTATGAGTTCAACCGGTATCGGGGCGCTGTAGGAGATTTCCAAAAGGCTGAATACCACGTCTTGCTCTCTCTTACGCTGCTGAATACTTGTCAAAATACTGTGTTCATGATGGGCTTGTTAGTTATGTGCTTCATCTGCGCATTCCAAGTATCTACTGGTCAGCGTCCTGTGGGCAAGTTTGTGGAGCTGTTGACCTATATGGTTCAACTGCAAGGCCCTCTGAACTTCTTTGGTACCTTCTATCGCTCTATCCAGTCTGCACTGATCAATGCCGAGCGTCTCCTTGAACTTTTCCGTGAGCAGCCAACTGTGGTCGACAGTCCCAGTGCTACTCCATTGGCGATGTGCAGGGGTGATATCAAGTTTGAGAATGTGGAGTTCGCTTACGATGCACGGAAGCCGGCATTGAATGGCCTCACCTTCCACTGCCAGCCTGGAACAACCACTGCCTTGGTTGGTGAGTCTGGCGGCGGTAAATCCACTGTGTTCCGTCTGCTATTCCGATTCTACAACTCTGAGAACGGCCGTATCCGCATTGACGGGCATGATGTGCAAGATATTACGATCGATTCACTCCGAAAGCATATTGGAGTGGTCCCTCAGGACACTGTACTTTTCAACGAAACATTGATGTACAATCTGAAGTACGCTAACCAAGATGCTTCTGATGAAGATGTTTACGAGGCCTGCCGCGCTGCTAGTATCCATGATAAGATCTTGGCTTTCCCCGATGGATACAATACCAAGGTCGGAGAACGTGGTCTAAGACTCAGTGGTGGCGAGAAGCAGCGTGTTGCAATTGCTCGCACTATCATTAAAAACCCTCGTGTCATTCTCCTAGATGAAGCTACTGCAGCACTAGACACCGACACAGAGGAGCACATTCAAAGGGCACTTTCCACCTTGTCACAGGGACGCACTATGTTGGTGATTGCTCACCGTCTCAGCACTATCACCACCGCAGACCGCATCTTGGTTCTGTCCGAAGGTCAAGTAGCGGAAAGTGGTACCCACGAAGAGCTTCTTGCCATGAAGGGCCGCTATGCCAGCATGTGGCGGAAGCAAATTCGAGCCCAAAAGGCCGCGGCAGAGGCACAAGTCCTCCATGACCGCGCCGAGCGAATTCGTACAGCAACTACCAGTGACGATAGCTCAAGTCAATCGGATGAAGACCGCAAAGGCGTCCGCCGAACAAATTGAATCACCCTGGCCTGCACCTGCTAATCTAGCCCGTATACTCTTGTTTATCTCTCACTATGTGCATACGCTTTTCATATTCTCTTTCAAGACAAGTCCTCAAGAGGCACTAATGATCGGAGACGGCATGAAATCAGGGGAGCGATCCCCGTTCGAGAGATGATTGCCTTGCATGTTTTTTGTTTCTTCCTTTTTTTTTCTATTCCTTTGCCGGTTTGTGTTTTTTTTTTCTTCTTTCATTTTCTGCGTGTTGGCGTTTTGGGTCTACGATAGGTACGATGTCATTGTCTTTTCCTCTTGTCCTTGTTTCATATGAACCCGGGGTGCAGAGGGTCAGGGTTGGGACTCCTGCAAAAAATCAAAAATTAGATTAATTGCTACGCTGGATATTAATATAAAAACAATTCAATCTCAGATGTTTCCGGGGATGCGTAGGCGAGTGTATAAAGCGGTCCAACTCTGAATCGTCCCTATACAGAGAATGTCACCCCCTAATTAGGAGTAACATATGGAACAGTTTATGAACACATCTATCAGTTTAGATGGTTTATTCACTAAGCAAAATCGAAAATAGAGAGATATACGCTTAGCTATACAAATCCCCATACAAATCAACAAAGCAGCAACATCATCCGAACTCCCTCATAACCGTCCCAAATGCAGGTAGATCATTGACAAACCAATCATGTGCCACCCAGTTGGCCCTATACTGTCATACAAATGCATTATCAACTTGCTCATCGGCCACATATTTAAGAAGCCTAGCCAGAATGACTTTTTCCATGGAGCCTCAGCCATGGTATTAAATGCTGTAGTGGTTACGATGATGAGACTCATCTGAATCTGAAGCCGGCCTGTCACTAGATCGTGATACATGGTGCAATACCTCTTACATCTTTCGTTCTTGGAGTTGACCATGTTCTTCAATGCGGTGAGTCGCAGACCTTAGGGATGCAGATGATCAGTCCAAGGTAGAAAGAAAGCGAAGTTGGAAATACATACCACATCAAGGTGATAAAAAGCTGCCACTCGGGTTTCCGGTGGTATGTACCCAGCGACTCGCCTTGAAAGCTCCGCATGAATATCTTCCACTGCGTTTTGGCTTGTGTGATGAAGCTCTGTGGAATTGGTGATATGACAGTGCTGCATTGATTTCCTGTTGCAGGTGAAGTGCTTTCTACAAAACAGTGGTATTCTTGCACTCCTAATCAGAAGCAAGCGGGTAGTGGTGTCTAGTTAAGTTTGCTTGGTTCATCCAGCATGTTTCTTATTTGTCTAGTAGTGCGGTTCTTCGTTCTTGCTCAAATCTACGCTGGCGAAGAAATAATCAAGCCCTTTATGTCTAGTCACTATATCTTCGCCAAAAGAGACTTGAGATAGAGGTGTCCTCATGCGGAAAAAAAAAGCAAAAGAAAAAGAAGAAGAAGGAAGCGGTCAAACAAAGCGAAATGCTCGAGTGACAGGTCAAGAAGGATGGCATAAGATATGGCGCAGATGCTCAGCGAGGCTGACAGGCCTAATCGGGCCATGGAGAGGCCTACCATATTGCAGCAGTGTGGCCAGTCAGGATGTTAGCCTCCTGGTTCTTTTATCGTATCTTGCTCGAAATTCCCTCCTTTTCAAGTTAAGAAAAACAATGATCGAAACCCCCGGCCGGGTTCAAATGTAGGACTTCTCATAGATACGATAGCGCAAAAGATCGGCCCTGTTTCGCCAAGACCGGGGACTGAAAGCTTTACTTGAACTTTCCGCAACAACCATCCAAGCTACAACATCAGAAACTCGTCTATCCATCAGATCTAACACCACACTCTGATCGACAGACTCGCTCACAATGCACTCCCCATCCCCACAACTTCTCCGCGCCCTCCGCACCTCGCTCACGGGCACCCCATCCCGATTCACCCGATTCCCATCAACAGCCTCAAAATGCGCCATCCCAAAACTGAGCCACCAGCTCCCCTCAAGCAGACGCAATGACAGCTCATCCATCCGCCCATCCCGCATGGTCTCCCGCGCGCACGCTCACAAGCCCGTCAGCCGCGACCGCGGTCCAGAGTCCAACGAAGACACGGTGACGGACTTTGCCGCGCTGAACGTCTTGGGCAATGTCCCTGCGCCGACAACAGCTATTGATGCCACTCTTGACTCTGGCTTCCACCTAAACAATGGAGTTAAGGTTACTGGTGGTGATGGACTGCTGCTTGTTGGTGGTGAGGCTTTTGCGTGGAGGCCGTGGAAGAGTGTAGAGGGTGCTAAGGATGATCGTGCTGCTAAGGATAGCATGATTAATGCTAAGGGGCAGTTTGAGCTTGATGAGTCTGTTTGGGGGATTTTGGATGTTGTCTGGCCTAAGCCTGGTATGTTTCTTGCTTGTGTTTCTGTGGTAGTGTGGTGTTGGTATCCTCTGGGCTACAGTGCCGGGCTATCTCATAGGGAGGCTGATCATTTTGCTAACATTGGTTTTGATAGATATGCTCATTCTTGGTCTTGGCGCCTCGATGTTCCCTCTCTCGCCTGAGACCAAGCGCCACATCAATTCCTTGGGCATTCGGGTTGACATTCTGGATACCCGAAATGCGGCTGCTCAGTTCAATCTGCTTGCTACGGAGCGTGGTGTTACTGAGATTGCTGCTGCCATGATTCCTATTGGGTGGAAGGGCAGATCCTAGGGAGTTGCTCGCTTTCCCTTGGAGATAATATGTAAAATATAGCCACCTCATAACTCCGGCTGGTACTTTGTTACACCAATACAAGACATTCCCTCTAAATCATGAAGAAGGCTAGGCCCTGCCCAAATTCGTAGACTACATGTAACCCTATAAATGCGGGTACGTGACGTATCATGTGAGTCCGGCTACTGAATCTTATCGTCTCTCAGGGTCCACCCGGCCGTCGGTGATCTTGACCTCGCATATCCCTGCTCAGTCACTCTTTCTGGGTTCTACCGACTACCAAACTCGACTATCCCGCCCTATTTGACCCGATTTTGTCTCTACCGCAGCCATGGCGCGGGAAGAGCCCCTCCTGGCTCAACGCCCGGCCTCCGACCGCTCGTCGATCCAAAATGAGGAAGAAGAAGCCCTCCTGACCGGACAGCACACCACTCGCCATACCGAACGACGGAGCTGGGCATCATGGCGCGAGATTGGAATGTTCGCTTGGGCTTTCATTGCCACGGTTTTGGTTATTGTTCTGGCGGCGGTCTATCAGCACAAGGCGGTCGAGATTCCTCATCACGAGCAGTCGAAGAATACAACCTGGGGGCCTGGAGGAAAGCCAACGGGCAAGCGCAATGTCATCTTCATGGTTTCTGATGGCATGGGTCCTACTAGTCTATCTCTGACTCGTGCTTTCCGGCAATATCGTGATGGTCTGCCCGTTGACGACACTCTGCTCTTGGACAAGCACCATATTGGGACATCACGGACACGGTCGACCTCTAGTTTGGTTACTGACTCGGCTGCTGGGGCTACTGCATTCTCTTGTGGACTTAAGAGTTATAATGGTGCAATTTCGGTCCTTCCCGACCACTCGCCATGTGGAACCGTGCTTGAGGCTGCTGCGCTGGCAGGCTACAAGACGGGCCTGGTTGTGACGACTCGTCTTACTGATGCGACTCCGGCATGCTTCGCCTCTCATGCTAATCTGCGCCAGTATGAAGATCTCATTGCCGCCCAAGAGGTTGGAGACCACCCTCTCGGTCGGGTTGTGGATCTTATGCTTGGTGGTGGACGTTGCCACTTCTTGCCCAAGTCTGCTGAAGGAAGCTGCCGGGGTGACGATCGCGATCTGATTGATTTTGCTTCGGGTAATGGGTTCACCACTATCCAGAACCGTTCCGCCTTTGATAGTCTCAATGGTGGTGAGGACGCCAGCCTGCCGTTACTAGGTCTCTTCGCCCATGGCGATATTCCCTTCGAGATTGACCGACGTAGCCAGAACGAGAAGTACCCTTCTTTGGAGGAAATGGCTCGCACTGCTCTGAGGGCTTTGAGCAAGGCCACTGAGAACAGTGAGCAAGGGTTCTTTATCATGATCGAGGGCTCTCGTATCGATCATGCCGGCCACAACAATGATCCTGCAGCCCAGGTGCACGAGGTCTTGGCCTATGATAAGGCATTTGCTGCTGTGCTTGACTTTGTCGAGAATGAGTCTACTCCTACCGTCGTCGTGAGCACATCCGACCACGAGACTGGTGGGCTCTCTGCGGCACGACAGCTGACCAACGCCTACCCCGAGTACCAGTGGCTCCCAGAGGTTCTGGATAAAGCGAGCCACTCTGGTGAGTATATTCATGCCCAGTTGAAGGAGTATCTTGCTGGTGCAGGCAATGATGCTAGTGCATCGGAAAAGAAGTCTTGGGTCCGTAAGCACCTAATCAAAGACGGTTTTGGCATCACCGATGCCACTGACGATGAGGTGCAGGCTTTGCTCCACCCAGAGCCTCAAGTCAGCCCACAGAATCTGTTTACGGATATGATCAGCCGTCGTGCTCAGGTCGGCTGGAGCACCCACGGTCATTCCGGTGAGTGAATACCCAATTGTGAATTATACTCGCGTACTAATTATGCTATAGCTGTCGACGTCAACATCTACGCATCATCGTCTAAGGACGCCTGGCCCTTGGTCGGCAACAACGAGAACACCGACGTCGGCTCTTTTCTCGCTGAATACCTTGATCTTGATGTTGGCAAGGTCACAAAGCAGCTACGGGATACCAAAACTGGTTTCTTAAACCCATATGACTGGATGGGTCACCCGCTGGGCATGGGTGTTCGCACTGATGGACTAGACTCCTACCACGGACTATTCAAGAAGCGATCCGAGGACGACTGTGGATGTGGCGGTTCTCACTGAAGCACTTGGCCATGATCATATGTCTCACGGACTTACAATTTAAACCATTCCTAGACATTTCCGGCTCATTTCTACACTTTATACCAATCGTTATTTGTATCAGGCGCAATCGTGTTTATTTTGGTACCTACTGTCGTACTCATGCATACAATCCGTTTCACATAGTCACTGAATCACATTAACATTTCGTTGTATTCTTTCCCGGTCTGTCATAGCTCTGTCTCTCTTTTATTCGCTCCGCCATCACTCTTAGCAGCAAATGTCACTCCCCGCTGCAAGCAGGGCAACACTCCGACATGTCCATTATCCACTTCACAACATTGGTGTCTGTCTGACTCTCACGCGGACGCCCTTCCGGGCCCAGTCGTAGGGTTTCCCCAGTCAGGGTGGTGTATGGGCTGCATCCTGGGCAGTCAGGGTCAAAGGGTAAAATGCAATTCCCGCACTCCACTTCGTCTTTTATGCGATTAAGTTGTCGCAGGAGCTCATCGCAGAAAAGGTAAAGCTCAAAACACGTGTGCGTGCACATGTAATGGCAGGTGCCGACAAAAAGGCACATTTTGGCTTGCGATGTTTTGATTGTCCCTTGAGCTCTCTGGATCTCAGTTATATCTGTTAGCTTATCCCTTCTCTCTGCTGTCAGTCTTGGGATGGGTGCTCTGGTTGCTCACTTCTTGTGTGGCTCGGTACCTTTTCAGTGGATGAGGCTTATTTGTGTTTTGTTGGGCTGGTATGAGATCTAAATGCCGTAGATGTAGGGGTTGAGGCTGAGGGAGGAGATGAGGCTGGCTGTCTTTGGTTTTCGAAGGTAAGTGATTTGGAGGTTTGATTATGGTGCGAAGTAAAAGTATCCGATTTGGGATGCATGGAGGCCCAGGGATATTGTGCAATGATACAGCAGTACTCAGTGATCAGTATATAAATGAATAAATTTGATATATATCATGAATCGTTGATAGGCTTGAAAGAGAGTTAACCGTGAGGTTTGAATGAAGCATCCAATGCAGCTATCCTGTTTACCGTGGCTATTGCATCACAGATTGAGATATCCGGGCTTTCATCAATATGAGGCTATAGAGATTATGGTGAAAAGCTTGGTGGTCATATTGGTATTGATCATAGCTTAGTACATGGAAGTTTGTTATTCTAGCGTTGTACCATGGTTGTGGGATATCTGACGGCCTTGCATCAAAAATATATACTCCAAGCACAACCACACAACTGCCTACTTAACATCCCAAAAAGCCCAAGAAACGAACTAAAATCTTACTGTACCAAGCGCAGCCTTAGTCCTAGCCAAAATAAACACTGTGTATAGGCCAAATGCTGATTTAGAGGAGGTAATTGGGGACTTTTCAATGACCGAAGGTTTCAATACATATCCGTAGCTTTGCTAAACTGACGATATAATATCAAGAGCCGCTAGCACAGTCTTGTCTTACTCAGTATGCAGTTGTAAATAAGCGACTCAAAAAACCACGAAGGATAATGACCAAATTTTCATACTTGATCTACATTAAAAGGGATTTAGGATACAGACTTGTCCACTTTTTATGAATTTGCGACGCGAAATGTGCCTGGGACCATGCCGCTACAGGGCTGAAGCCTGTAAAGCTCTAAGAAATGCATGAGATTTGCTGAAAACAACTTAATTGAAAAATCTCCATATATATGTAGTATACACTGGTCTACCAAGGGTCAAAAAAAAAGAGAGAATTTCGATAAAGGATAAAAATATAGAAAAAGCAAAAAAGATACTGGCGTTACCCGGAATCGAACCGGGGCTATCACAGCCACAATGTGACGTCATACCACTAGACCATAACACCTAATTGATGAGGTAAGGAACCTGGCTTTAACTTATAACCATGCCTTTATATTTTCCGTAGGTTAAATATTCATCAGATTTGAGACAATCACCCCCAAGAGACGAAGGAGAATACTCTAACAGGGCAAAGTGGCAGCTACAGGAGTCTGGCTGTATCCTCCACCGTTTCACAGAAGCTACAAGATAGAAACACTTTGAACTCGATCAGTTTCATCAATTTCCCGGAAGCTCATTTATGGCATCTTACAGTTATACTCTAATCCATAATATTTATCCTTGGCCATGGGTATGCATCAATGCTAAGCGCTTTGTTGAAGGAAATAGTCGTTTGTTGCTGATTTGGTCGATCACGATGTGTATACATCCATACTCCCCATGCTGTTGAAAAGGTCTACATGATATAACTTAGTGTTTACCACGCCAGAGACACGCGCAAATACAATTCCGATATAGTATTCCGATCAAAGAAGCTTATGGATCAAGAAATAGGCCAAGAAAGCCACCTAGCATGTCATTGGTGAGTTCAAAAACCAACGTTATCTGTAGTTTCATGCCCCGGGGCTAGTCCGAAGATACCCCTCTCAATATACTTAGCGTCGAATGATCTAGACGGAAATTCACACATTTTTAGCGCAAACAGGCCACTCGCCTTATGGAGCTTGGTATTTGGGATTGCCCGATGTGGGGTATTGAGCGACTTCTCAGATGTACGTTCCTCGGGGGCTATATGGCGTTTTATTAATACTCCACTGGTTCAATCACAACATGTATGGCGCGATCAAATCATGTAAAAAATACCCATTGAGAACTTCTCATATTGAGCAAGCGCGTAGGGCTCTCTGCAGCTAAACACTCAATGTGTTATCTAGTCTAGTGCATATGATAGCAATCTTTGATAGTCACCGGCCTGCGCTACTACTTAGTATTAAGACTCCGAGACTAAGAGCAGAACGCGTCAGCGTGTGCCTTTGCGGGGATGACATGTTATCATCTTGGGTGGATCTATCGTGACAATTGCACAGACTTGGCTTGGGCCATATAAAGAAATGGACAGAACGCAGCCCTTCTCCATCTTTTCCTGCCTGGGAACCTGACTGAATCAGTTTTATTTGGCATATGCGCCTAATTCGAGACATGGAAAGTTCCAAAAGTCCCACTAAGAACCCAGATATCTCTGAGACTCCGACCTCGGACCTGGAGGCAGAGAACACCAACCGAGACCCGAAAGACTTGTTGTATCGATCGGACCTAACAGAGCTCACGCCAGTTGAAGCATTCAAATGGAGCGTAGAGGGAGACCAGTCGCCGTGTGAGTTCAATTCTATACAATGAGGGTAGACCTTATGCTTATACTCCACAGTTCCAGAAGTTGCGGCTTGTGTGTCCAACAAAGATGATCCTACTCTCGCTTGTAATAGTACGTTTCCCCTAATACACGAGGGAACCTAGTCTAACAAATATCACAGCTGTCCGGGCCTGGATATTGATGACGATCTTTGTTATACTGTTCTCCGGGGTCAACCAGTTCTTCGGTCTTCGATATGTATGTTCCTTCTTCCATCGGCAATGTGTATGCAGCTTTTGTTGACGTTCCTTAGCCTTCCCTCTCCATTGGCTATGTCGTCGCTCAAATACTAGTCTTCCCTATTGGTCGAGCATGGGAGAAGCTTCCTAGATGGAGGGTCCCTTTGGGAATGTTTTCATTTGATACCAACCCAGGGAAATTCACCATCAAGGAGCACGCATTCATTGTTATTGTGAGTAAATTTATTCCCTTCTGACAAAGTAAAACAGCTCAAAAAAAGTCTAACATCTGACTACAGTGCGTCAACATCAGTGCAACCACCGCCTATGCACAAGGCGCCCTGGTAGCGATCATCAGCCCTGTATACTGGAACCGTGACTTTGGAGCTGGTTTCTCTTTCCTATACCTCTTGACAACCCAGATGATAGGGTAAGTTTATTCTGCATGCCACGAGCCATATTGTTGAGTAGCTAACCATTCTTAGATTTGGACTGACAGGCCTTGCCCGCCGGTGGATCGTATACCCAGCAGCCTTAGTCTGGCCTACTTCACTATCCTCGACCGTCCTCTTCCGTGCGCTACATGAGCCTGAGGGCCGCACACCGGCCAATGGCTGGACAATTACTCGGTATCGCTTCTTTGCCTACATCACAGGCTTTGCATTTGTGGCATTCTGGTTCCCGGATTATATCTGGACCAGTCTTAGTACATTTGCTTTCATCACTTGGATTATACCTCATAATCAGAAAGTGAATACATTGTTCGGAGTAAGGTCTTGTTTCTTTCTTTCCCCCTTGCCGTCCCATGACGTTACGACGATACTAACTAGTCAGATGAATTCCGGCTTGGGATTACTCCCCATCAGCCTCGATTGGACACAGATCAACTACGCCGGCTACCCACTCACCACACCATTCTACATCACCTGCAACGCATTCGCAGTCGTGGTGCTATTTTACTTCTTCTTATCGCCCATCCTATATTATTCGAATGTGTGGTATAGCGCCTAGTAAGTAACTACCCCCCAACTTGAACCACAAATAACCATGCATGTACTGACAAAACAGCCTGCCACTCCTCTCCTCTGGTACATTCGACAACACAGGCGGCTCATACAACGTGTCCCGCGTCATCGACGCAAGCTCTAACTTCGTAGAAAGCAAATACAAGGAGTACTCCCCGATGTACATATCAATGTCCTACTCTCTCACCTACGGCTTGTCTTTTGCCGCAGTAACCGCAATCGTGGTACATACCTACCTATACAACGGCACGGAGATCTGCGCTCGGCTCAAGAACTCGCAGCATGGTGGTGAAGATATTCATCGACGTTTGATGCGTGCTTATAAAGAAGTTCCGGAATGGTGGTATGGTCTTCTTACGGTTGTGATGATCGGTTTAGGTATCTTGACAACTAAGTTCTGGGACACTGAGTTGCCGGTTTGGGGCTTTATTGTTGTTTGTGTTGGGCTCGCTGTGCTTTTGATGGTTCCTGAGGGTATTCTTCAGGGTACAACTAACCAGCGTGTATTCCTGAATATCATTACGGAAATGATTGCTGGGTATGCTTGGCCTGGAAAGCCGATTGCTAATTTGATGGTTAAGTGTTATGGGTATAATGCTGTAAAGCACGGTATGGACTTTGCGCAGGATTTGAAGCTTGGGCAATATATGGTGAGTTTTATCTTACTTCCTTCCTTGGTTTATATATGCTTATTGCTCAGAAAATTCCCCCGCGCGTTCTGTTCTTTGGTCAGATCTATGCTAGCATCCTAGCAACAGCAACTCAGACTGGAGGTATAGTTGACCATCTGGTATTCCATCCCATCGGCATGCAGCTAAGGTATAACAGTTCTACGATGGATGATGGGACACATCACCGATCTATGCGAGTCAACCAACAAGCAACGATTCACATGCAACGGTGCCAAGGTCATGTACAATGCATCCTTGATTTGGGGAACCATTGGCCCGCAACGAATGTTCCAGTCTGGGCAGGTGTACAACGGACTTGTATACTTCTTCCTCATCGGGGTAAGCTGTTCTACATCACATCCTTGACTCTCTCTTACTGACAGTCTAGCCTATTGTTACTGCAAGTGTATATCTGCTATACCGCCGCTACCCCAACAGCTGGATTCGCTATGTCAACGTACCAATTTTCTTCAATGCGGCTGGTAATATACCACCTGCGAACACTAGTATGTCCCCGATATCATTGCATTGTCTATGATAAATCTGACCAAATAGCCCAATACTCTCTTTGGTTCATAGTCGGTTTCGTCTTCAATTACTTGATCCGCAAGCGCGCCTTTGACTGGTGGAAACGCTACAATTGTGAGTCCCGACTTCCAAATCTGTCCCTTGAAGAATATGACTGACCCATCATTTACGTAGATCTACTGCAAGCTGCCATGGACACTGGAACAGCAATTGCAACAATCATCATTTTTTTTGCGCTTGGCTACCACTCTATCGCGTTCAACTGGTGGGGAAACACTGTGGGATCTAATACCGACGATGCCAACTCGGTCCCTTGGTTGACTGTCCCTAAAGGTGGATACTTTGGGAAGGGACCCGGAGAGTTTTGATTGAAAACTCTTTTTATAGATTTGTTCGCAAAGCTTTTCCATAGGGCAATGGGGGTAGGGATAGCTCCACGCGAAACCAATCTGCAATGGAAAGACCAAAACTTGATTTTGGTTCTGTAGCCTAAGACATCACAAAACGCAATTGAAGGGGGAGCGTCGTTCAATGTCTGACATCATCGTCGATAGCTTAGCGACAAAATTCATAACCCCTTTGCTGTTTATATGTGCATCTTATCGAGTTTCTGAGCTCTCAATGACTGTATCCACTCACAGCTTGAGCATCGTTGAAATGGAACGAATCATAGAACTCTGTATGACCTTGATATCCCTTGCGAACTGATTTACCAGAAAAACAATGCAAAAATAGAAAAACTAATCCGGAACAGGCAATCGGCCCTTGATCAGCCAGTGAAGAAAATGTGCCTTGCTTGTTTGGTATCAGACCGCGTCTACAGACAATGTCTACTATGATGAAATGGACAAAAGCAACCAATAATCACCCCCCCCCCCCCCTTACATTCCACCGTGACACATTCCCTGGCTGACCTGGGCGTAAACAGTAAAGTAAACAAGATCTGATGATGTGTATCCGTAGATCCAGGATCGCCACATACCTTCTAGAAACATACCACTGAACACAAACCTATAAAACCCTCCGAAAGCGACAGATATGCTTATCAGGCTTATCAGCCCCTGAACGAGAACGAGCCTCTGGAGTCGATCTCTCATTTCTGAACGATGGCCCCAAACGCCCGTGACTAGTCCAGGATAAGGTTAGGCACTGACTCGTGATAGGCATACAGTTAAGGGGGCGAAGGTCACGGAGTGGACATAGGAATACGGAAGCTCGGTGCCGAGAGTGCCTTAAAGCGACCGAATTGTGACTAGGGGAAGTTTGGCGCCCAGGGATTGGCAGGCGTGGCATGGTCTTGGAGCTTGTTATTTGTGGAAGCCTGGCTCTGTGGGTGCTCGGGTAAAATGAGTATTGAAAATTGGGGTCTTTTTTTTCCTCTCTTTGTCCCAGTCAGCACTTGACTAGAAGAGTTTAGCTTCGCGTGGCGAAAGATTCGGTTCCAAGCGCTGTGGAGTAGGGATGGAATCCGGTTCAATTGCAGGTCCGGACAGTATTCTAAGCACACCGTCAAGGGTAAGGAAGTGTAAGGTTGCTACGTGTGTAAATGAACGTGAACCTGTGATGTCGATCAATGTCAACCCCATGAAGATCGAAGGGGGAAGTGTTTTCAGAGTGCCAAGCGGTCAGGCGCTAGTGGCTTTACGGTACCTTACCAATTTCCGTTATCTCACCACAAACACCTGGGGAGATGTCTGATGTCTCACTTTGACGGTTTGGTTAATTCTAATTCCACTAGACACTACACTAAGGAAACGAGATGATAATATCGAGTCACTCAGATGACGACGTCTTTACCTTCTCATACCACAGTGAACCCTAAATGACCTGCATAGTAACGCACATTTACATTTCAGGGGAATACAAAGCACAGACGGGAAACCCCGATTAACCCTCTCCAAATCCCCACAAAAAAAGACCCTTTTGCCTTTTGCGCCTTTCTTCTTTGGTCAGAGTTGAGCCCAATCGGGTTAGTGTGGACTCTCAGTTCCTTGGTTGCTCATATCCCATTCTATTGAATTATATTAATCACGCCCTCCCCCCCCCCTCCTCCTCTCCGTTTTCGAGATCTCCTCTGCTTTCGTTACCTCCAACTTTTCGCAGTGATTCATTTTCACTTGCTGTCTTTCGTTTATATAAACAGATATTTTTATCTGCCCCTATCTCCACAGTCCACTCATTTCACCTGTGGCTTGGATTGAAATTCTTCGAGTAAATTCTGTCATTTCGGCTGTACATACCAACAGTACATAATTAATCATGGTTCGCTTTGTGACACCACTGGCCCTGGCCGCCCTGTCGGCTACCGCCTTCGCTGCTCAGAAGTGCAGCACCAGCAGCCAGTGTACCGACGAGACATACCCCTGCTGCTCCCGTGAGTTGCCTCGCGTCCGATCGCAATCGCAAGTGGTCGCTAATTTTTCACAGAATATGGCGAGTGTGGCACCGGTGCCTACTGTCTCGGCGGATGCGACCCTCTTTCCTCCTACTCGCTCGACTCATGCGCGCCTATGCCCGTGTGTGAGGAGAAGACCTACACCTGGGAGAACCTTGACAACGCCGTTTCCCAGGACAAGTACCTCGGAAATGCCAGCAAGGCCGACTGGACCTATAGCGGCAAGCCCAAGACCGAGGATGGCAACCTGATCATGACCATGCCCAAGAACAGCGTCGGTACCCTCTTCGCCAACAACCATTACATCTGGTACGGCAAGATCTCCGGAAAGATCAAGTCCAGCCGTGGCAAGGGTGTTGTCACCGCTTTCATCCTGCTCTCCGACGTCAAGGACGAGATCGACTACGAGTGGGTCGGCGCCGACCTGACTAACGTCCAGACCAACTACTACTGGCAGGGTGTTCTCGACTGGCACAACAGCGGTAATATCTCCGTCGATGGCGGTGACACCTTCAACGACTGGCACACCTACGAGATCGACTGGACACCCGAGAAGGTCGACTGGATCGTCGATGGCTCCGTCCAGCGCACCCTGAAGAAGGCCGACACCTACAACGAGACCTCCAAGCAGTACCAGTTCCCCCAGACCCCCTCCCGCCTCCAGATGTCCCTCTGGCCCGCCGGCCAGGCCAGCAATGCTCAGGGCACAATCGACTGGGCCGGTGGTGCCATCGACTGGAACAGCGAGGACATCCAGTCCAAGGGCTACGACTACGCCACCGTCGGCGAGGTCAGCGTGAAGTGCTACGACGCCCCCTCGGACGTCAAGAAGACCGGTGACAAGTCCTACCTCTACACCAACTCCGCCGCCATGGAGAGCGACGTCGCCATCACCGGAAACGACACCGTGCTCGGCTCCCTCGGCGCCACTGGCCTCGACATGGATCTCGGTGCCAACACCTCCAGCACTTCCGCTACCACCTCCGCTGCCAACAGCATCCCCACCACCAACGGTGGCTCCGGCGGTATGTCCAACTCCAACTCGAGCTCCAGCGCCGACTCTTCCTCGTCCACCGGTACCACCACATCCTCCGGCTCGGAGTCTACCACCTCGTCTGGCTTTTCCCAGGGCACAGACGTTACCAAGGACAACGGAGCCGCCAGCCAGACCGAGCACGTCCTCCGCGGCTCTCTCTTCGCCGTCCTGGTCGCCATCGTCGGCCTGGTAACACTGTAAATTTACTGTCCATACCGAGCGCCTGTTTTACTTTTCTTGGCTTTGGCTTTTTCCACTTTGGATCTTTTTCTTCTTCTTCTCTTCTTGCAGTGCCTCCCGCATCCCGCATCAAGTACATTTTTGGCTCTATGCTTTCGCTTCGTGTCTGTCTCTGACTGAACCTGAACCTTGAACAAATCACCTAATGAATTACTCTTTGGATCTGTACCTTGTACCGTTTGCGCTTTCTTTTCCTCCTTTTCTCCTAGTGATATTCCGATGTCCCATTGCACACGCATACGCACACGCACACTGCACTCGCCAGAGTTTTTTTTTTTATGCTACATACCTGCTCGGCGTTTCTGGCCGTTTACGGTCTACCATTTTGATTCTCTTTCTTACGCTACACATCGCTAATTTGGTAATGATTTGGAATTTACCTGCACATGCTTGGAAAATAGTTATTTGGATTCTTTTGGGGGATCTATTCTATATATGGGAGGCTCTAGTTAATTTACTATATTTGTCTCAGAGTTTATGCTGTGGTTGAATCTGGATCATCAAGTAGGTAGGTCTCTTTAAAGTATCGGGCTTACCGAGTTGCCGTTCTCTATACTGGAACACGCTTTAGTGGAGCCTGTCATACAACACGAAATTTATCAAGTCCGGTGGAAGGAGTCTCAGTAATTACAGACACCGATACTGTGATGCCTGCGTTGTTCTTGTCTCATACCACAGGCCTAAAAATCCACATCTGAGTGCGCGCTCTGCCTTGTCTCAGACTAGCAGCTATGGCCGCTAGGGAAATGAGGTGGATACTTGAGAGCCGGCGAATGCCCAATGTGTTCGGCGCAGCACTAAACCGAGGTGAAACCGATCGTCATGGTCGTATGGACTTTCTTTTTCGGATTAATTACCCAAGTAAAGCAAGTGCAAGCCAGACGTTGGATATATGGACTACGGAGAGAGGATTGAGAGGTCACAAAGAACTCGTTCGGTTTGTATCATTTTCTAGAAGACTTCTACTTTAGGATGTTGGTTTTTTGATCCACTGGTTAGTCCAGTTCATTGGCCATTTCAAAAGGCATCTATTTAGATTATGTAGCCATACTACCAGTCAAAGCTGAAGTTGAGCTGTGATTTCTTCTGCTGCCTACGAAACTGAGACAGATTTTATAAGCAATAGATCATATATTGCTTTAACCCTGCGCATGCAATCATTTTAATTTTCTTGAATGAAATGCACTGAACAAAGCCGCAAAATTCCAAGCTTGAAGAGAGAAAAAAAGCCATGCTGCGTGCCCATATGTACCTACCATACCCTTCCTCCTAATTACCGTAGCAAACGACACACTGCTGGAACAACGTTCTCAGCCTCTCTTTTTTTTTCTTGGTTTTTGATTTTTTGTTCTTGAAGAAAATCAAAACAGATAACTACAGAAACAAACAAACAAACAAACAAACAAACAGAAAACGCTGAAAAGAATTATGTCCTTTCAGAGATTCATGTGTAACTCACACGCAGACCCTAGCCTTCAAATACCGCTCGAGAAGCCTGCGTATTTAAAGAAAGCGGTTGCTAGCCAGTTTAATGAGGCCCAAACCCACATTGGGGTTGACTTCCAAGGAGCTCTCATCCACAGGTTCCAGAATGGCACTTCCACCATCTGCCATATGTGGGTGTTCGAGGCAATCGGGGTTTGCGATATCAGAGAGACGAGATGGTCTGACCGCAGAGGGCTCCACATCCACAGGACTGACAGCTGCTTCCATGTCACTAGGGACATCAGGAGTGTTCACTGACTGAGGTATCACAGCGACCTCTTCGTCTGTCAGCTCGGAATCCTCGCTCTCGTCCCGGCTCTCGTTCACCCTGAAACTGGTAAGACCCGTCACAGTCGTGAGATCTACCTCGACAACCATATCCTCCCATTGAGGATCTTGGATGATATCTTGGTCCGAAGAGGCCGTTTCAGGGGCCACATTGACAGACGCGATTTCGACGTCATCATCAAAGGAGATCAGATTACCTGGGATGGCTTCAGATGGCTTGAAGACTGGAGCAATGGGAGAAAGCTTGGATGCGGCAGCCAAGGCCTTCTTCCTTTTAGACGTCACCTTCGAGTGGGTATCACTGTCAGATTCGAAACTGATCAGTGCTTCCTCCGACTCGGGCTCAACGGGCGATGGGATATTCACATCAGAAATGTAGACCGGGGACTCAACCTTCTCCTTGAGCGGTAGATTATCCAGCACGGTCAAACCAGTAGAGACGACGGCGACATCCTCGGTGAGATCAATCATGTATTCCTGAGGCGAGAGCTTGATAATAACAGGCGGGTTCACGTTATCGAGGCCAGTAGACTCCCGGGGTGAGGGCTTGCTAGCAACAGGCCGATGCATAGTTTTCGGGGCAGTCGGAGCTGCAAGATGGCGTGGAACAGGGGGAACACCTGGCACGTTTTTCTTGGCTGGAAGAGGTGCATTGCTTCCAGATGAAGTGCGCAAACGGACAGACTTTCCATCTGATTGGGATGGAAATGGTTTCTGCCAGGGCTGGGGAGCACAATTCGCAGGGCGGCCACGGACCTGCGTCTTCTGAAGTAATTATTGTTAATGTACCATACAAGCGAATGAGGTATCACTTACCCTTGGGGCGGGCTTTTCGGGAGGGTAGAGATGGCTCTTGTCCATAGCTCCACCAATCCGGCAATTTAGCCTGCACAGCTCAGTGGAAAGTGTGCGTCGGCCGTCACCCCTAGCCTGTTTGTTAAACATGTTAATGTATGTATGAAACTTTGTTTGCTGTTGTGGGGATATACATACCCACAGCTCGGTTTCACGAATCAAGGCTCTCGCCTTGTTCAACTTGAACCATGCGGCCTCTTCGGCCATTGATGCTACTCCGCAGTGCAATCCAGGAGGATGTGGGATAAAGGGTGGTGACAATTGGGACTGGTAAAAGCCAAAGCTGACTGTGTCCAGTGAGGAGTGTAGCTGGGAATGTTTGTCAAAGGAGGGACCGGCAAAGAGAGAACAAGGTAAGCTGGACAAACGGATGAAGGTAAGCAAGCTTTACGTGATGAAGTAATAGCAAAGGTGAGAAGAATGTGAGATAAAAGAAAGAGAAGCTTCATAATCTTCGAATATCACTAGTAGATATGAAGTTGAATTTAATACCGAGAGAAAGCACTGCAAAGAAGATCAAAACGAAGGTAAATCAGCCTCGAATGTATGCAATGGGTGGAAGAGCGATTGTATAAGTAACTCAATATTAGACTGAAACCGAGATCAAAGTCTGATCTAGGGATCCTGCATTTCTTCTTGCAATGGACGGCGCAGATGGTTGGTTGAGTGGGAGAGAAGGGATCCCAAAAAGACAGGGGGTCGCTAAAAAAAACAACGTAAATGTCGGGAAATGTCAGTAGCAAGAAATATCATGAACAGTACAGATCAAGAGTAGGAAGCGTTGACAGCAGAAAAAAAATACCATGGGAAACGTTAACGACAGGAAAGTATGTCAGTAGGTAATTTAATTAACATCTTAGCATATGAATAGTATATTTTCCTTAAATGATTCTATAACCGCGGGAAAGATCAATAGCAGGAAAGATCAAAAGCTGGGAAGACCAAGAGTAGGAAATATTAACGGCAGGAAGTGATCAGTGTAGAAAAGATTAAGAACAGGGAATATAAGTAGAGAAAAAGACGTGGAGGAACCGAAAAGGTATCCCGAGGAGGACATAAGTGCTATCCGGTCTTTTACAGCATGCCAAGATTAGGAAGCACATAAAATGCCCGAAACATTTTTGTTTTGGCATAGACAAACCAAAAAAAGATAGCATGGCTAGCGAATTATCCTCGATCTTCAGACTTTGTATACTGTTAGGGTATAGGTTAGTGATCAATGTAACAAGCGGGAATACCAGCCAAGTTGTAGACCTACTGCTTTGCAAGATTGAAAGCATATATAAGCATGATCACGGCGATCAGGAAACACGATATCTTTCATATGCGGAAAATTATCTAGGCAGAGGCACAAGAGTATGACCCAGGCAGGGGACAGCATGGATGGCGAGATAGTATAGACAAGACATGAATTGCAGATGCCCAGAATGAATGTGCGAGTCGACGTGATACTTGAAATGATTAGCATGGAGTCTTGGTCGGAGAGAAATTTCAATTTTTGTAGCGCTTCATTACCTTCCTTATATGAAAGCACTCATGAAAAATGAAATGCTCTACTCGGGATACCGCTCAGCTACTGGGGACTGTCGCTGAGATACAAGGCCATATTTACATTGTTATCATGCTCATTTCCTAATTAGGAAATCCTCAAAGTTGGCTTCTGCGCACGCCAGCGATCGACTCCTGCCAGGCGCTTTATTTATTTTATTTATTTTCGAACTGCCAGCACTCACATAAACACTCCACCACTTCATCTCCCAAGTCTGGAGAGTGATCAAGACCGTTTTTCGATGGTGTGGTGATCGATGTCTAGCACGTTGGTCTTGCGTGAAGCATCTTCCAGACACGGTATGCTTAGCTTTCAGCGGAGATCAAGAGAGCTATGACTACCTTTGAGCTTCTGGTGCATAATACAATCAGCTTGAATCAATTAGATGTGCAGCATTATCTCGTGAATAGTAAATGAAAAGATGTCAAAAATAAGAGAACATCCCCGAGTATTAAGTCAAGAAAAGAAACGAACCACATGAAAACCATGCCATCAATCTTTAAACTCCGGCCATGCTTGACCTGCCCACGGGAATAGATAGACCCGAAACCCCCAGAAATACAAATTCAAGAACCCGGAGCCGACGCAAGAAAAAAAGAACGAAATCCATATCCACAGGTGAAGTAAACTGTCCTAGATAGCCTGAACGCCGAAATGGTTCACAGTAGCAGAGGAGAACTAGAAGGATATTAGCAGAGAAAGAAGAGAGGTGTTCAAGTGAACTAACATTATGTGCCAGTAAATGTATCATGCAGTCGAAAGGTAAGTGAGGGTCATCCCAGATCTCGAGTCTTGAGTGACACTTTGAAGACAAGGCAAGTGTGGCGGAGGTATCTGATGAAAGAGGGCTCAAGTTTCTAACTTGCATGCTCACCGACGATGCCTCTTGCTCGTAGCAACAGTCTTGAATTCGATCTTTGGCTGGTAGCGGACAGCACCACCATCCTCGATCCAAGGCGAAAGATTCTTGCACTGGCTGACATCGAAGATTTCGAGTTGGTGGCAGCCCTCCGCTACGGCCTCGACACCAATTCCAGTAACCCGAACACATCCACGCACCGATAGATGTCGGAGCGAAAGGAGGTGAAGACCGATGCTTCTCAAGGAAGGGTCAGAGATTGCAGACCCGCAGAATGCCATGTTTAGATATTTTAGTTGTGAGCATTGTAGGGCGAGGACCTCGGTTGCGGTATCTGATAATGCGCAGCAGAACGTCTGTTTTCCATCAGTATGTGTTGTATTTCTGGTTTCGGTTGAATTGAAAAGGCCATCTTACCAGATCAAGCTCCTCCAAGTTCTTCGCCGCATTGGTTAGGTGCACGATAGCATTGTCTGTTAGGTATGTGCAATCCGCCAAACAGAGCTTCCGCAGGTTGGTGAACCGAGCACTTCCCCAATATTTGAACCCTTGGTCCGTAATTGTGGTGCAACGAGTCAAATCCATCTCTTCAATCCGACCAGCAGCGTGAGACGCGATGTGATGCATGGAACGATCAGTGACGTGTTTGCAGTAAGACAGCGTGAGTTTCTTCAACTTTGGACAGCCGTACACAGTGGATTCTGCTGTCTGAATCGAGGGTTTGATGGTTGAAGTTTTGCCTTCGGCAGGCTTCTGATTGGCAGGTACAACCCATCCGACGATTCGTGCAAGCAGTGTATCCCCAACCTTGCGACAGTTGCTTAGGTCTACCTCTTGGATACCTACAGCCTTGCTGGACATGTCGAGGATGGCAGATGCTGTAACATCCCATACGCTCTTCATCTTCCACACAGTAGTGGTTGGAGCGCAAGTAGCAGACAAGGCTGTGAAGCCTTCATCGGTGATATGGAAGCAGTTGTTGACATTTACGGAACGAGCTCGATTTCCGACAAAGGGACAGATGATTTTGACGAGGACGTTATCGGTGACCCTGCGGTTGTAGACGCTAAGGTCTAGATCACGAAGAACGTCTGGAGATCTGGTCAGGATTTCAGACCAGTGGGACGACACTGCTCTTAGTCGGAGAAGGTGGTGGAGTTCGAGGAATTGGAAGATATTCAACCATACACTGTCTGGAAGGATACCATTGCAGCCGTCTTTCCGGGGACGTTCATGTTCGTATGGTTTTGAGAAACTGACTGTTTCTGGAAGAGCGAGTGTCGAAGAGCCAGCAGAGCGCGGCTCGGTGGGAGACGAGCGCTGGTGCTCTCCAGAAACCTCTTCGGGGGTCAGCGGAGCTACCGAGCCACGGCGACTGCGTAGCCGCACCTTATCCAGTCCCATGCTGAGATAAGGGTCAGGATCAGACGGCCGCAATACGGCTTGATCTTGGTCTTCCACTGGGGAAGATTGATGCGGACCATCAAGCTCGGTCTCAGTGAGTGTCAAGAGAGGCATTGAGCGTCGACGTGAGGAAGTAATCTTCACCCTGTCATCAAGAGCGAGATCGGTGATAGAAGTCTGGGAGTCGGTCTCATCTGACATGACGACGTCCCCGTCAGCCGCAGCTTGAAGCCTTTCTTGCGCAGTTTGTTCCACTTGTTCTCGTACACCACTGGGACATTTCTGCCAAAACTCAGCAAGAACGTCACCATCTAGCATCAAACATTCGACTGAAGTGACGGTCCGAACGGTAGCGGTTCGTCGTGGTGCCAATGCTAGACTGACAACTTCGCCAAAGTATTGACCTTGCTTTAATCGGGCTTTGATCTCAAACTTTGGCTGTTCTATCCCGTTTGGTTTGTGATCAGATATGTGATTTAGATCGGTCTTTTCTGTCAAGACCTCAACTTCACCGCGAACAATGAAGTAAAGTTCGCGGCCTTGGGAGTCTTGTCGTATGATGTCGGTGAAGGGAGGGAAGGAGCGCGGCTGAGCATTGAGACCTAGAAAATGAAGGATATCTGCCGGTAGACCTGAAAACAAGGGAAGCTCTTTCAGTAAGAGCCGTACGTTCACCAATCCGTTTGCCAATGCACTGGAGCCATCCCGCCGGCCGGGACTCGGGGACTTCCTCTTTTTGTACACAGACTTGGCACTCAGATCTTCATCATCTTCAGCAACGGCCAAATCCTTCGAGAAGCTTTCGCGCAGTCTCTTTGAGCCCCTCCGTGCGGGGCTCGGCGGATCCAGATCCAGCGCAGGCGCAGATGTTTCTTTCTTCTTCTTCTCTAAAATCATCAATCGCTCCTGCGCCTCCTCTCGAATAGCCTGTTCAACCTGAGGAAATCGGGGCAATATGTTCCGAAAATCGTCCTTTGTGAGCACGACCAGCATGCATCGAGTCCGGGCAATAATGGTTGCAGTGCGAGGACGGTCCATGAGCAAGCCAATCTCGCCAAAGAACGCACCAGGTTGAAGCTCGGCGTATATACTCTCACCATCTCGGGATGTGACCGAGACAGCGCCCCGGACCAGCCAGTATATGGCCTTGGCCTCATCGCCTTCCGTCAAAATGTAATCGTTGGGCGCATGGAGCTGCGGGCGCAGGTGCTGTCCGACCTCAATCAAAAAAGATTCCGGTGTGGCCTGAAACAGCGGGAAGGAGCGCAATCGATCCACCAGCTCTAGCGGCAAAGCTTTGATGTGGGAGGAGGCCAAGGGCGAGGGTCGGACGGGACGGTTTGGGTTTAGGACCGAATCAAACGAATGTATGAGGGAGACGGTGTCGGACATGGGTGAGGCGGCCTTAGTAGGCCCGCCACTGGACCTGCCATGGCGACGCATTGTGATCGAAGTCGCGGTTGTAAATGAAGAGGTGGGAGGAATAGTTCAGACGTTATGGCCAGGCCTAGAGAGCTCAGTAAGGCGATGACGTCGACGATAGCAGCGTGGTCGAACTTCGCATCGGCATTTTCAACACCCAATGGGAAGGGATGGGCTATTAAGTCGAGCTCCAGGAAACAGACATTGGGACAGACGAGAAGAAGAAAAGAGGAAGTGTCAGAGCTCAGGTAGGTGGGGGGTGAATCAGCGACGTCAAAGTTCTCCACCGATCACCTGGGATCCTTCGGAAACTCTATGGAAACCTCCACTTTTCAAATGACTTCGCGTTGAGGGAAACATTTCTACTCTACTTTGGCTACTTTTCTTTGGTGGGGGTAAGCGGTCAATCCTCTTTGCACCTGCATGCGGGATCGGCTCTACAGACAAAGAAAGTACCAATATACATCAGAGGCCTGGATCCGGTCAATCTCGCCTTCGATTGAGGTATACTACACTTTTATCTTCGGGTCATGCATTATTCCCATGTATCTATTGGTATCTCCATTAAAGTCTTCATTTAATTTCCTTAAAGATCCCTGACTCGCGTTTCTGCAGAATCCGGTGGGTCACGTGTGACAATGTAGCAGTCAATTTCCGGAAGAATGTGTGAATATTTGGTTCTATTGAGACAATTGGGTATCAAAATGTAGAGATTACATAGCAGAATATGAGTCTTACTGTCGGTGATCCCACAGTTTGAATATCCACCTATGTAAATGAGGTCCCGGGATATGTGACCGGGCCGAATCTCTCAGGCGGGTTGCGGTGATCAGAGTACTGTACATGTATACTGATTCAGGCTGGATCGACTGGGGCATATAGTTCGTGCCATCGGGATTGGGGTATAAGCGCTGCCATGGTATACGGCATGTCTCAGGCGATATGTGGCGATGGCGATGACCGGTGACCCGACGAGTGACGGTCTCTGGTGTTAAGAATTGGGCAAGCTGGCCGGGAGGCGAAGCTGCACATGGGACAAGCTTGGGAGTAATTTGTGCTTGACCATATGAGATCAGATTGATCCTTCCTTCTCAACTCTGGATCGACGGTTTCCCATAATGAAGTCAATATAGGCAGGGCGGTTCCCCTTCATCGCCTCAAGGGCATCTTGCAGAAGTCCATAGGTCAGACTTAGTTTCAATCCAAGCTTTGCTGTACGGGCGGCGGTGTAGACATCATGGCGAGCTGAGGAGTAGTATGTTAGCCTTGATTCCCATAATCACAGTCGAACATTGAGTTACTCACCCAGCAAGCTGTAGATGCCCGAGAATGACAAGCCGGCAGTGACTGTCGATAAAAAGTCTCTCTCTTCATGTCGGGCATAATCCACCGTCTCCTCGAACAAACAGAATGTGAGTGCACCAGCACCAAGCTTCAATCCCATCTTCGCACCATCCTTCACACCTCCCACCACACTAATGTAGTTCTTTGTTTTATGGTACTGAAACCACCCTGGCGAGGTTGTGGGGAAGCGATGCGCATTTTCCGCTCGAAACACGAAGCCGGCCTTTTTGCTGCCGTGATAGTATCCTAGCATGGAACCGGACATGAAGGCAGACATTGTAGCATAGGGGATTCGCTTGCTGACGTCAATTCCTAATCGTGGCGGGCTGTCGCATTCGAAGAGCTTATCCCAGTTGATGATTCTGAGAAGGACGGAGTTTGCTTGCGAAGAATCGATGGAGGGAGGGCGGTTGGCCTCCATACTGGATGAGTTAAGAGAGAAGTGACAAATTGATGGTGTGAGAGCCGTAGAGAAGTGGTGAGTGGTCTGCAAAGCTCAAAAGCTCAAGTCGGAGAGGAAAGCGGAGTCACGCCGGATTCTCCGCCGTCACGTTCAAAGATCGCAGACACATCACCAACAATCATCTACAATCTCCAGAATGGTATGTGCATTTATTTTAGGAACAGATGAAGCGCGCCACTCAACGAAACATTTCTAATAACGGGATAGCCTCCAAAATCCAAGCTCGACTCAAGCGCGGCGACCCTCTTCTTCAAGAAGCATAAGACCACTGTCCTTCTGATGCTTCATACTCATGAGTCGCTCGACACCGCAAAGGAAAAGCTGCTTGGAGCTCTGAAATCACGAGGAATAAACGATATCAATGGCGACTCAGTTCCCGATGATTCTTTTGATATCGAATTCGGTGTGCCCATGGACCGCGCCGATCTCGAGAAAGGCTGGAGACGACTCGACGCAGACGCACCGGAGCTAGACGAGGAGGACGCCACAACAAAGAAAAACAAAGGAAAGTCCAAGAAGGAGGTAGTCTCTCTGATGGCCGCTGGTCTTGAGAACGGACATACAGTTGCATTTCGCTTCCGCAAACCAAATGACGGCCAAGACGAGATGGAACTTGATTACGAAGATCCCGGCTGGGATGTCCTGATCCCGACCTTCGATGATGAGGAGGAAGAGTGAAAGCTTGTTTAGTCTTTGGCTCGAAAAAGGCGTCGGGTACCCCGTCTAGAATGGCTTATGGCGCTTGGGGGAGGCTTGAGTTATTTCAATTGCATGGCGTTCAGGTGGGTGATGCTGGGACAATTATTACGATCAAAATGATACCAACAGGTCAGCTAGAGATCTGTGCATAGCTTTAAGGGTCAATGTATGAAAGCTCATTATGATGTGCAATGTATTGTGTATTTTCTTTCACCATTTTCAAATAACGAGGACCTGAGGCACTCGACAATAGCCTAAGAAGAGGTCAAAGGCACTTTGGTCATGATATAGGCCGCTCTCGTCAAAATTTACTAGGTGGCACCACAAGTGTGAGGGCCATATTTTGTGAGCTCAGTAAATCCAAACGTGAACCAAAAAGACTCTTCTGACTGCATGCTCACACACCTTATTCAGGGCTTAATCAGCTTCTTGCGCTCTGAAACCCAGCCAGTCCTGCCAGTCAGATCCCGAGGATCTTGGGAACAAGGCCCCGAATATGGCAGTCTGGAATATAGAATAGTCTGCGATGACAAAAGGTGAGGCAAACGAGGTTGATCATACGAACATGATACGAACACGCCCATTCACCGACGTTAAGTCCGTCTGGAAAAAAGCCAAGTATAACCATCTTTCGTCTTGGCCTCGTTCTACGAAAATAGCCCTTATGGAAGAGGCTTAAGAGGAGACCCAAAAAGAGACGAAAAAAGAAACAAAAATGAGTTCTACTTTCTAGATATTGAAGACCTGCAGTAACCTGCGATGGCAGCGGCTACCGCACAACCCCACAACTTGATCAACGTCTAGATCTCAATGTAAATTGATAAAGTAACTTATCCCGTGGGATAGAAGGTATATGAAACGTCCTATAAATGGTTGCTCGGGCAACCGCCGGGCAACACGCACAAGCATCAACAAATGAAACACACTCGGAGAATACTGCATCCTATACCCCATTTCCCCTTAGATCCACATATTCTTCTCGACATTCTTGACTTCATCTAACCCCGGCCTTTTTCAAGGTGTCAACTGGTTTGACGCGGCCCTCAACCACGCGACTCGGGGGTTCGACACGACTCCGACCTTTCGACCTTCACCATGGCTGCCTCCGACGGCGCTTCATCGATCAACGTTGCAGTCCGAGTTCGACCTTTTACCATTAGGGAGGCAGCTCAAATCACTCGATCTGATGACGGGCCTTTGTTTCTCGGTGATGGATCTCTCGCAGGTGCCCCGGCACCCAAGCTTAACCAGAAGGGTATTCGGTCCATTGTGAAGGTCATCGATGACCGATGCTTGTGAGTTTGCTCATCTGGTGACGTTGTTAGATATAGTAAATTGACTGGAACAGGGTGTTTGACCCCCCAGAGGACAACCCTGTCCAGAAGTTCTCCAGGAGCGTGGTGCCCAATGGCAAGCGCGTCAAGGATCAAACGTTCGCCTTCGATCGCATCTTCGACCAGAACGCCTCTCAGGGGGAGGTTTACGAATCGACCACACGCAGCCTTCTCGACAACGTACTCGATGGATACAATGCGACGGTGTTTGCCTACGGTGCAACGGGTTGTGGAAAAACCCACACAATTACTGGAACTGCTCAGCAGCCAGGTATCATCTTCCTGACTATGCAAGAGCTCTTTGAGCGCATTGACGAGCGATCGAGCGAAAAGTCGACAGAAATTTCCCTTTCTTATCTCGAGATCTACAATGAAACCATTCGCGACTTGCTTGTTCCCACTGGAAGCTGTGGCAAGGGAGGGCTTATGCTACGCGAAGACTCGCAACAGTCAGTCTCCGTCGCCGGTCTGTCAAGCCATCACCCGCAAAATGTGGAACAGGTCATGGATATGATCATGCGAGGCAACGAGTGCCGCACTATGTCCCCAACCGAAGCAAATGCCACCTCATCCCGATCCCACGCCGTTCTCCAGATCAACATCGCCCAGAAAGATCGCAACGCCGACGTCAATGAACCCCACACAATGGCCACTTTCAGCATCATCGATCTGGCCGGAAGCGAGCGTGCTAGCGCTACAAAGAACAGAGGCGAGCGATTGTTCGAAGGTGCCAACATCAACAAATCTCTCTTGGCCCTGGGCAGCTGCATCAACGCCCTGTGCGATCCTCGCAAGCGCAACCACATTCCCTACCGGAACTCAAAGCTCACCCGACTCCTCAAGTTTGCTCTGGGTGGAAACTGTAAGACTGTTATGATTGTCTGTGTCAGCCCTTCGAGCCAACACTTTGACGAGACCCAGAATACTCTTCGATATGCCAACCGAGCAAAGAACATCCAGACCAAGGTGACTCGAAATGTCTTCAATGTCAACCGCCACGTCAAGGACTTCTTGGTCAAGATTGACGAGCAAATGAACATGATCAACGAGCTTAAAGCTCAGGCAAAAGATCACGAAAAGGTCGCTTTTGCGAAGTTCCGCAAGCAGAATGAAAAGAAAGATGCTGTTTTGCGTGAGGGCGTCGCCCGCATCCGTAGTGCTTATGAGCATACCTTGTCTGAGCGGCAGGAAAAGACCAGCAATATGTTGAAATTACGACAAATCAGCCGCAGAATTGGCATTCTATCGTCTTGGATCGCAGCCTTTGATAACATTTGTGCAACGCGCGAGGATGAGGAAGGATTGTCCAACTTGTATGCCGTTCGCAAGTCTGCACAGGGCATCCTCCTTGAGTTGGAAGGGAGCAGACACCATTACAACCAGCGATTATCGAAGAGTAACTGGGATCGCGCAGTGAACTCGGCTGTTGAAAATGCCGCCAAGCAACTCCAGGAGTTTGATACAACCGACAATAGTGACTTCGCCAACCTAAACCGAGAAGCAGAGCTGTTGAGGTCCAATGCAGAGCGCGAGGCATTATCAGCTGTTGTGGAACAAGACAAGGCCGGGGAGACCTCTGCTGTACAGCTTCTTTTGCAAGCACAGTTTGAGATGATGAGCTCGATCGAGGAGATCATGCAGCTAAATGCTAGCGAAGCCATCAAAAAGGGCCGGACGATCCTTATGAAGATGATGGAGGACTGCACCAACACCGCAACAAACCTTGTCAAGCCAGATGGCAGCATGCCTGCTATCCCGAACGTCAGCTCCGCCAGGCCAGCAAGCCCCACAAAGCCAAAGAAGAGATTCAGTTTGGTCAGCTTGCCGCCTGTGACTAGCGCGAACTCTCCCGTCACCCTTGCTCCTATTGTACCAGCATCCCCAACCAAAGCTTCTCCCCGTCGTCGCAAGGTTGCACCTGGCCGCAAGAGCGTCAGCTTCTCGCCGAAGAAGACGCAATCCAAGCCCACAAAGCGATCTGTCCGCTGGAAGGACGACGAGCAAGATGGCACTTTGACTGAGTTCTCAAAGAGCCCTAAGAAGGTTGATTCTGACTATGTCGATGGACCCAGCTGGGGTGAGCCATCCTTGCCTCCTCGGTCAGGATCTCCTATTCCGCGTGATATCCCGAGAGTCGCTAGCCCGGCACTCTCTGTATCTCCGGTCCCCGACGAGCCTGCTGAACCCGCTGAGTCGACATTGAACGTCCAAAAGAACAGCAGCCGTTTCAAAGCCGGATTCCTGTCTAAGAGGGCTGGGAGTTCACCACTGGCACCTCCGCCTTCATCCACTCTTCCTCTTACCGACAGGGGCAGCTCTCCACTGCGTGACATCGATGGAAGCAGTTTCATGAACCGCAGCCCCATGGAGCGCCCATCCCGTATTGCAGTGCGCAGTCCCAGCGGAAATTTCTTAAGCAGCCCAGTCTCTGAGAACAAAGACAACTGGAAGTCAGATAAAGAGGATGCAATCAAGATCAACTCGGCTATGCGACGCATCTCCAGCACTCATACGGGCCCCTCATCTGCCAATTCCCTACGAGTTCATCGACGCCGCAGCCCAACGGCTACCCCGAGCGAGAACAACATGTTCACCGCATCCCAAGCACGGCGCATGGTCAAGAGTGAGAGAGAGATGGACGCAAAACCTCGCGTATTGAGCCCTCATACTCTCCCCGTGATGAAGAACACCGGACGTCGCACTACGTTGGGCGATATTCGACCTCGGAATCTCAGCATTTCCAGTCGGGATGCCATTCGTCTAAGTGCAATGGCAGCACCCCCCGCTGACCGCTACTCGGATGCCTCATCTGGACCGCGATAAATGATTGCCACTTATATTTGAAGCACAGCCCGGAGTAATTTTAGTGGCGTTGTTGGACACTCGGATAGGCGTTTTGGTGGCGCAACAGATACCACCTTTTTTCTCTTGTACACTTGGATTCGTGGGGATTTCCCGATAGTATCATGTCTTTGATTAGTTTTGCTAGGAGTGTATAGCATCCAGCTTCTATTTCACATAATATTTTTTTGGGTGTATGTCATTTGCCACTGTCAGCCCTAAACAACCATAAGATGGCATACTTGAAAATACGCAAGAAAATACATGAAAAAAGAAGCGTGAAAAGAGAGGTCAAAGGAAGGCAAAATCAATGCAAGAAAGAATACACTCGCTTTCAGGTTTTGTGTGAAACCCATTCAATGCTTTAGGGCACTGTATCCAAATGGCCCTTCAAACGCCGGATTCCCCGCGCTGCTTTTGTCAGATCCCGAGATGACGCCACTGCGCGTTTGGAGCTTCCTAGCTCCTTCTTTTTTTCTCTCTTCTTCTTCTATGACCTCTTCACTCTACCTAGTTGACTCATATTTTCTCTTCAACCCACGATTTGTCATATTTTGACAGAATACCCCATCCATTGCCGACGATAATCCCCACTTCTTATCGAGTACGTCCCCACCAGAATTTCTGCAGATGTCTTTTGCCGCACCACTTGCCTCGACTTTCTTCTCACGCTTCTTCCGTCCCTTTTCAACTAGTCCGAAGCGTTCCCTAGCTCCGGAATCCCAAGCGCGCAATATGTCAGGCACACAGACCGCGACCGTAGCAGCCGGCTGCTTCTGGGGCGTCGAGCACCTCTACCGCAAGAATTTCGGAAACGGCAAAGGCCTCCTTGACGCCAAGGTTGGCTACTGCGGCGGCGACACTTCTTCGCCTTCATACCGGGCTGTATGCTCTGGACAGACTGGTCGTAAGTAATACTCCATACCCGCAACGCATCCTACCTGATCAACGATGCGCCGGATCGCGCATAAGCCACAATTGCGCGTCAGAGATACTAACATCTTCCTTTTTTCTTCCCTCCCTGCAGACGCCGAAGCCCTCCAGATGACTTTTGATCCCTCCATCGTGACCTACCGCCAACTCCTCGAATTCTTCTATCGCATGCACGACCCAACAACAGAGAACCGGCAAGGCCCGGACGTCGGTACCCAATACCGCAGTGCTATTTTCACACATGGAGAGGAGCAGCACAAGATTGCCGAGGATATCTCTGCCAAGGTTAGCAAGGAGTGGTATAAGGCGCCTCTTTCTACTAGGATCCTGCCCGCTGGTCAGTGGTGGGATGCCGAGCAATATCACCAGCTCTATCTCCAGAACAACCCTGCTGGATATGAGTGCCCTGCTCAGTAAGTGAATGAATTTCTTTTGTCCTTTTGCTTTCTGTATGGGCTTACTGACTGTTTTCTAGCTTTATTCGGCCTTTCCCTCCTCTTTCGGATTGAGTAGCTTCGAGATTGTGATTGATTTTAGCCTAGTTTTTATCCGCATTTGACCATAATCAATACATATTTTCTTTGGATTTATGATGATGCATATTCTCCGACTTTACTACCCAAATATATGTCTTCTCTTTTTTTCGTGCTGGAAAGTCGGTGTAAGTGTGTGTGAGGATATGTTTTGTACATCGTGCCTTGGCTTGTCTGCCCTACGTTAAAACATCACATAGCCAACCTACTCTCTTGCTACAGCCATCTCTTCCAGCTGTCGCTTATGGTGGCGGGCTGCCTTGGCTTGGCCATTCAAGGGGCCGACGCACTCCAATGTCAACATTCAGCGGTTAGTAGGTAGATACTATTCAAGCCATTCAGATGTCACTACACCCAATGCAGCTCTATCTTCCAATTTTCTGATATTGAAGGAGCTATATCTGAATTTATAAATCAACTCAGCCTGTGTTCACACAATCTGAAACACCCCTGGCGCCACTGTGCAGATAAACGAGACCGATCTCGTGACCTTTTTTTGGATAAATTACTCTGCAGTTTACTAGGGATAATATTGATCAAGCTAGTGGACTTGGCTCTTCATTCCCGTGCGTCCCAGGATTATCTTCTAGCTAGTCATTCAATGCTCGGAACGATATTGAGAGTAACGCACTCCATTCCCTGGATATCGTCAGAGCTGTGTTTTTATGCAGCTATTTAGGCAATATCTTAATATTTCAAGTGAGATACACAACCATGTTCAAATATTGGCACAGCTGATTTGACAAAACCAGTGTGGTCACATGCAAGAGCGACAACTCACACCAGCTGAGCCACATCGTCGGTGTTCAGCTGTGTCTTACATGTTCATACTTCCAAGGTTACATGCCAAAAACCGTGCTACTATGGGAAAGGACAGCCGCTCGTGGGTCAGTATGGTTCTCGTTTACTTTGCTCATCACTCTCGCTCTCAATTGTTGCTCCTATCCAAGATCGAGGGTCTGAATGCCATACTAAATGTAAGAGCCACCTGAGGGACATTGTCTTTGATATGTCTCATTGGCGTCCTTGCCTTAGTTACCTTGCCAATTGATGATGATGCTCAATCGAGACTCAAGTAAACTGCGAGTCTTCAAATCTTGATTTGAGGCTGTCTAGGTACTAAGCACTGTAAACACGCATCCCGACCGAGCGCCCTTAGCACCTTAGCGAAGGACTCCGCTAATCACGATCTACACGGTACTTTAACGCCTCGGTCGTAGTATTACTTGTACCATCCTCACTGCGAGTTCGGAAATAAAAAGCCTTCCAATCTTGTTCAGCTCGATGGGAAAATGAAGCATGTACCAACTCCCACTGAAGTATGTGTGGTCAACTTATTATTACGTCGCACATTGAAGATCTCCAGGGCAACCCTGCTCCTGCTTCCAGTGGCGCAATCTCGAGAGAGCATTAATCTCTCATCTAGCTGCCTAACAAGCCGAAAAGGACAGTGATCTTCTGTGAACCAGTAGTATTCACCCGATGTGACCTATCACGCGTGTCACAACAAGAAGTGGTTTGTCGAGCGAGGCTTTCTTGCACAAGGATTGGACAGCAAACCACCAATTGATGAGGATGGACCTTGAAACGATCTGCATTCAATCGCCGCTAGCACAAGGATTGACACTGAATAGAACGACAAAGGCAAACGCAATCTTCAAACCCAGCACACAATAATCAATAGTATTCTGCAGCTACACTGTATATCACTTTCGACGCCACTTAGTATTTCATGACATGACGTATCATATTCTATGTTGCCAATAAAAGTAAATTAATGCATGTTCATTGGCGGTGCTCTGTCGGCACGAATCCCAGTCTCCTAGCTTGGAAGTCTCACGAACCTGATCGCCACAACAATGATGAATCTGCATCTGGCCCACAATTACCTTTATGTAACCCGCCCCTTTAAACAAGACTCGCCTGGGGCGGCGAGGTTGTGGAACATATATTGACTCGAAAGATTACTCATAACGCGCTCTACGTCCGGCGCTGTTTTCTTTACACACTGCCCAGCCATACAGTGTGGCATTCGAAATGAAAATTCCTCTAGGATACCGATGGCGATCGTCACAATGGTTTACTGTCGCCTCCATTGCGATGGCTCTCTTTTCAGGTTCGTGGACCCCATCTTGCAGAGAAAAGAAGGTGCTAACTCCTATCAGCCAATTTTCTTTACAGCTACATCGTTCCTATTCTTCAGATTATACTCGAAGATCGACTTCATGTTGAGAAATCTCAGACTCAAGCCGTGACTTCACTCGTATTGTCTAGTCATGCATTCGTTTCCATGCTGGCTGGACCGGTGATCGGCCATGTGGCTGATAGAATCCCAAATCGCAAGCGATCTCTGCTTATGGGACTCGGAGCGGAGCTGATTGGGACAATTATTATCATGATATCACCTTCTGGTATGCAACACGTATTTTTCTCAGCTAAATAAACTTCAAAATCACTAAGTGTTCTTTTTTAGTGCCGATGATGTTGATTGGGCGGTCGATTCAAGCCATTGGCGGAAATGCAGCGTGGATCGTTGGACTTGCTACCCTCGCCGATACAGTGGGACAGGAAAACACAGGAAAGACTTTGGGCGCAATTTCATCATTCTATTCTTCAGGCGTGCTTTTTGGACCAATGGCCTCTGGTATGCTGTTAGGGCTGGTTGGTTACTGGATGACCTGGATGGCTGCTATCGCTGTTCTTGCTATTGACATTCTCATGCGAGTTCTCATGATCGAAAAGAACCACAATCAACACATGAAAAACACAACGAGTACATCAGCAGACAAATATGCAAACGACATCGAGGCTACACAACCTCTTGATTCAAACGAAGTGAATGAGGAAACTTCACTACTTCATGCCTCCGAAGATGAACACCAAGACTACACTAAACAAAAGCAAGATGTCACAGTGACCCAACTCTGGTCAGACACAGAACCGGATTCGCCACCGTCTTATGAGAATTTCTACATGTTCATTGTGACCAATCCTCGAGCTCTCACTGCGTTAATCTGCCATGCTTCAATGGCAGTGATTCTACTCAGTCTGGATACCACCTTACCTCTGCATGCTACTCGGACATTTGGTTGGAGCACTGCCCGAGTAAGCTCAATGTTCTTGATTTTGCAGATCCCCTCCCTAATGTTTAGCACATTCATGGGTATGCTGAAAGACAGAGTTGGCGTGAAAGTTCCGACTGGTTTGGGGTTCTTTACCATGACGTTCTTTCTTTGGCTCTTGGGTGCAGCCGGAAATGACGGGCTTGCCTTTGCAAATGCAGAAGAAATGGGCCAGACGGTCTCCATGGTATCTATCGCTGGAATGGGTATCGCACGTGTTTTGATCAGTGGCTCTGGGATTATGGAGATCACAAGTAAGCCATTTATTCTTCCGCAAATAATTGACTTCATAGTCAGATATGACTGGATGATCTAGACAATTTTACTAATGCTGCATTTCTCCAATTTAGATGTCATGAAAGAGGCTCAAGAGACACATCCTAGCCGTTTCGGGCCCAATGGCAAGATGTCTTCAGCATATTCAATGACCAATTTTACTTGGAACACGGGAATGCTTATTGGGCCTATAATGTCAGGTGTTCTTGTTCGGACTGTGGGATATTACTATATGAACACAGTAATAGGTACGTACATTCCCTTGATATTTAATCTCCGAAATGTGACCAGGAGATACTAACAACTGAATCATAGCTATGATATCTTTCATGGTTGGAATTCTTGCCTTGACCTTCTTAGGACAAAGATAACCTTTTGTACAATATTTCTCTAACTAGCTCACTGAGATTACAGTTCTTCTCGTTACCTTGCTAGAGCATGTCACAAATTCATGCCCATGGCTTTTTATCTTTTACTTCCTACCTGAGTGTGTCGGCTCCTTGACTGCTCTGTCCCTGATCTTGCAGTTCTATTGTTAAAACATTATTTTCTTCGTGTACTCCAGCAAGACTAATTTCGCTTTCCTGATTTTCTTTGCTCGAAATGTTTTCCCTTGGCAACTTTCCAAACCAAATTTATTTCATTGATTTCGCTCAGAATGTCCATTATGGGGGATTCAAATTCAAAAGGTGCCACATATGTGAGGAATCCTTCACATGCTGTACCACCACAGCTTGTTTTCAACGTAGTCGATGACATCTTGAGCTTTGCAAAAAAGTGTCAGTTCAAGGAAAAGAAATCCAGAGCATACGTGCCATACTTGTTTTAAATTGATTCGTATCTTCATCGGTGATGTTTATGTCGAATCTCTAAGCTTAGGTCAGCACAAACAGGTGTAAAGAGTTCCACGACTGTTAAGCAACGAACCTCCAAGAGCGCGGCAGTCATTTTAGCTCTTCTCAACCCGTCTGTGGTCAAGTTTTCCCGAAGGTTGGCGTCATTGGTTATCTAAAGAAAGGCCCCCCTTTAGTTCAAGTCTCAGCATCATTTATAGGAGAAGACCCCATACCATATCTATGGACATATCAAACTGTTGGGAGATAACTGCTTTTACATTGCTCGCAAGATCAGCCATTTTTGAGAAATTTCGAAAATCAATTTTCGTAAATTATAGCCCTTTAGAGAAGATTTTTGAGGTATTGGGAGAACAAGTGAAGAGCGTTGAAGAGGTGTAAAGTTGGAATAGCAATCTACCTGGTAGGAGCATGTCTATTTAAGGCAGACTGATTTCAAAACAGCATGTGATGGCCTGTAAGCTGACGAAATTGCTGCAAGCTTTGATCGTGTTGGCCTTCCTCTTGGATGTTGATGTATAATTGCAGATCAAGGTCCACATTTTACGCCAATTCAGGTATTACTCATTAAATTCATACGACATGCCAATAATTAATGATATTCATTTTGCCTAGCTTGCTATCCTTGTATACATGAGAGCTTGCTCACAGTTTTGATCCCCGCATAAGTAGATGGTGATCGGCAGCATCACAGTATGTATCCAGAGACTGGATGGCAGATGTGCATATAGCATCAACATCCCCATGAATGATGAATGCATTCCAGCCCATCTCAATCCTACGCTTAAGGGTAACAGGAGAGATACCGAACCCCATAATTGGAAGATTATTAGCCTTTGCAGCACTTCGAATCTTCTGCAGAGCGGCGGTAAAAATGGGCTCCTCTCCATCAAGACTTCCAGCAGCCAAGTCCATACATAATCGTAAGTCGCCGGTACCGACAAAAAGACCATCGACTATGGGCAATTGGTATCAGCATATGCATGAGCCAATTATAGATATTCACGCAGTATATGTTCTTTTGCTCTTTACCCAGTGAAGTGGCCAAAAATCTGACGAGAAGTGAATGACACGTACCACCTGGAACTCTGCATATCTCCTCAACATTTTCCAGCCCCTCCAGGTCTTCAATTTGACAGATCACAGCGGCATGGTCGTTCCACACATCGTAGGTTGATTTACCTTCAGGCGTTTCATTTTGTTGGTCGTTGATCAGAGCAGCGGGAGGGAAGCTACGGTCTCCCATTGGCGCAAACCGACACAAGCGTACCAATTCCTCAGCCTGTTTAGCATTTTGAATATGAGGCATTACAACCCCTCCTGCGCCTGCATTTAGGGCATAGTTGACTAGCTCTGGCGAGCAGCTTGGGATCCGTACGAATGGTACCATCGATCCATCTGAGTGAAATTGAATGGCTCGAATAAGTTTGACGAGTAGGGTCGCATTCAGAGGCGTGTGCTCCTGCGTAAACATGTTAATTAGATGATTGCTCTCACTCTTGGAATCTCGGAACGTCAACTCTCATTAATTCTGGGATTAGAGTACCTACCGCGTCTATGAAACAAAAGTTATATGGCGTCGCAGCAACAATTCGCGCCGCTTCTTCATGAGGGATTCGACATCCGGTGCCCCAAAGTAGTTCGCCGGAGTTTAGCATGGCCTTGAAGTTTGTTGGCTGGGCAAGGCTTAATGCATTGTAGCTCTTTGTGTTCACGATTTTCCTTCTTTCCGGCATGGTTTGACTTGGTGAGGGTCGTGACTGTTGGTGAGAATGTTGTGAAAACGTTTCTAGTGGCTGTAAGACGGGAGGCACGCATTATCCTTCACTTATGTATTGGATCGCGTCTTTTCCTGAGATCAACGATCAAAGACTTATCCCAAAGCAGTGCCAATGCGTTAAAATGTTTCCCATGAAAGAAGGTTCACCGCCATCTTGGTGTAATGAGTCCTTTCTAATCGGCGGAGCAGCACTAGCAGAACATAACACTGTCGGCAATGTGCATAGACGCACTACAGCGAGCGAGAAACTACGCAAGTCTATCTCAGTAGTTCATGACTGGCTGATCAAGCGGTCTTTCTGATGGAGAAGCTGGATATGTATGTTTTAGTAAATGAACCGAATTTTTTCGCCAGTTGTCACGAAAGTGGTGGTGCAATCTATACTACTGGCAACAGTCAAATTACCCCCCTTGCTAATGCTAACAGTACCACATTGAAGACCCGCTTCTGACGAGGTATATCCAGCGAAGCATTGAATGGCGTTAATGAAAGTCATTCAAAGCAGACCTCAGTTATTCAACTACTTCATTTCTAGCGTCCAAACATAATTTAAATACACTTCCACAACAAGTTCCTTGAAATTTTGGTCTTCTAAATCTTGCCATAGGAATCTCTCAAATTGATTTCGCTGGCCGGGCATTCTGTAAAAGACGGCGATACTACAGAAAGATGGCGTATACTGGCATGGGAAATTTGGCTGTTGTCTTTGCTTTCTGACGATCCGTTGGCTCTGTTGCTTAACAAAAAATTGCTTAACAAAAAAATATCATCTTTCTTTTCCACATGGGAGACTATTTGCGCTGTATATCCAATGGTGCAATGGTCTCGCATATTTATCCAGTGGTGTATCCGCATAAAGTAATTGGTTGCAAATCCCAGTTAATTCTTCCAATATTGATGTTGATAGTGCGCTGTAACTAAAGTTATACCACAACACAAGAGGGTGATTGAATACCCTTTCCGTAAAAACATACGAACAATACTGTCAGTCCCTTGATTGACTTGAACTCGAGGACTGGTTCTAATCTGGAATACATCCATCCAAACCACTTGCCCACTGATAACACTCATAACGTTTCATGAAAAATGCCGTGAGACGCCAATGAGCTCAATCCAACTAAGTCGAGTTAGCGCATATAATAGAATATTTTAACAGGAACCATACAGTTATCAAAAACGTCATATGGGATCAGTAAGCTTTCCATCATAAAATCCTCAGTGTCGCGATCTTGTCGCCCATGGTAATCAGGATACCCGTCAGGCAACTTTGATATCAACGATTGAGTAATATGATGACTGGAATGGTGGTCATTTTCTGCCAATATGTTAACAAAGCTCAAGCTCGCAAATTTTGGATAGATATCAGTACCAGATGCCATTGACCCGGGTGGCGTAATATTCTGACCGGAGTGTAAAGCGAATGTCGGTATACTCAGCGGTAGAGTCAAGCGCGGTAATTTTCGAGGACTCTGGATCGTGTCTGATTCTCAAATGTAAACAATCTAGTTTCTCAACTCGAGCTGCTCATATAAAAGGCTTACCACCGACATCCTTTCGCTTCTTGCCCGTCATCTCTCTCAATGCTGTTGCAATGTGATTGCCTAGTTGGGCAAGTTCCAAATCTCTCACGAGATCATCGATGCCTCCAAGTTTGAACTTGAGAGCCGCTGTGCTCATTTGGTCTTTGGTGCATCTCGATGTGTACCTATAGGGTCTTCGTGAGACTGGGTTGTTGGGGGTGGAAGACAAGCATACGCTGAGTGAGAAACATCTGACGGCAATGCGATGAGATACCCAAGATCTGGTGTTTCACTAAAAGTTCTAGTCCACTCATGATACCTGCAACCCTGATCAACCCAGTTCAAACTTTTGTTAGCTGTTTTTGCGTCACAGAAACGCTCCGGGAATTCGTTGCAAAGCCTCTTGATGAGGACGGCGCGCATGTCTCGGATCCAATGTGTACCGGTATGGAACCCTGCCTCCACAACATGCACGTAAATGTTGTAGCATTCAAACCTATGATAGATCCTCATCAAGTCCCGAATATCAGCGTTCTCTTGTTTCGTGGCTATTGCGGCTTCCCAGCCCTGCCCGGTTGGGAAAGCCGCTTTAGCTTCTCTGATTGCACGCAGGAATTCGCTACGATCTGTTTTGCATTTCTCCAACAGTTGTTTGGTACTTGGAGTGAGTTTTATTTCGCTGCACGTGGTCAAGGTTGTTTTGCTAAAGCTGAAATCACCAACACCAACCGAAAGGGCAACTGCTTCTTCTTGGTGTGATAAAATTGGTCCTTGGGCGGGCAACGTCGCAGTGCTATTTGGACTCGGTGGTGGACTCAAAGCTGGATTTTGCGCCAAACTCATGAATGATGTGCTTTGGTCATTGAAATCAACTTGGGTGGGTGCCTGCGTACGCGCTGCTATGTGACTAGAGCACGTCCCTGCGTACACTTCTGGCTGGTGACTATATGTAGGCTGTGAAGTACCAAACGTCTGGTGCTCTTGAGCATTACCAGTATAGCTAGGTCTGTCTTCAATTGACCTTGCAGAGACCACATTTTGTTGAGACAGTGCTCGAAAGATTGGAGGCGTATCCAGTTGCCTACCAAATAAACCAACGTTGACATCCCCAAGGCGGAGAATATTGCTTCTTTCGGCGCTATAATCCAAATCTGGAGTCTATAAGTCAGGCATAGAATTAGCTTTGCTGGACAGAACGCGGAAAGGCACAGAAAGCACAGACCTTGCTTTGGTACAATAAAGCAAACAGCCGGTCTAGGGCAGAGCGTTCTGTCGCTGAAAAATGCCCAAGACTTTCTGATACTTGCTCAGCTGAGAGTATAGTCTCGTTTTCTTTGAAGAATCGAGCTAGCTGTATAAGCAATATTTGTAGTTTGGGTTCAGGTCTTTGCTGAGTGTTCATCCTGGAATAATTGTGAATCTGAAAACAGGAGATTCAGGGTTGGCGCGATCGGGATTCATTAGCATTGTTCAATTTCGATAGCGCTAATTCGATCAGGTGGGGGGCTCGATTTTACCCATGCACCAGGGCCATCAGCCAGCCCATCAAGTAGTTCCACATGCAGGTGGCTTCAGCTAATCACGGCACGAATCCACTTAGGCATGATTCTGGGGGAATTTCACACAGATGTGGGGCTGTATTCTGCACACAAATTAGTTTCTCCTCAATAGTGCTAGGAATATCGTTGATCTCAGGTGCTAAAAAGCTCAAAAACGATGAGACAGACGCAGGTTCGAGCGGCGCCATGCGGTAGGCAATGAGATCCAAGGCTAGAAACCGACCGGTGGGGTGCGTCAAAACGAAGCTGTCAGTTTTAGTATGTCTCTATCTTTTCTTCTCAAATTTGCCATCAAATTTGCCATCGACCTGGACTTTGCAAGCCTGTCAGGTCTTAGACGGGCTCGGACCTTTCCGAGTATCCAGGCAGAAAGCTGGGTAGAGCGCTAATGGCTTGATTGCAACTTGCAGTTTTCTGCTAATGGGGTGAGTATTGAACACAAGGAAATAGGAAGAATATATAAAATAAAACTGTGATTAGATTTTGAAGTGCTAAGGACATGAATAAGTATTCTTGGTGCCGTCCAAAATTGTCCTCATACATGAGGTGGGGGGAGGGTCTTACGGGCGGGCCGTGCCACCGTGCCAGACCCACGAACGCTATGACCACTTAACGATCACCGAGCCTGTGAAGATCCCGATTAGGCTCTCGTAAACCTCCTAATGTCTAAATAAGATTAAGTTCCGGATCGCGTTCAGACAAGATATAAAATAGCAAGCCTTGGAACTTCCATTTCTTTCTACTTCACTGTGTTGATTCTATTACTCGCCTAGTCATGACTGTTAGCCACCACCTTCCTAAGCTTGACGTTGAGGCTGCGCGGACCCATTTTCCAGGTCTCGACAAAGGTTCTATTTGTCTGAACAATGGATCTGGTGCGCTTGTCTACAGAGGGGTCATTGAGAGGTGAATTATTCCCAAAGCTCTGTAATAAGTGCGATAGGAGCCCTTGAATTGACAACTAATTAATACATAGCATCGCTCGCACCATGTCTGCCCCCCATATGAACCTACGCGGCCTAGACACAAAGAGCAAAGTCGACATGAAAGAGCGTACTCTACAATACGCCAAACTTGCATCATTTATGAATGCGGGCCCTGATGAAATTGGTAAGATTTTCTCAACTTATATTTACTTCGTATGGCCATCTTTTACAAAATAATAAGGCTCTGACGAAAGAACGTTGGCTTCATGCGGCTAATAGATTTCTCAATGAAGCTTTTGGACCTTCTACAACAGGACTTCTACGAACTTTGACCAATTCCCTGCGTCCAAATCTCAACGCAGACTCAGAAATAATAGTATCCCTTCTATGCCACGAGGCTGGCATTACCGCATGGGTTGCTTTAGCAAAGAGTCTCGGTATCTCTATCAAGTGGTGGGCACCAGCAGGCGGAATAGGAAACAACAGAAATCCCAAGCTCACCCTAGAATCACTTCGACCTCTCCTATCATCCAAGACTCGACTTGTATGCTGTGGACATGTGTCAAATATCACTGGAACCCTTGAGCCCATAAAAGAAATTGCCGAACTTGTTCATACAATTCCTGGGGCATTGATTTCCGTGGACGGGGTGGCATGGGCTCCTCATCGCCCCATCGATGTGAAAGAATTGGGTGTCGACTTTTACGTGTTCAGTTGGTACAAAGTCTTTGGTCCTCACATTGCGCAAATTTATGCCCACCGGACTGTGCAGCAGCGCTATTTGACCAGTCTCAACCACTACTTCTTTGACCCCACCGCTTTATCAGTGAGGCTGGGTCTCGGGAACAGCTGCATTGAACTCGAACATGCTGTCACCCCAATCATTGATTACCTTGTCAACCATATTGGCTGGGATTCTCTCATTGCCCACGAAGAGGTCATTACAGCACATATTCTCGACTATTTGACAACAAACACCGATCTCTACACCGTATATGGGTCGCAAACTGCAGACCCCAAAGCTCGCGTTTCTCTGATTAGCTTTACTGTGAACGGAGTGGCCTCTGACAAGGTCGCGGAAATGATTCATGAAACCTCGAACATTCGGCTCATCACTGGGGACTGCTGGTCTCCTCGTACAGTTCACGATGTCCTTGGGGTGCCAGAATATGGTATCATTCGAACAAGCTTGGTCCATTACAACACTTTGAGTGAGATGAAGGAATTCACGCAAACCTTGGATCGGGTGGTACGTACCCTGAAACAATGAACAGCTGAGGTCTCAATTGTTTTTTTTTTTCATTCAATGTGCAATGGCCCTAGATGTTGGAAACTACTTGAATATAATATTTTTCGGACATTTCGGTGCGTGTGTGCATGTTTAACTCTACATAGCGTAAAGAAAACCAAAGAAACCAGACTGTTCACCAAGAGCCATGCTCTGATAAAGCACCTTGTATCAAAATATTCCTACTTTTCTCAATAAATTGATACTAATAAACTTTGTTCTGGACATAAAGCAATGTATGAAACAATCCGTTTCCGTCAACATGTCGTCCAGTATAGCAAACCAGACAACTTCATCTTCTCCGAACCACCACTGCACTCTCCTCTCCTACTATCCCTACTGCTCCCAGTGGCCAACCTAGTTCGCAGGTAGGGCGGCAGTGTCGGGTTCCCCTCTTCACTTGTTATATGATCAACCGAGGCCGTACAGCAAAAATCTCCCTTGAGGGTTTCAGCCCAAAATACATAGCTCACACATACCATTCATTTAATCAGACCTCGCAACTATAAACAAACAAGCACCAATATCCTGAAAATGTCTCTATCAAATTTCTCTTTCTGTGGGGCAATTCATAGTGAAGGCTTCCATCTTCAGATTGGCAATAAAAGAACCTTTCAGGTTGGACGCTCAGCACTGGGCATGATACTAATTGTGGAACGAAACTATTGATCAGCAGGACAAATTAAGGATTTAGGTAATCATGGGGCCTTACCGAGCAATGTGGCGTCGTCTGCCATCCATCCAGTCTGTGATACCAGAGTGGCAAGTATTACGATTCTGGGGAAGTATTAGACGTTTCCTGGGAATGGCGATGATAAGACTCACGTCAAATATAACGACCGTTCCGTTTTCCCATCTCACTCTGCATTGCAAGTCATGGCTCATCGTGATATGATCATACAAAAATTTCAAAAGATGATCACTTTCTTCTTTCTTGAAACCCACCACTTGTCTTACGTACTGTGGGTTGACAAAAAGTGCCTTTTTTCCCGTTAAAGGACTGGTTCGAACAATTGGATGGATGGTATCGATCGGCTCTCGACGGACATACCCACCACCAGCTATAGCCCGTGCAGCTTGATCACAAGATGTGTGGACAGCCTTCAGGCCCTCAAGAATCTTCTGGAAAACAGGACTCAGACGCTCATACGCCTTTTCCATGTCCGCAAAGACAGTGTCTCCGCCTTCTGCTGGAACTTCAAGGGAGTACAAGAAAGTGACCCCTGGGGGTTGAACTTCGAACGTGTTGTCACTGTGCCAGGCCATTGAGTGGGTGTGAAGGTCAAAAAACTCCGGAGCGAGCGTGTTTCCCGCTCGAGAATGCACAATATGAATCTCCGGGTGGCCCTTTGGAGCCCCGGAATGCGAATGCAAGAACAAGCGACCATAGTAACGAATGTAATCAACGGCTTCGCCAATAGGAAGAGATGCAAAGTCTTGATCAGGAAACACTAAGAACAAGTGTTAGTTTTGCATTTCAAGCTATACCACATCAGCTGGGAAAAGCTTACCCAGAACCTTCTTCTGATGCGCAAGAAGAGCCAATTGGTCCTTTCCCTGAGGGCTTAGCTTGCTGAGTTGGACACCGGACACCTCTGCCCCCAGTACTGCTGTGAGATTCTTGACCTTTGTTCCAGGCGGGAGCAAATCAGGAAATTTGTCGTCAGCCGCAATGGCCCGGTCCACGAAGTCGAATGGTTCCAATGGGGCATATCTGATTACAGCTCTTTTAGCATCCTTACTTACTATCTGAACACATGGGAGCTACTTACTTTGCCTGTGGTACTTCCCAAACTGGCAAGTAATTGGGATATAGCGCTGGGGGATACTCTGCGGTCCCTGTGATTTCGTTTTGGTCGGCCACACTCAGAGGCTTGTGCTCTGAAGGAAGACCAAGATTGAACTTGGTGGATTTATCGACATCACTGGTGGTGCCAGTCACTGTCTGAGTTGCTGACATTTTGACTGTTGTGAATCTCTTCAAAATTGGAGCGTGGGAAGTAGTGAGAAGAAAGAAAACAATTTATATATGCGCATTCAACTTCCCCGCTCGACCTTTGCTTAGCCCTTCCAAGGTTGACCCGGTCACACCACATTTGCCCCCGAGAAATCATGAAACCCGGACGTTGACTTACGAAGGAGTTGTCCTTGGTGTCCTCACTCAAATTGCCCCCCCCCCCCATCCCTGTCAGACGCAGTAGAACATACCTTTGATATTACAGATATTACAGCCCAGCAAGACCAATCGAGGATCTTCTGTGTATTCATTGATACTCATAGGGTTCAAGTGACTCATTACTCCGTGTTACTGGGGTTACAAGCGGTATATTTACGGGTCAAATGATACGATCGCATTTTGATCTGATAGTATTGTACTCCAATAAACCGAGTAAAGAAATGGTGGAATCTCAGGTATCTTTTTGTTTCATTCACAGCAAACTCTTCATGAACAAGCCTTTCAGTTCATGTAGAGACTCAGAGGGCGATGGAAGACCGCTTTGGGCGGTTTGATTCACCGCGACAATGATCAGCGTGCTCTTCTTGGAAGCTTTACAGGCTTTTTCCAAGCCTTCCAAATCGTCAACAAAGTATTTCTGCTCATACGGCAGTCCTCGTGCCAAAGAAACCAAGTTCTCTCTGCTTATGGTCACAGGATGGTTTCCCGTCGATGCATAAACTCCGTTGTAAATTACAATGTGAATGAGGTTTGGTGGCGACAAGCCAGCTAAAATGGCATTGTTTCCGACATGCATCAGGAAAGATCCTTCTCCATCGATGCAAAAGACCCGACCGGAGGAAAATCCCATGCTCACACCAACGCTAAGGGCATAGACATGGCCCATGGCTCCGATGCAGAAGAAGTTTCGTGCAATGGATTCTTTCATCGTCTTCCGGATCATGTAGAACTCGCGGCTATTACCACCAAGTGACGAGACTGACACGTCGCCTTTTGCCATCTGGCCGATCAACCCGCGAATGGCACCTTCGCGAGAAAGGGGGAGCTGCGATGGAGCCGATGAGACCCATTCCTCAATCCTGGGATAACTGACTGTAATAGCAGGAGGAAACTTGGTCGCCTCGTTGGATTCATACTCTGCGAATGTATCACGGGGCGCAATCAGAGCAACGGGCGTTTTCTCCAGAATAGACCTCGCAATTAGACGCGAGATGAGATCCCTTGTGCGGTGTATGCAAGTTGGAATTTCCTCATAAGGAATGTCGTTAGCCTCCAAATTTGCCTTCATACGGGGTCCGACGAGAGCATCCTGCAGCTCCTCCTCTTCAGCAGTTTTACCACGCCATCCAATCAACAGTAGCATAGGGATTCCAAACACCTCTTTTGCAGCAATGGACTGTAATGGGTTGAGCGCGTTGGCTAATCCCGAGTTTTGCATATACACCATTGCAACACGACCGGTCGACAAATGGTAGCCAGCGGCAAGCCCAACTGCGGCCCCCTCACTGGCAGTGACGATATGTTGTGAGACGGGCTTTGTGGCGGAAAAATAGGTCAACAGTCCACTGAGATTCGTATCCGGTACACCGAAAGCAGTGTCGATGCCGTTGGGCGCGAGGGCCACATCCTCAAATCGCTTGGGGTTCCAGCCAGCCATATGGGACGATGAGCCTGAACAGTGGTAGAGAGGAAATTGATTTTAGCAGAAATTCTGGAGGAGAAAATAAAAAGTGAGAGAGAGGGGGATAGAGCGAGAACTATCTATTACCTATATCCACATATCGGCTGATACCACCCAAACAGCTTCGTATATCCATATGTTGCTGTAAACTTCTCTTGGAAGCAACATCCTTACCGAATGAATAGTACTTTTTTTCAACGTGATATGAAGTAAGCTTCGTGTATTAGACAGGCCTGTAACGTTGGTCTTACCTGTGGAGAGTTCATGATATTGAGGGCCCCACTTTTATGTGAATTTCCCTTAGATTCATGCCTAAGTGGAGGCCACTTGCATATACATGTACCCAGATCCTTGATGTATCGAGCCCACCTTCGTGACATTGAGCACTTCACTATAATACCATCAATTCCAAAATGTTGCATGTTCACGGATGATGGAAATGAAGGTTAAAAAAACGATGCAAGCAGGGAAAAAAAGGCTAATGGTATCGGCATTCTTAGAAGAAGCCCCGCCAGAAGACCTCTTATGATTCGGCTTGGAAATCAGAAAGAACGTGGATATTAGGAAGTTGCCAGAAGTGACTAGCTGAAAGAATTGACTACTTTGTAACGGAGTACAATACATTTATGCATTATTTGAACCAATGGATCGCATGAGAGAAGCATACGGCGTGATAAGATTAGCACAGAGGCTGCATATTCTGCAAATTAAAGCGCCTATCTTTCACGTATAGACAGAGCATGATACGCTCGTGGATACCGTAAGTTGGGAAGAAAAACAACGGTGTATCTAGTTCTAATGCGACCCATTTTCTGGGGTTGGCATTCGTTCCCGCGTTTAAATGTTGCCCTCTATACAAATCAACATTCCTTCCATATCCATTCTATAGATCCAGGACATGCCATATATGAATTGTCATGATGATATCCTACGAGTCCAATCCCAGACGACTACAAAAAGAAACCGAAGCGGCAGCCGCACCATGTGTTCGAAATCTCACAAACTGGCCCGAGGCGGTTCAGGAAATTCGCACATGGCCCGAGTATGAGTCACAGCCCCTGCGATCACTTCCTGTAGCGGCCAAGGAGTTGGGCATGGCAAGCCTTCTATTCAAAGATGAGAGCCAAAGATTTGGAACAGACCTCGGCTCCTTCAAAGCGCTGGGCGCGCCATATGCTCTTTACAAAATTCTGGCCCAGGAAGTCCACTCAAAGGTGGGTGTATACCCGTCATCAGCCGATCTACGAGGCAGCAAATACCGTCAAATTACGCAGCAGATGACTGTTTGTGTCTCGACTGACGGGAATCAAGGAAGAAGCCTGGCTTATGGTGCTCAGATCTTCGGTTGCAGTTGTCTCATCTACATTCACAAGGATGTGAGCATTGGCCGAGCCCAAAAGATGAGAGATCTGGGTGCCATTACTATTCGCGTGAATGGCGACCACAAAGCGTCGCTCGATAGGGCTAAAGAAGATGCTCGAATGAATGACTGGAATTTTGTCAGCAGTACTTCGTGGGACGACTTCGATGGTGAAATATCCCAAAGTGTGATAAATGCGTATATGATGGTTGTCGATGAAGCCATCAGTGCTATTGAGAACGTCCACCACATAACTCATGTCCTTGTTTGCGGTGGCATGGGCAGTATTTCTTCTAGGATCTTCCTCGGTTTCTATCAGCACTTCCAAAACCTGCAGCTGGATCCGACAGAAGCAATCAAGTTGCCGCGATTTGTTGTTATCGAGCCATCAGAAGCAAACGCCTTACTGGAAAGTGTGAGGGATGGGTCTCCGCAACCGTCAAAAGGTAGCCTCAATACTTTGATGGCCGGTCTAGCCTGCCGTGCTCCATCACCAGCAGCTTGGAAAGTTCTGTCATGGCTGGCGAGTGATTTTGTTTCGGTACCGGACTCGGTCTCCGTGAATGGGATGAAGGCCCTGGCGGATGGTCAAAAGCAAAAGGATGTTCCTGTCCTTTGTGGAGAATCGTCAGCCGCTACAATGGGAGTTTTGATGGAGGCAAGCAAAGACACGTTACTCCGCGAGAAATTGGGACTAGATGTCGACAGTCAGGTTGTGCTGTTTGGACTAGAAGGGGCTACAGACCCTGAGATGTATCAGAAGCTAGTTGGTATGTCTCCAGAGGCGGTTCTTAATGCCCAAAGATTGTATCTCTCCCAAAATACTGAGGTGGATGGTGGTTCCAGCAGACTTTTGAGAGTCTGAATATGATTTACTCTGAGCGAACTCAATGCAAAGAGAGATGGCAATTTAAACTACACTGATTCATTGTAGTATAACTTAATAACACGAATAATCATATTCTCAAGCATTAATATCCAGTAAAGCAAAATAGCGTACCTAAGCGCCTCACTGATGGTCTTCGGTACGGTTCGAAGGGCTACTTCCTTGAGCTCACCGTTATTGCAGATCAAAGTTGACAGCTTTTATCACGAGGAATAGACAACTGAGGATATTACGCATCGTCTGCGAGGAGATATTCGGGCCCGTGCTCACTATATCCAAAGTTCAAGGTCCAGGAGAAGGCCATCAAAAAGGCTTCAAATACACCATATGCTCTTGCGGCAGTTGAATTTACCGAGAAGATGATGGTGGACTGCGTGCAGGTGGTTGCACAGAAGCCCCAAGCAGACATGGTTTGGATCAACTCGTCGTAAGACCTTCAGTCAAGGTGACCGTTAAAAAGCTAGCCCACGAGATAGGGACTTTAAGACGTATCTAAATATATGGTGTGGTACTTAGGATAGAGTAATTGACTTTGCCTCATATTTTGACTTCAATCTTACAGCAGAAATATCCTGAATGAGTTATCAAACGTAGCAGTAGGATCAAGGGATACTTTTAAGTTTTCTGTTCATTGCTGTTTGTTGAACTCGAAAAGGGTTCTCATTATAGACCGATTTGATCCCTTGGGATGAGAAGAAAAACTGCGATTTTAACGTCTTCATGCCTCTCTTAGGCGCCTCTTAAGCATAATGTGTATCCGCAGTTTTGGCTTCCGCTTCTTTTGCCTCTACTTCTTTTCGCAAGGCATACTCATCCCATTTATTCAGAAGAACCCACATTTCATTCCGCATCCTGAACGAGCACTCATGACAAAGCCCATATTTCTTTTCAAGTCGATTTTCCTGTAGTTCAAACCCGGTCATTTTGAGGAGTCCGGTTGCTCGTCCAGTGCAGGCGACTCGCCTAAAAAGTGGTTGTCCAAATTCGATGCAATGTTCGACTCGCCCAGGAAGAATACAGCCACAGGTCATATATTTTGTAAAGAATAATAAACACATTTTGTGTATCCTCTCCTTTGTAGCAGCCATTATCAGAATCTAGGAGTGACGCTCTTATATTCGTGACAATAGTATAAATAGGTTGGATATTCCAAATGGCATGCATATGATAGCCATAGGTAAGAGAAAGGCCACAGGGCAAAGGCAAGAAGATAGACAATGTAAAATGTAAGACATAAAACGGTCGACAATAAGATACAAAGATAGGCCAAGAGACCAGAATATAGAGAATAAAGACCTAGAAATATATAGCAATCGCTCTATCCTTGATCCTTAGACCCTGACTGAAAACCAAAACAAGGCCCGCGACAAACAAGAAGGAATGAACATGTCCAACAATGATTTGATGACTGGCAAATACTTCGTGGCAGCGAAGCCAAAAACGCAAACAAAGAGAGATCATCCTGGAACAAAGGCGTTGTCATTTGGATAGCCGTCCAGATAAACCTCAGTAACAGAATTACTAGATGGCTAGAAGTCTGACCACACATCCCCGGAGTACGCCTACTAGTTGAAACAAAGATTCTCACACGATTATAAACAGAAACCCAAGTCAACTTTGGACTCTGCCGCATAAAAAGACGAGATCGGACGCCGCTCACGACTGTTACTTCTCATCAACCAAGAGCAAACAATAAGAAAATGGACAACTTTAACGAACTTCCCGTCGCTGAGAAGCCCACCGGCGAGTCTTTCTGTAACGAAGCCTCTATCAGCGAAGCTTGTCCTAGCGGTGCTACTGTGGAAGAGAGCTCTACCCATGGTGTCCCTACCAATGTCCTTATCAACGATGTCTGCACTAACGATCTCCCTACCAGCGATAACTCCCTCGGTGATGCTTGTACGAGCAAAATGCCCACTAAGGATGTCTCCACCAGCGGTATCCCTACTAGCGATTCTCCTACCAATGATATGACAGTGATCGAACCCGTTGCCAATGAAACCTCCGGTGCCCCAGGCGAGATTATAACCCCAGAGAAGAAGCGTCGCGGCCGCCACGACCCCGAGCCAGACTGGTCCGCCCAAATGCGTGACAAGGTAAAGAAGTCCCACAGCCGTATCGGCCAAGCCTGTGATAGGTGCAAGGTATATCCACTAATAGCCCTTGTTCTCTCCGAAAACTATACTAATGTTGCAATGAATCTAGGTCAAAAAGATGCGATGCACACCCGATCACAACGGATGCGCCTCATGCATCTCCCACAACGTTCCCTGTAGAGTCACTGACCGTGTGACCGGACAAACATACGTACGCGGTGAGGCCGAACGGATGCGCGTAATGATCAACAGGCTCAGCAAGCAGGCGGATACCCTGCAGCGAGAGGTTGCGGTGCTGCAGCAAGAGAACGAGCTCCTCCGGGAATCTCATGTCGAGCTTAAGAAACGGGTCAATATGTACAAATCGTCTCTTGATACCTATGGGGTATGTCGTTGTCTTGTTTTCTTATACCCCTGGTGGACTATCGCCGCCTTCTTCTTCAGTCTTCTCTTTTCTGAATCGGCGATTCTTCTCCACTTGATAATTCTTGTCGCTTGTCTGTTTTGATACTGACGAAATCTCAAGGCAGGCTTTGTTCTTAGCAAACAAGAGGCCGATATGATGCATCTTCTGTGATGCTACATATGGTGACATTTTCGCATTTTTGGGGGTGGGCAGTGGGGGTGTTTCTAACTTGACTTATCCATCGCGTGTCTGTTCTCATTTGGTTTTCTTCTCCGATAGAATGCGTGTGGTTGAGAATGGGAGGATTGGGAGGTTGTCATGAGTATTATTGTTGTGATGCACTGTCCGTTTTCCTTGAAATGATACTAAGTTGGCAAAAGAACTGATGAGAACGAGCAAGAAACAGCAGTGTAAATGCTATAAAACCCCAATGTGTTCCCTGAGTATCCAAAATCTATAACTTGATTAAAGTATAATAACATGAGCTATTGCCGCTCTACCAGCTTGCATTCTTTTTCCAGCAGCAACATACCCCCTTACTTTCACACCACTCCCTCACAGATGCAGTCCCAACCTCTCGATCTTCACCAACAAGCCCAAGCCCCTCGACGTTAAGCCATGCTGTAAAATCTTCCAAGATGATAGGATCGTACATGAGAATCTTCTCATGCCATGTTGGCCGACTGCGGCTACCAAGAGCTGATGACAACGGTGAAAGTCGGGGCTGAGCTCGAACAGCTTTGGTGATCTGAGCAGATACATCTACCGGGTTGACTCGCGAAGTGGGATCGGCTGTGCGGGTCCTGGTGACAGAAACCTTGGAGGGTCCCTTGCGTTTTATAGGGCTTGTAGGTGGGGGTTTGGTGAGTATGTCCAGAGTGTGCTCGTGACTTTGGCCTATTCTGTATGAATAGATACTGGCGTAGTGCTTTTGCACTTGACTCGGAGACGGTGTGATTTCCTCTTCCGAGTCTTGGATTTCTTCTAGATCAATGAATGACGAAGAGGGTTCAGTGGTAGATTTGCTCTTTGGGCCTTTTGGTGGACCTTTCTGGGAATTGATGCGTGAAGCAGAAGCTGACTTAGCGGTCACCAATGAAGGTTCTTTCGTGGTGGATTTGGGCTTTGCCTTTGCCTTGGATTTCGAATCGGAGATAAGTTTCGGGCCGTTGCTTTGTATTAGGGCTAATGTTTTTGATTGCTCTACTTGGGCAGCAGGCTGGCTACCAGTGGCAGCGCCGCCATGCTTCGACTCCCAGCATTGTTGAAGAAGATCGATCATCTTCTTGCGGCCCCTAACCGACTTGAAACCAAATGTAGCAATTTGCTTGGACAACTCAGCATCTGGAAAGCCCGCGTATTGTGGCATTTGAGGAGCCTGTGGATCAGCTGGCTGAGAGGGTACCGGTTCCACTGGAATCTCGGTTTCCTTAATTGACTTTGCAATAGCGGTGGGCTGAGATTGAACGTTTGAGCTCGAGCTCCTTTTTGGTGGCTTCTTTTCTGGTGGCGAATCAATGTCCGCAAAGTCAAACTCAAACCAATTCTTGTCAAGAGGTGTGGGGGTTGGTTTGACCAGTTTCTCATTGCTTTTTGCAGGAAGTTCAGGTCGATCAGTCAGGTCAACCACATTCAACTCTTTGGACTGGACTAAAGACCCCTTTATGTCTCTAGATCCAACGTTCCATAGGTTTTTGGTCCCTGTTATCCTTGACACAGATCGCATAGGACGTTCTTCAGCTGCCTTAGTCTTATGAGCATGGACAGAATCGCATGTCCCCTCTCGATATGAAAGACTCTCAGAAACACGGATAGCTTGTTGCATTTCCCGCAGGGTCTGTGGAGAGTCCTCCCTTTCCAGCTGACTGCAGGTACCGAATACAAGGTCTTGATCGTTCATGAACTCAACAGCAGCTTCTGGAGAAAGAATTGTGAAAGAAGAATCTTTGTCCGTTTGTCTGGCTTTCCCTCGCCTGCTTTTTGTGGCTCTAATGTCTGGAATGCAATCCATGGCCAGTTCTTCTTCCTCTTGTGTGTCATTTTGTGCATATTGCGCTGTCATTCGAGCCGTGAGTGTTGTAAATTTCTTAGGATTGGCCTTGGTTGCTTTCTTTGATTTCCCCCAAACCGCGTCGTCTGTAGATTCGTAATCACTCAGACTGTAAGGCTTGCCATTGGCTAGTTGTTGGATTTGTGGGTGTTCCAGCTCTATACGTCGACGTTTTGTCGGTCCGTTGTTTGCATTTTGGGGAAGATCTGGGAGAGTTGGGGCTGATCCAGAGAAACTATAATCAGATAGCAGCTTGCCAAATTCACCCATGGTGTTTGATTCACAGTCTTTCTTTTGCTTGCCGGAATTATCGGTCAATGTGACGCTCTCGCAGGCAGACTCCTTTGGTGGTGTCCAATCCATCCTTCTTCTCATTGCCTCATCCAGGTGCAATTGCTCATCCTTACCCAGAGCATTTGTAGGTGCCGGCATTTCTTTCTGATCAGTCAAAAAGGGTTGTTCTGCGGAAGTGGTCTCCTTGCTAGCCTTGGTTGGTTTCTTCGCTTGCTGCTCGGTGCTCGTCTTCGTAACCTTCCCGGCCAATTTCATGTTGCTTTGTTCCTTGCTCCTTGCAGTTTTTCGGGGCCTGCCTCTGGCAGATTTCGGCGCGGTATCCATTTGTCCCACTGGGTCTAGCGGTGGACTGCCAGGCACAACTGGTGCAGGCTCATCTGCTACTTTCTTCGTCTTTCGTCCAGTCTTGCCAGGTGCGCTTTGATTATCGGCCTTTACAGTCGGTGCTTTCTTGGTCGAACGTGTTTTTGGTTTCGGCGCGTCTACCGAGCACTGGTTGCTGGCAGTAGGGGTGGGAAAGAATCGAGAACGCGTCTGCGGTTGTAACAACTCGGACGGCGAAGGTACCGGCGGTGGCGTTGCATCTCGTGGCAAGACATGACACGCCGTTCTTAGATTTTGTCTAGCTCGTGTTGGTGATCTGGGAGAATCCGGAGAGGATGACAAGACGACCACATCCACTGCGGTCATTGTGGCGAGTCGCGTTTCTCGATATTTGCTTGGGCGATATGGCCAAGTCGCGCAGCCAGCTGTACTGTCATGCCAAACGCTCTTCAAATGCTAAAGACATGCTCAGTGAGACAGAAGTAGCGTATGTATTTCAGGTCAATATGTTCGGGGTGGTATTGTTTGGAGAATGAAGTCGAGGTGACGAGACCGCGGGCTTGGCAAAGTTGCAGGATTACCGTTTTGGGTTGAGTTCATAGTTGAACCGGGCAACCAACGGCATTTGAGAGACGGACAATCTACATTGATCTTTTATTTATTGAATCTTTACAAATGATCTCATCAATCTTTTTAATGCTATAGCCTTGGAGGTTGATATTGTTTCATATAACGCGTAAAATGGTTGAAATATGGCCCACGCTCAGGGAAACAAACACATTGAGGGTATGATTCATTCAATTCATCGTTAATTTCGTGTAGTGATCCAGACAGAGAGACTCGTGATCTCCGTCTGTCAAAGAACTGTGGCCAAGATGATTCCTTGTGATCAATCACGGATATGTTTGCGAGTCATTCCTCCAACCTCGTGGAACATGCTTACGAGCATAGAGGCTTCGCAATCTCGACATTTAAAATGTATTGAAGAAGCTGCACTTTGACTGTTGCGATTTTGAAACACTTCAGGGAATATCTTATGATCCCCTCAGGGCAATTGCTGCCAATAGAGCATTTTCGAGTCGTTGCCTCAATTCATCATTGGTGCCATTGGATAGATCTGTTGCCTTAGGAGGTGAAGGCAGAGCTCCTAGCTTGTAGACTCTCTTGATTTTGTTGACATCATGGACTTCAGCAAGTGTCTGATCATCGAAAGGCACAGAAGTCCCCTGAACTGTGGCGCAAAGATGGGCGGCAACAGACTCATGTGTTATTTCCGGGGAGACAGAGACCTTGACGACCAAGAGGTCTTTGGTTGAATCGGCAATGCCGAATCTGCGGAATGACTCGGCAATCTAACTCCGTGTTAGCTGCGTGACGAATTGCGCCGCTTTTTATACATACATTATTGGTGGAATTGAACGAGAACACAATCTCAGAATGCACATTGCGAGACTTCAGTCGATTGTGCATATAGTCATTGACGGCTCTGAACACCGCAGCAGTGGCATGTGCCCTTGAAAGAAGCTAATGTCGGGTGTCTGTGTCAGGACTTGACATGTATCTTGGGACCATTGATCGAATTCCAGGAAGACAAATCCTCACATACCATGCTTGCATCAATGAGAGCATATTCGAACTCGGAATTTCCAGCAAGAAGCTGTCCTTTCAAGAAGGCGGCGTTTTGAACATCGCGATATAGAGCCACGTGCACCGGCAGAGACGGTAAATGTGGCACACTAATAGTCTCTAGACACGAAGCCATGGCTGAGACTTCGAGGTTCTAAGAAAATGACGTAGAACAAGCCGATCTGATAAACCGAGGCGAGTTCAAGTTCTAAGAATATCAAATCCCACCTGTGAGTCACCTGACTATTCTGGAATTTTCCGGATTCCGGACTTAAGCATGAGTAATCACGCTGATATCACCCGTCAACCCGGTACTTAAACCTCCCCTCTTCACATCTCGTCGATTATCGCATAATCACAAACATGGCTTTCTTCTTACGGCGCCCGTTCGCCGTATCATCGGCTCTTCGCCAGCTCCCAAAGGCCTCAAACACCGCTCGATTCATTCACAACTCCCCGCTCAAGCCCCAGGCACCTAAGGCCCAGGGAGCTTCGTCCTCGATCTTCGCCAAGTCTCGCTCGTCCTTCCAGAATGCATTCCGCCGTACCTATATGCAACAGAGCTATAACACTGCTCAAGGTGGCAACATGACCCAGAAGCTTGTTTATGGCGCTGCCATTGTCGGTGGTACCATCTTGGCAACCAACTTCATCTTCAACCGTGAGACGAGAGAGGACGGTGGCATGCCCGCTTATGAGCGTAGCTTCCTGAACGAAACTTTTATGCACACTGGACTCGGTATTGGTATCATTGGTGTTGCTGCTCGGGCTCTTCACATGAGCGGCTGGTCTTACCGTCTCATGGCTATGAACCCTTGGCTCGTTATGGGTGTCGGTCTCGTCGGCAGCATCGGTTCCATGTACGGAACTTTCTATACCTCCCCTGATAAGTAAGCAATCAATCCCTTAATGATTAGCAAGCGACATTTGACTAACACTTGAAATAGCTACGTTGTGAAGTATGGCTGCTGGACCCTGTTCAACCTCACCCAGGCTGCTCTTCTCTCCCCGTTGATGTTCATGCACCCCGCCATTCTCGCCCGTGCCGGTCTTTACACTGTTGGTATGATGGGCTCCATCGCTTTCGTTGGTGCCACCGCCAAGCAGGAGAAGTACCTGTACCTCGGTGGTCCTCTTCTTGCTGGTGTTGCCATCGTTGCTCTCTCTGGTCTCGCCCCCATGGTTCTCCCCGCCACTGCTGCTCGCACTCTGATGTGGTCTGAGCGCCTCTGGCTCTACGGTGGTCTTGCCGTCTTCGGTGGCTTCACTTTGTATGACGTCCAGAAGATCCTGCACCACGCTCGTCTTGCTGAGCGCGGCCTGATCAAGCGTGATGTTGTCAACGAGAGTGTCAGCCTTGAGTTGGACTTCATCAACATCTTCGTTCGCATGGTCCAGATCCTCGGCATGCGCAACAACAACCGTCGCTAAGCGGTCTGCATTTCATCGCAATGGAGCAGGCTGACATTAACCTTGCCCAACACAAATTTGGAGTTTTTTTCTTTGCTTAAATATCAGCCTTGTACTTTAACAGTTCATATTCCTTTTCTTTTTTCTGGTTTTATGGGTCGCCTCTGCCCAAGGGCACGCCTTTCATTGTCCGCAACGACGGTCTTGCAAGAATTGGGGCGAATACAATCTCCGCTCTAGTTAGAAAAAATCTTTAGGAGTCATCTACAGAGTCTATAGACTCTGCTTGTGCTTCTTTAGAAATAAAAATTCATTTGAACCGAAGTCTTCGTTTTAGTAGCTTTCGCAAACCAAAAATTGCTCTATGTGATTAAACTCACAATTTGATTCGGAAGAGAAACAGATTAATCAAGTGCCCTGACAAATAAAGCAAAGTACTGCGTATGCTGGCGTGAACTTGGCAGGGCCGTCGTGGTCATGTGATCGCAAGCTCGAAGGTGAGGCTTGCCTAAACCAGGACTGCAATCCAGAATCGGGCTCATTGAACACGACCAACCGCGAATTTAAACCCTCCAGTACCCCACCACCACAGTCGCATTGAGGACTCACTCATCACCACACAATATGTCGAACGAAATGGAAGTCGACCCTCCTGTCGCACAAGACGACGCACCTGAGCAGGCTGGCAGCTTTGAGCCACGGACACAGGAGAACTCGGTCGCCGTGCGCAGTATTGAAGGATGGATCATCATTGTGTCCAACATTCACGAGGAAGCATCAGAGGAGGATGTCACCGACCTATTCGCGGAGTACGGAGAGATTAAAAACTTCAGCTTGAACCTCGACCGTCGGACGGGTTATGCCAAGGTGCGCTCCTATTTGCCCCAAGGGAACAATTTGCTTGATACCAACACTCGAGGTGATGTCTGCTGAGTGCTGATTTCTTGTGGCGGTTCACATTGAATCTTGAACTAACACGATTGTCCACTAGGGCTACGCATTGATCGAATACTCAACCCTCCCCGAAGCTAGCGATGCTATTCAGAACCTAAACGACACCAAGCTTCTTGACCAGACCATTCACGTTGACTACGCATTCGTTCGCCCACCCCCGTCTGCCAAGGGCAAGAATGGAGCATCCAAGGGTCGTGGTGGCCGGAATCGCAGCCGCAGCCCCAACCGAAGTCGCAGCCCTGAAGCCGCCGGTGACCGGGAATAAACCGTTTAATGGATATGATAGATGAAATTTGACGGAAGTGCATTGCTTGTGACTTTTCACTTGATACCTGGGGCTTTCTTTTATTCTCGCCTTTTCTTTTTCCACTGCGCTGTTACCTCGAACCCCCTCCCACCAGCTCACCCGAATGTCTCCCTGAATGAATGGATCATCTGGACTTCGCCGGTGTTACCCCTTGTTGTACCTGTCCGGTTCATGCCTAATGAGATGTGCCATGGGACACATTCGCCTAGAGGGATACGCCGGCGCCTTGATAGATTGCCATAATGGTATGGGATCCCGTTCTTGACATCTCACAGAGCCATGCTGACTTCAATGTAGCAACGAAAGGCAATTTCGATAAAACTGAAAATTGAACTCACAAATTAGCGAAGACCATTTTGGCTTCAAAGCCCAACCTGTCAGTAATGTACATTATGCAGGACGCCTTTCTCCGACGGCAAATGACTTCTTAGCACCCTTGTTGATCTTGAGACTCATTCTGTAACCGAACACAATGCTATTCGTCAGATCTCCATTTGTAGTGTAGCCCTGAGTCGCTTGACTTCGTATTCGATGCCTTGCAGGTGGATCACACGACCGCCATGTGGCGCCCTACACCAGCCAATACATGGAATGGAAATTAGCTTTAGATTCACCGAATAACTGGAAGCCCTGGCCCTACCACAGTAGAAGCGCAAGTTCAAGTCATATAGAAGTTGGGGGAAGCGGGTCTGGTGACTAAGGCCGAACCCTGGCCCGTTTTCCCCGCATGAGCCTATCCTGCGCACTTCCTCTTTTCCACGTCAATGCGAACTCTCTCCTGATATATCTATAGAAGCGCTCTATTACCTGGTGTCTGGGGGTCTGCTTCTGGCAGGATCACTTTCCTGAGACAGAATGGCTCCCCGACACTCTTTATCTAGCCCCTTGAGGCTACCACGGTCTCTATATTGTATCATTACACTATGCTTCCTGTCATTTTCGGCTGTGGTCAATGTGCTGGCGTATCCGCTGCAAGATGTTTTGAGAGAATCATTGTCGATCCTCAATGGGGGCTCCAGTGCCTTTGGTGGCTCTTCTGCGGAGACGGTCCTGGGAGATACTGAACCGATATCGGGAGAGTCAAGCCACGAGCCAATTCTTCATACGCTGCGGTATCTTGTTGATGCACTGCGTGTCATGCAAGACAGTTACTTTGTGCTATGGCAAGGCACGTGGCCTACCAGCATCGATTGGACTGCCGCGGTCCTGGGAACACACGTTTCGGCGGCGCTATCGTCTCTAACATCTGGACCGCTTGGTATCCCGGAGACGGATGAACTGCCAGGTGTGTCCCTGTTTATGCTTGAGAATACCGTCAATCGATACTTCAGTCATACATCCGCCTTTTACTTCGGCGAGAACGCATTCAGTTTGCGAAACCAGGCTTACGATGACATGCTCTGGGTGGTGCTGGGATGGCTAGAGAGCATTAAGTTCCAAGACCTCCATTCAGATCTGCACTACACTTCATCTAATGCCAGCTCTGGACAATCATGGTATGGCACCCAATTCCGTGATTCTGCAGCACACAGAGCACGACTATTCTATGAGCTTGCTTCGGCAGGCTGGGACAAGACCCTTTGTGACGGCGGTATGATCTGGAGCCCATATTTGACGCCATACAAGAATGCTATCACAAACGAGCTATTCATCTCCGCAAGCATTGGCATGTACCTTTACTTCCCGGGAGACCCCATTGACTCGCCTTTCCTCGCCGGCGCACAAGGCGCCCAGACAGTGCACAAGAACCCACACAGTGCCGCCCATCTCAAGGCTGCAGTTGACGGATACAAGTGGCTTAATAACTCGCACATGACCGGCCCTGGCGGGCTTTATGCCGATGGCTTCCATATTAGTGGCTACCAAAGCTCACAGAAACCTGGCTCGGGCAAGTGCGATGAACTCAACACTATGGTCTACACCTACAATCAAGGAGTCATTCTCAGCGGGCTGAGAGGACTATGGTTAGCCACCCACTCAAAAGACTATTTGGTTGACGGCCACAAGCTAGTCCACAAAGTACAGCTAGCCACTGGCTGGCCATACATCTCCAGCCAGCAGTGGAAAGGACTCGGCCGTGGCGGCGTACTAGAAGACGCATGCGATGCCGGCGGCTCCTGCTCCCAGGATGGGCAAACCTTCAAGGGAATCTTTTTCCATCATCTTGCAGAGTTCTGTCGGCCTCTGCAGCCACAAGAAAACAGATTTCTGGCAGATTCCATGGCTGGCAATAACTCAGGAGAAGGTAGCTGGGATGAGATCTATCAATGGCATTTGGGACGCTGTCGCGCCTATGGCACCTGGATCGAGCACAATGCGCAGGCCGCTTTGATGACTCGGGACAGCGATGGCAAGTTTGGCTCTTGGTGGGCTCGTCCATATTGTCAGCTTGAGGCCGACGGTATCGTGGATAGCAGTACCATCCCTGCTGATGCTGTTGATTACCGTAACTTCGGAGACTCTGAGCCCTCGGCTGCGGACTTCAAGCCGAAGGATTACAATGACCGCGGCCGTGGTCGCACGGTTGAAACACAATCTGGCGGCATCGCAGTTTTGAGAGCCCTGTATCAATGGCAATCTTGTGGTGCAATATGACTAAAATGAATGGCTGGCGTTTGGGTAGTAGATAGGTCTTTTTGTACAGTCTGTATAGTCTTCGGTTTTCAGTTCCGGAATTATTACCATATCCTTTCAAGTTTGGCAGTGTCTCTTTCATATCTATGACAACTCTCCCCTTAAACATAAAAAGGTAAGAAGCGAAACTGTATCACTCTGTGACTCTAACTCGGAGATGTCTCGGAGCCGGCTATACATCTTACAACGCAAGCATGCAAGCCATTGTTATCAATCAGACTCATTAAAGCGATGACAGGTATGATATGATTGAGAAGCTGAAGAAAACCAGCAGCGCATGAACATGCTTCAGCCTTGCAAGTAATAACACAGGATCAAACTGCATGCGCGCCTACATTACATGCACAGTGCATGCACACACACTGTACTCCGTACACTCACCGCATCGGCCTTGGATGTCTTCCTTCCCAGATGATTGGATGATTAGCAAGACAGAATGGATACCCCATCTCGAGACAGTTAGAACCCCCACAAAACAGGAAAAACCACAATGAAAACAGGATATTCGTGTGATCTGCGGAGAGTAGGACATAATTGTGAAGATAATGTACATTGTGAGACTGGGTTAGACGGGAGATATTCCAAGACATTGAGGCTGAGCTAAGATAAACTCAGGTCTCTGGAGAAGAAAGACCCAGAAAACAAAAAAGTCCCACTGTGTGCACAGCGTCAACGACTCTTTCCCTATTTGGATTGTATGCTGTGTTCGCTTTTTTTATCTGGGCGAGTCAACCGCCAATTCGCCTTCTGCATCGTAAACTATTAGAATTCTCAAGTGGAACCCAACAATTGAAACACCTTCATGCACTTTGTTCATCATGTCGGCGCCGGGGGGGGGGCAAACGGAACAAACCCCGTTGAACACTGTTGTTTAGCGGTGTTCGGCGCCCCGGTACTACGGAGCAGAGTCTTGTTCGGGGTATTGTTCGAAAATGTTCTAGTGATTGGCACAGTTTGAAATTATTCGGTATTACAGGGCACAAATTTCTGCTACGATTGGCACCAACAAAAAAGAAAAGACGGGAAGGCGACCACTCACAGCCAGTTATAAGGGAGGATGAAAACACCCCACCTTGGATGGCTAAATCTTCAACAATGGTTCACTGAAGGATTCACATACATACCGGATGCTGTCTCATACACAAAGCAATAGCTAACGTTATCGGCATTCGTGGATGTCTCACCTCCGTCGCCGCTCCCCCCCCCCCCAAAGGAATATTGAACACGGGCCTAAACAGTGCGGCCTAAATTCGGTGTAACTAGTTACACACTGGCCTGAGCGTCTAGTCATCTGACACTCAAGATTCAGGAACGAATCTGGTTTGATGTTTGAGATTCATATCTAACTTCCTAATAGCTTCACCCATGGCGCCATGCCTCGTGCAGCGGAAGCCTGCTGCATATCCCCGTAGTGGCGTCGGCAGTTCTGATTCGAGGTAATGCTATTGCCGGGGATGGGGCTTAGTTATAGGGGTGAACTGAAACCATGTACGAAGTACATGTACCACCAGTTATAACTTGACTTCCGTCCGCAAAAGAGAGAGAGAGAGAGAGAGAGAAATCAATCTCTCAAGTTTTTCAAGATCGGCACCTATCTCCATTTCCACCTCGGCTAGCGATCCATCAAATAATAAGGGATGTCAAACCCCCGCGGGAATGGATCGTCTGAAGCCCAAGCGTTGGGCGCACAATGGTGGACTAAGAGGACTGTTTACTGGTTGCGGGAGATTACGACCCTGTGCGGAGACTCCCTGAGGTGAAGTGTTCTTTGCTCACTCACCTACAGAGCATGATCACCTCTCAGAGTCATTTTCGCGGTGGAAGCGGCTACGTTACCAAATGTGCATTGATGTGAGAGATGAACGTGATTTGGAGTTGCTTAGAAAGCCGGGAGTCCAACATAACACAACACAACTCTGTGCTGGTAACCCCCCTAACGTTCGCCACTTCAGTACGGGGATATGCAGACTCTTATGTTCCGAATGAGAATCAGGACCGACATGGCGTCATTTTGGCTTGTTGAGGCTCGATCGACATTGCATACAATACCCACCCCCTGAGAAACCTCCTTAAATCTATAATTACTCGGTTAAGGGAAGTAGAAGTTGTGGATAGAGATAGGTACCAGTACTTCCCCTAACCAATGAATCCAGCGACCGGCGGTGTACCCGGTACTAATGAAAGGAACTCACCGAGTAAAATAATTTAATATGTGGCTGCCACGCGCCTCCCCCACTTTCTAAGAGACATGGAACTCTGAGAGGCTAATAGAAGGGATACAGGAATTAGAGAAGAGAAAGGATGATCATTACCAAGGGAATACTTTCCACCTACTAAATACGTGCTAAGATAGACAATTCCCACCCGGAGACTCCCTAGGTACCACAGGGCACCGCACCCGGACCACTCACCAACAAGTCACTCAGATGTACCCTTCCATGCTGTAACACCGATACCGACCCTCTCTCTTCCTTTTCCTTCCCCCCCCCCCCCCCCCAGCTCTTCCCAACTTCTACATCTCCTTGAAGACCACAACTAAAGTCATTCTCTTTCGTCCCCCTCTACCTAAACACCCCTCCTCTCTCTCGCTCACGCCTATTTTCGCCCTGAATTGATTTTTATCCCCCCGACCTCCCGCTGCCTTTTAAGTCGACCCCGGTCGTCTTTCAACTTTGAAAAAAATTACCATCTCTACCTCCTTCCGACTTTCCACCGACCCCGGTAGCTACCTCAAGCGTAACACAGATTTCTCATCTGGGGTACATCGCTAGGGGTAGACCGTGGTCGTTTTCATCAGCCTCCGCTTTTCCTCCGGCCCTTTAAAACCCTGACCCAATCGTGGGATCTTCGTTACACCGCCACCCTGGACGTCTTTTTGAGCCTACGTGTCGCGAGCAGTAACCCTTATGGCCTCAGATACAGCGATGACTGAAGCCTCTCCTGTTGATACCTTGCCGCACCCAAACGACGGTGGCCGCATGCATATGTCATCCCTTTCTTCATCATCTTCCATATCCGACGCAGAAACAGAGCGTCGAGGCCGATCAGAACGTCCCCGAATGGCGAGTCGAAAACCCAGTGCTTCTATCCTTGTCCCTCGGGACCACCCCGAAATCGAAATTGAGGAGGAGGAGTTCCCCCCGACGACGCCCGTGCCATGAGTCCCCGACGGAATTCCGCCGATTTAGAACGGTTGGGCAAGGAGGCCCGTCAAACTTTACAAGAGTGAGTTTTTTTTACAAGCAGTTTGGAAGGAAAATTACGGTGTGAGTTTTGCAGCGGCTAATTATTGAGGGGAAACAGACAAGCCAAAGCCCTCCAATCATCCCTCCAGGCTCTCGCCGAGCGTATTGACGCAGTGAAATCGGACCACGACAAGTTGGAAAACGAGAACAAGATCCTACAAGATTACATCGGTGGTCTCACCCGCAACATGACCAAGAGCGAAATGACCCGCAGTACCAAGGCCCGCAAAGCGCAGAAGTAATTGGGCCACTCTCAGATGGATAGAATGTCGCTAGGTGGTCAAAGATCCCATTCCGTGAATGTCAACCCGGGGGAGATCGCCTCAGATTCGCGACAGGGGGGATTTCTCAAAGTTGCGCCCGACCGATTCTACCGAGGTTCCGATTTATTTTCACTTGCCCATTACGACGAAATCCCTCCTTATATCTCTTCTCGCACATCCGAGTGGTCGCTCGAATTTCACATGTCCTGGTCAGCATGTTACGGTTTCAACAAAGACAAGGGTTGAGGTCTCTCTGGCAACACGAATACCTTCCTCTCTCCGAAATGGGAGGTCAGCAGTTCTCCAGGGACGTCTTACGATCGCCACTTTCTCACACATCATATCCACCCGACTGGTTCGGCCACCAGGAAAATACAAAAAAATTATCACACTTTCGAGTTGAACGCCACAACGCCATCATCTTCTCCACAGCCCCCTGTTCAACCGGGATCGAACCGCTGGAGCGATGAGGCTGAACTCGGATCTGTCTACTCAAGGGGCGTTCCAAGGGATCATTCGTGACATCATTGCATGCCTGTTCGTCAAGTGGTCCGCCACCTGAACCTTGGCAATCTTATGTCTCCGTTCTTCTTGCATCATCCTCAACGCGGTGTACGGCCTCTAGTGCGTCCACCTGCCTCTCTTCATCCCTTGTCGATATCATTGGGCCTTCCTCTTCCTCACTTTTTCTACTCGGCGTTCTTCTCTCGCGGCGGCTTTGTGAACACATGTTTCACTTGTACTTTTTTTTATCCTTCGTTTTTTATCCTTTTCTTTTCTTCTTCTTCTTTTTTTTTTTTTTTTTTTTTTTTTGTCTTTCGATGCATAGCACACTGGGCGTTTCGGGGACTGGGACTAGACTCGATTTGATTGAATGACTCTTGCTGAAGCCGCACTGGAAATGTTTTCTCGTCATGGTTGCATTTGCGTGGTGACGGTCATGGTCACAGCAGGACGGCGTGGAAAGTGGAAAGCATCTTAGGGGTCCTTCGGAGCAGTCCATTTGTCTTCTTATCTTTACCTCTTCATATGCCCTTTCGGTTTTCCGGGGGTTCTCTGTACATCTGCGTTTTGTCATTCTTCTTTTCTTCCTTTCGCTTCATACCTACTATTCTTCTCCCTCCCTCTACTCCCTCTTGACCTCTTTTCTGCTGGACTGACTATTTCCCCCGATCCCTTTCTTGTCTCCTCCTTGTCCATAAGGGGGAGACAGAGATGTCGAGCCCCGACATCTCTTTATTGCACACTTCTATTTCTACATTCTTGCACTTGCATTTGCACTCGCACTTGCCATACCCATGAGCGTGCCTGTCTCTCAAGTTACCCCCTTTGACCCGTCTTTTTTTCTTTATTTTCCTTGTTTTTTACAGTCCTCATCTCATTCATACCCCTTTTTATCGAGCCCGCATGGCTGGTAGCATTGTGGTTTCAACCATGGCAGCAAATGGAAATTATTTCAGATCAAACCGTCCTGTCTTCCCTGTGTAGATCTCTTTCTCGCTTATCGCCTTATTTTTTGATTCATCCATGGCCGCTGTATATACATGTATTGATTGGGTCGAGCGTGAAAAAGGGGGGTGGATTCCCGAAACATTCCCAATTTCTGTTGATCCTTTTGCATGCGTTTAATAGCTTAATACGAGGTATTAAACAAGACTAATCGTGTTCTGTGTATGCTTGACTTTACTACTGTACGGATTATCAAGGCAGTCTGACATGCAGTCTCCACTACCTTACATTACATCAGAACTTGCATGTATTACATCTGGGTAACTAAACGATTGGATATTGGATCAGTTCATTAACAGTAGAGTCATAGTCATCTCGACCCAACGGAATGGATACATGTCCAATATATCCTATTCGCGCCGGCGTGTCCCATCAATCTCATCCCAATCATTTGATCATTCGATCACTCGATCCAGCTTATCATTGATTATCTACATGGATGGTGGAGGGTACCACACAGACGGGGTCAAAGCATTCACAGGGGGATGGGAGCCGTTTTGCAATTCGCGCAGATCGGCCTGAGCGATTCTTCACCGATTCTTTGACTGTGCCAATTTTGCTTTTGCGCGATTTCTGATATCCGTTTTTGATACTAGCTTGAGGTTTTGTGGTGATGATCTTTTAGATTAACCTTGACGTGAATCGTTGATCGTATGGATGTATATGTACATGTACAATGACCTGTAGTTGATGATGTCGGGGGTTATGGGTCTGGTTGAGGATCGAAACTCACCTACGGACCGTATGGGTGAAGCATATATTCGGGCGATCAATGGGAGGGAATGGGGTAGATGCAGTGTATTTCTGGGGATTTGGCATGCAGGAGCGTTCTATTATGCCTATCTGGGGTAGCTGCCCAAGACGTTGTTTAGCCCAAGGAACCGCGATAGCCTGCTTACCTTTTGGGTTATATGGGTTCCTCCTAGCTTTGCATGTAAATCTCCATGTTCAAATTTGTAGATTTTTCCGATAAACACTAGCTTTGAATCGGGATCAAATTGAATACATGTTGTGTGCTATATGTACTAAAGGCCGTGTGTCTGAACAGAAAAATTAACTGAATAGAATAAAGAACATAACAAAGGAATATACACCAAGAAATGAGAAAAAGCAAATATTAGATAGGTGTCAGATCAAGGCACATCCGCAGTTTAGGCGCTTGCACATACATACTCTAGGCAAAACTTCAAGCCACTTTCAGTAGTGCTCGTGTGACTATCACGGACTCCAATCTGCAGTCTTGGACAGATAGCTCGCTTGCAAGAGATATATAGGCAGATCTAAGTGACATATCGGTAATAATAGAATCTCTCTTGGGCAGAGGGTAAGCAACGTTAAGTCCTTTTGTTCGCATTGTCTCGTAAATTTCGTACTTTTGACCTTCACCTTAGTCTCATTATACTATTGTTCGTATTGGCTATGAGTGGTATTTGGCACATATTCTATATTCTGAATGAACTCACCAGGACTGAACTTATACTTTCACAGGCAAACACCTCATCATGATTTAGAATAGCCCTATCATAATACAGATACCGATATCTTTTTGTTCAAAGATTAGACAACAGAGGAAGAAGCAGCAGTAGTTGAAAGACACGCGAGAATGGGATAGTCGCAATGCGAATGAATGAGAATGTTGTCGTACGGCTGTTTAATATACAAAAGCTATCTTTATCTATTCTCTTTCTACCTTTAACCCAAATAGATTGATAGTAACATCGAAAATCTCAAAATATACCTTGTTGTCTCCCCAACCGTTCCCTTCCAGAACATGTGACTAATTGACAGAGATAGCAGTCAGTTTAACAAATGAATTGCATACCGTTATCATCATTTATAGCTGTCTCCCCTTCTGAAATAAGGACTGCATTTCTTACCTGGTGGAACTCCAAAAGAACCCCGGAGAATGTGCAGTAGGACTCACCATGGCATCCTAAGTCCGTTTTTAAACTCCGAAACACGAACGTCCGACTACTGAGCCCGCTAGGTTCCCTTCGTTCTATTAATGCCAGAATGCAAGATGAGAACGGCACCATCAGTTCTGCGGAGATGATACTTAAAGCCGAGGTGGCCAATCACAGCGTGGAACGGCACCGTCGGTTTCTATATCCACAGAAGTATACGGCAGACCATAAGGAAAATATGTCTTATATTGACTCGCCATTCTTATTGCCGTCTCATTCTCTCCTTTCTTCATCCTGTTTATTTTGTCTCTACCTCTATAGCTCGCAAAATGCCCTTCTACAACACCTATCCCGGCTTCCTATATCGCCAGTTTCTGGTCTGCCCATCCAAAGCACCTACCAACACCTCCCTCCATGAAAAAGCTGGTCTTGGAACAGGCTCAAACACTGGACTGGGCTATCAAGCATGTTCTCAGCTACTCGGGCTTGGTTTATCTCATCTGATTGTTGCCGTCCGCAATACCTCCAAAGGAGAAGCTGCCCGGGAATCCCTTCTCGCCTCGCTTCCCGCTTCAGCAAAGGCTCCTGTGATCGAGATTTGGCAATTGGATTTGGGTAGCTATGATAGTGTGATTGTCTTTGTTGAACAACTTAAGCAATCCAAGATTCAGATCGACTTTGCTCTTCTCAATGCCGGTGTTGCCAATTTCAACTTTACCGTAAACCAGTCTACTTCTCACGAAGCAACTATTCAAATCAATTGGTTGAGCACCGCTCTTCTTACTCCGCTGTTGCTGCCCGTACTCGATCAACAAGTTGCCAGGCACCCCTACCACAGTCGTCCGGTGATTTCTATCGTGGGCAGTGAAACTGCCGCCTGGGCCAAGTTTATGGATGCCCAAATCTCTACCAAAGAAGGTGTCTCCCTTATCAATGTGCTGGATAACAAAATCACTTCGACATGGGCGACCGATACTACATCTCTAAGCTGCTATACCAGCTTTTCTTCCTCGAGCTGTTCCATATTCACCAATCCAGTGCCCAACGCTCCAAAGGCACCATTCTAAACCTGATCAAACCTGGTTTTTGCTATGGCTCTGAGTTACATCGTACAGCCGAGGGTGCTTTTGGCAAAGTCCTTGTGGTATGAAGAGAGTTATTGGCCGTTCTGTTTCTATGGGTGCTCGTACTTTGGTTCATTCGTCGGTGTTGGCTGGTGAATCCTCCAATGGGCAGTATCTGATAATCAGCCAGCACCATTTGCTAGGTATGGAGATAGTCATGCTGGAAGAAAAGTACATGCTCAGGTTTGGGAGGAGACGATGGTGGAATTGAGCAAGGTAATCGACGTGGAGAGGGTGTTGTCGCAGATTTGCTTCTTTCTTGCCATATTTTGTCCTAGAATGTATGGTTTCCTAGACTGTTCATGCTTCCTGTACACGTTATACATCTAGTTGGAGAAATATCAGAGTCGTATAGATTTCTCCAGACCCCGAATTTGCTGACTAACACCATCACAGCCCCCGGGTCTAGAGAGCAGCATCTCTTATTCTGCAACCTCCCTGGTCTTGATTTGAGACAATCAGAAAAAACGACTATTCACAAGTGTTCTTCTGTATTCAAGTAACCACCATGACTTCAGCCTCAGTGAATTCAATCCTCCCATCTCAACCATTACACTATCTACCCACCTATCAAGTATTAATCTGCCTCCATTGCCGCCATGCCATTCAGCCTGGCGCAGTCGTCCGCCATCTGAAAGAAGTCCATTCTATCAATTGTTATGCTCGTCAATCCTTCGTCGACTATGCCTCAAAATTTGATCTGACCCCGCCCAACGACGTCGTCTTGCCTGATGAAACCCAGTTTCCAGTGCCTCTACTGCCAATTCAAAGCGGACTAGCATGCTCTTTTGCGGGCTGCACTCATTGATGTGTTACAACCAAGCGTATCAAACAGCATTGGAGATCTGTACATCAAATCAGTGCCTCGAAAGATGGCGATTTCTTGAAATCAGTTCCATTGCAGACTTTCTTCCGTGGGAATACTCTTCGGTACTTTACTAACCCAGCGTTGTTGGTCTCACCGTCATTGCCCGACAGTGCTGACAGACTGACAATTGACAGATCTTCTACTACGGTCAGTGAAAAAGGCCGCCCCAAAATCAGTGCTCCTTACTGATACCTATACCCTCCCTTAGACTGTTGATACACCTATAAGAGTAACATGGGACCAAAACATCCCTCTGACCCCAAACGATGAAATCCTACTGAATCATTATCAAGACCACACCTATAGAACCCTCTCATGTGATCCCGATACAGACAATGCATTTCAAGTAATCGTCATACAACTTTCCTCTCAATACCCCTTCTTACTCCACAGCCTCCTAGCCTGTTCAGCTCTCCATCTCGCATCCAACGACCCCAGCAATCGGCATTCCTATACAAGCCAATCAGCCCAACACCAAAACCAAGCAATTCCCGCCTTCCGATGGGAAACCATGCACGTTGATAACAAAAACTGCCAAGCAGTACTAGCATTTGCATTCTTCCTCGTCGTCTGCTCATTAGGCTTAGAACCCAAAGACGAAGTGTTATCCCTCAACAACGGAAACACCCAAAACAAAGAACAACTTTCCGCACAATGGATCCACATCCTCCGCAACGGCTGCTCAATGCTTTGTCCCGTCTGGGACGATCTCACCAGTGGTCCATTAGCACCCTTTACAGCTCTATGGCGAGATGATCTCTCGGTGTCGTTGTTGGTCCGAATGATCCACTACTGGTTACTTTACTGTCCACCTTCCTAGAAGATGAATCAACCAAATATCAAATCTACCATGATTCCGCTGTGAAATTGGCAGTTGCTTTCAAGTTCGTGAAGCAGTGTGGGCCATCGCCATCTATCTAGGATGTGCTCAATTCCTAGCCGATGCGTGTTTTGCCCGGGTACCTAGACTTATTGGAACGGAATTGTTCGGGTGCTTTATTGCTTTTGGCGCACTACGCCGTTCTTTCAAGGCCTCTTCAGGGGGTATGGTTCCTCAAAGGTCGGGTTACGAAATTGATTAGTGAGATTGCGCGTCGGTTAGAGGGATGCTCGCCTCGTACTTGGGATTTGTTTTCTCAAATTCGGAGAGAATGCTTTGTAGGTTAGTTTGAGAGATGGGATGACTAGCTAGGTATTATATACAGACCAGTGGGGTTTCATTCCAAGCACCACATGGTTGTTGTATAGTCCTAAGAGCACTACCTCGTGACTTCCTGGTCGTCGTGCGATGCCCTATTAGAATCAAAAGGTGTGGAGAGGAGTAAGGTACAGGAGGTACCTGGTTTCTTCCTTGTTAGCGTAGGGCGAAAACGATGTTAGCAATAGCATACTCGCTTTGAGGCAGGTGGGTTGGTACATAGACTGTCCGACACCTCATCAATGGCACTGTATACAGACCCTTGTATAAATGCCTCTCGTTGTGACTAGACAATGTTACACTTACAGCTTCGACTACATTTTACTCAATCAAAGCAAGTGATATGGTCAGTATACGAATTTATCTTCGAAATCACGTCTAGCGAGAATCAAACGCCGTATGGCAGAGTACGGGAGATGGAGAAAAGAAAAGGGAAGAAAGCCAAGTCGGAGATCGGCAAGATACATCCTCGTGGAAGTCCTGATAAGGAACTGATTTAATAAAAACTTCTGTGGTGTCCTGTGTATGTGTTGGGGTGCTGTGAGAGTGCGCGCAAAGGGACTCTTTGGGTAGTTAAGAGGCAAAGTAGACAAAATAACAAGGAGAATGAAAAACGAAAAAGAGAAGACAGATAGATATCCCCAGGCAGAGAACACAAGCACCGGGCCAAAAGCAAAGGAGGCACAAGGTAAGTAGAGGATCCAAAGTGAAATGGACCAGATCAGCATCAAAGCCGGTTGTTTGTCTTGCAGGCCCTTGCGAGCCTTGAGAGAGCAAACCGACTCAAGTCAATACATCTCACATTCCCTTCTCCTCGTCTCCCCTCTGTCCTTGCACAGGGAGACCCGTCGCGCGCTCTCTCTCTCGGTTGTCCCATCCGTCCTGAGGACGTGAGTCCTTCAACAAGATCTTTTTAGGTGTTACTCATTTACTCGGCGGGCTTCTCACCCTCGGCGGCCGGGGCCTCCTCCTTCTTCTCGGCGGGGGCGGCGCTCTCGGCAGCGGGCTCAGCCTCGGAAGAGGTCCAGAGGGTCTAAGATTGGTCAGTATTTGTGTTTCATCTATGCAGAGTGAAGTACGTACCAAGTTATCACGGAGGAGCTGCATAATGAGGGTGGAGTCCTTGTAGCTCTCCTCGCTCAGGGTGTCGAGCTCTGCAAACAGGTGTTAGTGCCAAATCATTGAAGTTTCAAGAAGATGTAGACGTACCAGCAATAGCATCGTCGAAGGCGAGCTTGGCGAGGTGGCAAGCCTGGTCGGGAGAGTTGAGGATCTCGTAGTAGAAGACAGAGAAGTTAAGGGCGAGTCCGAGGCGGATGGGGTGGGTGGGGGCGAGGTCAGTCTGGGCGATCTCGGTGGCGGCCTTGTAAGCCTCCAGGGAGTAGTCGGCGGCACCCTTGCGGCGGTCGCCAATGGCAAACTCGGCGAGGTAACGGTGGTAGTCACCCTTCATCTTGTGGTAGAAGACCTTGGACTCGCCGGACTGGGCGGACTTGATGAGGTGCTCGTCGAGAACCTCAAGGATGTCATCGCAGATCTTGGCAAGCTCGGCCTCGATCTTCTGACGGTACTCCTTAATCAGGGTGACCTGGGACTCGTTGCCCTTGGACTCCTCCTTCTGCTCGATCGAGGTGACAATTCTCCAGGAAGCACGGCGGGCACCGATAACGTTCTTGTAAGCGACGGACAGGAGATTCCGCTCCTCAACGGTGAGCTCAACATCGGCCGAGGCAACGACCTTCATGTTCTCGACCATCTCTGTGTCGCATGGTCAGCGGATATGACTGAAAGTCGAGGATTGATCAACAAACCTTCATAGCGCTCAGCCTGCTCAGCGAGCTTGGCGAGGTAGACAGCGTCTTCGTGACCCATTGTGAAAATGTGTTTTCTGCAGGGATTAGATCAGGTTAGCCATTTTTCAGATAAAATTCCCAAGTTGTCACGGATTTCGAGATAGAAGACATCAAATCACGCCATAGAGAAACCGTGCAAGCAAGGCGGTCGAGAGGGGTAGAGAACAACCCCTCAAGTATCGAGGATTCCAGATGTATTTCCCCCTAAGAATATGGAGAGAAATGATCAAGTCATTGGGACGAAAATGCGTGATGGCAGATCATGACGATCATTGATGATAGCCCAGTGGCCACTCTGCCTTGGTTCCCGTGCGTAGTTGGTATCGCAGGAAAGCGGTCGCGGCACCGGTTCAGCGGGTAAACAAGGCAACGAAGACAGGTGGTTTCCCTCATATTATCGTGACGCGATTCCATTGACGAGGTCTTGACAGGGCTTGACTTGAAGGATATCTTGGAGGGGAGAGGGGGAGTTGTTCTTTTCGAGCCTTGGAAACCAGATTGATGTGTGTGTGGGGGGGGGGGGAGGGAGGTGGGAAGTGGCAGATGTGACGTGGGAATGGGAGTACCAGCATAGAGATGGATAGAGAGAACACTCACCTTGTTTAAAGAGAAAAAAGGTGAAAAGGAGATAGATTGGGGGGAGATGAAGGGGAAGAGAGAGAGAGAAGGGGAGAGGAGAAGGAGGGGGGGGAAACACAGAAGGCGGTGTTGTTGGGATTTACGCCTGAACAACCCACTTCTTCGGCTTCTAGCTAAAGGAGAGACTACTTGGTCACTTGCTCTAAGTAATTCTCATTTCTCTTTCCTTGTACTGGTACTTCATCTCTCTACACTTCCTCATCTTCTGTGTGGTTCGGTGGGCCAACATCGTCATCCCCCATTCCGCGCCAATCGCCCGGGGTTCCTAACTTGCGCCTCATTAGAGAATAAATACAAGGCAGACCACTAGTTTCAAACATCACTTCCCGCGTCTACTCTTTTCGACCTCTTTTCTGTCACTTTTTGGGGGAGTCCAGACGAGAGGCTTAGAAGGTCATCTGCAACATCCCCCCATGATGTTAACAAGTCGAATGAGAGCTCATCTACTTATCGCATCTTCTTGCGCCGGAAACAGAAATTTTTGTTCACATGACCTGCTGATGTAATATATCTGACATAATCTCACATGACGTTTCTTGGCGGGTTATGTCATGGCTTGCCTGATGTCCTCCTCTTGTACCTTGTAAACCTTCCCCTGTCAACTTCTTTCTCTCTCTCTCCAAACTCTACTATTTCATCAAAATGCTTCGTCAATTCATCCGTCCTGCTGCCACCGCCAACCGAGCGGTTATGACCCGTTCCTTCTCCGTCGCTGTCCCCCGTATGGGTGAGGGCGACACCGGCGCTCCTCGTCCCGCTGGTGGTGCTTCTTCTGGGTAAGCAAGATACAACATAGGTGTCTTCCTGTTACAGTTTGGCCTAAGCTTCAATTGCTATCAATTGCTAGCTCAGTATGCCAGTCTGGCTGCAGGTTGATGACATCATACTCGCGATGATCATTGCTAACATCTGTGCTCTGTAGTGACGCCTTCACCCGTCGTGAGGCCGCTCAGGAGAGTCTGTACATCCGTGAGAAGGAATTGGAGAAGTAAGTTTCATCGTTGGACCTTGGAGTCAAGAATACAACCTAACCGTGCTATAAGGCTTGCTGCCCTCAAGAAGAAGATTGCTGAGCAGCGCAAGCACCTCGATGAGCTCGAGGGCCATATGTGAGTGTACCTTTATTACCCTTGATGGAATTCTGTGTCCTTCAGAGACCTTGCTGGAATTGAGGATACAATAGAAATTACATGACTGACTGGTTTCATCGCAGTGACGGCCTGACCCGCCAATAGACTTATCGTCCATGCATCCTGCATTTATGAATAGCTACACTAAGCTCAGTGTATAATATCATCTCCACTCCAAGCCATCCGAGCTTGTTTGCTGGATTTAGCTCCGTTTCATTGCTAGCGCCTGTGCCTCGATTAAGCATGTCTCTGCCATCATCTCTCTCGAGTTTCTTCAATGAAATTTGCACTGTGCATGACATCTGACTTGCGTCCCTGTACTCCATAGTCACTAGAGTAATCCTGTGCAAAGGACCGGTATCGAGCTGGTCCAGTCAAAGCTTTAAAGTTCTCGATTAGAGTCGCTATAGAGATATGTAGGGGTACATTTATCCAAGTAAGCTCCAATGTACAAGAATTTACAACGGTGGCCATAAGTCCTTTCATAACCCAGTCCCGTTTTAATGATCTGAACAGCTCATCTGAGCTTCGTGAAAATTAACAAAAAAGAGGCGAAAAATAGCGGCTAAGTGAGGGTACAAATAATACATGAAATACAACACTTACTTTGGGGATTGTGTAAAAAGCTTGTCCAATACTCCAAAGCACTGTGGACAGAATTATGACCCCTGTATTTCAGATGGCACCGTTTTACCATCCGCGCTTGGTACAAGATCTCAAGATCAAAATAAGCTTATGCCGAAGTGACAAGGCCGCGGTGGATAACTTAGTTAACTAACTGTGTTGACTCCACAATATCAAGGCCCGCACCTACATCTGGAGCTCTTTCCTATACACTCTTCCTTTCTTCTTCATCTCTCCCTCCATGCTCACATTCATACATCATTGCAATTGGGAATACATCCTCTAGTGATGCCACAATCACCCCCACCATGCCTCTGCTCGACCTGCCAAACGAGCTTCTGCTCGCTATAGCAAACCCCCTGGACTCCGAGGGAGACATCAACGCACTGGTACAGACCAATCGTCACTTCCACAGCCTTCTCAATTCACATCTTTACAAACACAATGTCCTACACAACGAAGGATCCGCACTCGAATGGGCCGCAGCCCACGGGATACTGGCATCAGTCAAAGAATTCATCCAACAAGGTGCGCGGATCCAAGGCCTGGTTTCGAGTCAGCCCTTGCTCAATGCAGCACGCTACGGCCATGTTGAGGTGGTAGCTTATCTGCTCTCACTTGGCGCCAATCCTTACTCTGAGGAAAAAAGACCTCTCAAACGAACCCCAATCCAATGGGCTATCCGCTACAATCACCCAGAAGTCGTCAAAGCTCTGATCGAAGTGGGAGTTGATCCAAACGAAAGGGACAAGAAGGGAGAATCACTATTGCATTTCTCGGCCAAAGAGTCCACAAGGAACAACGAGGCAGCGACCCAGGTTCTCATCGCCAAAGGCGCAGAGCTCGAATCCAAAAACTTTATTGGCGAGACACCATTGTGCACAGCATGTGTCTCTGGCTCAATGGAAGTAGCGCTATGCCTGATTGAAAATGGCGCTGACATCAACTTCAAAGACCGGGACCAAAACAAATCACTACTCCATCTAGCAGCGCTGAAGAACAAAGTCCAAATCGCCGAAATGCTACTAGAAAAAGGAGTCTCAATCGAAGTCAAAGATTCCCACGGCAACACACCACTCCATTATGCCTGCTACAACGGCTGCAAGCAATTAGCCCTGTTCCTAGTCAGGAAAGGCGCAAACATGGAAGCACAATCAGCAACTGGAAACAGACCATTGCACCTAGCCACAGTTTGGGAAACGCGGATTCAACAAATTGACGAAAGTCTTCGGGTCACTTCAATGCTGCTAGCACTAGGCGCATCCCCAGAGCCGAAAACCGATAGTGGAGTTACACCCCTGCATCTTGCGATGAAGAAGGATGGGCACATTTTATGCAATATCCTACTCGACTACGGGGCCGATCCCACATCGAGAGATCATCGCGGTCGTACGCCGCTTCATTATCTACCGAAGAGTTATTGCACAAGATCGGCGGAGCTTTTGTTATCTCGTGGTGCTGCTGTCCAGCCCCAGGACAACAATGGTGATACGCCTTTGCATATAGCTGCCAGCGAGACATTGCCAGACTTTGTTACGCAATTGCTAGTTGCTGGTGCTGATCAAAACATTATGAATAAGCAGAATAAAACTCCGATTGAGCTTACGGTGACGGCGTTCTCGGATCGATGGGCGGAGCATTTATGTCCGTCAAACGAGGCTCGCGACATTCTCCAGGCTGCAAAAGATAAAGCAACTCCTGATTTGGGAGGCAGGTGACAGGTGTATTATTTAAATGAATCTATATTTACGGCAGTCTTGACATCAAGGTCCCATCTCTTGTACCGCCTTATATTATTGCTCTTTCCTACAGTATAGAACCTATGTCAAATTGAGCTACAGGAAATTGAAAAAGAAGAGGTCAAAGGAAGGCAAAATAATGCCTAAATCGATTCACTCGCTTCGAGAGTTCCGTACTCATAATATCCAATACTTTCATTAGCACTATACAGAAAAACTTGTAAACCTTATTATAGCGAAGTTAGCGTCAGAAATAAGCCAAGACTACATTTAATATGGCTCAAAATGTTGAGACTAGGAAGATCGTACGTGGTACGTGGGCGAAAAAATGGGTGTTGAGTTGATGGCACCAGTTACATCCTGACATCACGAGAAAAAGAATTTATCAGAAGCACATGCAAGCAGTTTATTGTGACCGACTATTAGCATTCCCTGACTGCAAGAGTACATTCCTTAAAGCACATTGAAGTGCCAAGTAGCCGATAACTCCGATATTCAAATCATTAGAAAAACATCAACCGCCCTTTACCGCCGACCCATGTAGGAGCGGTAGAAGTCATCAGCGGCGTGGCCATTGCCCATGCCAGGGCTGGCATATCCGTATCCGAGACGGCCAGAGATCGACTGGCCTGCTTGGTGGGCTGCAGCAACCTTGGCTTGCAGATCCGAAGTACCTTGGTCGATGATCTGGAGCTGGGACAGGTGCGAGTTGAGGATGCGGACGATCTGGGAGATCTGTTGAGATTTGTTAGTGGGTTATCACGGGATGAATGTATCAAGTATGGACTTACAGGCTCGTCTGCTTTGTTGGTCTTGCTCAATGTAGCGGAGGCGCCGTTCACCTCTTCAATCATGCTGGTAAGGTCCTTGCCCATCTCGTCCAGGCGGTCCGAAAGCTTCTCAGCCAGTTTGTATCTGTCGGTAATGTCAGTCAAAGTGTTTCTGGATTAAAGTGTGCATCGAAAGGAGGTACTTACGTCTTCTCGCGTTCCTGATCGGGTCCCTGGAGGGACTCTCCAGGGCCCACTTGCTTGGAAACCATCTCATCGACTTCGCGCTCATATCGGTCCAGCCATGCGCTGAGCTCGTCTTGTTGACCTTCCACAGATGCGAGTTGGCGCTCAACTTCCTGGGTAGCCCGGTCTGCATCAACAGTGCTGCCGTATAGCTTTTGAACCTTGGTACCGTTCTCTACCAACAGACGATCCCATTCGGAAACCTTCTCGGCCTGTTCGCGGAAGTCCTTCTGGTATTTGGTAAGGTCTGTCGCCCACCGGGTAATGATCTCATCCATAGTCTTGTTCTTCAGGCGGGACTGAGCTGGGGGAGCGGGACCAGCCGTAGACTGACCAAGCGCAGAGATACCTGTGGCTGTGGCTGTGGTGCCCGAGGTGGCACCTGCGGTCGAAGCAGCAGCTGGGGCGGTAGTCGTGGCACCACCGAGAGGTGCGGTAGGTTTGGTCGAAGGGGTGGAGGCAGTTTGACCAAAAAGTCCACCAGATGGAGCAGCAGGCTGTGCAGTAGATGTAGCAGGTGCGGCGGTTGTGGCAGCAGTACCTGGAGTAGTTGCGGCAGTTGTCTTGCCAAGACCCGGGAACAAACCCCCGGAGGGGGCTGCGGCTGGGGTAGTTGAAGGCGCAGCAGTGGATGTGGCACCGCCCATACTGGGGAAGAGAGACTTTTGAGGAGTGGAAGTCGAGGTAGCGGGGGCTCCTAGGGAGGGTTGGGTAGCAGCGCTTGTGGTGGAAGGAGCGGCACCGCCGAGGCTGAATGCAGGCTTCGGAGCAGATGCACCAGCAGCAGTGGCTGCATTGCCACCGAACAGAGAAGGAGTCGATTGCTGCCCGGGAGTAGACTGTTGTGTACCCTGCGTAGGAGCCGCGGCTCCAAATAGTGACGGCTTGGGGGTGCTATCCGCAGGAGTGGGAGTGGTTGACGCGGCCGGCTTGCCTGCACCACCGAAAAGGCTACCACTGGGCGCGGCAGCAGGGGTTCCTCCAAACATTGGCTTCGGAGCACCAGATGCAGCGGGAGCTGCACCTCCGAAAAGACCAGAAGACGGCTGTGATGTAGTGGGTGTGGTCGACGAAGGCGCGGCGGCAGGTGTGGTAGAAGCGCCACCTCCAAAGAGGCCAGTGGGTGCTTTTGATCCTGGCGGAGGGCCTGCGGGAGTGGTAGAGTTGTTTCCGAACAAACCACCGCTGGCGGGGGCGGGTGTCGCAGAAGCGGCGCCTCCGAACAAGGGCTTCGCAGCACCGCTGCCACCAAACATTCCGCTGGTGGAAGTCTGACCAGGTGTGGTCGATTCGGTTGTCTTGTTGGGAGTTTGGCTGCTGCCGCCGCCACCGAACAATGAGTTGGACTGAGTGCTGGGCGTACCGCCGAAGCTGAAGCCGGAGCTGGCACCGGGGGTCGCATTGGAAGCACCTGCATTAGAAGCACCTCCACCAAACATTGTATTGCCCGAGCCTGCGGCTGAGCCTCCTCCAAACGTAGAGGGCGAGGAAGAACCGCTAGCCGGAGCTCCAACGTTGCCGAAGAGACTGTTAGTCGATCCAGAGGTTGTGGTATTCTTGTTGGCACCGAAAGCGTTACCGCCGGATCCAAAGAGTCCTCCTCCGCTGGGAGTTCCGCTGGAGGCGCCGCCGGAGGGTGTACCGCCAAAGGAGAAAGACATAGTGTTGGTTGGCGCGATCAGGGTATGGAGGATGTTGGGTTGATGGGAAAAAGCTGGACGAAGAGAGCGCCAGCGACAGAAAGCAGGGGTCGGGGATCCTGCAGAAAGGATCAAAAGATCCAAGAGAAGAGAAAATATCTCCTAATTGAACGGGGATTAACAATAAGACTCAGGTCTGATTGAAGAAAGGCGAAACAATGAGACCAAGGTGCAGCAATAATAATTGAAGGAGTTTTGGCAGCACGCGCGGGATCTGCGGCCTGAGATATGAGGCACCAACAATCTACTTTCTGCCTGGTTATTCGGGCCACCAAGGACATTCGTGCCTGAGGCGGCCACGTTCTGGACTCGCATCGATCGCAGGGAAACGACGTCGTCACTCACGCTACGCACTGTGCATTGCATTTCAACTATTTTCTTCTCTCGTGTGCCCCTTCTTTCATGTTCATATCCTGAATTTAGCTGCAATAATGTCGGAGGGGCCGTCCGATTCGTCCAATGTGCATCTAGAGCCCCCCAGCAAGACTACTGAATTGCAAGACCCAGGAGCTGAGGATAACAGTAGGTACTTTGGTATATTTCGACTACTTTGTGCCATTCAACTAACAATCCCTTCCAGCAGCTTCAGAGAGCGGCGACGAACATTTCTCAGATGCCAGTGAAGGCCAGCCTGAGTCGCAGTCCAGCCCACAATCCGGTCGCACTTCCCCTGTCCCGCGAACACGAGTCGAGAGGGTTGATGACAGTGCACAACATGGCGAGGTTCCCGGCACATCAGCATTCGAAAAGAGGGAGCAGGATGCAGTCCCCGACGAAATTGAAGTTGTTCCAGAGGGTGAAACTAGCTCAAACCATTCGCCCGCGGGGTCAGAGGACCGTCCCTTACCCCCAGGAGGGTCGCCCATCCCGCGGACGGTGGTTGAGAAGGTCGACCCAGAAGAAGCCAGCCATGGTGAAGTGCCCGGCACATCAGCACATGAAAAGCGACTTGCGGATGCTGTGCCTGACGTCGTAGTGAAGGCGTCCGACTCTGAGGGCAGCCCAACGCCGCCAGCATTTGACCCTACATCCCCAGCCCCTGAGGCCGAAACAATTACATCAGAACTCCCTGAAACACGACTAGAGCGAGTGGACACATTACCTACTGAGGAAGACACCCATCCACAAGCTCATCAGAGCTCACCAAGTGACCCATTACCGGATTCGGTAGAAACGGTCCCAGATGCCCCGGCATCCACAGAAACGCTCTCTGCGAGCCACGATCCTTTACCACAGGATGATATAGATGATGACGATTTTGGAGAACCAGAGCAAGGCGCGGACGACTTTGATGAATTTGTAGAGGAGCAGGATGGCATGGAAGACGATGATTTTGGAGATTTTGACGACGGCTTCCAAGAGCCCAGCGCAGAGGACGCTGAAGCAGCTTCCACAGACGGAACAACAACACCTCAACCTCCCTCCCTCCCATCAGTTGTATGTGCTAAGCTCAACACTACTCACACTCCCGGCTAACCCTTCCAACCACATCAGCCCCCTCTCATCGATTTCGACACCATCAAATCCACATCCGACCTTCTCACCTCCCTCCAGGGAACCCTAGATAGCCTCTTCCCCGCCACTCACGACCTCAGCACCCTCTCACCCGTCGAACCAATCCCAGATTCAGCAGCAATCTTCAGCACTGAGCGCTCCCTCTCACTGTGGTCACAGCTGGTGGCCCCACCACCACTCCAACCCCAGAACTGGGTGAAATCCCGCATCCGTCGCCTATTCCTCGTATCCTTAGGCGTGCCAGTCGACCTAGACGAGATCCTCCCGGCCTCCAAACAGAAAAAGCTCATCCTCCCCTCCATCGACCTGGAAGGCTCAGGAGCAAAGAGCCCAGCCCCCCGCTCAACAAGCCAAACCCGAAAAGAAGGCGATGGCACACCCGATAATGCCGAAAAGGGTCAGGCTCCCTCACGCCAAAAACCCCCCTCTACATCCCGCCGTGGCGCCCCGCCGCCACCCGAAATGGACCTTTCAGCCGTCCGCCGGCTGTGCGCGACTACAGATGCCGCACTGAGCGGTCTTACAGACCCAGAATTAGAATCACATGTTAAGGAATTGGAGCACGTCACGCAGCGGGCCAGTTCGGTGCTGGAGCACTGGCTTAAGCGGCGAGATGGGCTCATTGGTGAAAAGGAGGCTTTTGAGGGCGTTATTGAGAACCTCGTTAGTCATGTGAGGAGAGTTAGGAAGTAGTGTTCCTCCTTTTTCTCCTGGGTTTATGTTGGTATACTACACTACCTAAATGCCCAATATAATACACTTTATGTATAATGCAATGTCGAGCGGAAAATGCCATGCCATGTCTTTGCTGATTGAGGGAGATTTCATATCTGTAAAAGCTATCATATCACAGCAAGTATATAAGTTCATTTTACAATGTTCAAGTTGCCGTAGGAAGGAAGAATGGCCTAGGCAAGCTAAGAGTGTTCTGATCAAGTTCTGCGAGAAGAGACAGCTACTATGTCCATGGGGTAACCGATAACAAGAAGCAGAGAAACAAATAAGAAGCAGGGAACAAGGAAGCTAGCTTCACACCCAGTCCCAGAACGCCAGTAACGAAAAATGCAATGGGAATAACATGCGATAAAAGGGTATCTTTCTTTTCAAAAAGGTGCATGCAATCGCTGAAAGGCATGGGGGGCATAAAACAGGTTGGGTAGATAAGACGAGAGACATGAGAGACGACTCTAAGTGACTGTCTTGTATTGGATGGAAAGGGCTAGTAATAGACAGAGCGCGAGCAACCCGGCAATGGAACAAATCGCATTATCCACTCAGTCCAGCTCAATGACGGTATGATCAGTCACAGGAACCCGGGCCGAGGGAGTGACTTCAGTCTTAGGACGTTGCGCATCCGGTTGAGGGGTAGACAAAGAATCGGCCTTTCGCTTCGTCGCCAAACAGGTCCGATCGGCGCGGGGAGAAGGCTCATCGGTGAGTTCCCTCAATTTCCAAGAACCATCAGCCTTGAATTGGATTGCCTGGGCGTTTTCGAGGCGATTGGTGGCGGCCAGGTTTACGTGCACCTCAGCGAGGAACTGGTCGATGACGAGGAACTGCGGACGAGCATCTTTCTTGCAGGTGGGGCAGCGCCAGTTCTCGATCATGGGTTTCTCGTCACATTCAAACATTCGGGTTTTGATGAATGTCTCCAGGTCGAAGCAGTCGAAGTGAGTGCAATTTCGGGACCGGGCTGGGATGTCGAAGATTCGCGCCATGAAAGGGTCTACCAAGCTGATTGTCAGGCTGTCCGTGACCACGGCCACGTCGTCGTCATCTGATATCGGGTCGATGCGTTTTTGGATGAGTGCGCGAGAGTCGGCGGTTGAGATGGACTTTGCCATGTTTTTAATGGACTCGAAGTCATTGATTCTCAGTATTTCCACGCCCATGGCATATCGGGAATTCTTGCACTCGTCCCCTCCCAGAAGCAGAGTGATCCTGACTGTGTTTCGACCCGGGCGAATGTTTGCCGTGATATCCAGAGGGAGATCTTTCCCGTTGTGAACCTTTCGACGGACGAACATCTCTTGGTCGTTGACGTGGACGTAAATAACACTGGGCCAATATGTGCTTGCGGTAGGCCATTCTTCTTGACAGGAAATTGGGGTTCCGGGAAGGCGGATGCACCGCAAACGAAGAGTGTGACAACCAGCCCTGTAAGCCCAGATGGGACGTTGCCCTGCACCTTGAGGAGCCATTCGGGGTAATGTTTGAAAGAACGAGTCATTGACATTGAAAGTCCATCCGTACATCGGCTGCTGAGGATTGAGAACAGTCGGCGATACAGCAGCACCGGCAAGGTAGCAAGACAAGCTGGTTTCAAGATCCTGCCCATCTGCTCCCGTTGTCAACAGCTTTTTGATAGGATCGCGAAGATTCGCCTGATGTAGGCCGAGCCGCATTGGAACTGGATTCACCGTCATCGGTGCTCGGTAATCGGGAGGTGGCAGAAAGTAAGAGATCGAAGGATCTCTCTCCGTTGGTATGGTAGGTGCAGACCGTAAAGGCTGTTGTCTGGGTTGTTGGGGCTGTGTGATCTGAGAATGGGAATTGATACTGATGGGAGATGTGAAGGGGTGGGGAAGGGTATTAACAGACACAGTGTGTGTCGAAGGGACGGATGGATCTTGAGGCATGTGTCCTGGGGCTTGCGCGAAACCTCTCATTTGGGGTCCCTGTGCCATTCCATGCATTTGAGACGGGTGTATTTGTCCAAGACGCGCTGGGTGCATCAGCCTCGGGTGAAGTTGGGGCTGAGAGTGCCAGTAACCAGTCTGTGGATCACCGAGCACTTGGGGGGAATTCGAAGAATGATAGTACCCGCCAGCTGAGCTAGGGAATTGGCCAGAAGCCGGAGATCCAAGGTAGGGCGATGAGACCGACACCGTTTGTGGCGTGGTCTGTATATGGAGGCTAGGTTGTGGGGGATTGGGGTAATGGACCTGCGTCGCCTGTGTCACCTGTGGAGATTGAATCATTTGAGGTGATTGAGATGACTGAGCCTGAACTACCTGAGGCGACTGAGATAGAGGCGATTGAGCGACCTGAGGTGACTGAACTACCTGCGGCGACTGAACTACCTGCGGCGACTGAACTACCTGAGGCGACTGGGCTACCTGCGGTGATTGAATTACCTGAGGTGGCTGAGCTACCTGAGCTATCAGAGGTGACTGAGACGGTACATAGGCCTTGGGAAACTTGAGATACTCCCGAGTCAAGTCCTGGCACAAAGCCCGCCTGCTTGTCTCCGTAACCCGATTGTCTAGAAGACCCGCGTATGAGCCCCAGTCATTCCAGAACAAGTTCAAGAGCTTTTTGATATATTGCTCTTCATAAAGTCCCCGCGAAATACACATAAACATCACCGACATTAAGACCGGAGAGTCGACTGTGAACCTTTCTCGAAGCTCATCCACTAGAGGCGGACGGAAGGCCTGGGCATACACAGGCTCCCATTGACTTGTCAGCAGTTTTAAGAAGAGCGGAACCTTTGCAACTGCTTTGCAGTACCACGGTTGCGTGGTCAAGGTCTGAGGAGATGCTGGGAAATGAGCCAACCCGAAGGTGACTGCATAGTCCATCTTTTCGTTGTCTTCTAGGAGACGGGCGAGCATGCGCATTCCTGCCTCAGGTGCTCCAACATAACCTAGGGTCGTTGCATCAATGCTAGATCGGCAGAACAACTGATGCATCACCAAATAAAAAGTGTCTTTCATTTCGATAGCTTGGCGCAGCAGATCAACTCGAGGTAGACCCACGGTCCCAGTGAGCTGCTTGTTTAAATCAGATCTGAGAGTTTTCAACTGTTCCGACCAGGCTTTCCACAAATCGTCGGTTGGCTCGGAGCTCGCAGGGGATGACCCGGCATCTTGCGGTTGCCCTTGTGTGGATTGAGCATTTGTATCAACTCTGGCTTCCATCAAAGGACTCTGAGTAGTGGGAGTGCGCTGAGTAGATATGCTCCAAGGTGGAGCCGAGAGTGATTGTTGCGCGATTCTATGCTGTCCATCACAGCCTCGTTCCGTCGTGGGTGTGCCACGGGCATTTGCTTCTCGCTGGGCTCCCACTAAAGGGCTCTGGGTTCTGCTTGGAGGTACGGCTGAGGGCGTATGTTGCGCACTCCCATGCTGTCCACCAGGGCCCGGTATCGTCGTCGGTGTGCCATACGGATTTGTGACGCGCTCGGAACTCTCAATTCTAAATTGGGGCCGGGGGACTCCTACCGTTGGCAGGGTCGCTGCCATATGTTGCGCATTTCCACGCTGCGCCTGTTGTCCGGGCTGCAAGCTCGCGTTGGGGGTAACTGGGCTGGGTTGAGAATTTGTGCTCGGCACCGGCGAGGGGAACGCCGCCGCTGGCGGAGGAGGTTTTCTTGCATTGACAGCGGTGAACCCGTTGACGGCCGTAAATCCTCCGGAACGGGGGAAAGGCAGAATGTCACCAGGGGACATCAAGGGCTCACGTGGAGGCTCAGTGCCTGGTATAGGAAGGTCGGAGAGTTGTCGCGCGCGTATTTGACCCGAGCCCTCCGGCCCCATCCAATTCCTCCGCACGCCACCCAAGAACAAATTTGCAGTTGTGTTCGATGTCCCGATGCTGTCAGCACGAGGAGCGTGCACCCGGTGAGATTTCGGTGTCATGGTATATCATCGTTGGGTGGATATTTGTAGGAAGGAGGTTCTCTTATACAAGACGCTCGTTTCCTCAACAAAGACTTAAGCGCCGATGGTTGTTTGGAGGGGAAAGAGAAAGAAAGTTACGAAATTACCGAAGCAGGTACCTGACTGTACTTAGGGGAAAGGGACGGAGATCCAGGGTTTCTAGTTATGTATTTGAAAGTGACCTGTAAGTGCGAACTTTGGTACGTTTGTTTGAGTGATTTGATCGGTTGAGTTAAGAGGACTTCCTTAGTACTTCACCAAGTGAATTCACTAAGTACTTCAGGGCTGACAGTATCAGGGAATGGCCGGATTCATCATGACGGGAACAGAAAAAGAAGAGCCGGTGCAATCAAATGGCAATATTCGAGGATGCCGCTAAGGGCCACTTACATGTTAGATTGTGCAGGTCAACTAGACTGAACTATTTAATTAAACGAAGTAACTTGTGCCACTCTCAGCCGTGGATTTAAAGCGTCCAGACTCTTTGACGACCGCACACGTCACTTGATTTTCGCCTCTTCCTTTTCTTCCCTTTTCATACTGTTTGTGGTTTCCATTGAATTCAATTACTAGAGTAACTTGGTTTATCTTGGATCAAGCGAACATTGGTATCGAGCAAGCATTGAGTGAGGTTCGTGCTCCCCGAGCCCCGCCAGCGTTTAATAACCTAATCCCCGAATGCGCTAGATTCCTCGACCTCAACATTCTCTCCCTTTTCTGACCTCTAAGATTCCACGTCTGTTCCCGGTATCTCTTCTGTTTTCCCGCGAGGGCGCTTGCGCCCGACTTGCGATTTTCGATTTTAATTTCGCCTTCGCCTTATCTTCCGAGGTCCCATCCGCGATCGGAGAATCGTCACGTCTTGCGACATGGTTACTATGGGACCACCCCGGGGCTTGAGCCCCGGTGACATGCTAGAAGTCATTCGTAAGTGACGCCTTGTGCGACGACGGCGCGCACGCGCCCAGTCGCTTAACTGCCCCAGAGCTGCGCGCTAACTCTCGGATCTAGATGGCTTCAATGGACGGGGAGAAGATGAATTGGTGATGGCACCACGTGATCAGATTGAATTGCTAGAGTTGGACGACGAGTTTGGTGATGCGTGGTACCTGGGCAAGAATATGAGCACGGGAAAAACAGGCCTTTTTCCAGCCAGTATGTGCATGGTGGGCGTGAATCGTGGAGAACCGAGTACTGACATGCGCGGCAGACTTTACTAAAGCATGCACTCCCAAGAAGAGCTTGGCCGAGTCACCCGTGCTTTTAGAATCGCCGGCGCAATTGGAATCTGCGAGCGCGGCAGATTCAGCATTCGCATCAATGGGAAGTGGGCAGTCCACCCCTCAGGCCTCGCGACATGTGAGCACTATCGACATGCAATCGCCGCAACTCGATTCGCCCACCCAACAACGATCCGCATCGTCCCCGCTACCTCGGCCCAGCCTGGCAGCCGACATCCAGCAAGCGTTCCGCAGCCCTATCGACAATCACATGAATGGGGAGGAGAGCCCAGTGATGAATGAGACTTTGAGCGTCATTGATGAACACATTACGGATATGAACACCCCGCGTCATAGTGTGTCGACACAAGACCACAAAACCATCAATGATTCAGGCAGCGAGTATAGCAGCCATATCGATCATCGGGCCTCTTATATCAATGGACATGAGACTGATGATGAGGAGAGGAACCTGCCCAGTGAGCAACAAGTGCGAAAATGGGGTCAAGCAGAGACTGCCCGGCATTTGCGTGCGCTCGGCATTGATTCAAACCACTGTAGCATCTTTGAGGAGCAGGAAATCACCGGAGATGTTCTTCTTGATATGGATCAGGATTTTATCTTTATGAAGGAATTCGACTTTGGTGTCATGGGCAAACGCCTGAAAACATGGCACAAGATCAAAGCCTTCCAAGAGGACATCAAGGACTTCGGTCAACAGCAAGGCCAAAGAGGCTCTGTCTCAAGCGTCTCGGGCCCTCCAGAAGAGCGCACATTGTCTCGCGCGGGACACACTGGCCCACTTCTCCCCCGGATTCCGACGCTGTCAGAAAAACATGGCTCAGGGTATCAACATCCCCGGGCCTCTGCCCCAACTCAGCACCCACGACTGGCGAGTAATAACAGCTCGCCTATAACTCCTCCTTACAGCCATGATTCCCCGAGAAGGATTTCTGCGGCGTCAATCCGTGAGCTTAATCATACGCGTCGTCATTCGTCTATTGATGCGACCCATCGTGGGATGCCTGATGGTTTGAATGGTCAGCATCAAAAGAAGCCATCGTTTGACCGTTCTTGGACCCTCAACTCTGGTCCACAGACATTGCCTGCCCGCCCAGGAACATCCTTGGGTACTTCAGGCTTCCGAGGACCGATGACTACGGACTCGGGCTCGTTCACCAATTCTTACACCACCACCCCTGATCAGATGGATGACTTGGATCGAGGTTACTTCTCGGGGACCGAAGTTGACAGTCGTCGGAATCGTCGCGTTCTACAGAAACGCAGCTCTAATAATGGCAGCATGAACCATTCACGAAAGTCCAGCTATGCTGACGAACCGTATCGGGTCAAGACCGCCGGAAAGCGCCACTCTCGAGTTGGTAGTGCTGATTCGATCCGCGACGCCGCAAAGCATGTTTCCCCTGCTGCTCAGGCTTACCATGGCACGCCACCGAAAAGTCGATTGCGAAGCTTGAGCACGCGTGTGTCAGGAAGTGGAACCAGCGCCCAGTCTCCAGCTACCGAAAGCAAGACGGGTGGATTCTTTGCCAACTTTGCCCCTCGGGGCAAGACGGATTCCGACAGTAGTGCTCGCTCTTCTACATCGCAGTTCCAGCCATTGAAGAACGCCGGTCCCAAGTTCCGGCGAGCAATGGGCCTCCGTGCTATTTCCGATGTTGTTGGAAAGAAGATTGACACGTCTGTGCCTGTCTCGCCGCGCGATTACGATCCCACCTCTGCTCGCACCGGATCCACGACTCCATCGGCGACGTCGAAGAGCTCGGAACGACATAGCACAGATGGGTCTGGCAAGGCGGCGGACCCTAACGGATTCCAAGTCCGCCCTCGGACCGTCAAGTCCAAGAAAGAGACCAGTGCCTATACTCGTGGTCTTGAGAAGAAGACCCCAGGGGAGCAGATGGATGGCTGTGAATATAGTGGATGGATGAAGAAGCGATCTTCTAACTTAATGACGACTTGGAAGCCCCGTCTGTTTGTCCTCCGTGGTCGTCGCTTGTCCTACTATTACTCCGAGGACGATCCTGAAGAAAGAGGCTTGATTGATATTACCGCCCACCGCGTCCTCCGAGCGGACCAAGACCCTATAATCGCCTTGCATGCGACTATCACCGGTTCAACCGCACTTCCTGCCAACGCCAATGCCAGCAACACTGCTGAAGACGGAACTAATGGCACGAAGCTCGTATCCCCTTCCGTAATTCAATCCCTCACCAACAAGGACGGCAGTGGTCCGTTCTTCTTCAAGCTCGTGCCCCCCAAGTCAAACAACTCTCGCACCGTGCAATTCACCAAACCCGCCACCCACTACTTCCAGGTGGACAATGTCCAGCAAGGTCGCTTGTGGATGGCAGCCCTGATGAAAGCAACCATCGAGCGCGATCTGGGCCAGGCCGTGGAAAGCACCAACAAGCAAAAGACTATCAGTCTGAAACAAGCGCAGGCCATGAACCAGCGGCCACCAGAGCTGATGTCTGCTTCTTCCAAGGCCAAGGCAGAGCAAACAATCGACGAGGAAGAGGAAGACACCGGATTACAGACTGATGGCCTCAACCTATCCAACGCTCAGCCCTCTGAAGCCAATTCTTTCGAAGACGCCAAGGTCAGCATGGACGAGCCTGAACAGAATGGCATTGATGAATCTACACCAGATGGCCTTGGAGACTTAGGCTCCCCACTGCTCCCCGATCCCCTGGACAAGACGGATTCCAAGTGAAGACTTATACGCTCGATTCTATTTTCTTTGTGATCTTTGGTGCATTTATGTCTCTTTTGGCAACTATTTCTTGCTATTTTCTCATCCTACCCCCTTCATGTTCTGCTTTTGTCATTTGTGGCTTTACGTTTCCCTTTTGCTGGCGTTCGATGTGATATACCCCTCGCTCAGACTTCTTCCTCTTCTTTGACTCGGGTCACTTTCCCTTGTGGGGACTTTGTCCTCGGGGGATGTGAGATTATACGATTGATTTGCTTATGACACGAAGTTGAGTTTGTGCTGGCTTGGTGATGAGCGTCTTGCTCTGCCCTAATTACCTATTTTGTAGATAGATTACCCTAATAGTATCGTTTTCGGTCCTATAACTTATTTCCTTTCTAGCTATGTTTGCGCTGAGAGGTATATTTGCATGAACAAGATGTTGATCGCAGATAATTCAGGTATGTTTCTAGAAAATGAGGCATCATCAGATATTATCACTCATCATATATTGAAAAAATGCTATTCACAATTATCTCTCGAGTTTCGAGTTTGGCCCTTGCATGTATAGTTCGCGTTATCGTTATCGATTGATTAGCTCTTGTCACTTCAAGTTGGTCCCTTCTCCTTTCCTCTACTCTCCAACCCTTCCATATCCACAATGCTGTATATGTCTTTATAACATTCTTATCCTTGTCTGTCATTCTAATACAATCCTCCATGTCCCTCCGGTGGCTGCTGTCGCGCACACTTGCGATCCTCCTCCCACTCACAGTCACCGCCACTGTTTACCTGTATATCTACCCAATCTTCAACGGCTGCGCCTTTCCCCTACCAAGAGCCCACGCCTCCAACTCGGATAAAAAGACCTCAATAAGCCGTTTTCAACAAAATGCCATCTTCAATACCTTCCTCCAACACCTCGGCATCTCATCCTCAACCCCAGACCCAACAACCGAACCCGCAATCTTCAGACTCCTAGTCCTGGCAGACCCCCAATTAGAAGGCGACACCTCCCTCCCATTCCCAGAATACGAACTATACCCGCGCATTCAATTCCACTGGCGCGCTATCCAAGACTCAATCGGCAATGCCAGCGCCTCAACCACCCCAAAAACCCCACTAGCAAAAGCCGTCTTGCACGAGAACGTCATCTCAAACATAACAGCCAGCCTGCGCGAACTAGCAAAAGAAGATATCCCACGCGCCATCAACTCAGCCCTTAAACGCCTTGACCTCTTCGGCAACGACTTCTATCTAGCACACATCTACCGCACGCTATTCTGGTGGACGCGCCCAACACACACAACCGTCTTGGGCGATCTAGTAGGCAGCCAATGGATATCCAGCGAAGAGTTCGCGCGTCGCGGATACAGGTATTGGAATCGTGTTTTCCGCGGCGGAGAGCGCGTGGACGATGCGCTCACGAGGACTGGTGCTGTTGGCGCGAGTAAACATGATAAAGCTAAGCCACCGGTGGAATTGCTTGGTGTCAATGGTGACCCGGCTTGGGCGAGACGGATTATTAATATTGCTGGGAATCATGATATTGGGTATGCGGGCGATATTGATGAGAAGCGCATGGAACGCTTTGAACGGGTGTTTGGTCGTGCGAATTGGGATGTGAGGTTTGAGCATCCTCCTGTTGATTTATCGGGCTCCTCCTCCTCCTCCTCCTCCTCCTCCTCCTCCTCCTCCTCCTCCTCTTCTTCTTCTTCTTCTTCTTCTTCTTCTTCTGCGAGCGAGTCGGTTGTTACGCCTACGCTGCATCTGATCAACCTCAATTCTCTCATGTTCGATACTCCCGCGCTGTCATCGGTGGTCCAGGACCAGACGTATACGTATCTGAATGAGCTGATTGCGCACCGACTCGCGCCAGTCGAGGATCGGTCGACCTTTACACTCCTTCTAACGCATTTACCTCTCCACAAACAAGATGGTATTTGCACGGACGGCCCATACTTCTCATTCCACAATGCCGACGACGATGACGGTCCCGATGGAATCCCACGTTGGCGGGAAAGCGGCCTGAAAGAGCAGAACCATATCAGTGATACACTCAGTGCTGGCGGTATCCTGCAGGGTATCTTTGGAATGAGTGGTGATGAGCGTGCGCCTATCGGTGGACATGGTCGGAATGGACTTATCCTCACGGGACATGATCATCCTGGCTGTGATGCTGTTCATTATGTCAATCGCACTTCGAAGGAAAATCAGGAGAGGACAGAAGAGGATCAGAGCGCTCAGTCCTGGAAGTGGGCTGCTAAACGCTTTGAGGAGGACTCACAGATGAATGATCCTTCTATTCGCGAGGTGACTCTCCGCTCGATGATGGGTGAATTCGATGGTAATGCTGGTCTTCTCTCGGCGTGGTATGATCAGGCCGTTGGTCAGTGGAACTACGAGATCACTATGTGTCCTGCTGGCGTGCAGCATATCTGGTGGGCTATCCATGTCCTTGGGCTTGTGACGCTTGGTGTGGCGCTTGTTTGGTTCATGCTTGGACTTGTTGCGTCTGGAGATGCTGGAGCGACAACTGCTGCTCGTGTACGATACGACAAGAAGGATGAGAAGCTACGTCTGCGGGAGTCTTCGAGAGTACAGTTGGAAGAGTCGAAGACGGGTGGACAGAAGAAGTAGTTGGTTGGTGCGCTTGTAGATATGTTTTGGTTTGTTGTACTGTATCAATATTTTCATTAGACCCATGGAGTAAAATATACGTCGTTGTGGGTATAAATTATGGCTCATTGCATTAAGACCATCTCGGGATTGAAAATTGAAACATGCATCGCTGCAGACATATATCGTGTTGCGTCTGGGCCGTGTCCAAAATAGATTTGTAGGATGTCATATGAGTTAGGGCAAACTCAAATAACAGATCGGAACACAGACTAGGTCGCGACAAACTAAATACAACTACAATAGCTCCAAGTCTACAATGTACGACAGGACAGGTACACGGCCATTTGGTAGTCATATCAGAGTTCATAAATCCGCCCGATACTAAGAACAACGAGAACAACCAGACGCAAGGACCAACCCCCCAGCCCAATAACAAAAGAAAGAAGCCAAGCAACAAGCCGGCACCCATTCTATAAGCCAACATGGTCAAGCAGGCGACGTCTCTTGAATGATAAGAATGCGCAAGGAAGAATAGGCAATTGAAAAAGAGATATGATTTTTTTTTTTCAAAAGTAATACTTCCGAGAGTCGCCAGGAAAGGGTAGAGAGGGGGAGGGAGAAAACACGAAGGAAGGAAGAAAACGGGCTTGAAGAATAAAAACAGTTGGATTTCGTCGTCAATATGGACACGACATGTCCACTATCCCATTTTAATCCTATGGTCTCATATGCACCGCGTTCCAGGTCCCGAACAGATTTGAGGTTTGGTATCGTTCTTTTTCTTTAAAATTCGGTTTTTGCTCTCTTTACATGACGACACCGGAGTTGGAGGCAATACGCTGTGGGATGTGTTAGCTGATGATCCGATGAGGTAGGAATGATGCATGACAAGAAAACGGATAGTAAATATATCCAGTCCTCGTAGCAAAGGGTGTGAACGTACGGGCCAAAGCTCAGCAGCCTCCTTTCCGACGGGACCGGTGATGGCGGAACCCTTCATCTCACCCTTGGCGTTGACGATAACACCTGCGTTGTCCTCGAAGTACAGGTAGATACCGTCGGGGCGGCGCCAGGGCTTGCTCTGGCGGACAACGACAGCGGGCATAACCTTCTTACGGAGCTCAGGCTTTCCCTTCTTGACGGTGGCCATGACCATGTCACCAACACCGGCGGCGGGGAGACGGTTCAGGCGGGCACCGATACCCTTCACGGAGATGATGTACAAGTTGCGAGCACCGGAGTTGTCGCAGCAGTTCATCACGGCGCCACTATTGACGAAAACGGATTCGTTAGTGTTCTGTTTCTCTTTCCATTTTTGTTGTGTCGCTGTGTGTTCCCCAATGCTGTATGGCAACTTTGTGGAGTAGAGTTCCATTTTTTTTTTGTTTCCTCAATGCCCGCCGGTCTTTGGTTTCTGTCGATGCTGGGTGTATTCGAGAATATTGATCGACGAGACGACTGTGGGATCCGGCGGACATGGAGGCGCATTCCAGGTACACTAAACGATAAGAAATTTGAAGACGTACCAGGGCAGACCGAGAGTCATCTTCAGCTTGTTGCCGGCGGCACCGCCACGACTATTCAACCGTTAGCATAACCGTTTTGTTTTGTCGTGTTCGTTTCCAATCCGCATTCTATCCTCTCGACACAAGGCGGACGTCCATCAATTTTTTCGATCTTCCCCGCAGGCTTGTGTCGTTCGGAATCGAATGGATCAAGGAATGTAGTTGCTGGTAAACTCACCCTCTCTTAGACATGATGGCTAGGTATCACGGGGACGAAGTTGGGTGAAAAGGGTTGGCGACAAGAGGTCGAGAGTTCCGGACGACGAGGTTCCAAACTGGAGGTGTGCTTTCTCGCTTAGTGGGCAAAGTGCGTAAAATCTTGGCACCGTGGTTTTATTGGTGGCCTGGCCCCCTCACTGTGCCCTAATGCTAACCCCATCTGGGCTAGCGGCAACCACCGTCTTTTGGCCTCAGGCATCAATGACATCTTTACTCTTACTTGTAGCGGATCGCATCGCTACTCTACTTTATAAGCATGCGAAGAACCGTTTGGGAATATATCACTCGTCATATTTCAATCATAAAAGCCAAAGGAAAGGAACTAAAAAACAGGCACGGGGAAAAGATCAAGATAAAAACAATTCCTTCCAGTTGAGTAGCCCTTGTAGAAGCAGCCGGCTAAACAAGTCGACACTGTCAATGAAGACTGTGGGATGTGAGACTATCAATCTGATTCAACCCGATTGCCATTCTACCACAAGTGATGATGCCCCCAGTGTCAAGCAAGATGCGAGCACGCTGTAAACCGATAACACCTTCTGCCATTGTCCGTTGCGCCAGATCCGATATTGTCGTCTTGTACCACAGCTTATTACACCTCTTTCTTGAGTTCTTCGGTAGATGTTGATTGCTCCTCCTTGTTAGCGTTAATGTCCGCAGCGGGCGCAGAAGTCTCAGCGGAGGGCGCCTCGAACTTCTCACTAGTAGGCTCAGCAGCCTCCTTTGCAGGAGATCGAACTCGGGGAGGAGAAGGTGCGGAGCCTTGAGCGGGTGCAGTGTCCTCTGTCTTCTTGCTATCGCCCTCAGCTGGTGCCTGCTCTGGGTCAATGGGCCCCGGGGCAGCATCTTCCATCATTGTATCTTCGTCATTAGGTGCAGGGGACTGAAGCTGGGAAGTAGTCGAAGCTCCTTGTTCCTCAGTCTCCAATACCATACGATCGGTATCAGTCGCGGGTGTATCTTCGGCTTGAGGGCCAGAAGTCGACTCGGGCTCAGTCCGGGGAACATCTGCCATCTGTGCGTCAAGGGTGGAATCCATTTCACCGTCGGCTGCAGATGAGGCGTCTTGTGGGGTAGCCATGCCACTGTCTAGCCCGGAGTCCGGCTCAAGGTTACGGTAGTTGACCTGATTGCGGCAGCGAATGGCACCTGGCTGACGACGCACACCGTTGGCGGCGTTCTCTTCTTCGTCCTCACTGTCGCTCAGTTCACCAGCCTTCTCAGTGTATTGATCAAAGCGTCGTTGAGTAAAGCGCTTGTCTTTGTTCTCATCTTCATCGAGGTCATCCAGAACGTCATCGGCCTCGTCGTCCATGCCATCCAAGATCGGGTTCCGTGGCACATCTGTCATCTGAACTGAAGGAGCAAATGCCGTACGCTTGAGGTTTTCAACGACCTGATTGCGAATCTTATCGAGGTATTCTTTGGTGTTTGCATTGTCCATATTAGAGGGCCGGACATCAAGCTCATAATCAGGTGCAAAGTACTGAGCTGAGTTAGCGTCATTTCGTTCACGACAGGGAAAGTTCTCTTACCTCGTAATAGTCGTTGTAAGGAAGTTCAGATTCGAGACCTTCTCCAACCAGAATACCAGTCTCATAAGCCCATGTTCGTGCCACGTTGCGCATGGTGTAGCCACCACCGCCAAGAATCAATGTTGGTAGATCAAAGCTCTTGATGAAGTTGACGCAGTTGGCGTGTCCACGCATACTCAGATTGAAGCAGCCCAGACGATCGCCCGAAAGACTGTCACCACCACATTGCAGGACCACTGCCTCCGGACGGTACCATTCCATAACACTCTTGATGACAGGTTCGAAAATGCTCTTGTATGAGGTGTCATTGATACCATCGCGAAGAGGGAAGTTGACTGCGTAATGCTTGCCCTGGCCGACACCGATGTCACGGAGCTCACCGGTACCCGGGAAGTACTCGCCATACTTGTGGAAGGAGACTGTCATGACACGGTCAGTCGTGTAGAACGCCTCTTCGACACCATCACCGTGGTGAACATCAATATCGACATATAGAACACGCTGCTTGAAACGAAGCAGTTCGAGGATTCCGAGAACAATATCTGCCGGGTGTTAATTGAATCACAACGGTCTATTAGCTTCAAATATCTTACCATTGACGTAGCAGAAGCCACTTGCTTCGCTCTTCTTGGCGTGGTGCAGACCACCAGCCCAGTTAACAGCAACATCGCACTTGTTGCGGTTCAGACGCGCAGCACCTTCCATACTGCCTCCAGCACTGATTCCGCAGAACTCAAACAAACCGTCGAAGACGGGACAATCGTCACCCACGTTGTACCGGCTTTGTTCTTTTGAAAAGTGATCCATGTTGTCTGGCGTAACTTTGGAGAGGAAATCAATGTACTCATCGGTGTGAAATTGGGTCATCTCATACTTCGACGCAGGTTTGGCGCGCTGACGGATTTGCGCGTTAGCAAAGGGTATGGCACATAAGTAAAATGGAAGCACGACTCACGTAGATCTCCATCTTCTTATAGAGACCATAGTTCATAACCAAGCTGTGTGTCATACGAATGCGATGAGGCTTCATGGGGTGGCCCGAAACGTACGCATAGTTGCCCACATCAGAGTCGTAGAAGTAGGCGACCTTCTTGTTCTTGGACCCAAGAAGGCCATTGGAAATAGGTTCTGCAGCCATGTCGCAAAATGACCGAGAAATAACGAGAGAAGTGAGGGGTGGTCTTCGAGAAATATAGGACTCGGAGAATGGGGTAGGAAGGTAGGAAGTATGCGGTTAGGAGAGTTGAAGGCGCAATGCAGAGGATACTCTCAAGAGAGCAGAATGCAAAGGACACCAGTCACCAGATTAAGGTGAATAGAAGACAACAGGACTGAACGCAACGGCAAGTCAATTCTGTCATAGTCTATCTCGGCGAGAGATGGAGGGAGACTGGAGAGAATCACCGCGTGGGAAGGAGCCAAAGCCGACAGAAACCCTCACCGCCTTCGTCAGGCAAAGCTACCACTGCTTGCTCATCACCGACACGCCCTCAGTCACTTTTCTATCTTTCTGGCTTCTGGCGAATATTACAACATTCGTCTAGTCTTTACTAGCTCTATTTAACAGTCGCCCTCAAAGAGTCTTTTACCTGTTCAAATCGCCGCAGAAACTCAACCGCCCCGGAGCTTCCAACTAGGAAGCTACCTCTTGTCCTCTCGTTTCATCGAATCGTGTCCGATCTTACTTAGAAATCATGGATCGCCTTAACCGGATGCTCCAGGCTGCCCAGGGCATGGGCATGGGTGGAGGTGCCCCTGGTGGTGTAAGTCAGACGATTACCTCGATCTCGCCATGTCTCTATCTATGGAAGCTCCTTGTTGGGCGGCATCATTGGCGCAGCACCGGTCTTGCCTTCAATGCTCTTTAATGACTTGGTACTAATGAATATGGTTCTAGGACACACCGAACCTGATTGATAACTCCGAAACCGTCCACATCTCTTCCTTGGCTCTGCTGAAGATGCTACGACACGGCCGCGCAGGTGTTCCAATGGAAGTTATGGGGCTGATGCTGGGCGAGTTCGTCGATGAGTACACAGTTCGCGTCGTGGATGTCTTTGCCATGCCCCAGAGTGGTACTGGTGTTAGTGTTGAGGCCGTGGATCCTGTGTTCCAGACCAAGATGATGGAGATGCTCCGACAAACGGGACGGTAAGTTATCAAACCAACTATTTGATTCCATGGCGCTAATTCAATACCCGCACAGGCCAGAAACTGTTGTTGGCTGGTACCACTCGCATCCTGGTTTCGGCTGCTGGCTCTCCTCAGTCGATATCAACACTCAGCAATCCTTCGAACAGCTCACACCCCGTGCCGTTGCCGTTGTCGTGGATCCCATTCAGTCAGTTAAGGGCAAGGTTGTCATTGATGCATTCCGTCTCATCCAGCCTCAGACCGTGGTCATGGGCCAGGAGCCCCGTCAGACGACATCTAACTTGGGTCATCTCAACAAGCCTTCGATCCAGGCCCTCATTCACGGTCTCAACCGCCACTACTACAGCATTGCCATAGATTACCGCAAGACAGGATTGGAGGAGAACATGTTGATGAACCTCCACAAGCATGTGTGGACCGAAGCCTTGGACATGAGTGACTTCCACGAGGAGGGTCAGCACAATGTGGAGCGCATGAAGCAGCTTGTTCTCCTTGCAGAGGGCTATGAGAAGCGTATCAAGGAAGAGACCGAGCTGAGCAAGGATCAGTTGAAGACGAGATATGTCGGCAAGGTTGACCCCAAGAAGCGTAAGTCCCCGTGCCATAAAACAACCGTGATTATATAACTAACACTGCGCAGACATTGAGGACGTGAGTCAGCAATTGATCGAAGATAACATCGTCGCCGTCTCCAGGCAGATGATTGATAAGGAAGCTTCCGTGGCGCGGCAATCATCGTCTAAAGACAACAGTAACGGTGCTGTCATGGAAGTGGACGAGGATCTCTAAAGGATTAGAAAGTGGACGGATGCTACAGAAACGCTCTAATTACGATATCTTGGTTTCCTTGGAGGACTGCATTGGTTCATATGTACGAATTGTATGCCATATGACCTAGCACACTATGTAGACCATCAATGAATGCAATCCACTCAAAAATCCCCAGTTAAACAGTTTCTCATAGTTGGCAGGACTTTTGAGCTTTTTCCCATCATGTTGAAGAAACGCTATAATTCTTTCATTCTTCTATCGTTAAACCGGGAAGTGTATCTAGCTATGCCGTTGTATGTATTCCATGCACGCAACGCAATCTATATAGATATACATATATAGATTGTCTTAAGTTGATTTGACGGAGCCCATCTCCAATAGTGTACCAGACCATCAAGATTCCAAAGTGACCGTTTTAAGAGACTTCGCCAAACCCTCAATGGCGTCAGGAGGGTGAGCACGGAGTCCATCAAAGGCTGCGTCAGCGTCATTATTGACGTATTTTTTATGACGGTCTTTATTATGATGGCCATCCCAGTCCGTCCATCCTCTATCAGGGCCCCAGAGGACCTTCTTCTGCGCATGCCGAGTTTCCGCAAGCAAGCGTGTCATCAAAGGCCCATTCTTCTCCACAGAGGGCCACGCATCAAACTCGACCTGGACTAAACCAGGTAGCCGTTCCAGTATCTTCTGCAAGAGATCCCCGCAGAAGTCTGTATAGAAATTTTCGGAGATGCGGAAGCCTTCGAACACAGGATGGGATGGGTCACACTGCACGAAGACCTTGAGTGTGCGTGCAAGCGCCATGTCGTGTAACCCTAATCCCTGATTCACGATCCAATTCCGTGGTGGCGCAGTCCAACTCGATCCCACAATCAGCTCGATGGTAGTGATGGAAGGCCGGTGGCGACGAGGCAAGGCGCGGAGTGTGGGCATCTTCAAGAAATCCTGCACTGGGAATACTCGAAAGGTCTGGGTCGAGTAGAAGTAGTGTGTGGCTTCATCGTGGACTTTCTGCGAAACGAGGAACAAGGCGACTCGCTGTGAGGATGGCGATAACGGCTTGCTCTTCTTCGCGGAGGCTCCGACGTTGCCAGTGCGCTGCAATGCACTTTTCCGAGCTGGTGTAAACAAGAGGAAATGATAGATGCGCAGGCGTATCTCAGAGGGCAGTTCGAAGAACGGAAATGACTGTAGACGACGTGGGATATCCGGCTCAGATTCGATATCTGAGAGGATTTCCTGCTCGAACTGGAGCTGCTTCTTCTTCAACCCCATTGCGGATATGTATAAATTCTATGCGACAAGTCTAGTTTTGGAGTTCATAATTCATCCCATTCTTTTATGGTAGGCAAGATGTGCAAAATTGACAAATATATTCAAGGAAAGGATTGTGTCCCACAATCGGAGCGCAGCTTCACTGGAGAACCTTTGCTGCGCTCTTGGTAAGTGGGATAGAAGAAGATCTTCGTTTGTCTCCCCAGCTCATTCAACCCGGCATGCAGAGAGAATGTGCTTGATAGGTCAAATTATGTCTGGGTGAACTTTCTAATAGGAAAAAAAGAAAAAGAGAAATCGCAAAGTCCGCGGCGATCGTTATAAGCAAAGTGCGCGAGGGGATCGTGCCCGCCGCCGTACCGAATCGCGCCGACTTTTAACAGCAAACTGCGTCGATTACAACTACTACACTTGTTGTCTCCCATCTCCACAATGCTTAGTCGCGCCGTTCTGCCTCTGACGAGGCCAAACGTCCTCGCCTCTGCTGTCCGGGCATCGGCCCTGTCGCGCTCCTTCCCATATGCCGCCTACAAGCTTTCCCCAGGTATCCAGCAACGGGCAAAGTCATCAAAAGGAAAGAACTTTAGGGCTCCGCAGCCCAAGGAGTTCGCTGCTGAGCAGCCTGAGTTTGACACAAAGGCAGAGCCCAAGACCGCCGAATCATCGGAAGCTGTGAGATGACAATTGCATCCAAACACACGTCATGAACACCCCTCTGACTATCGTCCCTTTAGCCCGAAGCCGAACAAACACCGCAGAAGCCTCTCCCCGATCTCACACAAGGTATCCCATCGACCCTGGCCGCCGAACTCGAAGGTCGCATGAAGAAGGGCCCATTGAACCTCACAGAGGACCCTACCCAGTCAGAAGAGTACAGTGAGGAAGGCAAAGGTGGTGGTGATATCCCCAAGGGCGGCTATGAGACATCCCTCGACCGCCGCAAGGCCCGCATGGCCAACATAATGTACGCAGCGATGCTGCTTGCCGGTGTCGCCGGTGTGGGCTACCTGGGCCGTAACTGGGAGACCGAAGATGAGGAGCGCGTTCACCCCGAAACCCCATCAGGATGGGGTCTGGGTCTCTGGTACAGCCGTGTCAAGGCTCGCATGAGCGATCTCACCAGCTACTACAAGGACCCTGCTTTCCCCAAGCTTCTTCCCGATGAGGACGCCGAAATGCGTCAGCCCTACACCTTGGTGCTCAGTTTGGAGGATCTCCTGGTTCACAGCGAGTGGAGTCGTGAGCATGGATGGCGTGTTGCCAAGCGCCCTGGCGTCGATTACTTCCTTCGTTACCTGAACCAGTACTACGAGCTCGTCCTTTTCACCAGTGTACCCAGCATGATGGCCGACCAGGTCCTCCGCAAGCTCGACCCTTACCGTATCATTCGCTGGCCCTTGTTCCGCGAGGCTACCCGTTACAAGGATGGTGAATATATTAAGGTAAGCTAAATAGCATCTCTAGGTAAGATGAAATGCTGACTCTTCTCAAGGATCTTGCCTACCTCAACCGTGACCTTTCCAAGGTGATTCTCCTCGACACAAAGGAGGAGCACGCCCGCTACCAACCTGAGAACGCTATCGTCATGGATAAGTGGACCGGTGACCCGAAGGACAAGGAGCTGGTCGCCTTGATCCCCTTCCTGGAGTACCTAGCCGGCATGGGTGTTGAGGACGTCCGTACTGTGCTGAAGTCATTCGACGGCAGCGCCATCCCGGTTGAGTTTGCCAAGCGCGAGAAGGCCATGCGCGAGCGCTTCGAGAAGGAGCTCGCAGAAGAGCAAAAGAAGAAGCCCAACCGTGGCCTCGCCAACTTCGCCTCTGCACTTGGCCTGAAGTCCGCCCGCACCCTGGACGGCGAGACAACCCCCTCGGAGGGTCTGGCTCAGGGTAAGATGCTCTGGGATCAGATCCGCGAGCGTGGCCAGAAGAACTACGAGATGGTCGAGGCTGAGATTCGTATGAACGGTGAGAAGTGGCTGGCGGAGATGGCCGCTGAAGAGGAGAAGGCCCGTCAGGAGCAGATGCAGAGCATGAAGGGCTCTTTCACTGGCATGTTCGGTTCTGGCTCTAAGGAGCAGTAATCGGCGCAAGCCACCTTCCCACCTTCCCTACGTGAAGTATTTAGCTTCCATCATCTCCTACTCTCCCATCTTCTTCGGTATCTACTTCCTTTTTCTTCTTATTTACGGGCAAGGAGCAGGTCATTAGATGGTTGGGGTTCGTTCTGAGCATATTGTTTTTTGGAACGACTGTAAAATAGCGATTCTGTCTGTTTCTTGGTTCGATGTACAAAATATTGGTCAGAAGTTTTAATATGAGAAAAGACTGAGATTGATCATGTTTCATGTTTCCTGCTGGCTGGTTGGGCTCACTCTGGATCCCAGGGTATATAGTTGAATAAATAGAAAAAACAAGCCGAAAACTATCCTTAGAAATACATATGTGCAATGGTCGTGTCAAGGTTCCCAATCTGCAAATATCACAGGTTCACATCTTGGTTCACATCCTGGAACACAGAGACATCCCAGATTCCTGTCATATCGAAGGGGAAACCATCCATTGTTCCAAAAGTATTAGAGATCGACATCATATCGTCGACGATGTCGTTGTTTGTTTGCGTCTCGGGCAGTGAAATCGCAGCTGGGTTGACCAGTCCATTATCTGCCATTGTGTTCGTGAATGCTTGGTCCATTGTAGCGCCGTTTCCGGGGAGTCGGTGCATGATGCGTTCGCAGTGGTCGAGACACATGTCTGCTACGTCCCAGTCTTCTTCTTCCCGTACGCGGCGAAGGACTGTGCGCAGAGTCTCGACGTTGGCGAGACATGATCGTGCAACTTCACTGTCGGTGGTTTCGAATGCACAGCGAACCAATAAAGTGGCTGTCGATGTGAGGTGGAAGGCGCTGTCTGTAGTGATTGTTAGAGATTTGCAAGCGTGAGCTGTGACAGGGTTGCAACATACAAGGTAGCCAGAACTCTTTGAAGTTGTCTGTTCGTAGCGAGGTCATGAATCCAACAATTTCCTCTGCAGATCTTCTGCATTCTGTCTGGAAATAACGACGGGCCTCAGCGTTATCCGTTTCAGCATTGTTGACCTCCTGTGAGTTTGTTAGAAATGAGGTCTTGGGGAGATTTCGTTGTGTTGCTTACATTAAGTTCAACACGGCTGACGAGCATCTTGACAGCCAGGAAAGCAAGTTGCAAACTGCTTGCTCCGTAGATACGTTCCCCTGGATGCACTGCTGGCCCTCTCAGCCAGGTTGGCAACGAGTCTTCCCACATGTCTAGATCGGTTCGGATTTGTCGCAGCTTCTTGGATGTCTCGCGCGCGGGCTTATGTTGAAGGCCATAGACCAATGGTAACAGCTCGCCCAAAGTTTCGGTCAAACGACATAGGTAGATGTGGCAATGCGCTGCTCTCACGCGCTCTGTAGAGCGAACGTGTGATGGGACTATGACATCCACAGTTGGTAATGGCACATCGTATTGATTCTTGGAAATCTGCGGCGGTACACCATGACCAAAACTTCCCCTATTAGACATTAGATATATGCATCCTGCTTGAAATGAGCTATGGAACCTTACCAACGATCGTGAATGACCACTCCCCACCAGAGACGAATCCGCTGGTCCTTCTCTGCTTGGGAAAGTTTCCAGTTACTCGGATCACGGTTCAAGCCAAGACAATTTGCCAAAGACAGCATCCGGCCACAACTGACGGCATTTCCAGTCATCGAGAAGATGGGCCGTCCAGTCAAGTCAATAAGCGCGGCGCTGATAGTAGATAGTCCGGGAGCTGAGAAGTCCTCATGTAATGCGGCGACAGTCATATTAACCGCATATCGAACATCGGGTTTCGGGTGGCAGGCTAGCTTGGGGGTATGCTGCCAATATACCAAGGACATCGAGTAAACCTGGCACACTAGCGCGGCAGGAGGATCGTGTAGGTCTTCGGCGATGTAGGACTCCCAAAATGATTCACCGTCGAAAATAGGAAACGAAACATTGAAGCGATCAATGAAGCTGCCGTGAAAAACATCATGTTAGCATTAGATGTATGTCCCGCGTAGATATCGTGAACATACAGTTTCACTAGATCGTGTTTGAACGGTCCAAGTATTTGTTCCAATACTTCCTTCTGATTCTCACCGGGGGGAGTTCCGACTCTCATACCCTTCCTCCGCCGTGAAATCGTGGTATAGAGAACTGGCTTCCGGGGATCGCTCGAATAAATGTTGTATGGGTGACTCTTGGGTTCTTCGGATTGACTGGCTCGCTCGGGTGGCATATGCTTCTCAATTACTTGCGCATCTTCTGCAACCATAGGTCCAACAATAAGAACGGACTCATTCTGAGGATCATCCATGTCCTTGCGCCGCGAGTCGCTTCCTCGGCGACCACTCGACGACGTAGTTCCATGAGGACTAGGCCCGTTGATTGGTTGACGGGACGGTATAGTCTGATTCGGGAGCGAGGGTAAATCGGGACTGCGCTTGCGCTTCTGTCCCGGATGAGTATCCGAAACTTGAGGCCCTTGCCACGGTTTTGTATCCGGTGCACTCAACACGGAAACATCCGCATTAGCTTCTTCTTGGTAGTGGCAGTCGGCCCCCTGCACGCGACACAGGAGGCACGATTGACCGGGTATATCGACGGTGCATCGCGATTTGCGCTTGCGACACAGGTCACAGGCGCGGACCTTGTGAGATCGGTATGGTCGAGCGCCGGCATTGAACCCGGGGGATGGGAGTTTGGAGGAGGAATTGACTTGAACGGTAGCTGGCGACATGATGCGCGCCCAAGAGTGAGAGCGTATATGTCGGCAGGTAGTATAGTGCAACGAAAGGTTGCGATTTGGAGACAAAAGCTCCAGTCCGGGGTGTTTTCGGAATCGGCCGATTAGCGGCTGGTCTGGGTGAGGGGTACCAGCACACGGCCGAATGCACTATGGAAGGGAGGCAAATATGGGGGTCGTATGTGTCAATGGCAGCGGGAGTGGCCAGAAATGAGTCAGGGCTATGCGCAGCACATCTTGGAACGCAATGATCAGCCTCCGTCGTCAAAATCCGGAGAAATCTCATCTTTTCCTTATCGAAGCTAAACTGCACGGGGCATGTGGGGAGCTGACTCATCCTGCTGATGTAAATCTGCTGACATAATTGCTTCTGCGGCCTCAGGCACCAGGCTATTTTTATCTAGATCGGCATCAGTTCATTGCTGTAACGCTGGCGTCCCGCATTGCCTCATGGGGCACAGCCACATCAACTTCAGACAGAATCGACTTCTCAATGCCCACTACGCGCCGATACAGTAGGTGACTATGGAGTCCTCCCCCGAAGGCTCCCTCGAGTTGCGACACTCCCCACCGCCCGACTCGCACGCGGTGTTTGATCGGCTCCCAGCCACTGTGATCGAGTGGTAAGTTGTCACATGAGACCAAGTCCCATATGTCAACATGGATCTTGGGTATATTCTACTGTTCTAACCCAAATGATAGCATCCTATTTTCCGCTGATGCTAATACATTCGCATCTTTGGCTCTTCTAAACAAAACATGGAAACATGCATCCGATACCCCGGATTTATATGCACATCACCTGTCGCACTGTCCATCATTTTCTTGGACTCATGGCGCGAATTCCACAGCTGATATAGAGAGCCTCGCTGATCTCAAACGTCTATTTATCAAGGAGATCAGACAGAATGCATACGACGTGTTTTTGCGACCTCGGCAGACCCTCGTGAGACTAATTTCAAGTTCTATGAGTTCTTCTACGGCTTTCCCACAAGGAGAAGTCTTTCGATTTTCATTTTCAGCAAATGGTCAAATAGTTCTCTGTATCAGCTCCTCTCGCATTGTGATATTGGATGTTGCATCTGATCCAGTCACTGTTAAGCATGAACTACAGACTCGGAGAAGGCCACTGGGCGCCACGGTTCGGGACGACGGCTCGCTCATTGCTATTTTGTCGTCCACACATCGGGTTCATATTTATCAGCTCTCTGATGATGAAGCTAAGCACATTCAAGTTATTACACTGAACGATGCTCCTAGAGATATTGCATTCTCACCAACAGGGAGCATTCTAGCATTGGCCTTTGAAGATAGTATCGAGGTTTATGCTGTGGGGGAAGATGCTAAGCCGACAGATCGCCGCGCAGTACGCTGTCTTCGTGTCGACGGACTTTCATTCTCCCCTGATGGGTCAATGCTTCTTGGATCTTCGACTGATTGCGAGCGAGATGGTGTTGTTGCGATTACGGCACCTTTCTATACGGAGACTGGAACAGATGCCTCGCCTGAAGAACTCCACTCGCGAATGTGGACAACGCAGATTCTTTTCCCTGAGATCACGCGCGGCTGTACTCATGCTTGCCTTATTGCTGGCCACGAGGACTCAGATGAAAACTGGGTAATGGGCTATGACAGCCAATTGGCAGCATTCAAAGCCTTGAGGTTGAACGATGTCAGTGCGGGTGTTGTGTATTTTGCCAGTCCATTTATCCCAGACGAAACAAGAGAGATGCGACCAAATATGGGGCCTGCTACGGATGATGCAGGAGAGCTTGTTGCTTTGGGATTCCAAGACTCCACTTTGTGGATTTACGGGGTACCGGGACGCTTGGACCTTACTCCTTCAACTACAGGTACTCAAAATGAGCTCACTGGTACCCAAGTTGGTGGTATTCATCACTGCGGAGGCCGTCCGCCTCGTGACAACCTTGCGCAACTTGAGAAGATCATCCAACAACCCAAGATATTGATTCGTGGACGCCGCGTCGCTGACATGAAGGGTGTTACATCTGCTCACTGGGTACGGGTGACTGATTCAACATCAGAAACCAGATCCCATCGCCGTAGACTTGTCGCAGTTGCTCCTGGTGGGGTGCGTCCGCAGATATTTGGCGCGGAGGACATCCCAGTTGACGGTGGCCGGATGCTCCTTTTAGATTTTGAACGACGCACAACGAACGGCGAGACAATCGAGCTCGATATTGAAGTCGGAGAAACGGCGCCCAAAATCCTCATGGAACCAGACTCCTCTATGGACACCGAGGTTGAACTTGAAAGAAGGCGAACTAGATTACATCGTGGAGATACCGATACAACATTTGCATCCGCTACTCATCATCGATTAGCAGCTCCCCGAGATAGTCGGACAGTGCCGTTTCATTTCCGTCGATTTAGTGTTGCAAGCCCTGCTTCGCCTACTGACATATCTCGAGGCGATGCACTTGATCTGCCATATGACAACACGCAACCTCGTTCAAGTGATGTTCTCCACCGCGCTGCTACAGCAGCTGCATCAACACGTGGGCGATATGATCCACGTTATCGTAACTCCCCCAGTCGACGAAATCTTCCACATGAAAGCGACGCCGACAACTGGGTACCGCCGCCTCCTCCATACAAACCGGAAACAGAGGTACCGTTGCCAGAAGATCTACTCAGAACCCTTCTCCCGAGAAATATGGTAGATGCCCAAGCTCTCAACGACTCTGTCAATCATCCTGTGCGAGCACAAACCACTCGCATTGCACGGTCGACGGCATCACCTCGCCCACGCCCTCAATCAGCAATTCTCCAAAGACTGGGAACCATAACCGGCCCTAGACGCAGGGGGAGCTCCATTGGCAGAGAAGATCTCTACTTCAGCCAGCAATCCGAGAGCCCAACTATCACAGCTGCCTGGGAACAGTCCGTCAACGACATCCCACCATCAACACAAGAGCCTAGCCCAATACCAGATGCAGCAGCATCCCTGGCACATCACCACCCAGCAGTCCAAGCACCGCCCACATTTGCCGTGCATCCAGCGGAACAGACCATCCAAGAAAACCCAATGCCTCTCCCATACCTAGGAGCATCCGCTCTGGGCGATGCCTACTTCCCATACTCTGTGTCGTCCCCAAACCTTCTGCATATCCCACAACCCCATGGTGATATGCAGGAGACAATAGCAGACGATGAGCATGAGATACCTCAGAGGCAGCGATCATTCCGAAGGCGGGTTTCAACGGAGCCTACAAGCTTACCACCGCCCGAGAATGAGGAATGGAGACGGCGTATACAGGATTGGAATGAACATACAATAAAAGAGCGAGGGAGGAAGCGGAGGGGGAGGTGCATTGTCATGTAGCGCCTGTCTGTCATTTATGCATTGCGTGCTTCATACTTCAATTCTATACCTTCGTTCGAGCATTATTGTTTGGCTTTCTGTACAGAAGAAAATATGAATGAAAGATATGGAGGCTCATGAGTTGTAACAGATTGTTGCCAGTGGCCTAGCTCATGCGACAGGGTCCAAGAAAAGACAGAACCGAAGATTTCTCAAGGACCACTTGGTAGCACTGCAGGATGATGTCCGCATGACCAACAATAAACTCGCTCCATCCGTGTAAAATCAAATCATCATGCCAGAAGATATTTTCTGTAACATATTCTGTATCTCACACTATATTTCGACCCATGAAATGCACCTGTGCTGGTTTCTTTAACCCGATTGAAGGAAGGAAAAGCTCGGGGATGGCGGAAGTCACGGGTCCTGCGGAAGCCCTAATAATTACAGTTAGCAGACGCAACCTCCAAACAGGACACAACCACAACATACCCCAATATTCAGCATAGTCACTTTCTCCAAAGATATCTTGTGTCTGGCTGCTTGTCCACGGGCATTGAACAGTAGATACCAGAGTTCTGTCGACACATACTGACAAACACGATCGCTGGAGCCAAAGCTAAAAGTGGTGCTGGGCTCATGAGCGACGCAAATGCAACCTGAACGAAGAGTTTCTATAGCTCGGTGAGTTCCTGAAGCGCTTGCTCTCTCTGACTCTGTTTGCGTTTCCTGGTACGTCTTCTCATTCTCTGCGATAAGCGATTCCTACGCTTAGGACGTACCGGGGAGAGAGGAGGGTGGGACTTCGAGGTGCTAGATAGGGGGTTTGGCTTCGGGTTGCTGGAGGGCTTTAGCCTTTTTGCATCACGTCTTCTTTTTGCTTGCGAGGTTTGTTTGCGCGTGGGGCGTGACGGAGGGGCTGGGAAGATGCAGTCGTAGTGCACCGAAGAAAAAACAATCCGCGGAAGTCAACTCGCAGGATATTCCGATCTGTTGGAGTGCTTTGTGCTGCACATTGAAGTGAAAGGTATAACGTGACTCGAGCAGGAGGAATTGGTTGTCAGAGTCGTTGCAATGTAATTTCGATCAAATTGTACAATGAGACGCAACCCAAATAGTCAACCCGCAGAAGGTGACTTCGAATGTGACTGACATCCGGGGTTTCGAAAATGTAAGGAAACCCCATAAAACGCAAAGCGATAGAAACGATGGACAAAGAGGTATTCCCCATAAATCAGACAGTAATTAAAAAGCAGAAGCAGCGCGACGCAGGATAATTCCGCAAAACAAAATTTTTTTTTTTTTGTTTTCTGATCTTGTTTTTTGTTGTTTTTTGGTAGAGAGTCGCCTTGGTCAATCAACTCAATCTTCAAACACCACACCCGTATGGAAAGCTTCAACCACCCTGGTCTGCCACTCCACAGAGAGTATTGTACGGCGCAAACAAACATGTGGCGGGATCAACAAGAGGTGCCCCCAGCCTCTGAAAAGGAGGGGGGCCACATTGAGAGATCCCAAGCAAACGCATTGTTTCGCCGGTATGTGCACAGCATCCTTATAACGTCAATGCCGACGAAGCCGACGAGTAAGAGGTACGTGCAGCTCATCTGTCGAATTTGTAGCAGCCCTAGCTAAGGTTGAGTCGGAATCCATCGTTAAATTTGTGTCTGACTTCTCAGGCACGGGTGTCAAAGAAGGAGGACCAGAATTCTGCTGGTGTGATTCCTCTGGACTAGAAAAGAGAGCCGGAGCTAAAGCCACAAGTGGCGTCGAAGCCAGAGGAGATGGAAGCGAGGGGCCAGAAGAAGAAGAAACTGTTCCAGTACACTCGGCGGGCGTCTGTGCGAGTTCTTCCTCCCTCCTCCTGGCAGCCTGCTTTCCGTGACGTCTTCTCGTTCTTTGCGACAGACGGTTCTTGCGTTTCGGACGTACCAGAGTAGAAACATCGTCATCATCTGTGTCTGAATGGCCCTTTTCCATCTCAAACGCGGTATCTGAAGATCGAGGAACATCAACAGGGGCACCAGAGATACCCATATCCTTGTTCCCTTCTTTCCAAGAGGCGAGAAGAGCTCCCACCAAATGGCTCACCATGAATGGTGACAGATGTTTCGGATGCCAAGGGGCAAGTGCCCACAACCGAGCCGGCAAATGATCAGGATCGGGGTATTCAGTCTCTTGATTAACATCAGACGAGTTTCGGGCAGCCAGAGAGACCAAACTCTGAGGGGTGACATTGGTGACAGGGTCAATCGGTCCGTTTCTAATGCAATCCAATTCTTGGAACTGACCAAACATCGCCTCAACTTCCTTGCATTGGATGTACTTCAACACCTCTCGATGAATCCATATATCCTCAGCCTGAGAGAGGACTGATACCAGGAGGTTCATAGAAATGGTACGAGCATCAAAGTTCGGGTCGAGATTCGCTTCGTTTGGACCGGCGATCAGAAGATCTGTTAGTTCGTAAACAGACAGACTTCTATCGACCACAAAATGCATACGTGCAATCTGTGGCTGGCCAATGAAAATATACACGAAGAGCCCGGTTCTGTCACAAAGATACCGTAGTGTGTGAGCAATGAAGTCGATAAGCGTGATCAGGAACGTAACGTGCCAGTGGACATAAGTAATATGGTACAGTAGCCAGAGCAGCAACGGTAGCTTTGATGAGAGCAAGTCGAGAAGAACAAACTGAAGGAAGATGAAGAACGCTGTCATCCAATCTATCAAAGAAGTGTTCTTGAGCCTGAGGCTTGGAGCAAGGTAAACCATGCATTCCTTGGGACGGGACGCGGTAAGCCTGCCATAGGCCCGAGTCAAGATGGGTACTGGGGACGGGGTTGGAAGTCGTGGTAGGGAGTACACTCGACTGGGACGACAAATGACATCCGTACTGCTGACACCTGTAGGAGTCGCGTACCCAGGGCCATCTACTAGGACGTAAATAGCCCCCACATCTAGGGTCAATCGGAGGGATCCAATGGACCGTCTCAAGAGTGACTCTTGTGGATCAGAGATCCCCGGGATGGGGAACCACTGACTCCAGAGAGTCAGGCCGACGAACATGATTTCCATGAAGGGAAACAGCATGTTGAGAGAGGGGGTGAGGTGAGGGTTTCTTTGCTGAATCCGAGAAGCATTAGCAAAAGTGCACAGATACTTCATGTCAGACTGTGGGGATAAGATGGTGATTGCACACACTAAAGAGAGAAAAACCCGACGTTGGATGGTCCTCGACCAGAAACAAAGCAGCGCAGATGGTGGTGGTGGCTGGAGAGGAGGCTGAAATGCGAGGTTTGGGGGAGAAAGAAAAGGAGAGGTGAAAGATGGGGGGAGAAGTTATTAAATGGGAAGAGAGAAGCAGGCTGATCAAGTAGGAAGGAACAATCGACCGAAACAGGAAGGAACGTGTGACTGCCTTCTTAGATTAACTTCAAAGGCTTTTCGCCAGGGAAGTGATTGCTAGAGTGAGGACTAATTTTTCGAGAATATGACTTTAGAGTGACTGTTAAGGTGAGGCTTAATGATTGAGTAAATTGATTTGAGAGTGACCGTGACTGCTTAAGTGATGCCTGATAGCTCAGGAAGGTCATTTGAGAAACCATTGGTCAATTCAACTAATTATTGAGATGTCCTCTAGCTCAATGTCACTAGCGTATTACAGGATTCTCATGTGATCCTTCGCTATCTCATTTACTGTGAGTGGCTTTGGAATTTTCTAAGACTAGAATTCTCCGATGATACAGTGAAAACACTAGGATCGAAAGCTAGGGTGGATGTAGGATCCTGCGAAGTGCCCATAAGGTACTATAGCAACTTCAAAAGATAAACAACAAGAACCACGGAGTGTAAAACCAGGCACCACATTCCAAGCTTGAAACAAAGGTTGATTTGGAGAGTTCCTATGAGCTTTCCGAGATCATGATTGATTGGCCTCGTTTATCCTATGTATTTCAAGGCCGTGCTGCTTGCTGACAGGGCTCGCGTGAGAGAGAAGATATGGCCAGCAATGAAAGGAAGGATGGGAAATTCGAAAAGCCACCATGGATACATTTTAGTAAGCGAAGAGATATTGGTCGTGAGTTATGTTGGTAGTAGGGGCTTGAAGAGAGGAGAGAGACAATTAGAAGAAGACAATCCTCAGGGCCACGAGTGAAAGAAGAGAAGTAAGGTGCAGTGGTCTTCTTGCTTTTCTAGCGTGGGATATCGGTAGTCAAAATAGAATATCAAAAGCGAAATTGCATTACTTCCAAACACTCTGAACGCCTCAACTCCTCTAACACCTCTAAGAAAACCGAGTATCAGGAAAGCCGAAACTCTCATCTAAACAACAAACAGAATAAGGATAACCACTCTTCAACTCCAACAGGAACCTAAACAATCTAAGCCCTGAAACGACCACGGTGGAAGCGGGGCAAGAAGACAGGCACAGGCGCAGCTTCAGTGGCCTGCTCAGACGGGGCTTTAGTGCCATTCGCAGGAATAGTCATATTCGACATGGTCGAGTTGCTGAATGTAGTTGGGGTGTTTCCAACTGCCGCTCGTCGAACCACATATGCCCGCTGGGTTGGCTTGACGTGGCCAGACTTAGTGCTGGACTTTGTCTCGGACTTTGTAGTCTCTGATTTGGAAGTCAAGGTACTCAAGGTAGAGGCAGTATTCCTGGTAGCAGGACTCGAGATTGTGCTTCTGCTGATTCTCTCTCTGGTGCTAGAATTTGTCTCGGACTTTGTAGTCTCTGATTTGGAAGTCGAGGTACTCAAGGTAGAGGCAGTAGTCCTGGTAGCAGGACTCGAGTTTGTGATTCTGCTGGTTCTCTCTCTGGTGCTGATTGGGATGAAGGGTGTCGAGGTGCGTGTGTTGGTGCTGGTACTAGTGCTGGTTCTGGTGGATGTTGTGACTCCGCCGCTGTTGCTGGGAGGGACTCTTGTTGAGCTGCCTCCTCCGCCTGTGGTTGAGCCACCTCCACCACCTCCAGTTGTGGTGGTTCCTCCTCCTCCTCCAGTTGTGGTGATTCCTCCTCCTCCTTCTCCTCCTCCTCCTTCTCCTCCTCCGCCGCCGCCTGGATTACCACCACCACCGGGGTTACCGCCGCCTCCGCCTGGGTTGCCTCCTCCACCACCACCACCTTCAGTGGGGCAGGGACATCCACCGCCAGAAGATGGAGTAGCAGTGACAGTGATGGTAACAGCAGGGGGACAAGTGACAGTCACAGGCTCGACAGGGATAACTACAGTATCCTTCGGACCCGAGGGACATACACTACAACCGCTAGAACCTCCTGGTGCTGTGGTGCCACCACCACTTCCTCCTCCTCCAGTAGTGTGAGAAGGATGCTCGGTACCAATTCCACCACCTCCACCACCTCCACCGCCAGTAGAACCAGTGTTGGAGGGATGAGTAGTGGTAGGCTGCTCAGTAGTACCACTACCTCCCCCAGTGGTAGAAGTGTGAGTAGTGGACCGCTCGGTATTACCGTTTCCACCACCGCCAGTGGTAGTAGTGTGAGTAGTGCTGGGATGTTCAGCGGTACCTCCACCACCACCACTAGTAGGAGAAGTCTGGCCGCCATGGCTTGGGGTTTCACCTCCACCACCGCCGCCAGTGGGGGAGGTGGTAAAGGCTTCAGTGGTGGAAGACTGGGTTGCAGGTGTTTCACTGCCGCCGGTGAGAGAAGTGGATTCACCAGGCGAGGTCACTGGGCTAGTGGTTGGTCCTCCAGTGCCGGGGCTCTCGGGGGTAGCAGTTGTCGAAAAACCGCCTCCTGTGGTAGGTCTGGTTCTGGGACCAGTGGATATCTCAGGGCCACCAGTCGAGGGACTGATATTGGGACCAGTGATAGTTCCAGGGCCGCCAGATGATGGAGTGGTGGGTGTTTCGGCAGTGCCAGTCGAGGGGCCAATGGAAGAACCAGCTGGAGCACCAGTCGAAGAACTGGTGGTGCCAGTGGTGGCAGTTCCAGTCTCCGTACCGCCAGCCGGCGAGGTTTCCGTTCCACCACCTCCAGTAGGGGAAGTGGTACCTCCACCCTCTTTGGTAGTAGTAGTTCCACTACCGCCAGCCGGAGAAGTAGTCTCACCGCCGCCACTGGTGCGGTGAGTCGAGGACGCCATCTCCTCTGTTATAACCGAAAGCAACGAGCTCTCAAGACTGGGGTGATTATGGCGCTCTTCCAAATCCCGCTCTTCGAGACGGCGGCGATCGTCAAGACTAGGCTCCAGCGCGACATCTGGAGCAGCCGCAACGCGCTGGAGGAGCGTCCAGGAACAGGCCAGCAACAGCAGGCACTTTCTCGGAAACATAACTTAGACAGCAACGTAGCGAGGTATGTGCAGGATGTCTGAGCAAGGCAAGGCTAACCTAACTGGACAGGCACAGGAAGAAGGATAGACACAGAGATAGCAATATCAATTGTGCAGATAGATCGCTTTTGAATTGAAGACTGAATTGGGTGGTAGCAATATCAAGCACAACGTCAGGATCCAAAGCAAAGATAAAGATATGAAGCAAAAGCAAAATAGCAACTTGGATGCAGGATAGAGCAATCCAAGACGAAAGAGAGAGAAAGCAAGGATTCCAGGTAGGTAGGGAAGCAGCAGAAGAAAGACGTGGCCATCACGTCGTGTATTTATTGAAAGACAAGAAATGGATGATGGCCTGATGAACACTCAATGTCATCAGAAAGAGTCAGAAAGACAAGGTCTAGTGCTTTGATGTGATATCGCTGTTTATCTTGCCTCTTGTGGACTAAATAGTGGTTCCGTGGTGAGAGGGGGACTTGGCTGTCCTATTGGAATTCATTCCCAGGTGTCAATCCATGGGTTTGTGAGGGACTTTGTCGCCATCATTGTGACTAGATGTTTAGATCAGGGGAGGGGTTGGGCTTGTTCTTGCGGATATTTTATACGCCCTGGTCAGCTCCAGCCCTAAGTCGGCGCAACTATTATACGTTCCTATGTTGTTGAATTGAATCTGGATAGTCTATAGCTGTGATTAGTATCATAGAAACTGGCTTCTCTTGGCTCATATACTTAGTGAACCATTTTGGTCTCAATAACAAAAGTGTTCCTGGTGTGCATAGACTCACCGGGTTACTCGGGTGAGGAAATGTCATCCGCTTGAGGCCCTGGAGCGGGATGTGATGTCCGCCTCCCAAATTGGGTCTCATTTCATCATTTCTATGGAATCATTGCAGCGGTCTATAATTATAGTTTTACAACGGTGGTTCGGTGTCTGCATCACAAAATAATAGATATTAGATGAAAGTATGTACAACAGATAACGCAATGAACAAAGGCTATTGGAAATTTGGCTATGGATGCAAGCTGTTCGTGTTATCGCTGTAAAAGCCAAAATTGAAGCAGAATAACGAAGCAATGGTCTTAGTCTTGGAAAATACCCCATTTTATGTCTACCCTTTTAATTTGTGAATCATGAATCGTGTCAGTGTTACCAGGTACCAATGTTGGACCACCGAGGTAGGATATAGTATCCGAGTTCGAAGACCAAGTTCGGGATTAGTAGATTGCGAGGGGGTTACGCCAGCCAACCTCAATAACCTTTACGGCGGTGCAACATGCCAGACCAGCCGCGTAGCAGACGATAGTGAATGTGATCAGACCCCAGTATGAACCATTGCAGCGCGATAGGATTTCACCGGCGATGGGAATTCCGGTCAGAGTACTGTGGCGAACATATGTTAGTTGTGTGACATCACAGATAGAAAGTAAGATAAGAATGGACTCACCCGAAGCTGACAATGGTGTAGGCAGTAGCGTAATACCGGCCGTAGTTTTCGGTCTTGCAGAGTTGGCCGACACAGACAGGCGTCAAACTGATGTTACTTCCACTGGAGAAACCGAAAAGTGCGGAGTATACAATCAGTAGGGCCATACTACTCCCCGCTGGAAGCCACAGGCAGGCATTGCAGAGTAGGCAGAGCGCTACTGTTGCAATAAGGGTGTTGAAGCGACCCAGGAAATCGGCAAAGAAGCCTGGAAGCCATCGGCCAAAGAATGAACCGGCATTCAGGATGGCGATGATTTGATAGGAGAACTGAGTTGAGAACCCGTGATCGAGAGCGTAGGATGAGATATAACTAATCGGCACGAAGAGACCCCATTCGATGAAGAAGACACTAGCAGTCGTAAATGCGAACCGAGAATCGCGGAAGATGCGAAAATCAGGGAGAATATTCTCCTTGGAGAATGGCTTCTGGGGCAGACGAGATCTGATGAGAAGGTTTGCGAGCCCCAGTACAACCAAGCAGATCAAAGCAACAACCCGGGTCGCCCAAGCCCAGCCAATCTTGGGAAATAGGCTTTCCAAAATCAAAGGAAAGGCGATTCCTCCAATGGAACCACCGGTAGCAGCCATTCCAGTTGCGACTCCACGTTTCTCATAGAAGAAATGGCCGATCGCCGAGATGGCCGGGGTGAAGATGAGAGAGGCTCCGACTCCACCCAGAACACCAATAACCAGCATGAAGTGCCAATATTCAGTGCAGAAACCAACAAGGATGATCATGGCCATTTCAAAAACGGAGCCTGCGAATACGAGGAGGCGTGGGCCACGTGCGTCGAAAATAGGACCGATTTGTACTCCGCAGAAGAAGGTCAGGAATGCGAACATTCCAAAGATCCATCCAATACTTCCAGCACTGTATTCTTTCAGCTGATGGGTTTGGATATAGGCTTGGAAGGTGGCTATGGTGTTGACCAGCCCAAGCGACCCAAATAGGCCGAGGAAGCTACCTAGCACTACCAACCATGCTTGGAGGCCACCCTCGGGGTAGGTGTTGCCTTCTGCATCCGTCGTGACGCGACTGACAGGGTCTCTTTGGGCTGATCTGTGAGACGGGGCCACTGTAGATGCTGTTCGGTAGACTTCATCTTGTGTGGGTTCTCGCTCCGAGGCGTGGTTGGTCAAGTCGGTTTGGGCATGCTTTTCATAGTCTGTGCCTTCAGCTTTAGTCTGCTCTTGATCCACGCTGACAGTGTTCTTTTCAGTAAGGACCGTCTCGGTTGCGGCAGTGGTCATGATATCAGGTCCATGGTCGCCAGACTTGGTATTGGCGGACCCAACATTGGTGGACATTCTACGGAAAGAGCCGATGTATAATTCTCCGCGTTTTCTCCACGTTGAAGGTGGCTTGTCTGAGAGTTGTGAATCTGGGGGATCTGGGGTGAGGTTGAGATAAAGAGGGGGTCGGTATTAGCAATCGAGACTTGGAGTCATATGCAAATGCAATGGTGAAATTTTGCGCGGAATGATTCCCATTGGTGTTAGGGCGGCTTCTGGTCCTCTCTATTCCTCTCTAGTCCTCTTTGAGGGTGTTGGAAAAATCAGATCGCAAGTTTATTGGCAGCCGCCGAGTGGAGTGGAGCTAACAACATCGGGCAGGTCCAGCACAGCCAAGACAATGTATACCTAAGCCAATGACTTGGTCTTTCACCGTATTTTGGGATTATGACTCATGGAAACTATATCCTTGAGCTTGAGGAGTTCTCAGGATCTTTAGGGATGCTATCTTACGGTAGGTCAAGATATCTGAACTTAGGGCTACGCTATAGACATAGTTGGCGGGTTACTACATGCCAGTAACACTGAGCTGGCTACCCTTTGTCGTTTTCTGGTATTTCAGTAAAAATTGTTAGAGCTATTATACAGTGGAAAGATAAACTAGTCCACCTAGCATCTCCATCATCATTATGGCTACTGCATATCCCAGACTGGTCTGGATGAGAAAATATATAACCAGTCAATCGACGAAGAACCTTCACGATAGCAAGAAAAAAGATGAGTAAATGACTGCTAAACTATCTTGCATCACATAGCATAAGAAGATCTACTAAAAAGAGACATCTACGCATAGGTGCTCGTGATAATTAATTTCAATGCTGACAGAATTTGTCCGGTGTGGTAGTTTTGGAACATATTTCATTTTGAGCTGGTTCCTTCCATCGAACTGGGCTTGTGGTTTAGTGGTATAATACTCCCTTAGCATGGGAGTGGTCCGGGGTTCGATTCCCCGCGAGTCCATTTCTTTTTTTGATTTTTTGCTTTTACACCCATTATATAACGAAATAGACTTGACAACTTTATTTTGCTCATTAAAACAACACAATCTGCTACTCTATGTCGTTATCAATGAGTTACATTGATTCGGTGAGCGCCGAGGCTTAGATAACGCAACTGCCGCAAACGGCCTATACCCTTATCAGTCCCATGTACCAAGCCTCACCAGCTGATCGCAGGCGAACAAGCATCACTGAAAGCTTGGCATCATATTTCAATCCTTAAGCTGCAGGCACAGGCATAATCATATTCAGGTACCATCTCCCACGAGGTGGTTGTTTTGGCGACCTCGGCCGTTCCCGCTCCCCGCATTTTCAATGGATATAGTCAGGGGGCGACATGATTCGGCCATCTTCAGTGTATCTGGATGAGTCACCCGGTTATTACGAATATTAGATCATAACTATCTCAACAAAGAAATCAGACATATCCGCCACCAGGCGGTTGCTGCGATCCGGTTGTCCCAAGCCACCGTCAGGCAACCTCATACACTTCGATTTGCATGATGGAAGTGGAGGCTATGGTGCTTAACCGACGGCTTAGTGAGGGGATACACAGTAATCGAGCCAATTGAAAGCTGTATTTGCTCTTCATATACAAGCTTTACTATCTCAAATTAAAAGATAACCGTCGTTCTAGCCGGAATCCGTCGCTGCTCCGACCCTGGTCACATCTGTGCATAATCCCCTCAATGCTGCAAATAAAGTGGTGACGATGCATGAATCATTTAACCAAACAGCAGTCTTGCTGAAATGAGAATTATACAACCAAAAATGTGAATGAAAAACAAAATAGTGGCAAATTAGTAGACTAACAGACAAACAGCCGTCTCCGGGGTTTGGCCACAGACCCCGCCGAAACCGATATCAGTGGGGAATCACAGTCGACAGGGGCCGCGGAGGCGTAGAAGAAGCATCAAATAGTCCGAAGCTAAGCAAGTTTTCCAATCTTCCAATCACCTTCTACCAGTCCTGGGGTATATAGCTGTGCTTCCCCTCACTCAAATGACCGAAAGAACACTCCACCTCCCTTTTAATTTCTGATTCGGGCCCTCCAAACAGACCCCAGCAGAATGTTGCTCAAATCAGTATTGACACCTGCACTCCTGGCCCTGTCACTGGGCTCGGGTGTCGTGGATGCCTCCAAGCATGGCAAATTCGGACAAAAGGCACGCGCGCCTCAGGAAAGGGCGAAACGAGCCATTGAGGCTCGGAATGAGGAGAATTCGCATCCTAAGAAGGATTTTCGCTTTTTGAGCAAGCATACTAAGCGTGGGTGCTAACCCTCGATGATAAGTCCAGTCAAGTGGAACTAATGGATCTTTAGCTTACTTGGTGGACTCCCTACCCGATGTTCCTTTTGATCTCGGCGAGATGTACTCTGGTTTGGTGCCAATTGATCAGCATAATGAGTCTCGGGCGCTGTTTTTTGTTTTCCAGCCTACAATCAATGAGCCTGTTGATGAAGTCACTATCTGGCTTAATGGTGGCCCTGGATGTAGTTCTATGGAGAGTTTCTTGCAGGAGACTGGTCGGTTTTTGTGGCAACCGGGTACTTTTGCGCCCGTTGAGAACCCTTATGCTTGGGTTAACTTGACTAATGTGCTGTGGTGAGTATTCTACCCTGGATTTAAATTGTGGATTGGTTGTTAAAGTCGTGAAGGGTTGATCAACCTGTCGGAACGGGATACTCAATTGGTACCCCAACTGCCGATTCTCAAGAGGAGACTGCGCAGGACTTCATCAAATTTTTCAAGAACTTCCAGAAGCTTTTCGGAATCAAGAACTTCAAGATATATGTCACTGGAGAGAGTTATGCCGGAAGATATGTGCCCTATATCTCCGCTGCCATGCTGGATGAGAAGGACAAGGAATACTTTGACCTTGACGGTAAGTGATGATGATGCCAAGGACTGAACCTTGTCTGACATATCTCAGGTGCATTGGCATACGACCCATGTATCGGACAATTCGACTACGTGCAAGAAGAAGTCCCCGTCGTGCCTTTCGTCCAGCAAAATGCCAATCTCTTCAACTTTAACGAATCATTCATGGCAGAGCTTGAGAAGAAGCATAAGTCCTGCGGATATGAAGAATTCATCGACAAATACCTCACCTTCCCACCACCCGAACACCAACCCCCGATGATCTTCAACTACACCACAGACGCTGACTGTGACCTCTTCGACCTAGTCTATGACGAAGTCTTCCACATCAACCCCTGCTTCGACCTCTACGAAATCAACCTAATGTGCCCCCTTCTCTGGGATGTGCTCGCCTTCCCCACCTCACTAGACTACCAAGCCGCAGGCTCAACAGTCTACTTCGACCGCGCAGACGTAAAAGACGCCCTCCACGCCCCAAACATAACCTGGTCCGAATGCTCCAACGAAGCCGTCTTCGTCGGCGGCAATGCCGGCCCCGAACAAGAAGGCGACATTTCCGCAAACCCAATCGAGCACGTCTTACCACAAGTCATCGAAGCTACGAACCGCGTCCTGATTGGGAACGGTGACTTCGACATGGTTATCATCACGAACGGCACGCTCATGGCTATCCAGAACATGACTTGGAATGGTCATCTGGGATTCCAGGAGAAGCCTTCTACGCCTATTGATATCCAGATTCCTGATCTGCTGTATGCTGATGTCTTTGCTGAGAATGGGGCTTCTGAGCTCGATGGGCCACAGGGTATTATTGGTGTTCAGCATTATGAGCGTGGTCTTATGTGGGTTGAGACTTATCAGTCTGGTCATATGCAGCCGCAGTATCAGCCTCGTGCTGCTTATAGGCATCTTGAGTGGTTGCTTAGACGGACTGAGGACATTTAAGTGGGGTGTATCTAAGTTGGAGATGGTGGGAAGATATATATGTGGATTGAGGAAGGGGTTGAGTACATAATGGATATTAGTATGTCATTTTTTGCATACAAATCAGAATCAGTAATGAAATATACAAACTTGTATTTCCGAGACAGACCGCAACTTATCTAGGGATGTAGATCGTTGTTATCGTCGCTTAACCTTTACCCCGGATATAGCCACGGTATCTCCATGTGGTATTGACTTCCCGGTATTGGCTAAACGTGCATGGTTTGTAGATGTTTCAGTGCACCGGGAACTGTTGATTGTTTCCCAATTTTCCTATCACACATGTTGAATCACTGTTGTGATTGATCAAAGTATCGTCGTTTGGCGATATCACAGCCACCGGAAATTGCCTGCCGCTTTGAGTAAAGTTATCCCTCCCGGCAATGTCACAGATATCAGAAAATAAGCAGTGTATGTAATTTGTTTACGGAGCCATGTTGTCATCTACTCACTCTTTGAATTTCCCTCGACTAGAGGTTTCCATGCAAGTTTATCTCCTGCTTCTCCCCCGAGTGGATCCCTTCCCTTTATGAGATGGAATCTTTAGTCTGTGAGAATGAAGTGTAATGGATTCATACATGGACATATGCATCTTAGAGCCCGTTGAATTAGTTGTTCCTGAATTGACCAGGTGACAGTGCAGCAGTGGCTCTATGAATACGAGATGAGAAATCTCCATGAATCATACTTCAGCTGGGTAGTAGAATCGACTGTACAACCCTTGACCATTGCTTCCAATGTACGAAGTAATGTAATACGTCGACGAAACTGGTCACACGAGCCTCACATTGCATAGTAATACATCCATACGAGCCCACGCGATCAACCCTTGCGCAGTTGAAGACTGCCAAGATCAAAGGCTCCAACGAAAAGGTAGGTGTCTTAGCCGTACACCAGCAAAACCGCCACTCAGAAGGCAAAGCCTATCCCTAGTGTAATATTTCCCAGTTTACATGCTTGACATACCAGCCCATGCCAAGTCAAAAATCCCAGTGGAGATGTATACGTACAGTACTGGGTATTGCCGAGGACTCTCCACCTCCACGGGGAGAGTCATGATCTTATCAGCAGTGTAATTTATAAGATTATACTTCAACATAATTGGACAAGAGCAAAACTAGTCCCATCCAAATGCGGCATAGATACGCCCTCGCCAAGCCCTAGGCGCTTTGGGCGCTCAGGGATATTCAAAGCTTTTGCATGCTTGATCTTCCTGTTAGGGCTTGGATTTACAGGGGTTCATGCTCGTGTGGTATATTGCGGTCATTGTACAGTAATCTACAATGATATAATTGAAGATCTGGAGACAGGAAAGCCAGATAGAGTCCGAGATGACGTTGTAAGCACGTGGACCACATTGCATCCGGCCTTGATGTCCTACATGAAAATGGTCTTGCGAAAATTTTCCTATGTGGATCGCGTACTACCAATGGGAAATTGGTGTCGCGAGTTTGTTGGGGGTTCATTGGTGCTACCATTCGGGCCCTTGCGTATGATTGTTAAACCCGACTCACGGCCGACATCTGTTGAATTCCAGATGAGCTTCCTAATGCAATCCCATGATTCCATGAAATTGTTGCGGCCAGAGAGAGAGAGGCTGAGGCTGAAAGGAATGTTGCCCTTGGTGGCGCTCAACTCGGGAGAGGCTCGTGCCACCAAAGGCTAATGAGCCCCTAAGACGTGCCGTCAGCCACTATACTCTAGTCATAGTCTAGCCTCTCATGATATCTGACTAAGTCAAGTTTCTCTCTCAATTTAACCGCAAGTAGCCCGAGGACAACCGAGTGGATGTTGTTACTGAACTATGGAAAACATGTATGAGTACCCCAGTTCCGAGCCAGTCCTGTATTGTTACATGTCACAGTTCCACCAACTTTACACACTAGGCCCAATCGGGGAATATGGTAATTTAACTGACTATATACAGAAGAAAGCAGAACCCACCTTCTTTCTTCTTTGTCCACTTCCCTCTCTGGTTCAGCTACTCTAGGCTTGCCTTACCTTTCTATCTATCCTTTCATCTGTGGTTCACATCCTCGGAGTAATCACTCTGAGAAAGTCAAGATATCTGTTTCCAACGAAGGCCAATCACTCCCTTCAATCCGATTCCGCACTTCAGTAGCAAGCGATCTTGCATCACCTTGGCGGCAGCAATATACCGGCATCGACAGCGAAAGCGACAATTTCAAAGCATCCATAGCGATTAGCCCAGATCCAGACCAGTCCTTGCGCCAACTTCGGTCTCACGACAGAACATCCCCAGAACTCAACAAAAAAAGACCCGATTGCAACATCTCATATCCGTAGACTCGTCTTAACTTGCCAACTTTGAACTTCCCTTGCGAAACTCGAACGGACTAGACCACGCGACCAACTCGACAGATAGCAGCAATTCCCGCAGGCGATTTTTCCCGATTTCTTTTCCAAAGCGCCATTTACATAGAATCATCATGGGTCTCGAAAAATTTAACCCGTTCAAAAAGGACCGCCAGAACTTCCCGGGTGTCGTTATCCCGCTGGCTGGTGCCCCCGCGCATAGCCCTACCCTCACCGAGAAGGACGACAAGGAAACCAAAAGCTTGGACTTGGCGTCTTCTTCCGAGAACGGCGCTGCCGGCTCTCAAACTGGCTCTACATTGACTTTGGAAGCCCTCCGCGCAGAAATTGAGTCCGATGTTGCTACTGCGACTCATGACTCGGCCTATGATCGTACGTTCTTCTCTCCCGTGAGCTCTATGTGCGCTCCCGCCGAAGTTTCATGTGACTTGATTCTTGGGGGTTGGGCTAATTCAATACAGGCAAGGCGAAGGTAATCAACAGAGCTTTGCAGGATATTGGCATGGGCCGGTATCAGTGGCAGCTGTTTTTCCTTTGTGGGTTTGGTTGGACTGCGGACAAGTAAGCTTTCTTCCTTTCTTTTTGCTACAATCAAATTACTAACATCTATCTTCTAGCCTCTGGCTTCAGGTGAGAAATGATTGTTAGATCTCACGTGGATTGAACTAATCATGTTTAGGGAGTTGCCCTAACTTTGACCCCCATTTCTTACGAATTCGGTCTCTCCAGTACATGGGTGCGTTTCACGACCTGTGCTCTGTTCTTGGGTCTCTGCATCGGTGCTTCATTCTGGGGTATTGCCTCTGATATTGTTGGCCGTCGTCTTGCTTTCAACACTACACTATTCCTGGCTGGTGCCTTCGGCCTGGCTGCGGGTGGTGGCCCTACCTGGATTGGGTAAGATCTCCTATAGAACAACAGTATAACATTTTGCTAATCGAAATTCTAGAACATGTGCTCTTTTCGCTTGTCTGGGTCTTGGTGTGGGTGGTAATCTGCCCGTCGATGGTGCCCTCTTCCTGGAGTTCTTGCCCTTCATCTCCGGTAACATGTTGACCATGCTGAGTGTCTGGTGGCCTGTCGGCCAGCTGATCGGCAGTCTGCTTGCCTGGGCCTACATCCCCAACTTCAGCTGCACAGGCTACGAGGGCTGCACCAAGGAGAAGAACATGGGATGGCGCTATCTGGTGCTTACTCTGGGCGCCATCACCTTTGTCATGTTCATCCTACGGTTCTTCTTCTTCCACCTGTACGAGTCTCCTAAGTACTTGCTCTCTCGCGGCCGTCAGGAAGAAGCCGTCGCTTCCGTTCATGGCATCGCCTACAAGAACCGCACGCAGACCTGGTTGACCAACGAGATCCTTAACGAGATTGGCGGATACCCCGAGGCCCAGGAAGAGAAGGCCAAGCTAAGCTACGGACAAATCATTGGCCGCTTCTTCTCCAAGTTCTCCATGGAGCGCATCGGCCCCCTCTTCGCCAACAAGCGCATGGGCTTCAACACCGTCTTGCTCTGGTTCTGCTGGGCCACCATTGGCATGGGATACCCCCTCTTCAACGCCTTCCTGCCCCAATACCTTGCCACATCCGGCGGTGAAGCAAACTCCAACTACATCACCTACCGCAACTACGCCATCACCTCCATCGTCGGTGTCCCTGGCTCAATTCTGGCCTGTTGGACCGTCGAGATCAAATACATTGGTCGCAAGGGCACAATGGCAATCGCAACTCTTATCACCGGAGTCTTACTGTTCTGTTTCACTGCCTCTACAAACTCCGACATCCAACTGCTGTGCAGTTGTCTTGAGGCCTTCTTCCAGAACATCATGTACGGTGTCTTGTATGCCTACACACCGGAGACCTTCCCTGCACCTAACCGTGGTACCGGCACTGGTATTTCCAGTTGCTTGAACCGCATCGCTGGTCTCTGTGCTCCCCTTGTGGCTATCTATGCCGGCAGTTCAAACCCCAACGCGCCTATTTATGCTTCTGGTGCATTGATCCTGGCTTCGTTTGTTGCTATGTGTCTCCTTCCTATTGAAACTCGAGGTAAGCAGACGCTGTGAGGATCATCACGGCCAGTGTGATTCATTCAATGCCCGAAAGAATTGCGTGATACACCAATAAAAAACATACAACAAAAGAGCAAGTGGCAAGCAGATCTCGCCACGTCGACATCCTAATCGCGATCTGAACGAGACCAATGGATGAACAGAGGTGTATACTGCTTTCCACCAAAGATCCGCGCCAGACGGAGTGTTGACGCCGACACTTCTTCCCGTCTACAATCGGTCCAAGGGACCTTCTTCGAATAGAAAATTTTTCCCTATCAGATACGAACTTTGTGATATTTGTGAACATGTACGATTACTACCCTACATATTTTCCATGATTATGTTATATTATTCGATTTGCTAGTTATGGTTATGATGATTTACGTGTGTATCATGAATGCAACCCATATTATCAGAGTTCGAATTCTATTTCTAGCTTCTAGTACTTAGCAATTCGGATATCACATTCCTTGCCAGACGCCCATTTTCCAAGGTTTTATTGTGATAACTTATGACGTAAGAACCATCCATACCCAGCCAAGGAACCTTGAAACTTGCAAGATGAAGGAAGTACTTTCGACTACAAGAAGGAAGCGAGAACAGTAAAGCAGGCAATAAACGGATATCCAACTTAGACCGTAAGAGAACCAGACATGATCTTGCCGCATTAGTTCAAGTCAGAAACGCCAAAGAACAATACGAAGAAAGATGTTTAAGAAAAAAAAATAGAAAATCCTTAACAAATATGTAGACCCTATGAAATGATAGCAAAGAGAGCAAAAACAACTCCATTCCAGCCCAGGCAAGCACCACAACTCATAGAACACGAAGAAGAAAACCGCACATCCCCCATTTTCCAATCGAGACCACAGAAGCATGCAGATATTCTTCGCCGGGTAAAATCCTTAACGCGCAAACAGCTCGAAACCGATGAAGTCAAAAGGGGAGAAAAGAAGATAAGAATGAAGATAAAGATAAAGAGACAGTGCCATGAGAAGAAGATAGGGTCAACTCAGAATAAGAAGCGAAGAAGAAAATATGAGAAAAAGGAGATCCGTAGAGAACATGAACATCGCTCATAAGCAAGTGCTGGAAAAGTTATGAAGACGTCAAGAGCTTAGCCCTGAATATTTGTATGTTCTTGTCTATGCCACCGGCTGATTACGACGGCCACGCTTTTCGAGGAGAGTGGCGCCGTCGAGGGTCAGCTCGAAGGGTTGTTGGGGCTTGCGCATTGTGCTCTTGGCCGCTGAGGCGACGTTAGCATCGTGCATGCCGTAGCCTTGGCGGGCTTTCTGTTGATGGGGAGCGGCTCGTGCTTGCGCAGCGCTGCTCTGGTTGCTGAGATTTGTCGAGCGGAGCTTGGCTTCCATGCCAGCCATCTCGCCTGTTCCTTGGGCCTTGGCTACCTTTTGTGGGGGCTGCTCGCCTAGGCGGTGGCTGTATTCTGGTTCGTCGTCGTAGTCTTCGTTGAGGGCGCCGAGGGCCGATTGGAACCCAGCTGTGCCGCTGCGGTTGGAGTTGCGCATATTGGTGCGGCGTTTGCCTTCCTCTTCTTGTCTGTGGACTGCGTAGCCAACGTCGAAGACCTCGCGGAGGTTGAATGCGCCGGGGGATCGGAAGTCCATACGGCGGTCGGATGTTACGGAGGGCTGGTCGAGAAAACGGGCACTGGCGGGTTGGTAGGGGCCGTGCTCGGCGCTGACTGAGTCGAAGTGTTGATCCTTCTCCGTGGGTTGGAGGGGTGTGGCCAAAGGGGGAGCATCTGCAGCGGCGGTAGTCTCTTCGTCTGTGCCGCGGATCCAAGGGTGCTCGAGGAATTCCTTGATGGTATACCGCTTCTCGGGGTCGACGGTGAGAAGGTGGGAGATCAGGTCTTGGGCCGACTTGGAGATGTCGTCCCACCATGGTGACAGGAAGGTGTATTGACCACGTGCGACCTTCTCGGTGAGGACCTGGATACTTTCGTCGTAGAATGGAGGGAAACCGCAAAGCAGGGTGTAGAGCACACATCCCATGGCCCACATATCCACACTCTTGGAGTAGCGCTCATCCTTGACGATCTCTGGGGCCGTATATCCGACTGTTCCACAAGGGGTCATAGTTTGGCTATCCCAGATCACCTTGGACAGACCGAAATCTGCTAGCTTGATCTTGCCAATGCCACCTGAGCCCTGGCCAGGAATGAACTCTCCCTCATCTTCCTTATCTTCATCACCGGGTTGCTTGGGCTTGGGGTTTTTGGTGGGGACGTGGGGAATCGGGTAGAACAGGAGATTTTCGGGTTTGATGTCACTTGAGCAAGTGTTAGCTGGGTATCAATATCATTGGAGCGGGCCACAAACCGATGAACGACACCTGACGTCTCATGCAAATATTCAATTGCTTCTGCAACCTGAGTGATGACATGCCGACTGAGATCCTCGCTGAAGTAGGTTAATCGCACAATCTGATGGAATAGTTCGCCTCCGGGGCAAAGCTCGAGGACGATGTAGTAATATTGTCGGGACTCGGAAAAGTCGATCAACTTGGTGATATTGGGGTGGTCAAGATTGCGCATAATCTGAACCTCCTTGAGAATATTTGCTCGCTGGAAATATGAGTGTTAGCGATGAGAGAGGTGAATGAGGAACGTTTGAGGAACGTGGACAGGGCAGTTGATCTGAGGCGAGTCACAATTGCCACAGAACAGGTAGAGCTCGAGAATTAAAAATGCGCACCTCGGCCGCCTTGGGGACTTTTTTGACCGTGGGATAGTTGGGGTCGTTCTACAAAACATATTGGCGGTGTTTTCTACATGGACGGATTGCGCACCATGTAGTAAGGAAAGAAGCCAAGGAAATAAAGGAAAAGCACTGGTGTCTTACCTGATTGCTGTTCATTTCGAACTTGCGAACGACCTTGATGGCCACCTCGCCATATTCCGTTGTGCTATCCTTGGCGCGGTAGACATTGCTGAAAGCGCCATCACCCATCTTCTCCATCAGGATCCAGCGATCCAAACCTGGGTATTTGGGCATTTTGGATCGACTCAAATTTTCTTCTGCGACTAAGCGTTCAATCTCAGCAGAGCGATCTTGCCTGATCTGTGAGTCGGGCTTCTGCTGCGCATTGGCCCGGCCTTCCGGCCCAAAAGCTTCCAAGGCGGGCGAAAATTGGCCTAATGGCTGTCGCTGTTGCTCGGCATGAATAGTAGAAACGTCGGTGGTAGGTTCGGAGTGAGGAGTGACTAGGCGGGCCTGCTTGCCATGCCTAATGAAGTTCTTGATATTCTGTATCGTACTCATAATGCCGTAGAGAAGAATGTGCGACGGTGTCACAGAGGGGAGGGGGGGGGGTCGGAAAAGAAGACAGTCTAGATAAGAATCAAGAAGAGAGGAAGGAAGGAAGGTAAAAGACTTCTCCACCAAAAGGTCAACAGTGTCAAAAAGCAAGAAAAAAAGGGGGGAGAAATGAGGTCAGATATTTGGCGGGGGGAGAAGTCAACGCCTATGACGACGTGCGATCTTCGTGCGATGTCATCGTTGTTGCGGCTTGGCCACCGCCAAACTTGTTCGCTGTTTTCTTTTTTTTATATTACTTCGCGTTTGCGATATATCGCCTTTGATACTCTCATGACGGTTGCTAATATATTGAACTTTTCTCCGTCCTATCATCTGTGGGTATACACTCTAGCCCGTTGCCTCTCTCTAACCCCAGGTCTCACAACCATGTTGGTTTCCGTGACCGAATGATGAACAGCAATCCTGGCTTGTGTGGAGAATATACCGTCATCACCCGTTGCCACATGCTTGGATCCGGATTCGAATTGTCTGTTCGATATTCTATTGCTCTGCACTGTTCCTATTCGTGCGGACGGCTCCGACATTGGCAATATTGGCAGATTGGCATTACCAGGAGTGGAATGTGAAAGTCTGTTCCCAGATATCTGCATCCAAGCATGCGCAAGGAGGATATAAGAGATGAAAGCCACTTGTCTCAGGAACAAAGATTAAGGATTATCCACATGGCCTGTAGATCGAAGGCCGCCGTGCTCCGTAGAGACGTTAAAGAGCATACAGTTGTGGAGTGCATGGGCCAAGGGGAAATAGTATCTGCCTGACATTTGTGCATTTGATCTTCCTTATTGGTGTGCTGCTCTCCATTTTTCTCAGAGTTGACACTTGAGACGTGACCCAGCCACATACGAATATCGCCAATCTTCATTTTTCAACTCTCCAACTGTTTGACAAAGCATAGTCTGTACTAATCGCCCTTATCGGACTCGAAACTCGACTGATCGACTCCCTTGCATTGTGCAGAAACAAAGTCTCTTGTTTTAGATCCATCAACTTCCATCATTGGTCGCATCACTGGTCGCAGAGTGCTCTCGCGCAATGCGACCCTTGCGGACTGATTGAAACATTCCAGGTCATGATCCATATCTAAAGGCTAATTACCGCCGACGCGACCGTGGATTCCCATGGAAATGCCGGTGGAAGTGATGGGACTGGAGGATTCGCATGCACTTGAACGGCCGCTGTTGAGGTCTCATAAGGCACTCCCTCGGCGGGGCATAACCATACCCAGTATCGAAGTTATCCAACCGGTCTCGCCGGATCATAATGGGACACTTAACGCGACACCTGCACCACCCTTGACTCCTCCCGGCCACGACGTCGACCGAACTCCCCGGAAGATGGACTCGTCCCTGTCCGACCTCACAACTGGGATGTTGACCCCTCGCCGCGCCTCAAAGCCGCCGACACCTGAAGTGACACCTCCTCGAACGAACGCGAATAAGCGACCTCTGTTGAGCCAGTTTGTGCATGTTTCCTCATCATCGCGAGCCGAATCATTCCAAACGGCAAACGAGAACATCTCTTCGTCTGATGACATGGACACCCCGGGGCGCTCGTCTCAGACCACGACTCAGACACCGAGACAAAGAAAGCCATCAAAGCCACCGACCGCAACTGGGTCCCATTCATATTTCACCAGCGCGAGAGAATCTCCACTGGTTTCTCAACAGCCCAGCGACACTGAATACGAAACTGGATTCGAGACTTTTGATGGAGATTGGACTATGAACACGATGGATGACTCTCCCACACCAGCTGGGAAGCGAAAATCTGCACGGAAATATCCTCAGCTGAACGATCAGCCATGTCTGGACAATAATAGATTGGATGTGAAACACTTAGATGCGTCTTTGATGCGGGAGAAGAAGCTGCGAGATCGCGTTCATGGTGCGCATGAACTGACGAACAGTTCATCTATGGAGCGATTCCGTGAAGAGATCGGTTGGCCATCACCAGAAGATCCAACCAAACATGGCGATCCTGTAGCCCGTCCTTTGTCAGACATCTCGTCAACATCAACCGTCTCGGCGATGATCATCGACTCTCCCAAACGAGCCCAGCGAATGCTCCGGCATACTGAAAAGCGAAGCTCGTTGCGATCTGCCAGCTCTCCGATCACCCACTCCGAGCGTACCTCTTATGTGTCTCTTCCCGAATCGCAACATCGATTGGTCCACAAGCCCGCGCGCATTTCCGAACAAGGCTATCGAAGCGCATCATCAGGGAGGTCATTCTCGGCCAAGACTAGCAACAGCGCAATCAACCCCAACATCGAAACTATCAAGGTGGTGGTTATACCGGAGCGAAGTTCATCCCTCAACTCTGGCCGCAACAGCTTTTCTTCTTCTAAGCCGGGTTCTCAGCGATCGAGCCGTCGTCCCCCGACTACCTCGACTGGTCACGTAGACGTCCCACGACAGAAGAAACGTACCATGTCTGACTCGGTGTTCACACACTCTCGCGCGACTGATTCGAGAAGTCGTTCTATCGGTCGACCTGTCATTCCACCCCGAAGTTCATCGCTTTCAGCGCCAACGAGTCGGAACAATTCTCGCGCCACCTCTCTTACCTCAGCCAGTTTGCAAAGCCACAATATGGCCATGGATCTTGAAATGCAAAAGCGTCGTGATCAGCAGCCAGTGTCTCCGCCTCGCCATAACGTTCTGTCTTATGACCCTAGCGACTTTCTTGAAGTTCCCAACATGCATGCATTTGCAACCGCTGATGATATGACCTTGCATCCTCCCTCTTTGCCGTTCACCGGAGGATCAATCCCGTCGTCTTCGCCAGGGCCGATAGAAATCCAGGAGGCCACAGCTGTCAGCTTTTTTGCACACCACAACCGATCCCTGCTACTTGTTGATCCTAGAATGCAGTCGTCCAGACGTCCTCTCCAAGGGGTTGGAATCTCCAATGGTCCAGTCTATCTCCACACACCAGACAATCCAATTCAGCCAGGAATGATAACTGTCGACTCGCCGTTGAAGAACCCTCGCCCTCCACCCAAGCCACCAGTGGCGAAGCCTCTTCCTCCGATCCCCATACAAGAAGGTGAAAAAAGCTCGGACGAAAACAAAGGTCTCAACCGACGATGGAGCTCAGTACGTCGCACCTGGAACGCTCGCCCACGATCCGAATCCTTCAACACCATAGCACGATCATTCTCTATGAAATCAGCAAAGAACCGAACAACAGGAATGGAAATGGACAGTCGCCTATACCCCTTCTGGCGACCTCGTCCATTCTGGGAAGGCGTATCCGATTCTCCTAACAAGAACGGCTCGCCAACCCGCCAGCTACCCCAGAACCGAAACGACTCCTTGGTAGTAAACAACACTCTCGGCCTTCCCCAGCAGCGAATCATCTTCGACGGCCCGCCCGCGTACGCACGCCGCAGCCCAGAAATGAAACGCCTTTTCAACGGAATGACCAGCAACGGCAGCTTAGTCGACCCAAGCATTTTCCGCACTGCATCGCCACTACACCCATCTCGCTTCCGGGCCCTCTCCCGCTGGGGCTTGCGTGTCCAGTCGATGTCCTGGCGCAATACGCGCAACAGCCTTCGACGTTTGCGCCAGCGCCGTGAAGAGCGCAAGCGTGCCGTCCGAAGAGAAACCCTCAAGCAGAGTATCGGTGGCCCTGTCTATGTAGCATCCAGCGCTACTACCGGGGTTGCCGGGCGGCAATGAATGATGCTCTCCTTTCTTTGCTTTTGGCCCCTTGTTATGCCCGTTTCATGCCCAGGCCTGGTTGTGTGGTAAACACAACCTGACGATATCACGATGCATCTGGGAGTCACTTGCCTTTTTCTCGCTCTGCCTTGAAAATTTAAAATTCGCCTTGATGCCCATGACCCGGAGATCTATGCTTTGAAAAGAGATCTATGATGATTATGAAACATGACCATGAAACACGACTTTTGTGATGATGATAACGAACTTACTGCTTGTTACCCCCACTGCTTTCCTAAACTGCGTTGATTATTATTTGTCTCTTTTTTGTTTTGAATGTACCATCACAGTAGTTTATTCCTACGCTGAGCGTACGTATTTATCTTTTATCTTTCTTCTTGGTCTGTTCGTAAATTTTTCTCCGAGTAGAGCTCATCGTGTCTGAGATCACCCCCTGCGTCCGGAGTTGTGTAACACTGGGCGGTTTACTTAGGAATAATCTGACCATTCCAAGTATCTATGATCTCATGGTTGAAGCGAGATCCAGAGGGACAAACAAGGCAGCTAGACTATAATTGGCTCAGGTACCAGAAAGCGTGATCATGGATATACTTGACTATTGATTGATAATGGCAAAGCTGAGTAGACCAAAGATAACCTGAATCTTCTACGATGCTTGCCCAATATCACAACCACGAGGATGACCAGCCTTCTTTCAAATTGGACTTTTTCAAAAGCTACAAGTCACAACTAGCACATTTAACAGTCCTAGAGAACTCATTTGGGCATTAGCATGAGGGATAAATAATCCTGCAAAGGTCTCTCATTAAAGAGACAGTATAATGGATACAACAATGCAGAATGGTATAAACTAGATCATCTCTATCCAAAATAGAACAGCACATTGTATATAAGATATCACACCCTATGCAAAAGAAGACAACGCCCAGAATGCAAAACCATAACCACGACACAACACAAAATCTACTCAGCCCTCCTCAAAACAGCAACAACACACCACCTCTTCCGATTATCAACACTCTCCCCCTCTCTCTCAGGCATCCACTCCCGCCGAATCTCCCCACCCCCCTCCAACCGCTCAACAGTATCCCTCTCAAAGATCCTCTCAACAACAAAACCCCCACGCACAGCCGTCTCAAAGAACTGCGCGACAATAGGCCGCCCAGTGTGGAAGCCCGCAACAATCCACACCTTCCCACCAGGCGAGAGGAACCACTGCATAGTCCGAGTGAGGTTCTCATGCTGCTCCGGCATCCAGAAACAATCCGCGGCACAGATCCGGCTGAATTTCCCTTTATTGGCTGTTGAAAAGGGGTCGGATAATACGCCCCATTCGTGAGGGTGCATGCTTATAGCAGCGTTCACGGGAGGGTTTCGGTTCGACAGGTTGTAGCTTGTGTTGAAGGCTATTGCGCCGCTTAGGGCTGGGCTTGAGGGGTGGTCTGTTGCTGCAACTGTGGTTGCGTTTGCTAGGGCGCAGATTACTGATGGGAGGGCGGCGCCTAGATAGTTGTGTTAGTTCCTGCCATTCACAGATGCTGTAACGTTATACCAAAAAAGGTAAGACCGTGGGGCATGGATATACTGACCAGCTCCCAATTCAAGAACACTCTCTCCCCTAACCCCCCAAATCTCCCTTGCCTCCTTTGTAGCCTCGCTCTCTACCTCCCCCCTTGACAAAAGGCATATCGGCCTCCTCGACACCCTCGGCAACGACCATAGCAGCACTCCAAAGGAAATGCGCGAATAGCTTCCGGCCTTCGTCAACTGCATTGACGGTTCCGTCGTTTTTCTTTTGGCCTGCTGCTATCTCTTCGTTTCGGTTCTCACTGGAGCTTGGGTAGGAGGGGACCATTATGTCTAGGTTGCCATAGCGGGGGGAAGAATAGAGGAGGTGTTGGCCTGGGTCGCCGTGGAAGGCTGGGGCATCATCTGGGAAGAGGTGGCCGAGGAAGCTGCTGAAGATGTCTTCTTGGTCTTCTTCTTCGTCGGGTTCATTTTTGTTTTCGAAGTTTGGGGTTGGGACGGGGGCTTCGGAGGTGTTTGTATCTATGGTGGGATAGTTGCGGCGGGGGAGGGGCCGTAGGCGGGAATTGAGCATTGTTGGTTGTTGGGTTGGCGTTGAGATTTGTGGATTGGGATATTGGTTTGGATGGTGTTAGCGATCGTTTCAATGACGTCTAGAATTGAGTCAATTGAGTAGACCTGACCTGACTGGACCGTGGTGGGCAGCAATATTTTTGACTGATTAGATCTGATTCTGAACTGTTGTTTGCATTGATTGTAGTGTATGCATTGTTTGTATCCAATCTTGGATATTACATAAGATCTCCAGGTTTCAACAGGGCTGTCCCCATGAGTCACGTCATTTTAATGGGTACTGGAGAAAGTGAACTTTTTTTTGGTATGTATGTATTGAACTGCATTGATAAAAAAAAAAGTAAACATACAATAATGTACTCCGAAAATAATACATCGTAAGATCTACATTGACCAATGTCAGCTCAGGCACAAGAATGTGCCAGAACCAGATCAGGGGCCAAAAATAATTATAATGTGACTATGACTGTCGGAGTAATGATCCCCTCCCGCTATTAGCGTGCAAGAGGCCTGTTCATGCCCAGGTGGCTTTGACACTCAGCTGAGATATTACCTAAGAAGACAATTAGTTTGTATAATCCAGAGTAAGGTCAGAGTTGTCGAATCACAGAAGATTGACTGATACGGGTGTATCATCCGTTACTGGTTATCATATGAATCATCGCGTCACCTGATAGCGACTGACCAGTGACATCACCAGATCCACATCGTGGTCAGCTAGACCGGTCGATGCGCTGCAGGTGATCTGGTTAAACCGGTAATGAGTACTGGCGAGGTACCTGTGTCGTTTGTGTGCGGGCGACTTCTGATACACTACAACTTAGTGACTTGATTGGTACAAGGGTTGATCGACAGGCAACTGAATATTCACCCTCCTAGTCACTATATACCTAAGTAGGTAGGGAATGCCAAAATGATAGCTGACTAAACTGGCTTCAGCCTCGGTGGTTCCATGGAAATCATGACCGAACCAGGGCGCAATTCCCCTGTGCGGAACGCCATTTAGGAAAGTTGGCGAGTGCCAGGCCACAGGCCACAGTGGGCACTGCCACTGGGACAAAGATTCGCAATTGTGCCCTGCGACTTCGGCTCCACTCGCACAGTGTACTCTGTACAGTATAGCATAGATGCGATATAATATTATAAAGACTGTATATTGAAATATAATAGAGACTATAACGGAATAAATATAGAAAATATAGAAAATAAAATAATGTGCCCGGTGATCCCCCCCCCCCGCATGCTCAAAGGGAAAGGCCCCCGCAAACCTGAGCGATTTTGGTTCATACCGGACCTCTTTCTCCTTTCTCCTCTTTTTCTCCCCTTCCACCTTTCTTTTTTTTTTTTTTTGGCCCTTACTTCTCTCTCTTCTCTACTTTCTATTATTCCTTCTCGCTCTCGTTGCTATTCCAACTTCTCTCAACTGCTTCGGATTACTCACTCCGCGTCATTCCACCTCCTTTGAACGCCTCTCCGTGTCTTTGGGGGCTTCAATTCCATTGAACGCTTCCTCTACTCTCACCATGGCATCTTTCAAGGTATGCCCCATCGCCAGCTACTCTCGATTGAATCTAACATTCTCCCCCGGTAGGAATTGTCTATGTCGCGTCCTCTCCCCAACCCCAGCCAGCGATCCCACGCGCACTCCATCTCCCTCGGTGCGGTCAATTCACACCACCGTGTCACACGCCGCAAGAGTGTCACTACCGCTGCCGCCAATGCAGCCGCCGCCGTCGCTGCCTCCATGGAGGGCGGCGAGTCCACTTCGCTACCCATGCACCGCCGCAGCCTAGGAGGCCGCAAGGGACTGGAATCCGGCTCTGTCGGCAACGTGTCAGGTTTCAGCTCATACCTCTCCCGCAGTATCAACAGTCCTAGCCAGGAACCGCCGGTCGCCCGCAAGGGCTCCCCTGGGTCGGAAACCGACGCCAAGCTCAAGAACCGGAACCGTCGCGCCAGTGAAGGTGCCATACTGAAGACCGAGGGGAAGCGTGTCCCGGCAGACCTGCGTTGCGATCGCTGCGGGAAAGGGTATAAGCATGGCAGCTGCTTGTCCAAGCATATGTGTGTATCCCCCCTGCCGCTCGGCCGTCTTCTTCTTGCTCGGGATTATGCACCATGTCGGCTCTGTGCAGGTCGCCCTCGTGGTCATTCTATTCCCCCTTCGTCACAGTTCCCCTTCCTCCCCCTTATCTCGACATTTGGTTGACGTGCTATTTTTCTCATGGTAGGTGGGAGCACGACCCAGCATGGGCCGTTACTTCGAAGCTTCTCATCTCTAAGCACCAGCAGGTTCAACTGCTGGAAGCCGCCTCCGTATTGGTCACCATGAACCACGACGATCCCCCCGATGAGGCCGCCGAGTTGGCCGAGCTGGAGTCCGAACTGTCCTCAGGATCACCGGATGCCTCGTCAGAAGTGCGGGACGGAATCAGCTCTGCTGAAACTACGCCACCCCCGATGGACGAGGAGGAAGACGACGATTTTGAGATGTCCGGTGTGCCGGCTCACTGGGCCAAGCGACCCAGCGTCAGCAACGCCTCGGGCTTCTCTCGTTCCTACCAGTCGATTCCCTCCAGTTCGTACAATGAAAGCGCGCCGCTGCACTCCCCTGCCTTCTCCCACTTCCGTCACTCGAGCATCGACACCCGGCCCTCCACCGCCGACACGAGGTTACACGAGGATGATGAGGCGGATCTTGCCGCGGCCATCGGTCTGTGCAATTTCGGCACTCCCCGCACGGGGCCCGTTTCTATGACTCCCGATGTGCCGCCAGTGCCTCCACTGCCTGCGCGCTATCTCGACTCGAGCAGCCACCCGAACAACCAAAGCCCCCACTCGGCTCAGCCGCACCCCGCCGAGCAAGCCCGCCGAGATTCCGAGGCCAACATCTTCATTTCTCGATCACTCAACCCGTCTCTGTCATACAAGGTTTCGGATGAGCGTGAGGTCCGTACCACCGGCAAGGAGGCTCAGGAGTCCCGCCAGCGCCGCAATGCCGATGTGGACTTTGGCAACCGCTCCGCACCCGCCGACGACGACGACGATGGAGTCTTTGGCCGCATGGAAGAGTGAAGACTTCATCCATTCAGCGCCTTCAGTCACCGGGTCCTCGACCCATTTCACGATCTCATGTACGAGCTTGAGCGAATTTTTGAAACCTTCTTGTTTACATGTTTACGACCACCCAGAGAGAATAGAGCAGTGGTCCAGCTTAATCATTCTTTGCTCTTTTCTCTACGGCGTGAGCCCTTCTCGGGACCTTTCTTCGCCTTTCGAGATCCCATGTATCAACCATGTCTCCTTGGCCCGTTTTGTGCTTTATGCTCTGTTTTGTTTTGTTCTTGAACCACCCCCCCCCCCCCCCCTTAAATTGTCAGCTTTGTATGGCTGGCGCATATTCATCCTCATCAATATTCATACGCATTTGGATTAGTGTGTTTCGTTTGTCCTTTTCCCTTTTGGCTACTTGATTTGTCCTTTTCGCCTCGCACATATATACCAAACCAAACTCTACGATCCGCCCTTGATTTTTTATCACCCTGTGCATCTCGTCCGTTCTCTCCATCTCCGTTCTCTTTGCCTCCCTCACATTCTCTCCCCCGTCTCTTTTCGATTCCTCTCCATGTCTCTCGCCTCGGTCTCTCACTCTCGTGTACTCAATGATCCTCGGACGGGCTCACAATGAATATAACCCATGAAACTAAATGATCTTTACTATTGTAGTTGTAGATGGATCTATGAGAATTAGATTCGGTGGTGTGCTTTGGAGCAATTGATCACGTCGAGTCCATGAGTCTGGATTTAGGCGTAAACATATAGATCTTACTGCGAAATAACTGTATCATGTGCCTCAAGACAAATTGAAAACGGAACATAAGGAATTAGACATTTGACACTAAATCAATTGAATACCAATATTGTCAATTTGTTCTCATCTCAAATACAGAGTACAAGTAAATAGATATCAACCAATTAGGACGCAAGAAGGATGACCAAGTAGTAAGTCCGTCAATCAAAGCAACAAGCTAAAGCACCAATAAAGCGAATGTAGTATAAAATCGTCATTGCAACGCTCAACATCCACCACCACCCCCACAGCCTCCACCTCCACCACCTCCGCCTCCACCGCATCCACCACCACCTCCACAACCGCCTCCGCCGCCGCCTATAGGACATGTTAGTCTGATGCTTGATTCGATGGATTGAGGGTGGGAAGACTTACCACATCCGCCTCCGCTGCCGCCGCATCCACCTGCTCCGCCTAAAGGAATGAGAAGTCAGTATCTAGACATGATAGAGGGTGATGGTGAAGAACATACCACATCCACCTCCACTACCAAGACCACCACATCCACCAGCAGCTACAGCACCACCTTATCAAAGTCAGTACAGAGCAACCAAATATCAACAAAGAAGGCGAAAACATACCACAAGTCCCAGAACAACAATTACCAATAGCCCCAGAAGTAGTACTCATACAACCAGGATTACAAGCATAAACATCAGAATTGATACACGGATCCGCCATATACGGCGCATAAATCGGCACGAAAATCGGGAACCCAAACGCATACGGCATATAATAAGGGTCAGCAGCCGCATTCCTCTCCCGCTCCCTCTCCTTCTCCTTTTTCTCAGAAGAAGAAAGCGTGGAAGACTTTGATCCGGACCTCAACCGCCCACGTTTTTCAGCCCGTCTTGCAGCCTTCTGATAATTAGACCTGAGCTGCAAATAATTCACCGAGCCGCGGTGGTCAGCTGCGTACAGCGAACTAGGCCGGACGGCATTATGCGCTGAGATATGCGGGTTCTTGTTTGGGTCGGAGGAGATATCGGGACGATCATGTAGCGAGTCTGCGGCGTCGCGGGCGCGGGAGGCCGAGCCAACTGTGATAAGTCTATCGTAGAGGTCTGGTGTTCGGGTTGCCTCGCAGTACCAGCATGTACACTCGGAGTAGACGGCGCCGTTCGTGACGCGGCGGTAAGTCTTGCTGGTCCAGGCGAAGCCATCGGAGAGTTTATCCTCGTCGACTTTGTCGTCGTGGTCGATGAAGACGCGGATTCCTGCTTTTGTGGGGTTGCTAGTGCTGTAGGTGTAATAGCGGGCTGGAGAGAGTTGGTGCGTGTGCCAGGCTAGGTCGACGTCGAGGGTTGGGACGGCCATGTTCTTTGGGTGGTCCATCATTATTTGGAAGAAAACTTCGTATTTTTTGATTAGGCGGGTCATTGTTTCGTGGACTGTTGGCGAGTGTAGCCAGTCTATTTGGTCCATTTTTGAGATGAATGTTCCTTGTCGGATGACCGCGCCGACTAGGTCCAGTGCGAATGGACCTAGGTTGTCCCAGTATCTGGACATTAGGCGGCGGAAGTGGATTCGCTCTTCTAGGCGTAGACGTCTGACGTAGATGTTGCCGTGCGCTTCCATTAGGGCTTTCCGGTCGCGGAGTTTCGGTTCTAGTTCTTTGCGTAGGTCTTGGATATCTCTGCACCAGTCTACTCGGGGGTCCGTAAAGTTTAGTAGTTCTGGGCCGACGGCTTGCAGGAGTCGTGTGGGGAAGAGCGTGTAGTGGAGGCTTGGGTGCTTGTTGAGCTTGTTTGGTCCTTCGGGGATTCCGTGGAGGTTGGTGAATGAGCCGGGCATTGGGATGTCGGCGTGCATTGTTGCTTGGAGGTCTTTTCGGAATTTGGCGACCTTGAGTCGGCCGTGGTCGATTGTGTGACGGCAGTGAGAGCATTGTGTTTGGAATGAGTTGTCTGCATAGCCATCGCCGAATCTGAAGGCGTTCTCGATGGTCTCTCCGAAGAGAGCTTCTGTCCACTGGACAGTGACCATCTTTATACAACTAGGACATTGGATAGTCTTGGTAGGCGGGTCGTGCAGATTGTTCCATTTGATGTCCAGCTTCTGCTCGAAGATCTTCTGGGCCTCGTCAGAGACATTGAATTCCAGCTTGCGGTTGTCAATGCAGCTGTCGATGATCTCCCAGGGGAAGCCTGTCTTCCAAGTGCTCATCTTGCCATATCGGATACAATCCTCGAGATAATTGCGAGGATTCAAGCAATGAGCATGCCACACCATCAGAATATCTAACAAGTAAATTAGTCTGAGATTTCTGTAAATGATATAGTTCACTTACCGATCGGAGGCAGATTATCAGGACTCCATGCCACTAGAGTCTGTGGGTTGATGATATCCTCATAGTCCGCACTTTCCACATCACTCAAGCACGCGTTCTGTCTTGACCGTGGGAGACCAGTAGTCCACCATGCGGTATATCGATCAACCGCACGAGCAGTGTACACAGCCCAGCGCTTCTCGCGGATTCGGGCCCGCGCTTCATTGATCGACTCTGGGAATCTGTCGGCTTCGGCATCTTTGATACCAAAGAGCCCGTCATCGCCAGAGATATTCTCGCGCAGGTCTGCAAGCACAGCTAGGAATTTGAGATGTGCGATACATTCATCCCGACTGATAGACTTGGTATCGGATGATATCTTGAGGTTTAACTTGAACTCCGCAGATAGTTGCGCTTCTGGGTCATCTGAATATGACGGCGGTCGCTCACCGGAGCTAGTATCGCTTTGTTTGTCTTTGGACATTTTATCTGTTGAAACACCCATTGTTGAGTATAGAGAGAGATTCAGTCGAAGAGGGGAATGTGCTTTATAGCCCCGGATACCCCAGGCAGTTCATTTAGGGGCGTAAGCCTGAATCCAAGGAACCAAGGAACATCTTCAACGTGGAACCAAAGGACTAAGCCCTGCGAGGCTAAGCTTCTGAACTCGTTCGTATTTACCTCCGAGATCTATACACTCACTATGATTGGATACTACGTAGAGGCGAAGCTGGGCGCTGGGCAATGTCTTGCACTGCCTCGGCTACTTATGGAGAACGGCCCCCAAGGCATACCGACGATCATGATCTCATGGTCCCATGCAGGGCCTTCTAGTGTGCTTCGATGCTGTTTGTGGCAACCTTTACCATTTCCTATTCCCAGTCGGATTACAAATTCAAACATCACGTGTACTGTAACATCACCTCATCGCCATCACGTGTGTGTCACAACACGTGACACAATCTGCCCAGCTCTGAGTCAGGTGACCAATGCCCCTCGCTGACTCATCGCCGAGTCCCAGACGGCTTTCACCGAGAACATCGTTGTATGTCGTCAGTTGACAGGAAAAAAAGGAACAAGTACAACGTCAATTGTCCAACTTTGGCAACGTTCATTTTATTGAATACGATCGACCAAATAACCGATCATACCGGGATCCCGATCTCGACTAGGTCAAACGTCATTCAGCCTGGCTTCTCTCGGGCGATCGAGTGGCATCGGAGGAGGCCAGGCAACTCTGGAATCCACTGTGAGCGCTGATAATGCTTCAGTCGACAGCCCCGTAATGGCGGGTCTCAACCAGTTACCTGTCGCGGCCGATGGCATGCCCGGTCGCAAACGCAATGTCACCATGGCGGGGATCGACAGCTCGCCGGGAAGTATGGAGGATATGGATGACCACGATGCGCGCGAGGAGAAGAGACGTCAGCCCGTGAAGCGCGCTTGCAATGAATGTCGCCAGCAAAAGGTGTGGAATTTGCGCGCTCATGAAATTTTAGACTGATGCTAACCTTTTTTGGATTGCGATAGCTTCGATGCGATGTTGTCCAAGATCCCTGGACCGATTGTTCGCGATGTCGCCGACTAAAGCTCGACTGTAAAATCGAATCGAATTTCAAACGTGTTGGGAAACGCAGTCGCAATGCGGAAATGGAGAGGGAAATTCTCCAGCTGAGGAAGCAGATCGCTACGGGTCAGCCTGTATCGTCGCTCCCTCAACAACCGCTGGCTGCCGGCCAGCTTACTCCCAAGCAGGAGTCAAATCAAGTCAGTCCTGCGGTGTATCAAACTCCGTCGGCGATGTCCGCGGATCAGTACATGGGTTCTCAGGAAGCGGTGGCATCCTTGCTGGACTTACGCTCCGGTTTTGATGGTGCCAGCTATTTACGCAACGGAGGGCAAGTCAAGAGGATCGAGGATGTCATGGTTGTTCCTGAGAAGGTGGTGGAACTGTTCAATCTGTAAGATCCCAATTGGTAATTCAAGATTAACCCTAACATCGTCAGTTTCTTCACATACTACCACCCATTCCTCCCATTCTTGGACCAGAAGCAGTCTCCGGATGAATATTATAATTCTTCATCACTGCTCTTCTGGACGATCATTAGTGTTGGTGCGCGACGATACCAGGGCGATTCGAACCTATTGAATTCTCTCGCCGGTCCAGTTACCCGACTAGTTTGGAGTACCCTGGCCGATATCCCTCAAAACTACCATGTTGTGAAGGCTCTATCTTTGCTCTGCTCATGGCCATTCCCCGTGAGCAGTACCTCAACCGATCCAACATTCATGCTGTGCGGAATGATGATACAGGTCGCTATGCAGCTGGGTCTCCATAGGCCTTCCCACACTCAGGACTTTAGCAAATTCAGGGTGGAACTGATCGAGGAAGAGCTAAAAGACAAGGTTCGAACGTGGGCTATTTGTAACATTGTTGCCCAGAGGTATGTAACAACCGCTTCCCATAACCGTGGCCTCGGCTTATCTCTTCAGGGTATCTACTGGTTACGGGCAGCCACCGTCCACTCTTTATGATTGGACATTATCCTCCAGTGATGCACTTGACCCAAACTTCAAGCTCCCAGAAGATATGAGACCAAGACTGGAAATCGAGAAGTTTTGTGACAGGATTACTCGAGCGCTCTATACGAATCGAAAAGACCCTGTCGGATTAACCAGTGACCATGAACGGTCAACCATGATCTCGTTCCTATCCCGAGATTTCGAGGAGCTGGAAGAACACCTGAGAACGCAGAATGATTGTAAGCTTCCCAGTCTTGTCATATGTATCTGAAGCTAACCAATCAGGTATTACTGATTTATACCTCCGTGCTGCCAATCTTCATCTGCACTTGTCCGCTTTCTTTGATGAGCCTACTGCAAAGGACTATCGGGAGCGTGTTTTGTCTTTGTATGTTGCGACGACATCATTCCTCGAGGTCGTCCTAAATCTCGAGACTGGGGTCGGTCCGGTCATCTCCTACACACCATATTATATCTATCAAATGATGGTTGCTGCTGGATGTACACTCCTGAAGCTGTGCAAGAGCTTTTTTGCCTCTCACATCGACATGGATTACACCAAGCACCTATTCAATCGCACAATCTGGGCCATCCGCGGAGTATCAGCATCTAGTAACGATCTGCCTGAACGCCTTGCAGAGGTGTTGGCCCAGATGTGGAGATTGGGAGGAGCAACCCAACGATCCAACAATAGCACCGACCTCGACGACTCCCTGCGGCTCAAAGTGCGTTGTCGTATGAGCATGTCCCTGCTTTTCGACTCCGTATGGCGATGGCGGGAGGATGCACGAACAAAGGGTCGAAACATCGAAGGTTAGTATCATCCCACCCGATAAACCCTAATGTTCTGACCTTGTTTTAGCCTATTTGAAAAACCCAACAAACCCCGACTCCGCCGCCGATTCGTCGGCCACCTCATCCGTCGGGCCTGTACACACATCAACATCCACCCCTGGAATCTCCGGTGGAGATCCCAGCCTTGCCCCAGCACCCTTGCTATCCCAGGCCAGTCTTGGAGTCCAGCCACCATCCCAAGTCAATGGGCTCCCAAGCGGCTTCATGGAGCCTAATTACGAAGTTTTCGATCCGTTGAACTGGCTGCTTGACGGGTTGGTAGACTTACCCTATTCCTACTCAACCATGAATGGAATGGAAACCTCGGGCATCGCATAGACTGAACTAATTTTTTTGGCGTTATGGCTTTATGTTTGCGGGCGTGGTTTGCGTGTTTGTATCATTATACCACATATTCGATCGCTGATACACCCCAGAGAGTCTGCTTCTGCCTCTTGGATACCTGTTTATATTTTCTTATGAGTCTCGTGTACGAATCTATATTCATTTCTGTCATTAGAACATTTAATGGACTAGTATCCTAGTCGCATTGAAAGTAGCCTCGTGCAATAATAATTTCGTACATTGCGCAATGTATATCACAGTCCGTTATTTTCGTCACTTCTCGAGCACGGAGTCGCGTTGTAGTATGTCTCGAGGAGTGACTTCCCGATGCAATAGCTGTGTCTTATTACTTGCCTGTTTCCTTCTCTGTCCTCGCTCCATTTCCAATCCTACATTGTCTTCTTCTTAAAAGTCGTTCTTGTTCTTTTTTCTCTATTGAAAATTTGTTTTCACGGCATCGAAGCATCATGTATTCAGAGCAGTTATCTTGTTGGTTCGAAATACTGCAATGGACTCGAGAAATCTACCTTCCACCTAGGACTTCATATCTCTTCGACCGGTCATACTTTATGTTTGCGTTATAGCTGTGGCTATAGCCCTAATCACATCGGTCGCACTGGTCATTAACTCAACCAACTTGGCAAGTTCATGATTTGCAGGTCGAAATCTTTCGCTGGCTATATGAAAAGCTCGGCCATCCGCGGGAAACGGACATACACTGAGGTCATTGGTGAAATGCTTCTGTTGGAATTTGCCTTTATCTACACATCGGCCTATGTATGTACACGCTTTGCACGTGTTCTCACCGCTGATCACCCAAAAGGGACTATACGGAGCCATTGCCGAGCTAGCCCATCGCCCTGAGTATATTGCTCCCCTGCGAGAGGAGATCAATGCTATCTTCGCCAAAACAGGGACCGACCATCCCAGTCTGTGATGCTATGGTCTTCATGGACAGTCTCCGAAAGGAGTGCCAGCAACTGCATCCACCTGCAGCCCGTGTGTCGACAGCAGATTATCAGGAACCCGGCCATGCATCTAGTATCAGCCCTGCACCCACGACCTGAAGCTCTCGAACGGTAGGTCTCAACCCCCAACATGAGACCCTGATTTCCAACTAACGAACAACTAAACAGACAGGAACAATCCTCAAACAAGGTTCCCCCGTGGCCTCCCCAAGTGGCCTAATCCAATGCCCGAGCCCAAACTACGAGAACCCAAACGACTTCGACGGCTCCCGCTTCGTGAAGCGCACAGCAGCGGGAGCCAAGAACAGCCGACTAGTTGACCTGAGTCCTGACTATCTGGCCTTGGGGATGGGCGCGCATGCCTGGTAAGTCTGATATCAAATCCACATCCCAATTGATCGGTACACCCCGTCAAGCGCCAATGTTGGGCTGTACGCCCATATTTCTTCATTTGAGAGAGGAGAAGATAGGGGAGTAGGGGAAATCAGGAGCGTCTCGATTTCAAATTGAACAGTCCGGACTCTATGGGCTGACACTTGGAACTTATCTTGTTTCTCCATTAAGTCCCGGCCGATGGATGGCTAGCGCACTCATGAAACTGGCTTTTGCTCATATTCTTACTAGCTATGACCTCGTCTTGCTGGAATTGTCTATGGGGTCTTTGACTGGATCGCTTTCATTTGAGGAGTTTTATGTTCCTATTTGCATTAGTGGGGAGGTAGGAATTAGTTGGAATACACACAGTAATGTAATCATAAAGTCATGCTTATGTGGTGCATTTACTTTCTGATCTGGAATGTGGCTGCTTTGAGGCGTTCAGTGTCAATCTATACCTGATGTAGCGCTCATCTTCTTAGACCTGCATACTCTCCTTCATGTTAACAGTGCTCTTGGCTATTGAAATTAGATCCTTCATTCTTTTCATTCTTCCCCCGACCTGTAGAGAGAGAGAAAAGGTCAGATTAGATGATAGCCTCTGTTTTTTTTATATGATGAGGCACTTGATAAAAATAAGCAGATATATTCTTAGGGAGTACAGGAAAACATTTTACAACACGCAGCAAAGACAATACACAAAGGCAAAAGACAAGCACGGAATTCACTTGGTATGCGCAGCAAGTAGATTCGCGGCAAAGGACGAGATGTGTTCCGAGTGGTCGTCTTCATCACTATCATCATTCCCAGGCTGGCTGTCGCCGAGACTCAAGTAACTAATGCCTTCATCAATGAAACTGATATCAGACCTGGCAGAACTAGGCTTAGAAGGCGAGTTCTGTGATGAGGCCCCGGTTGATCGACGACGACTCTTTTTCGACGAAGTCGAAACTAAAAACTTATAATTTCCAGCAGGAGGTGGGAGCGCCACATGTTTCGAGCTGAAATTGCCATCTTTGTCGTAAGCCTCAGTCACTCGAAGATCAAGTTCATTCTCTCCACGGGCAAATTCAACCCATTTGTCAAAGACGGTTACCATGTCGGCTTTGCCGATTTGAATCCATTCCTTGTGGGACTTGTCACAGCTTTCGCATTTCTCCGTGAGTACACAGTGCTGCTGGAATAGCTCGGCGAGGATTAGCTGCTCGATTCGACGAGCAAAGGGTAGGAATGCATTTTTCACGATCGTGATGTCTCCGTAGCACCGCCGGTGAGTGGAAAATCGATTCTTGATGTCTTTTGTAAATCCCACTTTGAACATATCTTCTTGTCCAGGAAGAGAGATAAGATAGAGACGGCCAGGCTTCTGATCCAGGTCTGTGAGGGGTTCGTATGCCTTTTCTGTCACTTTGCGTGCCACGTCCTCTTCAGGGCTCGCTGGTGTTCCCGACACGCGGAGCTTGAACTTTGAGGATGGTGGCGTGGAATAGATGGTCTCTTCCAATGGTCTGGAAAGGATCTCTTGCAACCCTAAGCGCAGTTGGCTTCTTTTTTCGCGATCGTAAAGCTCTTTTTCCCATTGGCTCCTGGCGTGGTCGGCATTCTTGTAGTGTCGATTCCGACAAAGGCAACGCTGGATGAACTGCGTGAGGACGTTATTGAATGCACCATCCTTGTCTTCGAATGCACGACAAGGATCGTTGATAAGAGCGAATAGATCCCCAAAGGCCTCTTGACAAGCTCGAGGCTGCCTTTTATTTTGAGGCAGCAGGGTTCGTTGTTGGATTTGAGCTGCGCGCAGCTAAAATTGGACCCTGGTTTATATATGATCTCCAGTAAGCCTGAGAGGAGAAGGAACTTGCTGATTGGAGCCTCCATGGAGGAAGTGATTATAGGAAAGATAATGATAGAATCACAAAGACGAGTAATAAGTGCTCTGGAGAGGAAACGACACACGGGGCCAAAGGCACTGTCCCTATGCCCCCTCTTTTCAGCTCATCTGAAATAAGCTAGTTCATTGCCTAGGCGTATCTGCCTAGGGTCATCACTTGTATCGGATATGAGGAAATCGGTATCAGCCCCGTTGGCTGTTCCTGGCCTTCCTATCTTGGTCGTAGTCGACAGGGGGATCTCAGGCACAGCCTGTGATAGCTTCACGCTAGACTATGATCATTGGAGAATAGGTCACGAGGTTCGGGGACTTCGGGTTTTGGAGTGCTATTATGGAGAATCGCGTGCGTTGGTGTCGGTCCGTTGACAGGGATTCTCAGCCGTTCCGGCGAAGCTCCATTTTAAGACTTGGACACCCAAGCCACGCCTCGATAACAGGAAGATCCAAACGCGCAGCTCGAAAAAGATACAGCATCATTGGTGAATAGCAGATGGACGAAAGCCCGGTGCTATGTGTGTCTGGCATTGGGTGTCGAGGTGTTGGGGCCAAAGTTGGACAGGTACACGCTGGCCGGCGCTAACGGCCCCAGCCTCAATTTCAGGGCTCTTGTAGAGTACCAAAATCACCTAGGTAGGTGACAAAAGTCCCGTCTGATCGCCACGGCTATGTCGTTTATTTTTGGTCCGTAGATTGGAGCCCACCTCTAAGCTGTCTGATCGGATCAGTGAGCACTATCATTATAACCTTGTTTTCACTTTGTTTCGGGGATTTCCCCCATATTTCATACCTATGTATGAAGAAGAATAAAGGTATTGCGACTATACACGTACAATCATTGCCTAGCTTGACCTAGTTACACCTGTAGGGATCATTGCTAACCTCCATGCCACTTCGGTCATTCCAGCGCTCCGCCAGACCTGGTATACAGAGTAGGCACCACATTCAGCTTTGGGCCTAGAAATATTGTAGACGTTGTGTATTGCGCCATCTGTAATTTCATCTCCATCCGTCAAGAAACACCGACTGCCTTCGTGAAGCGCTCCTATAGCTACCTCCGATCGAGAATTTAAGACATACCGGTGCGACGCTAGGATAGCACCTAGGGATTGAGGTGCTGAATAGAATTCAAAGTTGATTGTTTTTCCAAGTGGAAGTTTATCGATAATTGCTGCAGTCAAAGCCTTTGCGATAGGCATCAGCTCTAAGTTGAGGTGTAAATGAGAAAAGGCGATATGAATGATATATTGAAGGTCTGCTTCTGATGATGTTGTTGTAGGTTTCGTTGTAATAACGATGGCCCCCTCGGAAGGTGATTGCACATTGAAATCCTCATGATGAAATTCACCAGCTCTTCTCCGTAGTGACTCGATTATGTGACTCAATTATCGAGTGATCAAATCCAAATGGGGAGACACACCACCCGGGAGCGAAGATTAACTTTCGCTCTCAGCGGAAAACTTCGATTGAACTTACCCACAACGGACCTCATTCAGCTTCATAGTCCGGTCAGTCGTTAGCATGGAAGCTATAAGAGGTAATCACTACGAGAAACCCTTGCAAAAGTCGGTCCAATCGTTGGGAGCCACTTCAGCAATACCAGGGAAGAAATCTTCTCCCGGGAGATTATTCTTTCAGTGAAGAATCTCGCGTCTTTGATGCTCCCCACAGGTGAATAAATCAGGCTGAGACCATAGATCACAAATGACAATTTAGGATTCTCATGAACGTCCGAAGCGAGATATTGACAAAGAGGGGTTTATTCACGTTCAGAGTCTGCGTCTAGGGGGACGGTGCTCTATACCTAGATGACGATTTCTGGAAGAGGAGCTAACAAGGCTTCAAAGTTGATCAGCATGTGAGCCGTCAAAATGCAGGTTTGTGTGCATGGTCTCAGTATGGTTGTGCAATCCATTTCGAACACGGCATCCTTGATGTGTTTTTGATCCTAGCCCAGATGAGAGAAAGAAACGGAAATTCCCCTATCTCCTGAAAAGGAGAAAACGCTATAACGGTGGATAAGCAGTGATTTTGCCTTTTCTCCCTGCCTCTTAATCTGTAGTTAGCTTTTAGTTGCTACAGAAGCTCGAATAAAGTCATTGCATAATTATTTGGGAGATACTCGACCAATCACTGGAGCATAACAGCAATATCTATCTTGAACGGATCTTTCTATTTCCTTTCTGCTTCCGTAGATTCACAGTTGCGAAACTCTTGAGGTTCGCGACACTTCGGTTCACAGTTCATACTTGAGATGACGCACATCTCCCGATAAGCGATAAGAAATCACTCCAACTACAACTCCAACTCTTCCCTCGACACACATCTTCGGAGTCACGGGTATATAGGACAAAGATGCTGTCCTCAACTACCTCCAAATCAGAAAGACCCCGTCTAATCCCAAAGAAACGCCCTCTCAAACCTATCTCAACCAGCCTGCACCCACGGGTCCTCAACCCCAGCGCAATCCCAGCAGAAACACGACTGAAACCGTCCTATCAAGAATACCTCCAAACAAAGCAAAATCACACAGACTCAAGTTTTACTCCAGCCACCGAGGAAGAAGATAATTTACACCAAGCCCCTCGCATTGAAGTCTCCTTCTCGGCAGCACAGCCCTTCCTTGATCCACCGACTTGGGAAGCTATGCTCAGACTTCACCGCGAGAAGATAGCGGCGCAGTCGATAGAGGACTCAAGTGTAGCAATTACCCAGGGCTCTGGATCTAGATCTGAAGAAGAATCAGCTGAACGGCAAAGACAACGTGCCGAGCAGGAGATGGAGTATGGGTCTATGGCTATTCGGGGTCGGTCTAGTGTGAGAGGAAGGGGGATGAGGGCACGTGGAAGAGGGACTGTTCATTGGAGTGGGAGGTCTTGATTCTTGATCCTATTTTGGTTAGTAAGGGTTATGGATGCCTTGTTTGGCGCTTGATACCCCTTGCAATTGGTGTTTTCTTATACCACGGGACTGGTGGTTGCGGGGAGCACCTCCGTTCCTGCAAGCAGCACGTGAACCACTCTCATGAGCGGTAAGATGCATAAGCTCAAATTGGGATTTTAATCTGACCGAGATGCGCTTTTTGGGTCTCTGAAACCCTCGGGAAAGTCCTGTCAAGCCCTGAAGTACAGGCTGGATCTTGGGCCTTTCCCTGGTTGGAAACAGACTCCAGACGCTAGTTTCTCACATATTCTATCCGCTTATGGCCCGGAATGTCACGGGGAAAGACCTCTCTGGTCCTCTTGAAAGCCGGTTTTCTTCGGATAGCTGCAGATGCGAGACCAATTGCTTCAGGTGGAATGGTACATCCGTCTACGAGAGATCAGAGTGATTCTCCATATCCATGAACTCATGTGGCACCCCATTATTGGAGTTTAGCCAAGGAATATGTGATCGGTGGTTTTACGTCGACCCGCGATGAAGGATCTAGATTTGGCTCAGAAGCTTGCCCAGGGGTAGGGGTGCAGTCCATCCATGTCCTGTCTCTGTTGAGGTAATCTGGAACAGGGCCATTGGCAAACTTGACCATCCTCTGACTCCAAGTTTTACCCTACACGCTTGCAACCTTGAAGTTTAACAACGGCTCTTGAAGAAATCACCTATGATTGAAAATTGCGGAATCCGACGAAGATCGGACCCCTGTCACGGATATGGCGAAGAGAATCTGACTTCTTGAATAACGACAATGAATTAAACGAATACACAATATTCTGCTCATAATGTTGACCCCAAATGCATAATCCTCTTAGGGAATGTGGCGCACCGATTGAATTGACTGCAGCCCCCTTCCCCAAGCATGTCATATTGAATGTCATTTGTCGAATGTAACCACAAAAGCTAAGATAAGTTTGCTGAGCCGTTGCATTCTCCACTGCCTAGTTCAATTGATTAATCTGCAAGGTTGATATGTAATTCGATTCGAAATGCCAAAAGCTCACTTGATGCTATTTCTCAAGGCCGTACTCAGGAATTTTCTTAGTATATAAGAGACAGGATAACCATAAAAGGCAATTGGAAAGATACCTATCTCCCTGCATATCAACCACAACTACAGTAGGTTCTATACAACCAACAGCATCCACTCACACAATCACCTCTCTTAGCTAACTAAATATCACCTCCAACCCTAGTAAAACAAACCGTACAAACGCCCTGACCCTCATGCCCCCCAAACCGGAAACGAGGATACTCAACCCGTCCCCATACAACCAACCGGTCCTCTCCATCCCCCTTCTCCTTGCCACCAGTAAACCAATGAACAAGCTCCTCTCCATCCCCCTTCTCCTTGCCACCAGTAAACCAATGAACAAGCTCCTCTTCCGTCCAATTACAAGTAGTAACCACCAAAAACCCACCACGACGCACCAACCGCCGCGCAATATCGGGATACCGCTCACAAACTCGAGTCGTCTTGGCATCGTCAGCTAGCGAGACGGCGTCAAAGGTCCCCTTGTCCAGGACTAGGTCAAAGCCGCCGGCTGAATAGGGGAACCAATTCAAACTTTTGTCTGGCGTGGGTGCTGATTCGACCGGGAGGCCCGTTTCTGAGAGGGCAGCTGTTGAACCTAGGATATCCCATTCTTCGAACTGGATGGGTGGTGCTTCGATATCAATCTGTTCACCACCCCCGGATACATCCTCGGATCCTTCTTCCTCTTCGGATTCAGACTCATCCTCGGAATCACTTCGATAAGCAGAATGCCCCCGATTCTTCTGCAACTCCCTCGCTAGTTCGACACTGCCTCGCGAGTAATCGACTCCAACCATATTCCCGCGGAATCCACCCCTCTTTTGTAATAATGCGAGCATGCTTCCATTTCCAGTTCCGAGATCCAGAACAGTTGGTTGCGTTTGATTTTGCTTTTGAGACCTGGAGTTGGATGCTGATTTAACAGTGTTCCGCGGAGACAACGGGAATGATTTGCGCGTTAGGAAGTGCAACACTTTCTCCGGGGCGTTGTGTTCTGAGAACCAGGATGTGCCGGGGTCATCTTCTTCGTTTAGGTCTGAGTCGGCGTCTGAGTCTGCATCTGCTTCTTCGTTCTTATTTTCTTTTGGAGCTTCGTTTGGGTTGGGGGTTTCGTGGGAGATGTGTGCTAGTGTGCGTGCGTAGTAGGATTCCCAGCTGAGTTTTTGTTAGTTCTTGATTTGGAATTGGTTGGGTGATTGGTTGGGTGGATGGGATATGAGGAATTGGGGTCTCGAATGGGTCCTGGAATCCAAATTGTAGGAACGTTTGGCCAAGAGCGCATACAGCAGAGCTGGCTCGTCTTGGAGGGGTAAACGTGGGGTTGAGGTATGTCTTGGTTTTGCGCGGGCAATCCCTGGGAAGTCGCAAAGACGGAGAGGAAGCGGCACATACTAATCTTTTGTGCCTAACTCGCTAGGCGAGAGGTAGGCAGGGTGAGAGTCTTCAGCCATTGTCTGTAGGAGTTGCGGAGGAAAAATTGGGTTGAAGCGGATGACGTTCCGCGCTTATCGTTATCGAGGTAAACAGACTCAGATCTATACACAATTGAACATCTACAGAAATCGAAGAAATTGAGGAATGAATAGTTTATCCATGTCTATTGAGACTGCGCAAAGGGGGTATTATCATGCCTCTTTTCATCCACCAAGCCAAAGATTCCTTATCCGCAGACAAGATACCTGGCCCGATGATTGAACACAGAAAAGTCGAAAAGCTAAAGCAAAAGCCTCGCCAGGACAAAATGCCAAGATGTAAGAGGGAAAAAGGGAAAAAACAACAGGTAAGAAAAATAGCGAAAGTTGTTGGACGAATGGCCAAGCAATGCAAGAGAACCGAGTAAGCCTCCGCGATAAAAGTACAGATGCCGACACAACGAGAGAGCCCATTGATTCTCTCGAGGCCGGCTGTTGGTATCAAATTTTGTCCAGTTGCGGACACCCGTGACGCCAGTGATGTGATGAATGGAGGAAATGAAAAAGCGATGGTGACCCGAACGGGGGTGTTGAGAAAAAACCCGTGGGGTTAAATGTGGAAAATATGCAATAGGCATGCAATGGGGAAAATAGCGATGAGCGACTGCAAAGCCCGCTTTGGTCATAGATATCATCAAGCCAGCCATCTGAGATGAGTGGAAGAAATTAAGAGAGAATAGAAGGTCGCTGCTGACAGGCCAGGGCGAAGATGATTTTCAAATCGGAGACATGAAAATAGAGCGGGTCGTAGAATCGTGAGCCTGGTCAGTAACTCAGGCTGGGATCAGAGGAATTCATCAATCGATCTCATGATCAGGGGCTCGCCAGCTGTGGGAGGCGAGCGGGGATCGGCCGTTTGAGCGGCGAACTGGACGGAGCTGGGCATAGGAGGGGGTGAGAGGGCTGCCGACCGGTCGATTCGGTGGAAGGATCGTGTTGCCATTGGCTGTGGTGATAGGAACTCATTTGTTCGAGGTGAGAAGAGGCCACCACTTTGGTCGGGCGCATCGCGAACAAACACGTGCGTTTGAACAAGAGGATCACAGCTGCTGACGCTGCGTGGGAGTCCTCGCGGCCGACCTGATGCTGGTTCCACGGATTGGAACTTCTGGCGGAATGGAAGGGGACGAGGGGACAAGCTCCTCTTTGGAGAGTAAGACTTGAACTTGGTGTAACTACTGTCGCTGGTGGTGGGACGCATCGAGGGTGTTTCTGGGATGGAAAGGCAGCTCATGGATGGTGCCTGGGATAGTCCACGGAAAGCCGGTCGGTTGTCGGTGGCAGGGCGTTCGGCGCGGGCAACCTGAGGCTCTGAGCTGCGTCGGCCAGTTTGAACAAACCACTCCTGGGGAGGGGGCTTCGAGGTCGATCCACGCATCAACCGCGATCGGAAGTCGGTGAGCTGGTAGATGAGACTCATGTTGGGACCTACCCACTGACTCCGGGCCTTGACCACTTCGTACATAGAGTTGAAATCCATGTGTCGGTTCTTGTACAATCCATAGGCAATCACCAGCGAGGCGGAACGACTGGCACCGAGCTGACAGTGAATGAGAACCTTTTTTCCACTAGCGATCCGGTCATCGATGAGTTCACAAAGAGGGAGGAGATCATCGAGGATTTCGGAGTTGTGGTCCCAGCTGACATGGAGATACTCGGGTTGTGGTGCAGGAGTTGATGTAGTGGGGGTGGCAGATTCAGAGTCCGAAGGCTGGAATTCAAAAGCAGACTTGAAGGAGATCTCTGACACTGCAGTCTGAGGCTCACCAGACCAGCGCTTCGAGGCTATGGAGGCGTTACGCCAGGTGCTCATCACTGTGTCGTTTCGCTCCTCCTTGGCCGGACTGAAGGGGTTGTTGACTTCCTTGGCGACGTTGATGACCACATCAAACTGGGAGGCTTCCTCGGCTGTTGGCTCCAGATACAGGTAAACGCCAGTATCGTAGATCCGGATTGGCCCGTCAGGGTATCCACGATCCTTTTTGCGAGTCGACTCGCGTGAGTCGAGGTGATCATCCTCCTCTTCTAAACCGGGCAGCACACGGCGAGAGAAGCCAGATCCATCCATTCCACTTTCTTCATTTGGTGTAGAGAAGCTACGTACTCCATGGTGCGACATGGGTCGTGGGAGCTGCATCCCCCCTTCGGAGCGAATGAGGGGGATGTGATAGCGGCGAGAGATGGGGAGGATTCTGCATGTCGCAAGGATGGAGTTGGAGGCACATCGTCGTTGGCAAATGTCTTGTCAAATGTAGGTGTACGGATGGTCAGGTTGGCGGGACGGCGCTTCGAACTCTTCTGGGGAATCTGGAGGGGTGATGGTGGGGCGAGCCTGTGGGATGAGGTTTCCACCAGTGAGGCCGTGGCCATGGGAGGACGAGACATAGACGGAGGCGGCATCCGCAGTGAGAGGTTCTTCAGATTACGCGCCCGCCGACCCGGAGAGTCAGGACGCGGAGGGGTCGGACGCAACAGGGGCTCTGGCGCGATAGATCGGGGAGGAATCTCCATAGGCCGGGTGGTCGGCATGTATTTCGGATACGAGACCGACATGGCCGAGGGAGATTCTGGCGATGAACTCGGGGAGACGTCACCCCCACCGGGCGAGTCAAAAGGAGAAATAGTCGTGGTCGGGGAGGACTCGGTTGAGGCGGACGTCATGGACGAGACGCTTTCGCGATGAGGGGAAGGGAGCAGGCGCGCGTTGACCGGGACATGAGTTGGATATTGTAGAGGGTGAATGGTGGTTTCCTCGTCTTTGTATCGCGGTAGAGGACCGCCAAAGACGGACATGAATGAAGGAAATGAGTCCGGGAAGGACGGTGGACTCGTTTGCACGGGCATTGTTGGGGGGGGGGGGAGGGAGATTGTAACAAGTCCCGACTTCACGAGACTATTGCATTCGAAAGCACTTGCAGCCTGTGCAAATGGTCTGAAAGGTTGAGAACTGTAAGGGCGAAGCCAGGGAGAAGGCGGGAGGGAGGGACATACCAAGTGTGTGTGTGTGTGTGTGTGTGTGTAAGAGGGTGTAAGAGTAAAAGGAAGTATAAGGAAGGACAAGTGAAAGGAAGCCAAAGCAAGAGAGTCGGAGTCGTTCCTCCGGGGAATGACGGGAATGTGAAGGAGGGAAAAAGGAAGAAAAAAAGATAGGCCTTTTGGACCCTTTGTTTTTATTTAGATGTAATAGATCTCCGATTTCAGGTCCACCAGGTAATTCAATACGTCCAATGGACAACTGCAGATCGAGGTTTGAGAAGTGAAACCAATCAGGCCAAGCCACTCTAAATTTAGGCGCCGGGGGCGTAATGGGCGTCAAATGCACGTACATAAGAGGCTATATAGGTGATATCTGTCTGCTACAGTCTACGTCTATGCCACCGTCGACAGTCGACAGTCGACATTCTACCGTGAGTACTTGTTACCCAGTATCCCCGACTACAGAGTATACAATTCCACAAGACGGGGACCATACGGGGATCATACCCCCGAACAGGGGGCGGCACATAGTGGAGTATGCGCGTAACCCATTCCAAATTGTCTGCACGGATCTATAGCTTTACATACATAGCACTACGACTGCCTACTGTATACGTGACTGCATACTGTGTACCTGTACTTGAGTCGACTATTTGCTAGATTCGACATTGTCTACTCTACACGTTTGCGTGTCGACTCCGGACGGTATAATGTCTACTGTCACACGGGTGAACGGTGGGCTGACCCATAGTTTCTCCCTCGATAACTTCTCATTCGCTGCCCCCCCGACTGAAACGCGAACATTTTGAAACACGCCAATTCACTAGCGTCACTTAGCCCTGACCTACACACTTAGTTCGCCGCCTCTCTTGGCCCTTTGTGGCCCCACCATATTGAGCAAGGATCCAAAGGTGTTCAATGATCACCCGTTTCCACGTGGACAAGGTGAAACTGGGACATTGCTACGCCGTAACGGGGAATGGGGAAGCGTTGCGGTGTATCATCGCCGCCAAGCCTGCCGACAATAAACGGACTGAGATGGGAAACAGATCGACAATGCAAGCCAATAACCCTTGCCACTGCAAAGCCGTAACCGAAGTTCCAGGAATGTTCCAGATAAATGAATTCCACCTCCCTGCTCAAGAGACTACTGTTTCACCTCTGATCTAAAAATACTCACCCTACTCTGCGTTTCAACAGCTTCCGTGGTTGGGTGGTTTCGGACAACTATTGTCATTGGCTCGGTCCTGTGAACTGCTGCAATTAAACTTATTCTGTTCCATGCTGATATGCTCTTTGATACACTGTCCCGATGGTGCCATGGTTCACCGGTTGGTCTGTTGCAATTATATAAAGATCTCCATGTTTTCCCACCAATACATGTACCTGTATCAACTTGACAGTGGCGTGGGGTTGAGCCCCTACTTAGTACATATTGCACTATTGATTTTACCTGTCACTGTACTATACTTGGATCCTAGATTCTTGGAGCCTGGTCGTTCTCTATCCTTGAATCCATGTAACTAGGGTCCTTCACAAAATTCTATTTGTCACGGGTCTAGTCCCTGTGGCAGTGTGGAAGGATTTAGCCTATACTAGTCTACATGGTTAGGGCAAAGGGCAAGGCTTTTTGTTGGGGCCAGGCCAAGCGCATTATGTTTGGCTGTCGTCGGAGATATCCGTAGAGCCAATGATATAGAGTAGACCCTGGCTCGCGGTCATGTTTTCTAGTATTCCTTGTAGTCATACCCGCCGAGGCTCAGTCAACATCCTGACAGGAACATCCTGGCAGGGGATACAAAGCAACAAGACATCTGGCACATCAGGATCCTGGTCTAGTCACCCCACCAGCATCTCCTCGGATTCTCCGAGACACTATATCTCTAGACCAAAGCCAAGACCTGTCAAGTCTCGCATTTCAGATTGCGCAATACACACGGCAGCTTGGCCTCGCACCACAATAGTGGAAACCACTTGGACCATGGACGGTGGTGCATTCATCTACATATGGCAACCGAGACGTAAGCCCATCTAAACGATCCGCCCTCCCCGCTCTACTCGTAATATCCCGATTCCCAAACAATTGTTGGGTTGCGTTAGCTATGAGGATCTTCAGAGCCACGTATCTTGCTTCGAGATAGTTGCTCCCGTGACCTCACTTGCGGACGACTTCATACCGACCATTGAGACGGCAGTGGGAGCATAAGCATAGCCTATGGAGGCGGTTTGAAAGGTCTTACAGAGATTGTTATTCGGATTACTTCCAGAAATTTTCTGTATTCTCATGTCACAGAAGGTTTTAGCATGATTGCCCCAGGGATCAATTGGCCACCTGGGATGGGTTGCCTTGCCCTAGTTTATAGACAATTGGGTCTGCTTCCTCTCCATGGAGACTCATTCCTTCAAAAAGTATCAGATATTCCACCTCATCTTGGAAGCGAATCTATTGTTTCACGCATTGTTTAGTCTCACAGATTTCACCTCTTCTATGCCCAAATTCGAGTACCGCATTGAAACCATCTAGATGACCAAATAAAGACTATGAATACTCATTTCATTCATCGTTATGTACCCGCTCTTCATGACATACAAAAGAAACAAAATAAAAGGAGACGCCGCCAATGGATGGTTTTGTACATGAAGAAACAAGAAAAAAAGACAAGAAGACAAGAAAGTAGTCAACAAAAGAAGCCAGAGTTTTGGCATATGCGGGGGTTCGCTGCGTACGTCAATCAATGCTATCGTCTAGGTTTACATTGTTATTCGGCGTGGCCGGGGTGCGATTTCGAAGGCCGAATCTTCGAGCGCCGAGGCTATTTGTTCGGAGCCTGTTTTGCTGGATGGGCGTGTAGCTTGTTGCCATTTTGCTCGATGGGGTGGAGATCCTGGTTTGGGCCTGTGGGGTCTCCAGTTGGGGGGATCGGGGGCTGTCTTCGACGTTTGTTGAGAAGCTTGGGGAGAGGCCGTAGCGGCGGGATCCGGCTTGGATGTTTGAGCGGGAGGTTGCGGGCGTGTATGATGCTGGGATGGTGTTGTTTCGGCGGAAGGAGAGGCTGTTTGAGAGGGTTGGGGTTCGAGGTTGTGATGGCTGGGGCACTTGGGATTGGTATTGAGGGGACCGTGGTGAGAGACCTAGCCCGGAGTCGTTTTGGACACCGGAGACTGAGCGGGAGAAGGAGCGGCCGTGGAATCTTTGTCGGGGTGGCTCTTGGGTAGAGACCGGGGTGCCAATTTCTGTTGGAGCTCTGGAGGTTGAGCGGCTGTGGGGGCTTTCCATTTCTCCGTTCTCTTCGCCGACCGTCATTCTGCGACTGCGAAGAGACGTTGACATCCGATTTAGACGGCTAGTTGGGGTAGGAAGGCCAGCAGGTTGGGTCGGACTCTGTTTAAAGTCCGTGTTTCCTGGGCTAGTGTTGACTAAAGACGCACGACGGGCTTCAAGTCGACTGGAAATGCGAGTGGTGGAATGACGCCGCTCATTCATTTCAGGTTCCTGATTCCCATTCCCGTTTCGATAGGTCGGCGTGGGCAGGGTCATGCGGTGATCGTGCTCTACGCCATTCGACAGCTGGAGCTGCCCTGCACCACGGCTCGACTGGGGCCGGGTGTTCTTCAATTGCTCATCTGTCAATGCCAGACAAAGCTCAGTCAGGCTGCGGCACACACTGTCCGCTTTGCGGCGCGCGTGTCGCTCGGGGGAGGTGTATCCTCCATTCACGACTGAGACGGTGCCTGACGGAGCGGCATTGGCGCCCAATGCAGTGGAAAGGTTCAGCGCATCGGTGATCGTTGCTTCGAGGGAAGTGTACACCTCACCGCTGAGAACAGCCTTGGCTTTGGACAATGCGGATTGAAGGAGAGGATGGACTTGGTTCTGGTGCTCACTATCACCGGCTGAAATGCTAGCTTTGCGGTGTTGTTTGGGTGAAGAGGATATAGCCGTCATCGCCGAAGTTGCGGTGCGCGGTCTCTCATTGGGACTGCTATACATCGCGGCAGCAGATGACGGGGGCAGCTTCCCTGTAAGCTCTAGCTTTTTGATACGATCTTTGAGGTCATCCAGTTCGTCCCAGACAGTAGAGGGAGCCGCGGTAGATAGAGTCGACTCAGTTCCATCGGCACGCGATCTCTCCGCTTCGGTTCGCGCTCGGTCGTTTACTTCAGAGGCGGAAGGTTGTCGGCTGCCTCGGATTGTAGAGAGGCCCGAATGGCGGTTGAAGCGGGGTTCATGTAAGGAGGCCCGTCGGTCATCCGCAACGGACGGTGTGCGCGGAGAGGTTTCTGGACTTGTACGGCTAAATCGACTTCGAGGGGCGCCGATTGTCGAGCGCGCGCCAGATCCCAGGCTGCTGTACCGCAGGCGACTCGAGTCATCTAGGGGATGGGCTGATGAGGCCGGCGTGTGGACGGAGGAGTAGGGGGTGGTTGGGGAGCCATGTTGCGTAGGCAAGGGGTCGACATTGCTGTATCGTTCGGGAGTGGGAGTTTGTTCTGTCGGTGACCGTAGACTCTGACTGGGATATCCAAGCCGCGACTGTGTTTGGTTAGCTGTGAGGTCGCAAAGGTACGGGCCGGGAATGCCAGAGCCGCCAGGAATGCGATCGGCTCAGCTTCATGGTTGGACTCACTCGGCGGAAATCAGAACGTCCTATCGAGTCGCGACGGCCCGAGTCTGTTCTCGCGATGTTCAAGAAGACATCTTCGTTCTTCGGGCGGTCCATGGTTTCGGGTCCCAATCTCAGAGCATTTTCGGTTCTAGAATACGCCACGCTTGATGGCATGGCTCTCTTCACATCAGGGCGATCTTGGGGGTCGTCTTGTTGTCTCTTGGAGACATTGGGAGCTTGGGGGCTGGGGGAGTTAAAGCTAAGGACGGATCGCCGGGCTCGATTCAATAAGGAGCCTTTGGGGTTAGAGTCGGGCGTTTCACGATTGGTGGGGCCCAAGCGAGTCGACAAAGAACGCGAGTGACGGCTATCTGCAGCCATATTCGACCTCGTATGGGCAGCTTGGATTTTGAAACCAATTCACACTTTGAAGTGTCCTGGGGGGCCTGACGTTTCTGGGGAAAGCTAGTTGAATGACATCCCGGCAATAAAAAAACATACACAATTGGGCACTTCTGCACGATCTGGCACGATCTGGCACTAATCGTCAAGTCGAAAAAGCAGGAATGTGTCGAACATCTGCAGATAATGACAAGCTGTCACGGCTAGCGACAACTGGACCTGTCAGAAGTTGCGAAAGCAAAAAGAAAAGGATTTACATCGGGTGGGTATACTCTGTGGCTGGGAAAATTTCAATATAGACGAGCCCCAAGTCCTTCTATTTACAGATGCACTATAAGATTTAAATATCGAGTTGTTGTTATCCATGTGAGAACTGTAGAATTGTAATGCACAGAGTACAGTAGCATCAGGTCCTAACCTGGTTACCCATGTAAGCGCATGTAACCCCTACCTATCTCAGTACATTAGCCAGTAAGCCCTAACATAGAACACACCCCTGAATCTACTATTAGCCTTTGAACTTGAAACGTGTACATAAAATCTTCAGTTTCAATATTTCCCGGGCAACAAACAAATAATGGGACCCGTGGTTCAGTTTCACCCGAACCCGTAGATCTGAAACCCCATCCCAGACGTTTTATGTCGTCGCCTTCATATCTTGATATTGACAGTATGTCACAAGAACCATTTTAAACTTGATCTGCGAGGCACTAGTATATCATCCCTAACTGCGTTCCATGCACTTGGGCCACGCAGCTCCTGTCACCAAGGCAAGGAAAGCTGAGCTAGCAATCTTAAGATCGAGCACCACCAAGTGACATTCATGTTGATAGACATATGAGAATTCTTTCCCGCCGTATATCCATATGCTATAGACAATTCGATACTTCTGCCTTTAGGTGTATATAGACTTCAGTAATTACAATCCGACGGACTCGAAAAAAGGGTAAAAAACGAGGTAAAAAAAAGGGAAGCTAAGACAGGGCGGAAACAATGCATAAAGTAGTAGATGGCTCATGGCTTTCGCAAACCCTTGCCAGTGTTCCTCGGTATATATTTATGACCTCTGCTACAAGCTATAACTGGAAACAAGGGAAACGCAAGTCGCTACTCTAGTAGTGGCAAAAGCGAATAGCGATAGTGCGACAATGCCTTGGTAATAGAGATAATGCCCCTAGACGTAATTACATTATATTAATGGCTAGGCAAGTGATTTGGTAAAGCAGTGGTGTATTGAGTATGATCTCAAGGTCTCAATATCTGTTGCAGTTTGAATACGCAGCAGGACTCAGGAGGTTGTAGTGAAGTCGGTAATTATCGGATCCGGTAGGTGAAACTCCAATTCCAGGTCCAGTTTTGGAGGTTGTGTGCAAGCTGCATTGACCCACGGGTTGAAATAACGAAGTAGACCATGTTCCATGCTCAAATCTCATTCAATGAAAGTGCATGTCTCACTGGTTGCACGAAAGGGGGAGACATATCAAAAGACCGGCTGCAATGTCGTTACTGTCACGTAATTCATCAATGCCTATAAACAGTGAGGTCAATGAGAACTCTTTTTGAATGGCAATGGTGTCACATGTGTCTCCTACCATCGTAGTGTATGTATCAGAGGCGCAAAAGTCGTTCGGCTCTTCGTCGTGATCTTCCACCGGGCCAGGAACAGTAGTGGCCCCGTTGCGATCGCATCGTTGGTAAACTAGCTTCAACACATCCCCGTAGTGCTAATCGTAGAAACTAGATGCAGATGACTGAGCCATTTTTAAGAAGGATGTATAACGGTGTGAACACATCTCTGAATTGGGCATCTCATCCTCGTGATTGGCAATCGACAAGTTGTTAATGATGTCTGTCGAGTAGAGGAAATTGCTGTTAGTTGCAGATAAGAAGACCATTATTGCATATATATGTCACTCAAGCCATGGCCGAATAGATTTCTCACAGCTACTGCAGCAGACAAGACCGGCCAGAGTGTCGTTCCTATATGAAACTGGGCCCCCTTATCAGAGACAGGACTAATCGACGGAGAAAGAGCATCGAGAGCGGAGGACATTTCTAGTCTTCGGTGGAGGCTCTAATGATGGTAAAGGCTGCCATGGGTTCCCAACATCTCTGCAATGAATGGCTGGAAGTACACGAGAAACAGTAATATGGTGCCTCTCATCTTCTCACAACATGTGAAGATTGTTCTGAGGCTTGGTCAACATTTGGCGTGAGAAAATTCGACGTGAGTGAGTCCAACCGAAGTTCGCTCGTCTAAAGACAACAAGGATAATCGAGGGAAGAAAATCACGGCTTTGTTCCAAGTTTGCCTCATTTCTTTTAGAACGTCATGTCAACTAAACTATAAAGAGTACATAGTCTAGGGCTCAGCACATCCCGACCCCAGGAAATTGTTCGTCGCTCGCTAATAGAGAAGCTAGATATCAAGGTTGAGGCTTTGGTATAACTTGAGAGTCGACGGTGTGGAAACTGCAAATTTTAGGTCATATTAGTCCGCTAGAAATGTCACACATCAGATGTCACGCCGTGGCATTCCGTCAGAGGGATAGCCCTAAGAAGTGACCATGGGCAAGTATGGATACTTCTGGAAACGAATATGCATCTCCATAACGTACCATCTCGGTAACGCGATTTAGAATGCTTGGACAACGGAAGAGCATCACCAATCGTGGATAGGTACCACAGGTCATTCAAACGCATACGGACGCAGCCTTGATAGTTACTCTTGTGGTCACTGCAGAATTTGAGGATCAACAGTGACAACCCATGCCCCGTTCTTTTCTTATAAGCCAGATCGCTTTGCAGCACGCATTTCCTTGGCTCCGGTACCTCAATAATGGAGTTCATAGACTCCTCATCGACAATTAGGAAGTATTGAAAGCGAACATCCCAGGTGTTTTGCGCGTGCTAATCGCTAAACGGCCTGGTATGGGCTCTGGTGTGTCGATACTGGCCCCATCGAAGAGAGACTTGTCTTCAAACACATCAGGCCGATACCCCTCCCTAATCAAGCGGTGCGATTGTTTATCCTGGCGCCCTTTCTTATGCTGCCGGTCTTTCTCAGGCTGTTTTCTAGCAGGGTGAACAGGTTTTTCGAAATCGCGGCTACAGCTGCTGCCCGATTCCGATTCTGGTAGATAAAAAGTTAGTAACAAATTCTTTGAGGCATTGGTAAAAAACCCCTAACACTTGATATTTGGACCCCAGGAAATTTACGCTGAAAGAATACCAACTGCGCCTGTTTACTACCTGAGACTAGGGTCAGTATGTTGAGCTGTCGTTAATAAGGACCGAGGGTGCCTTAATTACCGCTACAGCCGTCCTATACTACACTCATAATTCTAGGACCATCTTTTCTGATATTTCATGAGATTCAGACATGCTATGACACTGTCCTATGGCTCCACTTAAGGAAGATACTTCATAGAAGATATTCATATTCTCAGAGAGAGAAAAAGGCAGGACCACGCGGGGAGGAGATAAAATAGAAAGAGGTTCAGGGTCAGGCGCGAAAAAGAGAGATTAGGAGACAGAAGGGGGCGTCTTTTTTTGTTATTTCAACGTGTTTGGTAATGGTAGGGGTAGGGTGGCATCGCAGTAGAGGAAAGAGGTAGAACATGAATTGAGGTAGGGAGTGAAGAGAGGAATGTTGATAGAAAGTCGAAAGCAAAGGATCAATATACGCCGTTTGTCAGGGACTGACGGCGCACAAGGTGAAGCGAGGACAAAAAGGTAGAGACTGGGATGTTTGACGGAGGTCGGGAGAAAGACGGGATTAGGGATATCACGGCGAAAGTTCCTGCTGGATGAGGGGGCGAGAGAGAGAAATGGAGGACGATTAACGTAACGGATTCGAGAGTTAGGATCGAGGGATATTGGTGAGTTAGCGGTTCAATTCAACGCACGATGGTCGAGGACGACCACCCGGACTTCGTATCTAATACGCATGTTCCATCCATTCATCGCAGTGAGCTTTTGCCTTTTGTGAATAAGAGCGACGTATGAGGCCAGAACACTCAGGAAGAATAAAAAAAGGGAAGAGATAAAGGAAACCTGAAGGCACTTGAAAAGAAGATAGAGAAGTAGAAAAAAGAAAAAGAAAGCGCTAGCACATGACCGCCGCTGATCGTGACCGACAGTCTCCAAGGAAATCGTAAGGTCAAAGAACACAAGCAGAACCCGCTAGGACCGTCTCATCCACACATACCAGAGGAAAATCCGAGGGAGTTTATTCCTGGGACTGGCTGCGGCGGGTCTTCTCAGCTTCGAGGTTCTCGTAGAGGAGGTAGAGGGCCTTCTCGTTGGCCTGAGCGCTGCCCATGATGGTAAACATGCGCTCGCCAGTCTCGTCGTGAGGGGCTTTGGCAATGGAAATGCGGGCTCCGGAGCTGCGGCGAATATCGGTGATCTTGGTACCCGCCCGGCCGATGATGCAGCCAACCATGTCTGCGGGAATGCTGATGTTCTGGGTCTGGATCTCCTCGCCGTCCTCGGTGACCATAGGGTAGCCGCGGTTGCCAGCGTCGGAGTTGGATCGGCGGTTATAGCCACCGTCACTGAAGTCGTTACCGTTGCCGGTGCGGTTGTATTGGCGGCTGTTTTGGTAGTTGTTGTTGCTAGCCACGGGGTTGTTGTTCAAGGGCTGCGAGCTGCTGAGAGAAGCACGAACAGCGGGGTTGTAGAGAACGGTGCCGGTGCCGCGCTGCCAGTCGTCAAGCAGGCACTTGCCAATTTCCCAAACAGCCTTCTCGATGCCTTCGGGGGTGCCCTGCACCTCCACAATGCGCTCAGTAGACTGGGGAAGCATTTCCTTCTGCGCGACCATGCGCACGCCAGATGCATCCTGGATGTGCTTGATCTTGAGGCCCTGTCGTCCGATGATGGTACCCATCTGGTTGTGAGAGATCAGAAGGCGAACGGCTGGAATATGTTAGCACAGGCCTCAAATAAAACAACTGCCATGGATCACTCCGACCCCCACCAAGAACAAGTCGAAATCCAGACATCGATTAGAAAAAAAGAAAGAAGCCACTTACGGTGAGTTCCGTTGCTAGAGACGACGCCGCCCATACCCATCTGCGGGGCGCCCTCCAAAAGGCCCTTGGCCACGATCGCGTAAGCCCGAGCAAGCGAGCGCAGTTGACCAGTAACTGTGAGGACACGGTCGTGGACACCGGGAACAACCTTGCTCACGCCGGCCTTGACACCGGTCTCATCGCGCAGATCAGCGACGTTCTTGCCGGCCTTGCCAATAATAACACCGGCCTCCTTGGAGGAGACGATAGCACGGAGCGTCAACTCGGAGATGGCATATTCCTCCTCGGTCTTGAGAGGCGCCTCAAGGTCACCCTGGTCGGCCAGGTTTTCGTTGAAGTTGTCGGTCATGGGCTCGTCCACGACAGTGGTCTGGTGAATTTCGGTAGTCTCCATTGTTGGAGTTGGGGGTGGTGGTTTGGGAGTTGTGGTGGGATAGGATAGCGTGTTTCAGGCAACGGTCGCGAAAAGCGGAAAAGTAAAGTCTTCAAGTGAAACAGTCAGGATTTTGCGCAAGGAAAAACTGAGGCGCGCATAACAGTTGACGATGCGCTAAAAATGGCAAGATGAAGGACTTACCGAAGTGGAGAAATGAGGAGGGGAAAACGGCAGAAAGGCGGGAGATATCAAGGAGAGGAGGAGATAAGGGAAAGAGGATGAGGAAGAGGGAGGAAACTGAAGAACAGGGGGAAGAGAGCAAAGGATGGAGGAAGAGGTGGAGGAGAAGGAGAAAGAGGAGAGAGAAGAGGTGGGTGTGTATTAAGCGGAGCCAACCGAGTATCTCTGGCCCGGATGACTTCAGTGTGAACATTCCTTTATTTCATTTCTACTTTCTTTACTGTCCAGCTAGGAATACAACCTTCTGCACTTTCATCGCGTTAAACAGCTCATAGCCCTCCACCGCCTGCGATAGCGGCATAATCTTATCAAGCATGAAGCTATTCAAACATTAGCAAACATCCAACCTCAACCAATATCATCACTCACCCTAGCTTATGTTGGTTGTTCTTCAACACCTCCAAAGCTTGAGGCGCAACTGATCGAACAGGGCAGCGGCCCATTTGAACAGTCAAGTTCTTAGAATAGGCATCATCCCCATTCCAAGGAATCTGTGCGAAATGTCTCAGTATCACTACTTCCATCCAGAGGATAGCTCCTCACCTCGCCATTGTGAACACCAACACTGCTGATAGTACCGAAAGGACGCAACAGCTCATATCCAGTGCGCAAAGCAGGACTCAAGCCAACAACTTCAATAACAGCGTCGGCACCACGGCCGTTTGTCAACTCCTGCACACGCTTGTCCAGACCAGCACGGTCAGTCATGAAGTTCCAAGGCTCAGCACCGAGAGACTTGGCCAGCTCAAGTCTCGACGGGACCGAGTCAACAGCCAAGATATGCTTGGGCTTGTACTCGAGAGCGTTGATAAGAGCACAGAGACCAACAGGTCCACAGCCAATGAGGACGACAGTCTGCTCAGCAATCTGCTCCGGGGTGGAGTTCTTGAAAGCATTGTTGGCAGCAAACCATCCAGTAGGGAAGATATCGCCCATGAGCACCAGGTACTTCTCGTCGACGCCTTCGGGGGCCTTCATGACGGAGCCTTCAGCATTGGGGATACGGGCCTAGTTGCGTTAGCATCAGTCTGTACACGAGCTTGGCTGGTAGGAATCTACATATTCAGCCTGTCCACCGTCCAAGTTGACGCATCCAAAGAGACTATTCTTATCACAGCGAGAAGACCACCCTTGCTTGCAGTAGAAGCACTCCCCGCTATTATGATATCAGTACGAAGACACATATATCAGAGCCAGGGTAAACTCCTTACCAAGAAGTAGTAAACGCAGTAACGACACGGTCACCCTTCTGGAGGGTTTTCACAGCACTGCCCAACTCAACAATCTCTCCCACGAACTCATGGCCCATGATAAAGCCAGTTCCAGCTGACTCAATGCCACGGAACATGTGCAGCTCACTAGAATTGAATATAATCAGAATCAAAGCTGCATCTTTTTCTTTCTTTCCAAAATAGAACAGCATCAATCTCACCTTCCGCAAAGCGCAGTATGTCCCACCTTAACCACGACATCCTCAGGATTCTGCACTTTGGGAATTGGCCGTTGCTCAACAGCAACCTTGTAAGGGCCATGGAAGACAACAGCCTGCATCATGCCAGAGTCCGAGGTAGTGGCAGCCATTCTGAATGCTCTTGCTTATACTGGAGAATAGCTTTCGGCAGTTGGCAGAGACTTAGTTGGGTTTCTTAGAGATAATTTTTTCTTCGATATCAAACGATCTATTTGTAGTCGACTCCGAGAGAGAAGGAGAATTCTATTGAGTAATTTCTTCAATCTCGGCCTTCTGTGCGAATTGTTCTGGTGGGGCTAGTACGGTATGTCCACTATGGTTTTTGTCTCCACTGATAAATGAGGCCGAAATAGGATATAGACCGGAGCGGCTTCTCTTCGGGATGATCCTAAAAATGACACGTGGTTCTATTGATTTAGATGCAAGTTCCAGAACCAACGGAGGAAATCTTGTATCTTGAAGGTATCGACCTCCAAGAACGTAGGTCTCTTCAAGATCAATGGCACGGAGTGCGTGGGAGAGTGATGAGCCGTCGAACTGTATTCAGAGCTAGATAAACACTGCCATGAAGCAGTCCCGCAAATAGCCCCTTCCAGTCTTTTCAAGCCCAAGAAGAAAGAAAAAAAAATTAAATTCAAATGCCCAGTAACGCCAGTTGTAAACACCAGAGCTGAAAATCGAAAAAAGCGCAAAGCAAAGCAAGCCGCAAGAATCAATCTGATAAGAATCAAAAAAATCATAATGCTCGTAAATGCAACCCGCGCTTTCAAAGAACAGGAATCGGCCGTCAAGTGCCCGTATCGAAAATCAAAATCCAGAGAAGTTGAGGGTCGAGACTAAAAGTCGCAAGTCGCCAGGAATGGAGGGTTGAATCTCCACTAGCACACCACACACAGCAACTCCTCCTCAAGAATAAACTTGCCCTCCTTATATTTCTCACTGCCCTCGTATGCCTTGTCATACTTCCACCCTACCGTTTCCTTGCACTGTCGACAAGCGATATCGCGAACGATGTGTCGGCCAGTAGTCATATTGCGATCGACGGCCTCGCCTTCCGTGACATTAACAACGTTATTGAAGAGGTATGCCTTTCCATGTTGGCCTCGGAAGTTCTATATGTATAAAAAGGAGAAGTCGCAGGTTAGCAGCGGACCCTTTTTGATCAGGTGCGGGGAAGGTCAAAGTAAGAGTAACAGGATCGTTCGTTGTGAGAATGATGCACACCACATACCCGACTGATGATATCATTGTAATCTGCCAAATGAGTCTTGCACCCTTTGCACCCGAAGATCTTGTTGGCCGTCAAGTAGACGTTGTATGAGAGACCCATTGTAGCTGTAGTTGTTGCAGACTAGCTGCGGTTACTGGCGGGCGGAGGGAGGTGTGCTTTCTGTGGGGGTCTGGAGTGAAGTTGAGAAGAGGTCCTGGGATGTGAGTCCGAAAAAGCAGCAGAGCAGAGAGTGATTCTGAGTCTAGGGGATATGCAGGCCGATTTATTGAAAAGGGGCCAGCGTGTTGGTGCTTGCTTTCCTAAGTTGCCCCGCCCTGGATTCGTTTCGGAAGGAGGGACCCAGTATCTTGTTTGGAGAGGTTATGCTCTTTGAAGTTCTTTGCAGTGGGTTTATGGCAGGAGATCCAGGGCCTTTTGCTGTGGCCTACGGAGAAAGAGAGAAGGACGCCGTCCAGCTGACGTGTTGACGATAAGCCGATAAGCGGATTGGAGATTCGGAGATTCGCGGAGAGCAAGTGAGAGCAAGTAACAAGTATCAAGTGAGAATACGAATCAAGACTTCTCAGATTCCAGCTGTGTTTTGGAGAAAGTTCCAAAGTCAAGTAAACTAACTGGGTTCGGCACTTAAAACTATGGCTGCCTCAGGCATCAATCGTCACCGATCCCGAGCTTCCTTTGTCATGTCACTACACTATATGTATACAGAACAGGTCTCACAGTGAATATAGTTATTAACTATTTCCAGATTCAAAATCCCTATACAAAAGGCGCCGGTAAATGCGCTCCTCCAAGTAATGCTCAAATGACCAAATGACACGTCTGACATCAATTGCATCCTTTTTTTACAGAACCCTCACATCTCCAGGCTTCACTCATAGTCCTTCACATAACGACCAGGCAGCTCCACATCCCACATCGGCCGCTCAATCACGGCAACTTCCAGGAGCCCACTGGATCCCTCTTCGCTGTCGTCCGACAAGTTGTTGAGGGGGGTAATTCCCAGGATGTCACGGTACTTATAGGTGTGCCACCAGCGACGGGGAGGCTGAGCGCTGTTAGCCTCGACCTGCTTCTTCGGGGTATCGGCAGCCCCGTTGACAGCAGTGAGTGATTGACGCTTCCGTGATCCCTTCTGGGGAGTTGAAGTTTCAGCTGCTGCTCCATCTCCACGTCGTAGACGGGCCAGGGCTGTCTCGTTGTTGGCTGCGAAAGCCTCATCATACTCGTAGGCCTCGTCATCCTCGCCCGGAACACGGGTACGCTCCTTGTCCAGTGCAACCCACTCGCCTTGTGATTCGTCGCTGCCAACAATCTTGCGGACCTTGGTTCCAAAGTGGATATCCATCTGTGACTGTTGGATCCGGTCACCGGCACCGGTGTTGTGCTTCCTCCGCTCTTCTTCGGCGTCGTCTTGTGCCTCACGTTTCCGCTTTGAGGCCTTGACTAGCTGGCTCTTGGGGTCTTCGGTGGTTGCCTCGACTTCCTCCGGGGAGGGGAAGTCTTGGAGGAGGTCGAACATCCAGAGCCACGAGGCTCCGTATAGCCAGAGGCGCTCGCGGCCCTCGAAGATATCCCACATACAGCCCATAGCTCTGTCTTTGACACCCCGGAACTCGGCGGGGAGGTATGCCTTGGGGTTACGTCTTGACCAGTCGGAGAGTGTTCCAGTGCGAGCATCAAACTCGATGAGTTGATGTTCACTTGTGAGTACCATCAAGCGAGACTCTTCGGATGGATCTGTGCTGTTCGCCAACAGCTTTTGTGTAGGGGCGCTCTTGGGGCGGAAAGACAACAAAGTGACGCCTGACTTCATGCGGGGGATTGGTGATTCAGCAGCGGCGGTAGTCCAGCGCTCGCCCTCAAACGCAACATCCTCGTCCTCCTCGTCGGATGAGTCGTCGTCGGACTCCGCGGCTCCGTTGCGCTTGACCGCACCGGTCGCACCGGGTCGTGTCTCTGTGTCCAGCACCCAGGTGTCGATGCAACCAGAGAGGTCACCACAAGCCAGAATCTTACTATCATCGGAGAAAACCACGGATCGTATCGTCCTCTCATACTCACCCAATGTTCCGTTGTTGGGCTTTTCGTGTCGTACGTGTCGTGTAAATCTCTTAAGCTTTGCAAATTGCGGTGCCACTTGGCTCTTCTCGGTGGGTGCGGAGGCAGGCTGGATTCGTGCCATATAGACCTCACTGTTAGGCCGGACAATAGAAACCCAGCGACCATCTGGGGAGATAGTAACAAGACGAGCACCGTCCTCGGAAAGCGCCCTGGGGACTTCAATCTTTTGGATACGCAGGGCACCCTTCTCGTCGCCCTTGCGGCGGCGGAGGGCAAACAGCTTGACTTCGGCAATTGTTGCGACGGCGAGTGTCTTGCCATCTGGGGACAGCATCGCCGATGAAATGTTCTCTTCGCCCTGGAGAGAGAAGTAATGGTTAGACTAGAGCTCTAGCATACTCATTGGCAAGCCACATACCTGGATCAACACCTTTCCAACAAGTCTATGCCTTTGACCCTCAATGTTCTCATGCAGAGAGGCTGGGCCCCGAGATACACGCCACAGGCTGACTTCTCTGTCCCAGAAACTCATGACCAATCGAGAGGAGGGTGCGGAGGTAAGTTGGGGGATTTGTGGTAAACTAGAAAGCTTGCGGTGGTGTTCCTTTCCAAATTCGCGCAGAGGCAGAACGATAGGGGTCGCATCGGGACCTATAGACAAAACAGTTAGCATTGATGAACAACTTGGTTCTCAGAGCCATCTCAACATACCTCCAGACACGGCAATACTGATTTCCTTGGTCTCATAGACAGCAAAGGTCTTGACATCGTGAGTGTGGTAACGGCGATGCATGACCTCGGCCCAACGGCCCTTCTTGTCGCCCTTCTCGCCTTCCTTCTTGCGGTAGACAACCGTCCTCTGGTCGGCACCTCCACTAATAACAGTATCGCCATTGGCACTGACCGCCACGTCAAGAGTATCGGCAAGGTGACCCTGTATCCGCTGAACAAGCGAGTGGTTCTTCGCATCCCAGAAGCGGATTTCGCCCGCGGAGTCACCAGAGACAATAGTGCCATCCGGCAGACACTTGACAGACCAGACCAAAAGCTCCTTAGGACCACCCGCTGGACCCTTGCCTAGCGAGATCGTCCTCAACTGCTGACCAGAACGAATATCAAAGAGACGAATAGAACTATCAGCATAACCAGCAACAATGGTATGGCGGTTCTGGAAAGCAACGCTAAGCACACGAGCTTTCTTCGTCGAAGGACGCATCAAACGCAAGAACCTAAGGTCGTTGTCGGCAGTAGAGAGAATAACAATCGAGCCATCAGCACATCCAGCCGCAAGGTGCTGGCCCATGAACTCGCCCTCGGCAGGAGAAAGAGTCTTCCCATCTTTGCCCCGCTTAGTCGGCTGCCAGCGCGGCTGCGCAGCAAGGCACCAGATTTCGCCGTAGTTGCCGCTGGAGTGGCGAAGCGGACGACCGTTCTCGAGGTCCCATTCGGTGACGGCGGTGGAATATCCAATGCTGAACAGACGCAGCTTGCCGGGGATCTTGGAGCCCTGGGGGCCGTCCTCCATGGGATCGAGGGTCCATGCGAGACCTTCAATGCTTCGGTCCTTGCCTCCGCGCATCACGGTTTCCTGGAACCAGGCTCCGCGCATCGGGTTCCATATTTCGATGTCGCCGTTAGCACGGCCGATCGCGAGTCGGAGGGTGGAAACGCCTCGGCCGGCTTGATCTGCCGAGGGAGGGTGTGAGAATGCAAGCGCATTGATCGCTTGCGGGTTGTAGGAAACGAATCGACAACGGTGGATATCCATAGTTGGTGGTTTAGGCTTCGAAGCCTGAGAGCTCTGCGTGTAATTGGAAACAGGTAAATCGGACGGTGGTGCTGAGTGTCAATTCAGGGTTGTTCCAGCTTAGGCTGTTGTTTCAGCCTCTAAACGCTCATCTCGTAGACACAGTGGAGATATTAAAGCGTGGTGCCGAAGCTTTTGCTGCGATTGATGCGCTGCGGCTTTTTTTTTTCTGTAGATAATTTTTAGCGGCCGGAATATCTTGGCTTTTCAGGGTAGTTTCTCCGTGGTCACGTGCGTGTATCAAATATATTGATGCCTTGTGGATCAGGCGTGATCAATAACTATCTGGAAGGACTCACGTTCACGAAAATGGGGTGAAATGAAAACTTCATGGTTGTCTTTGAAGTAATACGAGTTTGCATTGTATCCGGCGAGATATTGGAGGGGCTATTGCAAGAGATGGAAGAAACTCATTATACTATGTGCGATGCAAGGTCTCAAAAGTCAGACTAGTTCTAGCATATGCTTATGAGACGTTAGATACGATGAGTATTCCTTGAAATTTCGATAAAAATATTGACTGCTACAATCAAGCACCGGTCAAAAATGCATCCACTTACCGAGGAAACACTGCGACGTTTCAGAACACCATGTTGTGCAACATCACGCTGTGTGAGATCTTTGATTCCATGACAAAACCGGCGTAACGGGGAATCAAGGAAAGGTCCCTCGGCCAGAAGCGGTCAACTCATCAACCCATGTATAAACCAGCAAGCGGTTACTGATCGACGCACAACCCCAGCCTTGTCAATTTCAAATCAGGGATCCAGCAGCACCATTGGGTACCAACGTAAACCAAATAGCTTACTGTATCCCGGTATAGAATTCTAATACATGGCGTGGCGTAAAGTGCATGATGCTCTTCATGCCAAACGTAAGGGAGCCCAAGCATCAGTGAAGAAACCAGGCTCAGCTGAACCTGTCAGCGAAAGATTGACGAAATGTGCCACGAGCGTCAATCGCCCACCAATAGCTCAATGCAGTTGGCAGGGACCATCAAAGTCCCTATCAGGATTCCTTGAATTGAAAGCGGAGGTGGGCCATCAACCGCCTGCCACGTCAGAAGCAGCCATCCTTAGCTTGTTATAGTCCGGTGTGGCTGTTTTGAAGGGTAGCTCGTTATGCTTTGACTATGTATCAGATTTCGAAGAACACTTGCAGATGGGCATTCTGATAGGCCGCGGCATGCAGAGGAAAGTCCACATCCTATCGCGATTACAACATCTCACTGGATGCACAGTGACGAGCTAAAAGACAGGGGAGGCTGAGGTGAATCCGGGCGTCGCCATTGGCCGATCTGTAAGAGGATGAAGGAGGGGGAAAGTCAGACCTCGGATGTTGTCCATGGAAGGCCTGAATTGAGTGGCTCGTATCATTCCAATTGCATGCATATGTTCCTAGCCTTTTGGCACACGGGTCACCATTGTCGGGATTCCATTTGTGAACGGGAGAGGGGTGGCTAATCACCCCCCTGTCAGCATGGGCTCGGACGCCAACCCCGAGCGCATGGAATCGATAGTTCGGCTGATTTCAGGGAACAATGACCACGGCTGAGGCCTTTGATTCGTTTAACCCCGGAATTGTGGTTGGCCTGGAGAGGGTTGCTGCAAAGCCGGGATCCTCGAACTCAATTAGAGTGAATCTCGTATGCTTGATTCTCGTGTCGAGAGAGGTTAGGTCAGCTCCACATTCATGTTCGATCCCAGCTGAAATGGGTCGCGATCTCTGAGGGCAACCCGTCCAGGGTGGACTGGGTGCATAATCCGTAGACGACCTTTGCAATATTATTTGTCGAGCTGACCCGCCCCCAACCAGATCGTGTGTATTCGGAGATAGGCAGAGGCTGGGAGGACTCTAGACCTGAAAAGATAGCGGATCGGCAATATAAACGCAATGGCAATTGACGCGATCCTGAGAGTTTACTAGGATTCCCGCCAAGGTAAAAGGAAAGTAAATTGGGGTTAAGAGGGTATGTGTTCCAAGGCAAGATCCATGCTAGATGTAAGTGCAATTGACACATATAGGGGAAAACTCTTGACACTCCGTTCTTTTGCAGGGATAGGCATCTTTAATTTGCAAACTTTGGAACTATTTATTGCCCCGAACGCGCAACTGTGGGACGCGAACCTGATGACGGCATAGACTGATCCCGCCGAGGTCCAAATACCGCTAATAGTTACATACATGGATGAACAGTCTATTCGTAGTCTGTTCGTATTCCCGTAGGACATTCCCATAAAGAGCTGCTCTTGAATGTCTGGTCTGGCATATGTAGAGTGTTTCGTGTTCGAAACCAATTTATCCTCTTTCGGACAGCTGAGAGTGTATAGCCGGTACGACCCAGGTACTGTAAGCTGCGGCTATTCCCCACCGTGTTTTTGCCCTAAACCCCGTCAGGCTTAGCGACGTAGTGCCCAGCCTTACAGCTCCGATTGCATTTTGAAAGTATCACTGTTCGTTAAGCATAAAACCATATCAAATAGGGCACTTTTATTACTGTCTATACCTAAACAGTATGGAGATTTTTATACAAAGTGGCAAATCTCTAAAAATGAGCGGGGAATCGAAAAAAAACCAGCGAACCATGGTTGAGCCTCCGCTTGCCCCAGTCAAGCTACAAAGCCGAGCTTTACCTAATTAGGCCACTTTTGACCTCCGATGTGTGTAATTAGTGTCTTTGCTGTATTCACATTGTGGAGATTTTAAGATCTTGCTCAAACGTCCAAAATGAACTTCAAATGAATAAAACAGGCGTCAATTTTTTAACAGATTTCTTGCACCTCCCAAATTCAGTCTTGTTCGAGCAGGTTAGCTTGATATGGCCTCGGAAATTAAGGGTACGTACATGTAAGAAAGCACAGGCTAGGTGTTTGGGGCTTCGAGTCATCCGAGCTTGACACAGCTTGTCCACCACCCGGAAAACTTCCTCAGCTTAAAGACAAGGGGAAAAAAAAAAACAGCACAGTGGATCGGTTCCCACTATAAAGCGCAGAAAACCTTGACATTTGTATCCTCCCCGCAGAGGGGCGAAACGTCAATTTTTCACCGGTCATGAACTCGGTTCTGCCCACCGATACGCACGGAAAGAATGCAAAAGAGTGCGATTTACGGAATGCATGGTTCACAGTATGGAGTATAGAACGCGTTTACTGTATATTTAATTCACATGCAATCTATTAGTAGGAGAAGCTGTAATTTGACGGTGGCTTAAACTTGAGTGTCATCATCGGAGATGATAAATTTAGCTACTTGAAACCGCGCATTCTAGAAAACAGTCCCCTACTCAATCTGAAAAAGCGACGCAATTCACCCTAGACTGTTCTTTGTGCGTACGGTATCCGCGAGATCCGACATCCGCCACGATTCCGCCTTTTTTTCAAAGACAGTGGAGCGGAAGATTGTCCAGCAGAGCGGGGCGGAATCGAAAAACAGTGTACAGAACATGATAGACAAAGAAGCGAAATGTATCCATACCATGGTTGATACGTTCCGGCACGGCCCTATATAACCGTTGTGAAAATGTGGAGTTCTGGTTATGTACTCGAAGCAGAAACAGCGGTTTCCATGGTTGATACCTTTTGCAGTTTGTACAGGTCTTTCTTGTACCATACCACTCCGGTATAGACTACTGCAAGTCTCAGAACTGGTTTATTTTGGTACGGGATGTATCAGAGATATCAGATATAATATGGAATAGATATCGTATTGTGTGTTTAGAATCCGTCAAGTATCCACTTGGCATGCCCTACATAAGATCTCAGTGCATCTATAGGTATTGATTGATGCAAAACATACAAGATCACAATCCAATAGGAGTCGCGAGATCAAATCCACACCGCTCACATACAAGCGAGTGATATTCTGCAGACCAACACCGATCTACATGAGATGCAACAATCCGAGAGGATGAACCAAGGCACTCCTGAACTCTGAGCTCATCACATCACATCAGGATCACTCCCTTGCAGAGCTGAATAGCAATGCAGGAACACTGCAGGTGAAATAAGCAACATGGGACTGAACCAAAGGGACAAAAGAACAGTGTCTTGATTTGCAGAGTCATGCGCAAGGGGAAGCAATCTATACAACGCCCCATGGAGCGAGTCAGATCTCGCAGCCACTGGGGAACCTAACCGGTGACAGGCCATTTAAGTTTGCTTATTCACAGACAAGCATCCCTCAGAGCAGTAAGTGCAGTATACCACAAGGTGATATCCCATGCTTGCCTGAAACCAAGAAGTCAAGGATCAATTATCCCTTTTCAAGTCCAGGGGGACAAGCCAAGTATAAGCGCTTACTGTACTGCATAGCAAACCACCAACACTACCACCAACCCCAACCCATGGTTTGCCAAATACAACAAAGCAAGAAACAACCAAACTAGACGTCTAGTCAACGCCCCAAAAATAGATAGAATGACCACATCTCCGCCCCGGGAAGCTAAAGAAGTCCGGGGCCAATAGTGGTCCCAGACCAGTCCAGACTTAAACCACGCCCGTTGCCATATGCGCGCGCTTTAAACACGCAACGCCCCCTGGAACAACTGTATGATATGGCTCCATCCTGCACATTCGGCAGTTAAAATTAAGAGAGCCAGGAGATAGACGGACTCAAACATGGCATGACAGACGTGCGCCGAATCAGCCCCCTTTTCAATTGGGGGGCATGGTATGTGCGCCGGATGCGCGCATCGGAAACACATCGGCCAGTTACTAGTTTCCAAGCCATCCGGGCACGCTGTCTGTGGACACTGGGTACTCCGTACTCCTGCTCATTTGATGAGACTTGTTGCTTGCTGTTTGGGATGGGCCCCTCGGTCCGTTGTCCGTTGCGACCACGTACGTACTCTTCGCATACTGGACTCCGAAGCCCCTTTTTTCTCTCTTTTTGCGGTATGTACAGAATACTTGCTTTTTGTTCGCTTTGTATAGGTCGTGTTTAGTCCAATTGTTTCCTTGGTTCGGGGCAGATCGGCGTGTCGAACTTCCTCTGATTACAGGAGTAGGCTTGATGGGTAGGACAGGATCGGGATCCTTGGGTCTTGATATTACATCTTACAGTGTGGACATAGGCAGACAGTATAGTATAATTTGCTATAACTTATAATAATTTAGGTGAATATCGTAATGTGTGCAAATTACCATGGGATTCTAGAAGACTAGTAAGCAAGCCATTGCCCGAAAGGAAATGGCTTGATAAGGGGGTTTTGATCGGCGTATTGCATGGTGCCAGACTCATCCATTGAAGGACTCTACTAAGTGTACATACAGTAAGAACTAGTCGTGTTCCTTCTATGCAGTTAATACATTCCCGAGAAACAGGTATAATTGACTATGCAAATTTAACAGTTCAAGTCCCTGGCATGCGGGCGTGAACAGTGTAACTGAAGGTAATCTACTGTTAGCCCGTGTCTATCATTCAACTTCATTCATTTCCAATGTCCCTTGCTTTCCATGCCCTCGCTTATCGCTTCTCCTTTTCTGGCACGAGGCGGAATCCTCTGGCGATAGGGTGATCATTGCTTCGGCAACTGCCCGGTTCAGACGGAAAGGCGCGATTGACTTGTTCTACATTCCTTGAAACGAATCCTCCTTGGGAAAGTAGACTGTTGTTCAAGTCTGGAGAAACGGTCGAGTCGCATATCTGGTTTCATGTGGAGCTATGATTCATCAACGAGTGGCTGGAGACAATCCCTCCAGAAGCAAGGATAATAAATGCTCCGAGTGTCACTGCGAATACTTTCTCTAGTTGAGACGTCTACAAACCTTATCAAAGTCGCCAGCGTGTCACGAAGTGTAAGGTGTAAAATGTAAGAACAATGAGATCGGGTGGACGCGACCAGTTAATCTATGCTAGTATTGTCATACTAATAACAGAATCGGAGACTGTGGAGGCCGAAATTAGCTGAGAGCAAGAACCTGCTTTTGCGGAACTTCCCCCACATAGACAGGACAGAGAGGCTCGGAGGCTCGGGGCAACCGGGGGCAATTAAAGCCAAGCATAGGCTGACGCGAATGGGGGGGAAACACGCGAAGTCAATGGCTTCTGGACCAGTCACTGAAAGTGTGAAAGTAGACCCTGGAACGCGTATCGGAGTTCCAGTAAGTCTTAAAAGTACGGAGTGTCGATCAGGAGAGTTACCAGGAGAGTAACCAGGTGTATGTATCAGGAAGCAATTGAGGCCTTGCAGGAAAGGGGAATATTACCATGTCTTGGAAAATGACTGGGTCGCGGCATACGGTCAAAAACGCAAGAGTTTCATGTGCCTGATGTACCTGCGTACCTGGCGATGTACCTGGCTATGTTCCTGTTCCTATGTACTCCTGAATCTAGTCTTTTGTATTCTTAGGTTATAAAATAATATGTTAGTAAAATAGTAATATAGATGTAGTAAGTGAATCATTAAATTACTCCCTGTATGCTAATACTAATACTCTCGTACCTGGATTACCGGTAAGTTGGTTCAGCCTCCACTTTACCGTACAGACGACGCAGGTATCTCCGGTTCTTAACCTCTTCCTTTTCTCTTCTCTTCCACACCCGCCTGGAGAGAGATTGTCAAAAACCTCCTCCTTGTACCTCTCTCCTTCTCTTCTTCATACCTCTTCTCTCCCCCTTTTACCTCCCCTGTCAATTTGTGGAGTCCCTAGAGCCCGGTTTGCTGAGTCCTGACATTCCTGTCATCTCAGCTATACCTCTCTTGTCGAGTCGATCTTCGAACTTGACCTCCCTCTTCGACGTTTGTTAACTCAAACGGCGATCCCTCCGACCCTGTCCGCCGGTGCCCTCCTGATCCTCCGGACCTCGACCCTTGGACCCTCCTGTTACTCCTGCCGGTTAGACGAGCGACAGCGTGGTATGCCCATTTGGATTGACTATTGATACGAGTTTTGAGTTCTCTCAGTTTTTGGTCGATCTTGGTTTCATACATTGGAGTAAGTGATTTCTTTTTTTTGTTCATTTGTGCATGTCAGGGTCCGAAGCACCCCCGATGGGTAGACCAGCCACCGATGCTCGATTTTCCCGGACAAGAGTCAACGAGACCGTTCAATATCCATTTGTGGATGGGGTGTGAAAAAAAATCGTTGTGTCGGTGTGTGCATGAAAATTGGCCCACAGGGCATGATTTTGTGGATTCCGTATATCCATGTCCAAAGTGTGTGGTGCAGCCCCGACCAGATATACCCCCCGAGTCAGAATGATCAACGAGCCGGATGCTGGATATACTGGCGGAGGGGGTAACATGAAGCGATAAAGGCCCTGGAGACGGGAATTATGTTTTCAAATAAAGATGCTGTGGAATGCACCTCTAGGGCTTGACGGGCCACGTCTACCCCAGGGTCCAGCTATCCAATACCAACGAACTGCTTCTATATCTCCGGGATGAGAATTTAAGGGGTCCACGCAAATCTTATACTGCTGCACATGCCGGATGTCGGGATTACGATCGTGGCCTGGCACATACCTCTAGGCTGCACCTGGACAATCGTTACCATTGCGTTGAAACAGTTGCTGAATTGAATTGACTGACATTGTTACTTGTTGATCAGATTTTGTCCCGACTTCTGAATAGATCCACTTGTTTTCTCAACGTGGAGATAATCTCAAGTCCTTCAATTCCCGTCGAACCTCTTTCAATCTCTTTACTGAGACTTGTTTCATCATCTGTTGATCCGTGAAGTGTACGTTCGGATCATTCCTCTTTCAAAACCGCACCCCCTGATCTTGACCCCCTTCATAGGGTTATCCTCCTTCACTCCACATTCCGCAGAATACACTGGCCTAGGGGTGAAGACGTTCACTCGTCCTTCATCTCTCTGTTTGGTATCCATCAGAATCTCAATTCAACGGATCATTCCTGCCTAGATGCCAGTCTTGCCATTACGGTAAGGGTTGCATTGTGCCCTCTGCCCGAAGGCTCCTATCTGGGTTAGTACTTTCTCAGAGTGAAGACCCTTTGCCTCTCTTGGATATCAATTGTCTCTACCCTCCCTCTACCAAGCTTTTCACTTCACACACTCTCTTCCACACTCTTCCACACTCTCTTTTATCTCACCAATCACTCATCTTACTTTAATCTTTAATGCCCTACGACGGCCCTCGCTAACATTTTAATTCACTTCAGCTTCTGTCCACGACGACTTCCACTTTGGACTCATCCGGCCTTCCTCTCAGCATTCGGGCTATTGTCTCTTACGCTGTCCATTCATTAATTGTTCAACTTTACATTCATTCATCTTACTAATTCCACGACTGTCACTCTCTTAATTCCGTCGTTGTCTGTTCACATCCGTGTCTACAGACTTCCTTTCATTCGAATTCCGCAAAGCTAATACTTCGACGCACATCCAACTTCGCCCCTTTTGACGATGGATTACCACCGCAACTACCGTCCTTGTTCCACATTCTTCGTGGAGGATGACTATGGAATGGAATCTCGAATCCGTGCTGAGCGTCAAGCGAAGCAGGAGCATGACAAGCTCCTTGCTCGTGAGCGCCAGTACGCCATGGCCGACGAGTTGTCCAGACTCACCAGCGATGAGCTCCGGGATGATGTCCTGAGCCACATGCTGGAGATGGATGTAAGTTTTGTCTTGTTTATCTGACCTTTTATCATGGTGCTCGATCCTAACTCACCTATTCTGCAGAGCCAAACTCAGCCTGACGTCGAGTCCATCGACATCCAAACCGAAATTCAGTGGTTCATGCGACCGTACCTCCTTGACTTCCTGATCGAGGCCCACACTGCGTTCCAGCTCCTGCCATCCACCCTGTTCCTGGCGATCAACCTTCTGGACAGATACTGCTCCAAGCGTGTCGTCTACAAGCGCCACTATCAGCTGGTTGGCTGCGCAGCTCTGCTCATTGCGGCCAAGTACAACGACAAGAAGGACCGCGTTCCTACTGTCAAAGAGTTGAAGTCGATGTGCTGTTCGCTCTATGATGATGACATGTTCATTCAGATGGAATGGCATGTGCTTCAAACTCTTGGCTGGACCATTGGACACCCCACCGTTGACGCTTTCCTGCAACATGCCGTCTTGGATGAGGCTTACGACCCCGAGGTGGAACACATGGCTTTGTACATTTTGGAGATCGCCCTGTTCCATCGGGACTTTGTGTCTAAGCAGTCATCCGAGCTTGCTCGTGCTGCCCTGGCATTATCTCGCTGCATCCTCAACCGGCCTCAGCCTCGTCACACCCACTGGGCTTCTCAGTACGACTCGATGACCCTCGTCGCCTTGTCTCAACAGTTGCACCAGCCTTCGACTGTCGTTGCCCGCAAGTATGCTTCGGCTCACTACTCGCGTGTCTCCAAGGTTATGGAGCACTTCCTCAACCGCCAGGCTTCCTTGGCCAGCTATGCCCGTTGCACCCCTCCGGTCGAAACTCCCGTCGAGTCCAAGCCTTACAGCGGGGAGATGGGCCTTGCAACCCCTCAGAAGTCTTCGCAATTGACGGCTATTCCCCATGGATACCTCACTCCACCCATCACCCCAGAGAACGAGGCCCTCGTGCATGCTCATGCACAAATGGGTAACCATGACATGGCCCGCGGGATCCCCACTGTCCACGGCTGTTCGCCATCACCAGCACCTTCAGCTGAGATGCAATACGTGAACAGTGAAGCATACCAGCAACACCAAGAAGCCTTGTACATGGCTCAGCAGGCCGCCCTCCAACACTTCCCTGCAGCCCCGACTCACATGGGAATGGACCAGACCTATGCGGGTGGGATGTAAATCTGACAACGGAAGCAAAAGCCAACCTAAAAGTGATTTGGTCCTTGCACATATTTCCATCAGTTCATGTTCTTCATCTCAACCTCATGGCCTCCAAGGAGTGTCCCTTCTCGCATTGATTCATCACGATATTTGTTCTAATATTCAATGCGCCATGTGCAGTCGACCTGTGCCATATCCCCGATTTTGACCGCGTCATCATACATCTTTTCAGCTTTGCATTCGACCTCGGTGCCCCCGAAGCCGAGAACCAGCCCTTTCACTTCCTGTTCCAAAAATTGCATACCCATTTGCTTCCAATACCCAATCAGTTTTGGGTCAAAGTTGCACTTGATTTGACCATCTAGCATTGCGAGCGCGAGCCATGTTGATTTATTTGTTTTAGGAATGCATTTTTTTTGCTCTATTTGTTCTTGTTCATCACCTCACCACTTCATCGCCCTCATCTTCGCTTCTCTTGTCAAGGAATACAATCATACATTCCTCGTCCCTTCTTGTCCCGCTGCGCGCCAGTTGGCGTTGCGCTATTTGATACCACCTACCCTCGACGATCCTTAGCAGCATGGCTGCCTTGCCAATCTCCCCAATCGCACTCCAAATCCCCATCCCCAACCCCCTTCCCCAATTCCCCAAACTCCACAACCCCCCTCGGAAAAAAAAAAAACAAATCGTTTTTCATGTGCCTCTCCACCAGTTCAGCATGCAATGATAAAACGCAGCACGAACGCGGATATACCCTCTGACAAGACGATGTCTCCCCAACTGACAGTCGGGATTGTCCGCAGAGGTCACAAAAAAAGCAAAAAAAGTGAGAAAACCCGGAAAAAATTATATGTCTTCTGGGGAGGAAAGGACTTCAAGATCAGACTCATCCATGTGTCGACTCTGCTGTCCTTTTTCCTTTTCCCTTTGCTCTCCTCTTCCTTTGTATCTAGTCATTGAACCTGACCCTCGACAGCCACCCGTCCCTCTTTTTTACCCTGGGACGGATGGCGAGGTGTCTTTTTTTGATCCTTTGTGTGGATTTCGCAGTGGTGTTAGATTCGCCGCTTGGCTTTGAATTGATCCCATTTTCTGTGAACTTGGTTCTTTGTAGTATTGTAGGCTATCCTTCGGTCGTTGGTGGTATAGTTTTGTTGCAGTGCCAACTCCTCTGACGTACTGTAAATGCCCTTGTTGCCAAGTATGCAGTCCATGTTCTTCCTCCCTCACTCCCATTATGGATCATTCATCATGCTAAATTGGATACTCTGGGCTATTGGGCACTAAGCATTCATCCCCGCTGTGGATATCAGGCTCTAGGTCTATTGCCTCATTTTTCATCCATGTTGGGTGTGCTGCTGATCCTCATATGATCATATTCCGAGTGTAGATATCATCAAATTAGCGTAGCGGTTTCCCCGTTGACCGAAAATTAAGTGATTTGAAAGTAAGTCGATGTGGGAGGACATTAGATGCATAGCTTTGATCCAATATCTGAGGCATTGTTGATAGTGATGTGGTTGGTTGGTGGATATATATTCGATGTGTTTCTGATCAGATGCTCACGGAAAAGGTCACTTTTGAGTCAAATCTTGACCCCCATAGCGGTTTTAGCAAGCATTATGTATGTCTATATAAAGTATTGATATCATCTCAACTCAAAGTTGGGAAAGATCAAACCAAAACCCAGAGGACTTCGAGAACGGACACCCTTAACTTCGACCTAAACTCCATGGAGACCAGCCCATTCCTACTTAACCTTAAATCACCAAACCTCTTATAATCTATTGGAAACCCCCTAGATTTCAACCGAAGGTATAAAGCAAGTGTCCTTAATAAAGGCACGAAAAGAAGACTTGTTGACTAGTCTAACAATCCAGTAACAGTAAAGGTCATCCCAAATATAATCAAAACATTGCCATTCCAGCCGAGCAATACAATTTCGCTCCATTGCAATTGAAAAAGAAAAATCCAGATCCATTAGATCCAATAACCCACGCTATGCATCGCAACAGAAAGAATAAAAGAGACAGGTCGAATCCTTCAACTAGTGAGACCCACTGCCAGCACAACCTTGCAGCAGCTAGGTATTGATGCCGACAGCGGACACGTCTGGTGTCAAAACGGATCCATGGAAGGTCGAGAAGGGAGGTAGAGGGTAGGCAGTATGAGGAAAGGAGGGCGAGAAGGGAGAAAGGAGAAGAGACAGGAGAAAGGGGGAGAGAGGAAGTATAGACACAGAACCAACAAGGGTCCAAAGGAGAGTCGGGAAGTCGGAAGTCGGAAGTGTAGAGAGTTGAGAGAGTCGAAAAGATAAAAACAGCAGACCAGTAAAAACGCCAGATCCAAAACTCCAGTAATGATACAGTGGAGAAAGGCCAGAAATCCGGGGAGAGCAAGGATCTGTTGGCGAGGCAATGAGGGCTAAACGGCATTCCGTCAGGGGTTGAAGCGGTGAAAGAAAGGGGGAGGAGCTGTGGCCCATCACCGCCTCACTTTTTGGCGCGTAACGTGTCTCTCCGCGTCTTAGCTTCATAGCGTTCAATTGTCCGAGTGTGCCCCGATTGCCAGCGCCAATGCTCCGATGCTCCGATGCTTTGCTCGTAGACGACTATTTCCAGCGTTGCTTGTCCCAGTCGGATGGCCGTGTCTCGTCGTAGATCTGGCCACCCTTGTTGTGGACGATAACCGGGGGTTTGCGGACGGGATTGGCTGCTGTTCTGCATTAGCTGGGGATCTGGAGATCGGAGACAGGGGCCCTAGACGTACTCAGATTCCGGACCTCCGTGGCTACCACTTGGTCGCCGCTGCCTCTGCTGGCCAACGTTGAGTTGGAGTCGTTGACTTTGTGTGGCATGATGAATTGGTTGTGATGGGGAAACCAAGGAAGGAGGAGGAGGTGAAATAGATATTAAGGTATTAACGAGGTAGTCAAAGTAGAGAGGTCAAGGTATGTATAGCGTTAAGGCGTGAGGAGCGCGCAGTGTTGAACTGCGTGCGAATGATATGGAAGAATAGAAAGCAAAGATATATAGAGACACGAAGAGGAAGAAAGACAAAAAAACGACAGATGGCAATTAGTTGAGTTGTTGGGTGGATTATGAATTGGATGATATTCTCAGAGGGCGACGAGTCTTTTTGTATAGGACCATTGAGCTCCCGATCTACACTCTGGGGAACACAGCTCGGAATGGACCCCTGACGTATTTGGTGCCTGGTAACTTACGCCATGGAGCTATTCATTGGTGGATAGGGGAGATCCAAAGTAGGGCAGCCAGTCAGTGAGCTGAGGTTGTTACTAGGGCTTCAGGAGACATGTAAGATTACGCCAATTATGATGAGTCAGCCATTCCTCAAATAGCCTTGACTGGTCTACGTGTTTACAGTATGTAGCTACTTTAGTAACTTAGTAGACCTAGTAACCATGTCTTCACCGCATTCATTGCGCCAATGGCGGTTCATGGATACCCAATATCTCCTGTATAGGGGGAATTCCTCTTCTCACCGCTGGAACTTCCAGCTCCACCATGGTCCAGAATCTCAGGTCTCAATTACGGAGTACTGGGGAAATTATTGGAGATCTCATTGCTCAATAGCGTCTAACATGATTAGGCGGATGATCGACCTCTTTACCCCATGGATAAAAAAAGAAAAAAAGAATTATGAAAACTCACAGTCCCCAACAGCCTATAGATGCATAAACAAGTCACAGCCTCATCGGGCACGGATGTGCGTCATTCCCCATCCCAGACCGAGATTCTGGCCCTTTCCGGGGTCAATCACTTCCCAGAAGGCTCCCTAGCAACGAACCTGTGCGATTGCGATAGCCTGCCTTCTGACCCAGTCCCGTAGCCACTTCGTCATTTCGGACCAGCCTCCCTCGAAATCGTCTTAGCTCACATGGCCACCGCCATCTCGCTTCATCCGATCTTGCCATCCATTCATGCTCCGTCGTATGCCTAGTGTCCGGCGTGGTGCTTGTTGGACCATCGACATGGTCGTCGTGTGAAACGTCGACACGGCCTGGAATCCTCGGGTGGATGTCTCGGGTTTCGCCTCGCTCGCCCCGGTCCCTGCGGTCCCTGCAGAAACATTGTTCCCGGTCCGTTCCTGCGTCATCGACATCCTGGGTTTTGGTCCTGGCCTTGATGGAGCCGCCATCCACGTGTAGCCATTTGGATTGGTGGGCTCCAGCGTCGGCCGGGATGGCTGAAGTGGTCGTTGCTGCACGCGGTGCGAGGACAGGGCCGGTGGAACGCTTTGCGTAAGATATTGGCTCTGAGCCGGTTGCCCGTACCTACGGGATGGTTGTGGCTGTGGCTGGGCACGGCTGGCTATGACGGGCTCTCTTTTCTGGAGCCCTGGCCCACCGAAAAAGTTGGAGATGCTGGCCTGTGTGAGGCCGTCCTTCCGGGTACTGCTGGATGCACTTGGCTTGCTTGCCACTGCTACGTCTGCAGGAGGCTTAGACTTGGAGGTTGACTCCACGGGCGGTTCTGGGTTGGCTGTAATGTAGTCTCGGGCGGATGTGAAGCCTGATGAAACTGTGGTGGGAACTGTAAATTGGGTCGAGTTATTCATAGTATACCCGGCCGAGGACATGTAGGTAGTCGAGCCTGGGCCTTGATGCATGTCTGACCGGCGTCGTTTGGGGTTTGGTTCATCAACATCCCGGGCAGATGTACCATCAAACTTGGTGCGGTCTTCTTCCCCCTCGGGTGTCCATCGGTCGTCCAGCGTCGATGGAAGGAGGGCAAGCCCCCTGTACATGTCCTCGAGAGACGGGCGAGGACGACGCAAGATATCCGCAATGGAATATACCGCTTTCTCGTGAAGTGGAGGTCCTGTTAATCGGAAACGATTGGTGACCAACTTAGGTGGAAGGAAGGGTGTTAAAGTCGTCGACCCATCCTCTCCTTCACCTAGCCGGGGCTGCCGAATCGGGAGACTGAGGTATAGCAGTGCCTGAGCTCTGGTCATCGCCACATACAACAATCGTCTCTCTTCCTCAACCACCTCTGCGCGCGAGTGCGGGATACTTCCGTTGTACACAGCAGGAACAAAGACAACAGGCCACTCCAACCCCTTCGCAGCGTGAATGGTCGAGATGGTGACTTTTTCTTTGGGTTGATCACCCTCCTGCTCCTCATCTTTGGTGGTAATCTCGGTGGCTAGCGCAACATTCGCCAGAAAGCGCGTGAGTGCCTCTTCGCCTGCATGTGCCTGTTGTTGCTCCACGCCTTCGATCTCAGGGAGATCCATTTCTTTGTCAACCTCCTCCTCTTCAAAAGCTGCGACCTCGGTAGCCTGGTGCATCAGTTCCTTGACGTTCGCCCAGCGACTGTCTTCGTCGAGGGGATACGCCCTGATGAGGTATTCCTGGAAGGAGAGACGCTCCGTGATGAACTCGATCAACACACGCGGAGCTGATGCATCCTCACAGTCCTGCAACTTTTGCCGCGAAGCTTCAATCAGCTTCATTAGACTACATAGTCCCTGCTCTGCCGCCTTTTGAAGCTTCTTCTCTGTCGAACGACGACCCCGAACGACATCTTTGATGAAGTCCCACAGTGGAACCTTGGCCTTGTCCGCGCCACCCGTAAGTTGCTTGATCGTCTCATCACCGATCCTTCGAGGTGGAACATTGACAATATTCAACAAGGCATCCGAATGCCCCGTGTGACTGACAACTCTCATATAATTCAAAAGAATCTTGACTTCAGTCCGGTCGAAGAACTTGCGCCCTCCGACCATCTTGTATGGTATTCCTGCTCTTCCAAACGCTGTCTCAATTTGTGTAGACAGCGAAGCCGATCGAAGCAAGACAGCAAAATCAGACATGCGCAACAGACCACCAGTCATCGCTTCACACCGCTTGATTTCAAGAACCATCCATTTGGCTTCTGCGCCGGGGGTTGGAAGCTTTCTCAACACCGGCAAGGTTCCGAACGAGTGAGTTGCCTGCAGTGCCTTAGCTGGCCGGCTCGTATCCTGCTCGATAACTTCTTGAGCCGAGTTCAAGATAGACGCTGAAGATCGGTAGTTGTCTGACAAGAGAACAACCGTCGTGTTGGAGTAGTGCCGCTGCATTCGCTTGAGATTCGCAATTTCCGCAGAACGAAAGCCGTAGATACTCTGGTCAGGATCACCAACGATAGTGATGCGTCTATTCTTCGACGCAAACAGATTCACCAACTCATACTGAATGATGTTGGTATCCTGGAACTCGTCCACAAGCACAGCTTGAACATTGGAAACACACTGTGGATGCTCACGAAGTAGATCCCCACAGCGCAGAAGAAGGTCATCGTAGTCCAAGAGATTGGAAGCCGCTAAAGCTGATTCATAGTCACGATAGATATCAACAATTTCCTGCTCCTCTGCTTTAGCTTTTGCAGCCACAGCTTCGGGACTGCGGCCATGTGCCTTGTGGCGTGAGATACGGCCCTGAGCCGCTTTAGGTTCAATGCTCGACTTGAGTCGTTTGATAGTCCGCTGTCACCACAATTAGAGATAAAATCATAAGACATAAACAGTTCATAAATCCAAATCATACTCTGATTATAGCGCGTGTATCATCCGAATCCGCAATACCGAAACCCCTCCGCAGACCAATCAAATACCCATATTTAACCAGATACCGCCGACAAATCGAGTGAAAAGTCCCCAGAATCAAGCGCGATTCGGATTTTCCACCAATGAGCTTTGCAAGCCGCTCTCGCATCTCCCGACTGGCCTTAATTGTGAATGTGCAGCAGATGACATCTTGGGGTTGGTATCCATGGTGCGAGAGAAGGTACGCGACGCGCGCTGTCAAGGTTTTTGTCTTTCCGGAGCCTGGAGGGGCGAGTACTTGTAAAATTGAGCCGGATGAGGTTACAGCCTCGCGCTGCGCATGATTTAGTCCATCTAGGATGGGATCCATGACATGTTGGATGTTCGGTCTTATTCGAGTTCTTGTGAGGGGGCGACGCGAGGGAACGCGGTGTCATGTGACACGTTCCATCGAGGCGGTTGGAGCATAAACAATGTGTGGATGATATATCGAGTGTTTGTTGTTGTGTTTCGTTCGATTGATGTTGAATTAGTCGGTTGAAGTGGCTTTGTAAAATAGAATTTATGAGGACTGTTAGTTGGTATGATCAACAACCTCTGTTTTGTATATAGATTCAATGGTCTAAGTTCCTGAGCCCTTTTTTTTTTCAATATGGGCGATCTTACACGGTATGTCGCCTTCCTTTAATTGAAAAAAAGAAGAGTAAATGCTAGTAAGGTGTGTCAAGCATCATGCTTCATGATAGGATATTAAACAACCGAGATTCCGTAGATGCGCTGGCTTACACTCATAATTATGTGGTATAACCCAATCTAATGTGTTTTTGAGGCCGCAAAGCCCAGAATCAAATGCAGGGCTTCAAAATTATGTATGAACCTATTTGAATTGGCTAGTATTGCAATTGTACATGTAACAGCGGATGGCAAGTGAACACGAGGGCGGAAGTGCGGTGGGAAAGTTTAGGCGGAGCGGATCGTATGTTGCGCACTAACCTATCCTAGTAAGAGTGGCATGAAAAAGAAGTATGAGAAAGAAGTATAAAACGTAGTATAAGAACGTGATGATGTGGGAATCAACAACTCTTCAGAATCAAAAACTCGAAGAAAAATGTCACCTATCGACCTTCGAAATCCGGGACGCCCTATCCGTGTTGGTGTGATTCTTTTCAATACGTATGCTTCCTCAATCCTAACAGAAATAATTTCTTCGTCTGACTTTTCAGACTGACCGAGCAACTGGATGTTGCACCTTTGGGCTATTTCTCGAGTATAAGTCGAGAATTTCTTGAGGAGACTCCCTTCCCCGATGAGTTCAAAAAGGGCGCTCCAGAGTTCACCTTCCACTGGGTGAATGAAGATGGCAAGAAGCCTGGCGAACTCACTGGAAACATGAAAGTCACTCCAACGGTAAAACCAGCGTTTCCAAACGAATGATATTTCAAAGACGCTTTACCTGGATGCTAACTCACGAAAAAAAGGACTCGTTTGCTACATGCCCGCCTCTTGACATCGCAATCGTTGGAGCCATGTCATTCAACTACAAGCCAACCGAGGCTGAGATAGCATTCTTGCGGAAGACCCATGACGACTGTACTGCGCTCCTGCTTGTATGCTTCGGCTCTCAACCTGCTCTTCTGGCGGGACTGTTGGAGGGCAAGACTGCAGCAGCACCGCGTCCCGCCCTCGCTACGTTACAGCAGTCATCGCCGGGTGTGAATTGGGTAAAGAAACGATATGTGCGCGATGGTAAGATCTGGACAACAGGATCGTTACTGAACGGGTTCGATATGGTTGCGGCGTTTGGAAGAGAGACTTGGGGAGGCGACGGAGCTGTGTTTGATGTTATGACACTGGAGTGCGCTTGGCCAGACAGAGACGTGGATTACAAGGACGCCGCCGAGTGGAACCTAGGATCTTGGATGTATTGACCAAAGAATAATCAAACACTTTGCTTTTCTGATGAGGGTTCTTGTGTATCCACGGGGATGACTATCTATCTATAACCCACTTACAACAAGACACCGGTTGTTGAAGTTCACTTACTATAATGCATGTGCCTGAGCCCAGGTATTTACATCTAATATGCAGTCAATCCTGTGAATACATAGCACTTCTCTTTCTAAAATATAGACAGCTTTTGATTGGATGATGTACGGAAAGGGGTCCATTCCTGTGTCGGCTTAGCTTCCAGGTGAACTTTTGTTGTCTCTTTTCTTTTGACAAACCAGCATGCGAATTTCCATACCCATTGCTTTGAGAAATGGAGAACCAACTTCATGTTTGTCCGCGTCCGCGTAATACACGGGCATGTGATAAATGCAGGGCACGCAAGGTACGGTGTCTACCTGGAAAGAGATCTGAAGCCAGTGCGTGTCAAAGGTAGGGATCAAACGTCCATTCCGAACATTAAGAATAAGTCTCACGAGGCAAAATCTCTATAGATGTGCGAGATTTGGCCACACATGTTCATACGAAGGGTGAGCTTTTTGAGGACTTTCTTCATGGTGGTCCATGGTGGTCATACTAATTCACTTGCTCTCATATAACAGAAAAGCAGAATCTACCAGGAATCCCAAACAAGATGAGGACATATTATCTGGGCTGTTTGCAAGCCAACCAGAGGTGGCAGATGTACCGAATCAAGTATTTGACCTACACCGCCGAGTTTTTCAAAGTCAAATGGAGGGGAAATGTTCATCAGCAGCTACATCCGACGCCTCAAAGCCCCTGGGACCCCTTCATGAGCCTAGAGATCTATTCATATCAGTCGGCGAGCGTTTGACTATCGATGAAGCAGAACGCTTGGTATCGCAATTTCAGTATCGGAAGGTCTATTTCCCGTTCATAGATCTTCCTGAAGATGCTTCGGCCACCTGGCTAGCAAGGCACCGTCCGTTCCTGTTGCTGGCAATCCTAACCGTGAACTCTTCAAAAACGCCTCGATTGCAACAAAGAATAGATGCACGACTGCGCCAAGTGTTAAGCGAAAAGGTCATTTTCCATGGGGAGCAGAGCTTGGATTATGCCCAAGGGTTATTGATCTATATTGCATGGTAGATGACTTTTCAGCATCCAACACTATCATACGAAATGACTAAGTTGTTTCTCAGGTACCCGCTGCATTTAAGACCGCTCCGGAATCAATTTCTTCAGTTCATGCAAATAGCGAAGACAATGGTATCTGATTTGGGATTGGCCCATAAATCTTATGATCGCGATTCACTGCAAACGTCACTTGCTTGCTATCACCTCTCATCCTTGTGAGTCTGGTTCATTTTTGAAATTTGGTTCTTGCTCATGCTTCCCTCCTTTAGACCCACCAGCTCGATAAATCGGCGACGAATTGACAGCAGTGCAGTGAACCTTCCTGATATGGTTGCCCTTGCAGAAATTGAGTCGGAGGAAAAAACAACGCTGCTGTTAACGAAGCTACAGATGCTTCACAGGGAGGTATCCAGCCACGGAAGTACCATCGAGCCTCAAAAAAACATAACGTGCATTAGAGAAGCTCACGAGGCAGTCAAGACTTTACATCAAAAGCTAAGTGCTCTTGACTTGGCGGTGTCACCCAGGGTCCAAGAAAGTGGTAAGTTGTGAAAATATGCAAGGGCTAGAGTATTTGCTAAGTCTACCATCCTGAAGTCCCATTTCGGCTCTCAAAAATTTGCCTCAGAGTGAGAATAGCATTTTTACCTCTGCAGACCCTCGAATCCACTCCGAATCAACAATTCGATACACATTTTCTACATGCAGGTATTGAAAGATTCGTATCTCAATGCTTCTGGGTAGTCCAGGAATATCTGGAAGCACTATTGTCGACAACACTCGATCAATACGTCTACTTCTCGACCAGAGAATGGTCGAATACGATCATGATATTCAGCATTTGTTCGAAGCTGTGTTTCTCTGACTTCACTTGCGCTTGTGTCATTGAGCTCCATGCTTTTCAGAAACAGGCCCGAGCAAAGATGCTGATTTATCTCGAGAGCCTTGCGCATCGCATGGGGAATGTTTCAGAGACTCCTATGCCATCGAGTAAACATCCAGACTTTTTCTGCATGTTTAAAGCTGTCTTGGAGATTATGATATCTACATATGTGCCGCCATCCAGTGGCTCCAGAGATAGTGATATTGCACCTGGTGACTTCTATGTGACGCAAGAATTGTCCCGCGAACCTCAAGACCCAGAACCGGAGACTTGGACTCCAGGCTCCAATGCTAGTCGCTGCCCTGTGTTGAATGGTACTCTCCAAGACACGGACTTTTGGCGAGCTTTGGAACAGAATGACCCTGTCACTGAAGAAAATGTGGGTGGTACGACTGCAGACCTACAAGGCGATGGCTTTGGTCAAAGAAATGAGGCCACTACGTCTGATCCCTGGCTGGAATGGCCAAGTATCCTCTCAGACTGGGTACTTGACCCTGACCACGTACCCACATAATCATTCAAGTGCTGTGCGAGCATTGTTTTTGCAGGAAAACGTACTCCAAACACACTCATCTTCTGCTCATCTGCAACATTGAAGTCCGTTCTCCACTCCCGAATTCTCATAATATAATCGTAATTAAGATCTCCTTTTCTATTAGTCTGAACATTGAGTATTCCACCTGCCTTGTGTAGATTGCTCTAAATATATGCTATGCGAAAGTGCTCTTCGGAAGGCTGGTACCTGGGCGTCCCTGCCTGTCATGGCAGCCTGCAGTAGCAAAATTTCCAGTATTAAAATAGGCCGAGATGTGGTTGAAAGAGGTATTCAAAAGACGAGCAAATCTGTAAAGAAACTGAACACTTTTCGTCCTGGACCCGCGTATGAGCTCGTTTTTGGTTGGATTGTACATTATCGCGCAAGATGCAGGCCGTATCATCTCTCAAGTGGTGCGGGAATTCCGGAAGGAGTGTCCTCACAAGTCGTTCATGTCATGTGTAGTAGATCGTTCGCCAGCTGTGTCCGGACCTAGGAGGAGGACGCTGAGAAAATTGCATTCATCACAGTGGACGCTTCTTTCGGATATTGATGATATCTAGACACACCGCCAGTGAGTTGGTCCCACCATATGATTGACGGTGCAGACGAAGAATGGGTTCTACGGTGGAAGGGGAATACATTTGATTTTCCTCCACTCTTGAACATTGATCATGCTACAACTCCAATCATTACCGCAGCCAATGTGTTGGACCTGGAAATGACTTATGCCGGGCCAGTGCTGCTTTCTACAACTTGAGGGATTGGAATAAAAAGGGGGATCACGGTGACATAGCCCTTTCCAAATGGCCCACACAGCGAGAGCAATGACTGACCGAGCATCAGTTTCCAGCATCCGGTAGCCTCTACCATAACAGATCACAGCGCAATTAATTCGTATATAGTAATGAACACCGTCTGTGGATCCAGGTGTGTATTTATGACACTCTCTATGATTCTGCCTGGATCATGCAGCGTAACCAGAGTGGATTACAGTCTATGTGGGCATTTTCTATTCTCGGACTCTTGATCATCTTCCAAACAGAAAGGAGAACACATGAACCAATATCTCACTGACCCTCCAGTCTCAAATATAGATGGCGATTAACGCAGCCTCCCAACCTTAAAGAAGTAGATTTGAGTTGTTAACACCGTGAAGAAAACCATGTCATAACCAGCCAATAATCGCAACGGCCTCAAGCGGTCCCAACCGACAGTGTGGCATACCGATCTCCACACGGGAAGCATCCTCCTGTACAGGTCTCTTGGATGAACCAGCTCAAGTCCTATAACCTGATTCGAAACAAGTATGATACCATTGGCTCCCTATTTATGCAGACACGGTAGCCCCGTCTTGGACTCCACTAGAGAACTGCCAAGGGGCTAGATATTACTGCAGCTTTGATATTTGCTTTGAAGAATAGGTACTGAAGATAGGGAAAGGAAGGAATTGGTTCTTTGAACAATGTCACTCGGACAACCTCGGAAGGAGTTGTTGGGCATTCCGGACGTTGAACTACAGTATCCCACGGTCTAGGGTGCAAGAGCAACTGCTAGCTCAGAAATATTTCGTCATCTCAGCGAGTAAGAGTTGTATACTTGCTTTTGAGGAAACTTTAATCGAGACTTTTCTTAGCTAGAATGATCCTGGGCTACCAATGGAGGGACTTTTTTCGCTGCTGAAGTATATTGGCATAATACACATCCAAGCTCGAGATTCATCACGAATGAAGCAAATATGTCAATTGTCAGGAAACCCCGGACTTCATATTTTATACACTACATCGAAGCGAATTGATCCCACTAAAGTTGTGACCTCTCGCCAAGATATCTTACTGAACACGATTGCTTGTTGAATACGATACTCCAAGCATGACTCAATCCAACCCTTAGCCACATCCAGAGCCAACGGCCATCTCCGGATAATTGAATTGCCCAAACTTGATACAAGGCTCGGAAGCAAATAGGCGACCGGAAGCCAAGAAACCCTCCCCGATTTGCCCATGAATACGTCGACAAGCAGCTTCCTATTGTTGACAGGCCTTCCTACTATACTTGATGTTCACCGATCCAGTGGACCCTGGGCCTCCCTCGTCATCCAACAGATTGACCTGCCTATCCTGGCCAAAGTGGGACGGGCAATCCTTGTGTGGCTGAGTCCGGAACACAATGCAACATAAGAAATAGGAGACGACAGGACAGGTTTACGGGCCTGTCATCGCGATGGCGTTCTCATTCCTCGTTTTCTGGAACCAAAGCACGCCTTTTGTGCTCCCAAGTCGCTTAATTAAAGTTTGAATCGAAGCCATGTTTCAAGTCTCATAGACCAAGAAAAAGTAGTATTGTATTATGTGAATATGTTGATATGTTAATATGTTCATGTGAATGCTCGCTTGACTAACGCTTGCCCGAATGCAAATACATCGCCGGCCCCCTGATCCACACCACTGTATGTCCAAAATAGAGGCAAAATCAAAAATCATTATTCTGGGTATCACTCCACCATACCAGTTCTCCAAAAAAAAAAAAAGGAAAGAAAGATGTATATACTAGACGTCTCATATTAAGTGAAAATACCCAATGGCAAGGTCATAGCCACTTCGAAATTAGGCACGTTAACCACCTCTGCAATTTGCAGATCACCAGCAACACTGGCAAGGATGTATGCCTCGCTGCGAGTAAGACCTTTAGTCTGCACCAGCCACGTAATAAGGTTGCGAGTAGCACTGCGGGTAGCCTCATACAGGTCGGGAGCAACACCAAGAGCGCCGTAGGTTCCGAGGTCGGGGAGGGGGTTCGGTATTTGCGCACGAGGCGGAGTCTGGAACTGAGGAGCGGTCATCCAGGGCTGGTTCTTGACGAGCTCGAAGCGGAGCGTTGCCCGGATGGGGGTTTCGATCGCGGTGCCGCAGACCTCGCCGTGGCCCTGCGCGGCATGTCCGTCGCCACAGCTGAACAGTGCGCCGGCGGTCTGTACGGGCAGGTAGACGGTTGAGCCGACACTCAGCTCGCGGCAGTCCATGTTGCCGCCGGCGTTGGTGGGCGGGACGGTGGAGAGCTCTTCATCACCGGCCGGGGCGAGGCCCATGCAGCCGAGGAAGGGGCGGAGGGGGATGCGCATGTCCTTGAACTGGGCGAAGCCTGCTTCGCGGTTCAGCGACCAGATCTTGATCTCTGGCTCTGGATATTCGTCTGCCAGCAGTCCGAAGCCTGGGATGATGGCGGACCAACCCCAGTCGGCGACTTCGAGGCTGAGGACTTCGACTTTCAGGACGTCGCCGGGTTGGGCGTCGTTGACGTAGATCGGGCCGAAGACTGGGTTGGCGAGGCCTAGATCCAGGGTGCTGATGGCGGAGGCCTGGGATGTTGTGTCCAGTTGGCCATTGCTGCTGTCGATGGCGTCGAAGGAGACTGTCTCGCCTGAGGAGACGGTCAATTTGGGAGTGTTCTTTCGAGACCACTTCTGGTGGCCACACTCTCTTCCCACGTGGAAGTTACTCCATTGCTTGGAGGCCATGCTGCAAGCTTGAGATGGTGTCCGGGTTTGTGTGAGAATCATGAGAGCAATGTGGGCAATGGCGGGTTTAAATGGAACCAAAAAAAATGAAACGTAGACTCTGTGGAATGATGGATGATACGGCCATTATGTACGTTGAGATCCTCTTCAGGGTTGACCGTTCTGGAAGGTGGCTAGAGCCCGAGTGGTATGCTTCTTTTTTTCTAGGGTCCACTTGTGCGAGACATAATCGCCTGCCTAAAGGAGTTTGACAGGTTTCCAACAGACTGGGTCAAGCCCTGCCAAAGCTGGGGTTCAGATCTATTGAAGGCAAAAGAGCGGCAGCAAGCGACCTCTAAAGGGAGATAACCTTGTAAGGCGGGGGGGGGGGGTTACGGAAAAGCCGATTATTAGTTTAAATTTAGTTATATTCTATCTATGTACAAGCCTACAGCGCCGGAAAAGGGAAAGCCGAACATTAAAAAATGGATAACTTCGGAGGTATACGAAACGCCACATCACAACGGGTCTTGATTTATGGGACCAAAAATTGAGACCCTAGAACAGCAATAGCACCGAAGCCCTCACACCCAATAGAATATCGTGAACCAGCCATATCCGACTACAAGCACCTTCTTAATCGGGTAAAGAGTGAACCGTGGAACGGGTCATGCATAACACATGGTGCCCTCCGGCGCTTGTCCCGTTTTGGTAGTTATGTAGTAAAGGATCTCATAGATCTTGGGTACACTTCTCTATCACGATCCTTGGCCATCCAACATTGCTACAATGCACGACGCATTGTCGCTATGTTGATGGCCTGCGCTATTGGTGGTAATCTCCGTCGCAATCTCACTGGCTCGTTTCCCCCGCATTGATAACTTCATCACGTGCTGCACCAGACTGGCGTCGTCCACTCGGTCGCTTACACCGTCTGATACCATCAACAGTAAGTATCGGCGGTCAGAGTGCAACGTCCGTCGGGAGGTGTAGGGATCATTGGATAGGAAGTTCCCCCGTGATTCCGACCGACTGGAGGTTGAAGCGGCGGGGTCTGGCACCGGGTCAAAGGTATTGACTGGGTTCTTGTACTGCAGGTCGCCCAGTGCCCGGGACATGTTTAATGCACCTATTCACTGGTCAGGGTTGTTCGTTTCACTGGCGCCAAACATACCAAGACGTGGCGTCCCACCCCGGATGGTGGTTGTTCCGCCTGCTGCTTCGATACGAGCCTTTTCCCTAGGCACCTCCGGCTTGTGAGTCTCTGTGAGACGTCGCTAATGCGGTGGTTAGCTTCCTTCGCATCACCTTCGCTATCGGGCATCATGCATACAATGTGATACGGATGCTCTGTTTTGGGGTCTCGCTCCGCCAGGATAACATGCGAGTCACCCAGGTTGGAGACGATCAGCTCGCCAACGGTGAGGTTAATGCAACAAACTGCCACTGTAGACCCTGACAGGGCAGGCTCGGCAGATTCGCGCTTGAATCGGTCAAGTAGAATGCTGTCTTCTTCCTCTAGTGCTGCCTTGATGGCTACTGCCCAGTCTCCTCGTTCGAATTCCTGGCGTTCGCCAACCAGATGGTGTAGGGTTTGGCTGACATGTTCTGAAACAAGACCAGAGCCACTGAGAAGCGTGGTCAAATTGAGACCGATAAAGTCCCGAGAATTTACTTACTGTCCGTCATAGATTGCAAAGAACGCAACCTTGTCCTCCACCTTCGAGGGAAAGTGATCCGGCAAAGCCACCACGAATCGATCCTCCTGAAACGGCCTGCCTCCCTGTTCCTGTGACTGTTCAGTATGATTGTGCAAGCTTTCATGTGGATCTTTAGATACCCACTTGTCCGGCCCCTACATCAAACAGGCTAACTGCCTCGGAGGTAGAAAGGCTGTTGTTCCGGTACATGCGGTTCCTCACAGCTTTGTGAGCTAAGACCATGTTTGAGTAGAGATCGTGCTGTGTATTACCGAGAAGACATACACAGGGTCCCATTGTAAGATCTGGGGTCTGGGGGATGATGATGCCCTGACATCATGAACACCATTGTTCCTTTGTGTTCAATATTTCTCAATATACAGGTACCTCATTGGTGGTCTCAATTTCCCTCCGGAGTCTATTCCTTCTCCAGACAAGCCACATGGGCTGGAGTGCCTTGCATGAAACTTCCGTATGGGGTACAATGTCTACTTAAGATGGGTTGTCTATTAGTGCTTACAGTATTTTCATATTCAATACTACGTTTCAAATTGATGAACATGTAGGCTGCAAGTAACGAACTCCGTGCTTGGCTTCTGATGCCCGCATAGATCTGATCTGTTTGATATGGTGGTGCACGGGCCACATTTTCGGCGAATCTGCAGAACAGTGATTCCAAGCACTCTGTTGACTCACCTATATTGCACCCTTTAGTGTACTTCTCACTCTGTTCGGTATGGGCTGGGTAGGAGCAGGTGTCCTCGTTGCAACAACTGTATATTTCCTCTATCGGTACCCTCCTCGCAGCTGGAACGAGCCTCGTCCTCTCCCCCCTCCGGAACTCAAACCCGAAGCGGCGGTTACCACTCCCATCTCAGACGAGTCTGTACGGGAAAAGCATGGCCCAAGGCCTTCAACACCAACAATAGAAACAGAGCAAGAGGATTCCCAAAGCACACCCAAGGCATCTGCTTCAAGCGCACCACCGCCGCCGGTCTTTACGGTCCCCACGCTCAATCTGGATAGCGGCGAGAACGAAACATCCAACCCGACAATGCCGTCCATCCCACAATTTCTACGAGGCGGACAGTCTACAGCATCAGGTCGCGATAATGCAGCACCAAAGCCCCAGTCGTCACAACCACCTCTCGCTCCTCCGCGACAACCATCAACAACGGGTGGCTCCCTAATGCCACCACCTCCACCCCCAGTCCCTAAACCCCGACCAGCGCAAAAGAATAGCCTCGCCCCGCCAACCCTACAACCCCCACGTCTCTCAGGCAGCTCCCTCGGCCCACCCCCATCAGCAGCATCCTCACAACGCGGTCCCCCAACCAGCAGCAGCCGTCTAAGCAGCAGCACGCTTGCCCCAACACCAGTGACACTGAAGAAATCCAACTCGAAGAAAGTAATTCTCGAGCCAGGGTTCTCCCCCTTGGACTGGGCCGCCCTAACCTCAAACCCGAACAACAACCTCCGCGGCAAAGATGTACCACCGGGTCTGCTCCGCGTTACACCATCCATGCTGAAAGAGCAACATGGGCGCAAGGGCCGGGATGCGTGGACTTCGTACCACGGCAAAGTATACAACATTTCACCGTACGCGCCCTACCACCCAGGTGGTAAGGGCGAGCTCCTCCGCGGTGCAGGGAAGGATTCTGCGAGGCTCTTCCAGGAGATTCACCCGTGGGTGAACTGGGAAGGCATTCTCGGCGAGTGTCTGATTGGAATCTTGGTTTCGGAGTCTGATCTTCATGTCGAGAATGCCTTGGATGCCATGGATTGAGATGATGCCGTGGTCTGGCTCTTCCCCATCTTCTTTTCTTCTCACTTTCTCTGTACAGTGTACATTTAGACGAGATACCCTCCTGCTTATAGAGACATTGCATAATCTATATGATCCCATATACACATACTGGCACATATTATTCTTCAAAGGAAGTATAAGACAATCCCATTCAATAACGTTAGAGTTGTCAAGGTTTTAGCAAGGTACCTTCAACAACCATTACAGCTCATCCTTATCAACACCCTCAATAGCAACCAACTCAGTCTCAAAGATCAATGTCGCACCACCGGGGATAGGTCCAATACCACGGTCGCCGTAGCCGTACTCGGGGGGGATAGTCAGCGTGCGCTTCTCGCCAATACACATATCCAACAAGCCCTGGTCCCATCTAAACAGAGAGAATCGTATTAGCATGATACACCCCCGGTATATAACAGCCAAGCACCCAATCCAGTCCAACCCCATTGACCAGGTCCACAGCAAAGCTCCAACCTCAAACCAATCCAAAACAATGCACTAAATCCCGAACAAAATGAATACTCACCCCTTAATAACCCGACCAGTTCCAAGCTTGAAAGTCAATGGCGCATGACGCTTATAGCTAGAGTCGAATTCGGAGCCGTCAGACTGAAGGGTTCCCTTGTAGTGCATGGAGACGCCATCGCCCTTGACGGTCTTGCGGGTGCATTCGACTGCGTGGGTTGTTTCGATGCCGAGCTCAGCGGCAGCGGCAAGGGAGCTTAGAGCTGCGACGAGGATGGAGGTGAGACGCATGGTGGTGAATTGGAGGGGGTTTGGAGAGAGGTGGAGGTTAGAGGCGGAGGGATTGAGGACAGATTGGGCGTTGGATCTCGGGTGGATTAGCGTTGGTCTGTGCTGAAGTATAAACATCAATGCTTGGAAGGGGTGGCATGAAGGGCTTGATTGTTAGAATACTGGTGTATGTATTTTGGGGTATTGCTCTTTGATCAGGATCATGGAGCTCACACAGAATTCATGCTCTGAAACCATGACCGATCCAGCCTTTGTACCATCTGATCCCGAGGTACACAGCTTGATCAGGCAAACCTAACCCTTGGTAAACTGCGGTGCAGAAACAGTCGCAACAGAATAAACACCCTGATCAGCCAAGGCCCTCAAATCCCCCTCCCCCATATCCCCATCCCAACCGCTATCAACAAGATAAGCGCGAAACCTCTCATCCCGAACCCTCAAATCCTCCCCCCGACAAATCCGGCACAAAAACCCAAGTTACCACAACACCCACAACCCCACAAATAGCAGCAATAATAAAAGTCCACTTATTCCCCAAGTGACTCTTAATAGGCAAGAAAGCCTGCGTCCCCACAGCAGCCCCAGCCTTCCCAATAGCCGCCGAAAGCCCATAACAAGTGCCCCGAACACCAGTGGCATAAGACTCAGACGAGATAAGCCCGAGCATATTCCCAGGGCCGAAGTTGCCAGAGCTCTGCATGAGTCCGTAGAAGACCACGAAGAGCGGGACGATTTTTGTGATGCGGTCATAGGCGCAGCCGATTATCAGGCCGAAGATTAGGTACCCGCTGAATCCTATCATCATTATTTGCTTGCGGCCGAGCTTGTCGCAGAGGAAGGCGCCGAGGAATACGCCCGGCAAGGCGATTGCTCCAAGGAGGAGTTGCCATTTGCCTGTTTGGAGGACTGTGCCGTTGGGCACGACGGAAGAGATAATTGTACCTGAGAAAACGCCGTTTGGGAAGGTGACAAAGTCTGAGTTTGGTTCTGTTAGTTGAATGTACTTTCTGGATTGTGTTGGGTGTTTCATTCTTACCGTAGAGGAACCATGCACCACATGTCCCGATCAATGATCTCCAGTAGAATCGAAGTACGAGTTCGTAGGGGACATGTCTCTTGATTGCGCCGCGGCGGTAAAGGACGGAGTTCAGCATGCGGATTCGGAAGTAGAAGATTGATAATGGCCAGGCGCATCCGATGCCGAAACATAGTCGCCATACGGTGCTGTAGTGTTTCTGGCTACAGGCGCAGAGTACTATTATGAAGATTGATACTGCGAATGGGCCTCCGAATGACAAAGGGAAGTTGGTGACCATGATGAAGGCTGGGCCTCGGCGTTTGGGCATGAGGTCGTTTGCTGCTTCTGAGGCCGCGGTTGAGGAGGCAGGATATTCGCCGCCGGCTCCTGGGTTGGTAGTCAGTATAAAGTATATATAGAGGGCATGGGGTGTCTCTCTAGTGATGGCTCTTGGGCAATATGCTTGACAGTGGAATAGATTTAGGGCCCACGTACCAAACCCAACAACGCCACGCGCAACAGTCATCATCCAGAACATGCCATTGATAGTCACGCCATGTGATGCTGTAGCGAGGATTCCTCCGATAACGATCATGAGTGTGGTGAAGACGATGGCAGTCTTGCGGCCAAGGTAGTCGCATGTCAGTCTGGATATGCATCGTTAGATCCCAGCAAGATCCGATTAGAAGACTGGGTGTTACCCGATGATAACTTGTCCGATAACTTCACCGACAAGCAATGCATTAGACACACGTGTGCTGACGGTGGTTGTGTACTCCTTCGGATATTCAGCTTTGAGGAGGACATTCGTCATGGTCCTGTTGTTGACGGGTTAGAGTTGTTATTCGATCTTGACAAGGCAGAACGCGCTCAACTTACATCAGATTGTTCTGATATCCATCACTGATCAGAGCAAAGCCGCAGGCAAACTATTGACAGGTCAGGTCATGTTAATTTGTTGGTTGCGAGAAGAGGGAATACATCTTTCAGCTGTGATGGTCAAGAGGGGCACTCACAATGGTAAATAAGTCCGAGAGACTCTTTCTCTTCTTCGACACGTACTTTGAGTCAACGTTTCTCGCTATAGCAAGGCTCTCATTGGAGACTTGCTCTCGTCCATCGTGGAATGGGAGCGCGGTCAAGTCACGCTCCGAAACAACGCGCTCGGAAGTCATCTTATTAGCCCACAGAAGTGGTGCTGAGCAAGGATTAATAGAAGGCCTGAAGAAAGTGGACGTTCGAGGGAGAAGTAGTACGGCTGTAGTCAGATTCGAAAGGTATTCCAGTCCAGGATCGGGTCGACTCTGTTCTTTGAGCTGCCCTATGGGGCAATTGAGTTCAGCTCAGACAAAAAGTATAAGCGTAAGGCTTCGGGACTTACCGTTAGGGGTCCTCTTGGCCTTCTAGATGGTATTTTACCTACATCCATCTCAATTGAAACTACCTCGGGCGTAGATATATATTGAGGATTATCTACATCAAACTTGATTGTCTGTGGCTACTCACTTATTGGATCATTTGAAAATTGTTTGAATATCTTTCTATCCCATTGAATGAAGTAGGTAGATACAGCCGCTAAAAACGCCGACATGTGCATAGGATCCCATGGGTATCACAGATGTTGAAAAAAAAGCACGCATCCATAACGCAATATGATAAAACAAGACGGGGACATGACTCATTCTTGGAAATGTATCCCAGGGCTTTTGATTGCTAAATCAAGACCTTAAGCCCACTTGCCTAGCAGGGCCATGAGGGCAGCACCAGCACACAGCAGACCGAACGCAAACAGCACGTCACGGATAGGAGCTTTGCGCATGGAGCTGCTGAACATGAACTCGTGCGCCATCAGCTCGATAAGCGCAGTGTAGATCAGAATGCCGGCAGAGATAGAGTCGAAGACACCGTTGACAATAAGAGTAGTTCGTCCCTCCGGCGGGTAGCTCTTTCGAACCCCGAGACCAATGGCGATGGCAATGGGAGTAGAGATTCCATAGCAAAGGCCTAGGATGTAGGGGGTAAGGCGCTTTGACTTGGGCCAAGGGACAGTGGCCAAACGGGCACCGAGACCAAGGCCTTCGAAGGTCTGATGGAAGACGAGGACGATGTAAAGGGTGGTAAATTCGGCACCGGACACTGCAAGAGTGAGACCGATGAAGATAGAGTGGAAGATAATGCCAAATTCCAGGATGAAAATTGAGGTAAGTTGGGCGGCGTAGTCCTCGGCTGCATGTGGATCCTTTTCGTTATCGGAGTCGCTGTCATGATGATCGCGACCGTGACCGAGGTGGTCCTCTCCGACGAGGTGGTTCTTGTGTTCACCCAATCTATTGACAGTAGGCTCTTCGATCTGGATGTGAGAGTGCCCCTCTTCGTCGTGCACATGGCCTTGACCGAAAGTGGAGAAGCGCATAACCATCAACTCGACAAAGAACAGGACAATGATGGTCATAAGAACAATGCCTTCGACCCAGCTGTATTCGGTGATGGGCCCGGTCAGACACGGATTGGTCAGAGCTTCCTCGGCCGGGGCCAAGAGGTGAATGAAGGCAGTAGCGATGATGACACCGGATCCAAAGTACTTGGCGATGAAGAAACACCACTTGGGGAATCCACCGTCCTTGCTAAAGCGACGGGCGAATACAGGGAATAAAGCTCCGAACATAGAGCCAACCATGATCACAAAGATGGAAGAGATGCGCAGACCCATACGGCCGTCGAACTCATTTCCAGAGTCACAGGCATCAGCCCGCTTGAGAAGAACAGAATCCATCACGATTGAGATAGAAGGAAATAGGCTGAGATAGACAAGAGTGGACAAAAAGACCACAGAATCTAGCAGGCGGAAGATGAAGCGATAATCGCGAAGGCAAACGTCGGAGAATTGGAATCGATGCCGTGGAACTGCGTGGGAAATTGTAACCCGCAAAGTCCTCGACAGTAAACGAGACGAGTCGTTTTAGCCTCACGCAGAAAACAACCAGGTTATCCTGACAATTCTGAAGTTTCAACTGCTCTCTTTCGTACGATTGGACAATCAAGAGGGAACATGCAAGATGAAGTTCCTCTTCTGGCGGCGCACGTCTGAGTCGGTCAAGAGACGTTCGAAAGAAGCCCTAAAGGTTTCTTTTATACCAAAAGCCAGTACCAAAAGCCTGAAGTCAGAAGATTCACCCGCAAATAGTTGAAATCAGACAAGATCAGAATTTGCGGGATCAGTTATAATCCCGGCGGGCAGAGTGGGATCCATGGGGACCTTGGGAGACTTTGAAGACGTCAACGAGTTTTGCGTCTGGGAGGCTGGTACCAGGTACCTAAGGACCCATATTAATTTGTATGTGGTCGGGCGTACCGGTACGAGCGTGAGGACCTTGGGGACGGGTCAGTAATCTCTTTCCGATCGCGGTGGTTGGCCGGAGTCACGTGGGAGAGATGGAACTTCCGACTTACTGTCCATGGTGAGGATATCCTTGATATTGTTTTAAAGACACGGTTGTTCAGATCGATGGATCAGGAACACAGAAACATGGAAGACGAGGAAAAGAGGGTTGTTATCCCTGGAATGGGCGTTTCCATCGCCAATCAGATATTCGGCGGCAAAATGCTTGGCGTTGGCCTGAGGTCATCGACAGCCTCAACTTCAATTTAGCATCATGGCTCCCATACGGCGATACCTGCGCATCAGCAAATACTCGGTCTTGGAGTGTCGAATCTACCTGGACTCTCCATCGGACTCACGATGGCTTTTGAACTCTCGTGATCCTGTCCTTCCGCGCGTCTTTGAGGCTATTCGACCCTTGGTCCTGCCCAAGCTGCGCGAAGAGAATGAGCGACTTTTTATGCGCAAGAAGGGCAAACCAGTCAAGGATGTCATTGCAGAAGGTAAGTTGAGAGGTGTCTATCATTTGCGATGATTTGCTAAAGCTTGCCTAGATGAGTTCGAAGTAGCCATTTTCCTCCGCGAATCGCGCACTCGTCATTCCATCCTCACGCGTAATAAGACATTCCATGGGAATGACCCAACGAAAGTGAAACCAGAAGATGGCGAGGGGATTATCAACCCAGGCTCGACAGAGGATGAAATTATGATTGAAAGCGATAGCGAGGGCGATGGATTACACGATATTCCCGGAGCGGATGAAGTAGAGGAGAATGCGCCAGAGAGAAAGACTCGCAAAAAGGCAGGGAGGCAAACTGAGGATGTGAGCGAGGAGAAGAAGCTTCGCTTCAACACCAACTATGAAAGCTTCAATATTTGCGGATGGGTGTTGTGTCTGTTAATCACCCGCAAAGGCGACAAGACCAAGCCGAGTGCTGAACCCAAGCAACCTTTGATGGAAGAATGGATCTCAACCCAAGCCCAGGCATCTATCGATGAAGATTGAGATACTCCTTCGATAGTGGGCCCATGTCTAGGAATGAGTAGGATGCCTGTGGCCAAGCTTTCCCTCTTCGAACGGTGGGCAGCCGTGGTGGCGTGATCGTCATCCTGTGATACACGTGAAGATTAGCGTTGCAAGTGTTTCAACTCCTTGCAAACGCTATGAGTCTGTGCGATTACATTGTTGAGATCAGGTCTCATGTATATTTTCATGGTGACCTTGCCCAAGCCAAGAGTTCCAGGGCTGGTGTAACTTGAGAGTACATCTAGCACGGGTCATTGCAGGATTTGGTATGTAATGCCTTCAGCATGTCGGTGTAACCGGTAACCGAAGCTGAGGGCTAAGCAAGTGGCTAGTCCTACTAGGATGGAACTCGCACAGAGCTACTGGGACAAAAACATCAGCCACAGGTTTTGGAGTAGGTTGCACCAGTGACATCTCGATGATCTGCATGCCACAAATATGGGAGTCATTTTGACTTTGGTTTGCTTGTCTCGGTTGCAAAAAAAAAAAAACAAAAAACAAAAAAAAAACAGACCGGTTTCCAATGCCCACAAATGTCCCATTTCGATTCCACCCAGTCTACATGTGGTCCCCCAACCTCGGCCCGCTATTCCAGAAGGCGAACTAGAAGATTTTCAAGTGGAGCGCAACATGAAACAGTCGGTGTCTTCTGGTCCCATGACCCTAGCCGACACTTTCTCAACAGAGAATTTCCAATGTGCCGGGCTCCGAGGATTCAGATAGAATGTTACAGAATGTGATATGCATACAGAGCATGGACAGTCACCGATCTATTGCAATAGTATAACATAGTATACATCTCCATTGACAACTTGGCAAGGCCAACACCCAACCAGCAAACTCAAAAACAAGCGATCGAACGGAATACATCACTTCAAATCCCGATCTGTTCGCAATGCTGCTCCTCTCAAAATCCCCGACTCCATTCATTCCAACGGTGCGGAACGGTGAGATGTAGTCTCCATCCAAGTGGAGCTACCTTAACCCAACTAGGCATTATTGAAGTTTGCTGGCCGCTAGTTAGAGTTTTCCTTGCCATGTGTCCCGTTTTCCCTCCTTTCCTCCTTTTCTCGGTTCCCCCGGCCTTAGTTCAGGTACACCCGTGTGGTCGCATAAGTGTCTTTTGCCACTCCCCCACTTTCTCGTACAGGGTACGAAGGAACAGGAATCTCTTAATTAGTAATTATTCTCCTACCTGCTTCTTTGAGCGCAAATCCCGGGGCTCGTTCCTTGGACCCTGGTATAACAAGTTGCATATACGCTGGTCATGGGTCATGTGGACATGCAGAAATCTCTCTGCCTGAGATAGGTAAAACCGGATGTAACCACTTGTACAGAATACGGATGTACAGTATCTAGGGCATAATTTCCGGGGAGGGGACCCGACATCCCGAAGCTGGGGAGATTTCTTCAGTGTATACGCAGTTGGTCCACGCAAGATAGAAGCCACAGGGTTACGGTGAGCACGCCATCCGCGCCACACCAGGGATCAGGCAGATCTCCTGGAAAGAGTGATGTGCAGGGCATATTCAATGTATACCCGGCCAATAAGGGGTTGTTGGAAGTGGGCTCCATATTCTCCAGATGTGTGGTTTCGCTTCAAAATAATGATGTGCAATGCACTGTCCTCTGCAAGGTGATCATCTACTACACTACTGTCCATCGGGGTTAATCGGTTATGTACTCCGTACTATAGGTCAAACGACTGAAATTTGGACTGATGACAGTTTGCTTTAGGAGAAGATAAGAGATGGCTTAATCTAGTAAAGTACACCGTACTAGTACTACTCTTACAAGGTTTTCTATTCTTGCATATGTCTTAAACTTCATCTGGTAGCACGGGTAAGAACCACGGTACCTGATGGGCCCTGACTGTCAAACACCCTGAAATGATGTGGCGATGCCTGTTCCTGAATTTAGATAGTTAAAGTAAACAGCACACGGTAATAGTACTCCGCAACAGGGGCCTTATCCTAAGCTCGGCAATTTAGGATCTCGGCTGCCACACCTTTTGTTTTTTCATTTTCATTGTAATCAATACGAACCGGCCATCCCGTTTGGTCCTAAATCGATTATGGATCCCCCCATATTTGTTTTGCTTTTTTTTTCTCTTTTCTTTTTTTTCTCGCTAATTTCTCGGGGATCTGCAAACATGCACATGTCTATCTACCGGGAACATGGAAATGTACTTGTATACGGGGTGCCAGGTGTACGTTGAGTCATAAGTTAGCCTGCATGTGCTTTGACCTTCCTCACTTACTGTAGATTACATATCAGTGAGATAATCAAGTTAATCAAATAATAAATCAAAAACAAGTCGTTCTCACCGCATCAAGGAACCGTCCCTATGGAGCCAGGGTGGGCCCACGGGAGATTGCCCTTGACCAGTTGTCATCTCGCGTGGTTTCATGATTTACAAGTTATAGCGAGGGGGTTGTGAAACCCAGGAATACTGCAGAGATACATGTGCTTGTGCAAGTGATCGAAAACATCGAAATAGGTAGTACAGTCTGCCGTGTTTCATTTCTTCCCTCCACTAGTGGTTCACAAGAGAAGACGCCACTAGTGGGGAGCTTCTAGAAAAAAAAAGGAATTTCCATTGGATTTCCCCTTGGGGGGAAATATTTGTAAATCGCAATAAAATTCCTACGTCAGATCAAGTGGATACTCAGCCTCCTGTTCATGGCAGGGATGTTCGAGGGGACTAATTTAGCTGTGGAAAGGTCGGATCGACTATAAGAATCCGCGTGCTCCTGTAAACTTTTTTTTCTTCTCTCAACTCAAGCTATATACGTGTTTGGCCTACCACACATCACTGCTACTACACCACACTACACTATACTACAACCACAACTACAACTACAACCGCATTTACCACCACCTCTACCTTCACAATGCCTTCCGTCGGTTCTACTCAGTTCCCTCCATGCCCCGGCCCTCCTCCCAAAGGCCCTCTGCCTCCTCTGCCGAAATAAACAGTCCCCCTTCAACGAACCTGATGACCCTGGCGCATACACATGCGCTCACGACCTGGACTCTCTTCGGCATGGATATCACGAACTTCAACGTCGACCTGGCTTCGACTCTATTTTCAACTCGGACACCTAATTCCAGTCCACAAGTTTCTCCTACAAACACAAACACAAGCGCTAGCCTTGCCAGTCTCGCTTCGCATCTTGGCATTCAATGACGCATAGCTTAATACGCGCGCAAGAACGGGAAACTTGTTCCAAATCTCGGACTACAACACTTCGTTTCCTCATGTCAGGTGGGGGGGGGGGGGGAGCATTCCCCACCCATTCGGTTTCACTCACTTTTTCCAACATATTCCTATGGAGACTGGCGCCGGCGCTATTCTCCCAACTTGCATTAATAGCCTTTCTATTTCTTGCTTTCCCTGCGGGGTTTTGTTTCAGCTATTCAATCGAGCATGACGCACAGATGCGGAGAAATATGCATCTCAATGGGACAGAGAAACCCCCCTGTCAGGATTAGCACGATCGTCCCGTCAATGCGTCATCGATCGGATGTTCAGCTCTTCTTTCTCTTTCCCATGTGTCGCGATGACTGGTCGTGACTGACTCTCAACGTCTTTTTAATTCTGTTCTTTTCTGTCGTTTGCCTTTTGTTTTTTGTACCCTCTGCATCTGGCCGCTATCCGAATCACCGGCATGTATCATAGACCTAGTATACCCAACAGAGCAATTCGTCATTTTTCTTTATATTTATTTATTGATGTCCCCCCTCCACTGTATTTCTGACAGGTATATGTATGTTGTGCATGAACAAGTTTGGGTGAAACATGATACCCCGACCGCCCGTTTTACCCGTCACCCATCTGACCTTGCAACGCTAACGCTAGCAGGGATGACAGGCTGGCGGGTGTCGCGGTAGTGGGATTGGCGTGTAGGAACAGGGATGTAGATAAACCCATTTTTGATCCAAACCGGATGTGGCACCGATCTGACATCGTTATCGAGGCCGTTAGTAGTACGGAAGATGATGCGCGCATTGGCATTAGCATTTACGCTTACTGTGGCATGCCCGGGAATCTTGGAATGATTGGGTCATGTTGCATGAAACCCGGTCAGTCTAGTGACTATCTCGCATATTGCGTGCAGAACTACTAGTCTACTAGTGACATGCACCGAGGAACCCCATGCACGGAACTCTATGTACCTGCCTAGGAAGAGGCAGACACAATACTCCGAACTCCGGATCCCGCACCGCACTAAAAAGGAATAAGGGAAATAACGGCTAAACGGCCAAGGGGGAAAAAAATACAAAAGAAAAAAAAAAAAGAACGAATGCGAGATACGACTTTGGCCTCGTCCGAGCGCCGGGATTTGCCCTGATTTAGGCCTCCAGCTCTTCCGCCATGTGCATAATCTGGAGATGGGAAATTATTGTCAATAGGAGATCCGGGTAGCTGGGTCCTGCTCAGGTTGTCTATTCCTGCCAATGATGTGCCTCGGCCGAATGTACATTATTCCACCAAAACTTGATCTATGACGGCCACTCTTAACCGTTAGCCCCTCATTCTGCATGAATCGAGTTAATCTATATCCAATCGATCCCCCTACCCCTCTACTCCGTACGCGATATGCTTTTCATCTTCAATGTATTCATGGTTAGATGAACAGCATCGGGTATATTCCATTGTTTCACAAGTAAGCTTTCGGCCGCAAGGCCCTCGAATGTCTCGTCTCTTTGACACTTTGACTTTCAGGGGATCCAGTCTGTGCTGGAGCTGACCTGGCACATGGCCACGTGTTGCGCCTAACGAGGTCATTTGATATAAGGCTACGTATCGTTTCTTTTATTTTATTTTAGTATATTTTAGTATATATAAAAAAGCCCAAGGATCATGTCTCAGACACCTTGTTGCCCGAGAGCTCGGAAAAGGGTCAGTCTATAGGGGGCGTGGCGTCATACTTTTTCAGCCAGGCTGTGCTAAGGCTGCAATATTGAGGCTCTCGGATTGTACATACATAGCCTCCTGGTTCGTAATCCTGGACAGTGCACTGCCCTGTCTACTCCGAACAAGTACACTGCCGGCTGAGCTTTGATGTCTACCAAGCGGGCCAAGTCATCTTTAAGGTTTCGATCTGGCAAATGCGCTGCTTGTGGAAGCATCCGATTCGCTATCTTGCTATCTTCCAAGGGGCTTCATATCAATGGTCTTGATTGATCGAAAATAGGAAGTAGCTGATTATCATTGCTTGATGCGTATACACGGAAAAAAGGACAAATGGGACGGTGATGGCTGCCTAGCTCGTAAGCACATTCAGCCACTTGTCCCGAGGTTAAGGAGGGAACTGAGTAAACCATTACATATTCGTGTTTGGATTTCCGATTATTCTGATTCGGGCGTGATGACTGTCAGTTGCCCGGTACTGTATCGAGGGATAGAATAATCTCGGAAAACAAACCCCACAAGAACAGGGACAACATATTCTCATACTGTCAAAGTAGATAGCAGAGTAAGTATGAAGAGGCTGTATATAGAAACGGGTAAACACACGTGACCGCCCGCCCAAATCAATCACGGCCGGGACTTCATCTCCAAGCGCAAAGCCACCATGGTACTACAACTGCATGTATGGGGCCCAGCCTTTTCCCTGCCGTCAATTGACGCGCAATGTCTCGCCGCCATCGCATACTGTTCCGAAGTCCTGCCCAAGGATTCGTGGGAGCTGATAGCGAGCAGCGATCCCTCCGTGTCCCCAACCGGTAAGTGACGTATCGGCATAAAGTACCAGACAGCTACTGATAGCAAACAGGTGAGCTCCCCGCTCTGCAGAATGGATCAACCTGGGTGAGCCGGTTCCGCAATATCGTGGACTATCTCCGCCAATACTCCGAAGGAGCATGGAACCTGGATGAGAACCTAGGCGAAGTCGAGCTCGCCGACAGCGTTGCGTACGCCCCCTTCTCACCCTTGGCCATACATCAAAATCCAAACAAACTAACACAATGCAGCTTCTCCTCCTTCATCGAATCCCGCGGCGAACCCCTCCTCGACCTATCCCTATACGTAACAAGCCAAAACTACTACAACAACACAAGCCCAGCCTACGGCGCCCTCCTCCAATGGCCCAACCAATGGATCCTCCCACCCAAACTCCACGGCGCAGCCAAAACCCGCACAGAATACCTCGGCCTCTCCAGCCTAGACCTAGCAGCAATGGAAGAACAACGCAAACGCGACCACTCCGCCGCAGTAGCCGCGGGCAAAATCCCCAAAAACCTCATCCAATCCCCTCGCGAAACAGTCTCCAAACTCCTCGGCCGAACAGCCCAACACAACCAATTCCGCCTGGAAGCCCTGACAGCCGAGTTCTTCGAACCCCTCGAAGCAATGCTCGCCCGCAAGTCTTACCTGCTGCCCAACCACTCCGGAAACCCATCCAGTCTGGACTGCGTCGCATTGGGATATCTTGCGCTCGCGCTTGTCCCTGAGCTTAATTTCCCTTGGTTGCGTGATGCGATGCGCGCCAAGGCGCCGCTGGTTACGGCCTACACGGAGCGAATGCGCAGTCGCTGCTTTGGAGATGTCGATATTAAGATTGAGCATGCTTTCCAGCCGGTGGGCGGGGCTGAGGCTGAGTTTTCGAAGTTGCCGTGGAGGGCTCCCGGACGGGTTTCTGTTGCTGCGGTTGGAACTACGTTGCTTGGTACATTGGCTGATAATACGCCCTTCCTTCGCGAGATTCGTCAGAATAGACGGTTGAAGGCGGTTGTTCAGGCTAATGGGGATTTCTCGCCTGTGCAGAAAAGTTTGTTGGCTCAGTACGCTGATTCTAGTAATAAGGATATGCTTGTTTCAGTTGCTGCTGCCGTTGCTGGAACTGCTGCGCTTGTTGGGTATATGGTTAGCGTGGGCTTGCTTTCTTTCTCTGGGGGTCATGCTGAAGAGGAGCAGGATGATGACGTTGAGATACAGCCTGAAGTGATGCACGTTGATCCTGGGTCTGCGGCTGACTTTCTGGGCGCGTTGTAAGTGTTCGAATGAGGTCGAACCAGATTTTCAGCGTGTTTGGTTTCTTGTTTTTCTCGTGAACGTTGGCGGATCAATATTTGTTTTAGACTGGCGGAAGTGAAGATTGTACGATAGCTTTGCATTCTGTCGCTTTCAAGGGTTGTCCTTGTTGCTTGTGAAGGTAAAGGCGTTTTGCTCGTTCTTTCACATGGAAATCAAAAATTCGGGTCAATAGGCCTAGTCTTTTACTTGAAACGTGAAACATGAATTATCTCCTTCGTTTCTGTTAAAGAGCGATGCAAGGATCAGGTTCAATCCGAATATCTAGTAAGCGGGTTGATAATTAAAAACATAGGATAGATATTGTAGATAGACCCTTTGTCTATAGTATGCAATACCCTACCTAGCATTCCATGCCTCAGGCCCTCAGTCAATCTAACGTTTCGCCGACCTCATCTCATTTCATATTCAATTCATTGATTCATCCAGACAACATCTGCAAAGATTAGGCCATACGTTCAATTTATTTCTCTTTCAGCTTGTTTCGACACAAGGCTTACCGCTGAGGTCACATCGGCCAATATGCAAATCCGATGACAAGCATGGACAAGATTATGTTTTGGTTCAGCGTTGTATGCAAGACCGACGTTATTGACGTGGTATATGCGTATCAGCTCTGGGTTAGAATTAGTTTGAATTGACTTGGCATGGGGTTTACTGCGTGGTAGTAGGGGTTCGTTCCAGCTGTGTGGACGAACCGTGGACGAACAGGTGTTTGGCCCCCGGCTTTGGCGTTCGCTTTCAGTTATGCCAGGTTGAAACTATGGTTCCGCGGAACTGGGTTTGGTGGATCGTTTTGGATATTGATATCGAATTTGATATGGAGTATAGCATATATAGGTGGTATGTTGAGCTTGGACATAGTTCAAGACGTTAAGGACGACCATGTGACTAGAATGGAGTGAACTACTCTGGAAAGAGTGGACAGAAAAAAATGATATCAACTCTCAAATCAAATGGTATATGTACAGAGAAGACAAAAAGACGCAAATCGTGACAAAGATATGTATGCGCCCCTCTAACGGAAAAGAAAAAAAAAGAAGAAAAAGGGTATCCGTAGAGGAGCAGCTCGAAGATGAAAATGTGTGGCCAGGGATCAACCCGCGCACGCACACATGTAAACAGACAAGAACACCTTCAGCGTTGAACCATTTGCGCAAGAATAATCAAAACTGTCCTGGGAGATCTAGATAGCTGAAGTAGTAGCCGCTTAAGAGCTCCAGCCGAGGTTGACAACGAGACGGACGGGGCCGGCGGACTGGGCAACAGCCTTGTCGGGCTTACCCTGGTCGGCAGAGGTGTAGGCGTTGACGGTGGCACCGGCACCCTTGGTGATGGAAGAGCACTTCTCACCCTCGTGGTTGCAAATCTGCATACCGGCAATTTCCATGTTGGCGAGCTCGGCGATGATGCAGGAAACGTCCCAGCCGGAGTAGCCGTCGTTCTGGGAGTTGGACATGTCGAACTCACCCCAGGTGGAGGCGTACTCGCCGACGTAGTTGGTGGGCAGACCCTCGCCCTCGGAGGCACCCCATCCACCCTGGGAGTCGTCATCGATGGCGACGAAGATGCTGTGACCGGGCTCGACGGTGAAGCTGAGAGCAGAGTTGGGGGACCAGAAACCGTTCAGGCCACCGCTGGGTCCGTACGAGTTCCACATGACGACGGTCCACGCCTTGGAGTTGTCGTTTTCGAAGCGGATGACGTGCTTGTACTCGCTGGCGGCGGACTCCTCAACACGGATCATGTTGCTACCCCATGGGGAACCGACGTTGCCGATGTAGTCCCAGTCGAGGCTGCCGACACGCTTGCTGGCGGTGGAGGCACCGAATCCAGAAGTAGAGTACTCGCCGTTGGAGGGGTAGCTGGCCCAGTTGCTGGAGCCGGAGGAGGCAGAGCTAGAGGCAACGGGGGTGGGGCTGACGGTGGAGGCGGCCTCGGAGGTGGCCTCGACGGTGGCCTCGATGGTGGGAGAGGCGATGGCAGCGGGAGTAGTGGTGGCCTCAGCGGAAGACTCGGAGGACTGGGCGCCAGACCACTCGTTGATCCAGGAGACGAGTTGACCGTCGATGGTAGCGAAGACCTCAGCACCAACACCACGCTCCTCAACCTTGGGGGCACCAGTGACAGCAGGGGCCTCAGCCTCGATGTCGACAAGTTCAATGTCGAGCTTGGGGTGAGCGTGACGGCGGTCGTGGCCGTGAAGACGAGCGACAGCCGACCCAGCGGTCAGCGCCGTCATCAGCAGCATAGAGTTGGAGAAGTGCATTTTGAAATGAGTGACTTGAGCGAAAAACGACGCTCTACGAGATGAAAATTCAAATCAAATGAATGTGTGTGAGAGATGAGAAGAAGGAAAGTGGATGGGGGGCGATGGTCTTATTGTATCACACAAACGGCCGTGAACCTTACACCAAAATCAGGGGCTGCTGCGAGCTGATTGGTGCGTACCTGAATGAGCGGAGCCAGGGTGGAGATCTACCATGGCCTGATTGGCTATCCAGCGGTCCAGACTCTCTGGCTTTGTGTACGTGGGACTTGGTACTTCCTGGGTACTTGGCTCTAAGGGGTATCTTTACTTTGATAGTATGTACATTGGTCTGTATATTGTGTAGTGATGAATATTGATATTAGAGACGTCGATGGAGATGTCATTGTATAGATACACGTGTCCATCGGAATGCTGGATACCAACGCATACAGTAGATAGAGCCCAATACTGTATATTGAACTGTAACCTATAGCCAAGTCAATTCCCCCCCACAGGCCAATCGGGACAATCGGGACAATCCGCAGTAAGGATCTCAGTCTTACGAAGCCCAATCTTAAATACGGGGACAACTCACCACCTACGTGGACAGAACCATACCCACGGTGCAATCGATTCATCTTCATATTGATACCCAAACAATATAAACCATAAGATTGAACAGATGGAACAGAATGAGATTAAACCAGGACAGTAGCACTGTCCCTGTCAATCATATCCACGGATGTGCACAAGCAAGGCCTGGCCGCAGATCAACGGCAGAGATTTGCCCCTTGTACAGGTACAACGTAAGGCACCACAATAAGTCGTAAGTAACCAGGATAGCGCCCAGCCCTTCTCCACCGACATGACGAGTCTTCCTCCGGTACGCTCTTGCCGGCATGAGTCTCCATCCGTCTCCATAGTGCCACTCACTCAGCCCTCCACATGAATCCAGGCCTTTGTTTTTGCCAGCGCTAGACGAGGCGTGAGTCGTTTCATCGTTTCATGTGTAAGTCATCCGAAATTTTAGCCGCCCAGTGCCTGCCCAGGTGCGGTGTAGGTTTGCCCAGGGATTATTTGTGTGGTTCTCGGCATGAACTGGTGTGTACATTACGGTAATGTAAGCTCTAAATGTCTAGGGTTGGTGGCAACGGGCGTTTCCCGAAAGATTAGGGCTAGTCGTGCAGGAACCCGGTCCCTGGCAGATTTGATGCAGGTACAGAATCCTTGGATCCTGTGCAGACTAAAATGACTCTAAAACTGCCATGTGCAGAAAAACCGCGGTAAATAAACAGAACCAAGGGTTCGAACGGGAGCTGAGCCAAGGTTCGGTCTTACTTTTGTGGTAACGGGAAATTACTCACTTCATATCCATGGATGATTTAATCATTGATTGAGATCTAAGATATAGACTCAAAAATAGTATGTATCAGTTGACTACTCCTACTATCACTTCTATATATGAATGTGGCTTGATCATAAATAGAACACGGAGCACGGAGAACGGGCTGTTCTATTTACAGACACCTCCTGAGGCAACATGAACCCGACAAGGGTAACTCCCCCTGGAGTGCCAAGTACAGCCACAGAAAGGTCCCTGGACATCCCATGGATCGAGATCACTTCTCTCCCAAGTCAACGCCACCTTCAAATGAATCCCCTCCAGCCTCAGCATCCAACTTCAGACTTTCATCCAACCCACAAACCCGGAACAACATCTGCGGCGTAATCTCCTCACTCAACCCCGGCAGACCCGTCTCCTTCAACTTCGCCAACCCCTCCCGCATAGCAACAAGCGCCGGCCCAAGCGTGGCAAACGGAAAGATGATAACCCGGAACCCAATCTCCCTCGCCTCAGCTGCAGAAATTGACGGCGTAGCCCCATGCTCAACCATATTCAGAAGCAAAGGCCAAGGCGCCAAGTCCTTCACTGCAGCCGATGCCATCTCCCGCGATGAAAGGCCCTCCAGGAATCCCATATCCGCACCCGCATCCCGCGCAGCCCGCAGTCGCGCCAGAGACTCTTCATATCCGTGCGATTGCAATGCGTCCGTTCGCGCAATGATGACGATATCGCTGCCGAGGCGCTGGCGCGCTTGAACCGCTGCCCGGATTCGGGTCGTGTATGTCGCTGTGTCGACTAGCTGTTTGCCGGAGAGGTGGCCGCAGCGTTTTGTCTGCACTTGGTCTTCGATGTGGAAGGCTGCTACGCCGGACCGGGCGTATTGCTCTGTTGTTCGGGCTACCATTATCGGGCCGCCGTAGCCGGTGTCTGCGTCGGCGATTAGGGGAGTGGCCGGGGATAGGTTTGCGAGCATTTCGGCATTCGCGCGCATGTCGTTCAGCGTGCAGATTGCTAGATCGGCTTGACCGTGCACCGAGGCTGCTGTTCCTGCGCCGGTCTGGGGGTGGTTAGATGGCTTGCTTGGCTTGCGTGGGTTGGCTGAGGGTCAGCTATGCACACCATGTATAATGCGTCAAAGCCCGCTGCCAGTGCTAGACGTGCTGACATGCCATCGTAGACTCCTGGGGCTACGACGAAGCCATTGGGGTCTTGGAGAGTCTTTCGCAGGGTGGTTGCTGCTGATGGGAGAGCCATGGCGAATTGGTATAACTGATATGGATGTGAAGATTTCAGGAAGAAGGGTAAGTCTTATATGTCTCCCACGTGTGACAAGCTTCTCCATCATTCTTCTCCACCTTCTCACCCCTTTGGGCAATTGTGCTCTCGATGATGCACTCTCTCCACATCGCCGATACCGGTACTGGGACCCCACCTATAACAGTCGACTTCAGGATAAAGATATAGCGACTCGGGATTTACTCGGTGAGGAACCGCGTAGCTATTTTTTCAGAAGCCGATTGTTCCGCGGGCATCTGCGAAAGGGACAGAGAATGCCCCGAGCTCTGAAGTGCCCGATGTCTCACACTGAACACCAGCTCGAAGAGAAAACCAACTAGAAACACCCGTGGACCGTGGGCCTCAGGGTGTACTTCAGGCGGAGTAGCCTCGTCTCGAGCTGGAGAACTACTAGGCATAGACTAATACCTAGCATTGGGCACCTACGTAGAATTCCCATGTAGATCGGATAGCCACTACTATCATACGAAACAAAATTGAATCCATTATATGCAAGAGCACTCAAATTCACTACTGTGAACTCTGTACTTGGTAATCACACATGGATTTATATTTATTGCTGCATATGCATGCACCCTGAGACGCCCCAGCCCAGATCTCGCCTTAGTCATCACCTCAAAGCGGTCCTCAATCTCAACTCCATTCTTCAATCCCAAAAATGAGCTGCAGCTCACACCTTTTAACACCTTTGGCTCTCTTGATCCCGTTTCCCTTCTAGCCTCAATGGCTCGACCCTCCGTGGTGCAAGAGTACGCACCACCCTCCGCGCCCACCCTCAGCATCGACCAAAAGTCCGCAACCGAGCGCCAAAACTACCAAGTCGCTCGACCCCAAGGCTATCGCGTCTCATGGCACGCCAACCCAGCCGTCGAAGCCCACCACTTCGGCCAATCGCACCCAATGAAGCCATGGCGCCTAACCCTGACCAAACAACTAGTCATGGCCTACGGCATGCATCATGCAATGGACCTGTACCTCGCGCGCGCAGCAACCTATGAAGAAATGGCCGACTTCCACGAAGCAGACTACCTAGACTTCCTGCGCCAAGTAATGCCAGGCGATATAGACAGACCCGAACAAAGCGACAACGTAATCCGCTTCAACTTCGGCGACGACTGTCCCGTCTTCGATGGCCTCTACAACTACTGCAGCCTCTACGCCGGCGGCACCGTCGACGCCGCCAGAAAACTATGCAACAACCAATCCGAAATCGCAATCAACTGGAGCGGCGGCCTCCACCACGCCAAAAAAGCCGAAGCCTCGGGCTTTTGCTACGTGAACGACATCGTCCTCGGTATCCTCCAACTCCTCCGCCACCACCCGCGCGTCATGTACATCGACATCGACGTCCACCACGGCGACGGCGTGGAACAAGCCTTCTGGTCAACAGACCGCGTGCTAACAGTCTCCTTCCACAAATACGACAAAGACAACTTCTTCCCAGGGACAGGCGCCCTGGACGACACAGGCCCCTCGCACCCCCTCAATCCCGGCGCTCACCATTCAATCAACGTCCCCCTGAACGACGGCATAGATGACGACTCCTACATTCAGCTCTACCACGAGGTAATCGGCGCCTGCGTCTCGACCTACCGCCCAGGCGCAATCGTCCTCCAGTGCGGAGCAGACAGTCTGGGCTGCGACAGACTAGGCTGTTTCAACCTGAACGTGCGCGCGCACGGCGCCTGCGTAGCCTTCACGAAGACATTCGGATTGCCGCTGCTGGTGGTCGGAGGCGGCGGATACACGCCCCGAAACGTGTCCCGAGCTTGGGCGCATGAAACCTCGATCCTGCTAGACGCAGACGCGATACTGGATCCGACGATCCCGGATAGCGTGGCATTCCGGAACCATTTCGGGCCTGATTTCTCGCTTTTCCCGCCCTTGTCTGAAATGCGGAAACTTGAGAATAAAAATCCGCGGCCTTATCTTGCTGGGCTTGTTGAGGCTGTTCATGAGCAGTTGCGTTATATTCAGGGCGCGCCGAGTGTGCAGATGAGTTTTATTCCGCCTGATATTCTGGGGTTGAGGGAGGATACGGAGAAGGAGATTGAGGAGCAGATGTTGCTTGCTGAGGAGGAGCGGGAGGAGTTTGAGGGTGGTGGTTCTGTTGCTAGTGCTTCTGCTTCTCGTGCTGGGTCGCAGACTGCTCACACTGGTTCTGCTGGGGCTATTCCGAGGCCTAATCGGCGGAGGGAGCTTGAGCGCGGTGCTGGGTATAAGGGGGAGCTGTATTCTTGATTTACCTTTTTTTCCCATTCTGGCCTTGATGACGGTGATTCTTTGGGCATATGGCGCATTCGTGATTGGCGTTTTATGTGTGGGCGTTTTTTTTTTTTTTTGAGTTGTTTGTGTTTGGGCATTTATCTATTTGCCTTGTGATATCCCTGTACAGTAGGAGTGAATGGACATGAACCTTGGAGATTGAGATCTGTGACAGGAGATAACGTATATGGGCATCAAGTCTGTGGAGATGGCATTAGACAAACTGAATACTCCATAGTTCATCCTGTCATCCTCCCATTACGCTGACACGATGAACATATTATTGTATAATAATTCATTTCGGACAATAGATCCTGTTTTATTTTTTGTGTTTAAATTAAACAAATCGGGTATCCAGCAATGGGAACGGTATGGTAGCCGGAAAACGCTGTGTTGAAACATCAGAGGGGCAAGGAAGAAATTAGTCAAGGACAAGCGTATCGCCGGCCGCCTCGAGTTCGGTTTGTGCTGGAGCTGGGGTTCTGCGAAGGTTGAGGTAGCAGAGTGAGAGAGAAGTTTAGAGTAAGTCGAGCAGCGATATTGGAAGACGGGTGGAATAGGATGGATCTGGGTTGGAGGCCTGGCTCAGTTGGTTTCCTGCGCGTCTACAAATTCTTCCACGTCTGACGTTTGTGTGTCTGTCCGTTGGACTATCGCTTCATTTGCGTCACTTGGGGTCGCAGGAGGGCCTGGGTACGGGTGGTATTAGCTGTCTGTATGTTGTCGCTTAGGGCATGTCGCCTAGTTCGGAGCGCGGGGATGGTGTGGCGGTATTTGGAATTGGGATGACTGTTTCTGACCTTGGACGATGGGTGCGATGGCTAGGATCTGCTTGGTGGCCAGTTTGGGATCGCGCATATCGCTGAGATGTCAGCATGGATCGAGGATTTTCGGCGTAGGACTTACACTTCGGCATTGATGATCCAGTCGAGGTCTTCCTCGCCTTCATCCTGACCACCAGGTCCACCCTGGATGGCACGGAATAGCCGGGGACGCCAGTCAATTCCTTCGTCAGCACGCTTGGCAGCTTCATCTCGTTGACGATCTTCGATCTTGGTCTTTTCGTCTGTGGCGGCTTCATGGTTGCGGGCGACAATCGCTTGGACTGTATCGTGCCATAGGCGCTGCGATTCGCGTTCAGCTTGTTCCTCGAGCGGACGGGCCAAAGGCTTCGTATGCTTTGCATGCAGCGCATCAAACAAGAGGTCTTTCTTATGAGTCTGCTCCAGTCAGTACCAAAACCGAATATATCAGGGATATATGCATACATGAACATCCTTGATATGCATCTCTCCATTCCATAGACCAGACAATTCATACAGCACCTCACCAGTCTGCTCGTTCTTGATCGTTCCGCCAATAGCGTTATATGTGCCAGAGAAATAACCCTTTGTCTTAAAATCGATATCGGCCACGAGGTGGTTCTCGGGACAACGGACATAGCTGTGATCGCCCAGCTCATACTTCATCTTGCCGAAAAGAATGCCGCGCGCATACATATTGGGTTGAGTCAGGATACTAGCCATGTTAGTTTCAACACTGTAACAGCCGAGGTCCACTCACTATCTCTCGCCCTTTTCTTTGTTCTCGCCATGGTTCAACAGCCGCAAAATGGCAATGCCCTCCATCATACTGGCAGCCGAATTGCCCAGGAACTTACTCCGGGGCTTCAGTGTTCCATCAATGCGTATATTATGCTCCGGCGCCGCAAAGAAATAGCTCGACTTGGGCGGGTGGTGGGATGTCTGCTCGGAAATGTAGTAACCGCGGGTTCCATCGGGATAGTCCCAGTAGCAAGTAAATGTCTCTCCAAGGATCGGGTTCAGCGGTTTCTTCACGCCTCTATAGAGCCATCAGAATATTTCCCTAGGTAGATCGCGGATGACGTACGGTGGTTTGATGTGCCATCCACTCAGGTAGAATTTGACCACGGAAACAAAGCGCTCGACCGGATCATCAATCGTCGACATGGGCAGAAGGGTTTCGGGGTGGGCCATGAAGCTGTTCGTGATCAGGTTAGCACGTCATCGAGATGCTGAGGGCTGTCCGGGTCGTACTTGGTGATTCGCTCCAGCATGGATCGGGGCTCGAGGATGAAGGTCGGCAAGACAACGCGACTCAAGTCTGCGCCGGGTCGCAGCTGGGAGATGATGTGCGACAGCACTGAGAGGCTATTAGTTTGCGCTGTTGCAATGGTGGGATTGTACGCACCATTTCCCTGGTCGGGCTCGACGACCTCGTCTTCCCCGCTTGGTGGGGAATCCTCCATAGAAGATCTACCTGGTTCGGCGTCAGTAGACATGATTTGTGTGATGTTTGTTGAGAGGGAAAAGGCGGGACAAACTGGCGAGGGAAGAACGGCGGAGATGCGGGACCGGCATGTCTGCGTGCGGACGACGATATCCCAACTCGGAAGTGTGCTTTTAAGGTCAAGGTGGCATGCAAATTACGAGAGAAAAGAAGAAAGAAAGCGAATGTCTAGGCAGAAGGCTTGTGGCGGAAGAGTCGGAGCTGGAAAAAGAGAAGAAAAGAAAAAGAAGTACCTGGAAAGTAGAAAATAAGAAATGCTTAGCCTGGAAGAAGGGTGACGTCTGTCCCCTTCCCCCAACCATTCTACTTCTATTCTGCATCTCTCTCTCTCTAGTGTGCACTCTTTGCATCTCTGCATCTATTCTGCTTCATGAGGGGCATTTCTTGGCTGCCGTGTCCAACTGCTGCATATGCATCCTCCTCCCCCCTTCCCCACCATCTCTACTCCTTCACCCGTTCGATCAGCGGCACATCTCCCCGGGTGATCTCCCTCACGAATGCCATATCGGGACCACGAAGCATGACGTGGAAGTGTTCAACCGCATGAACCGACTTGAGCGACTTCCAATTCCTAAACCAGACAACCTGCAAAATCAGCCCCATGCGCCGTATTCGTATAGCTGACATACCTGATCGGTCGGTACGCGCGAACAAAACGTGCACCGGACATATTTCTCTATGGCCTCGCGCGCCTGTGGCGTCAAGTCACCGGTCGCAGGATCATCTTCCAGCTCGAATTTGGTCCACACCACCAGATGGATGATATCTGTCTCGACCCCATACGGCCAGTCGTTGTAGAGGATTCGGATGTCGTCTGCCCAAGGTATTATATCAGTCTCGCTCTCAACACCAACCAACCCGGTTTTCTTTTTCGTCTCTCTACAGTTTGCCATACCGTCGTATTCGAATGGTTTGCCTCGGGACTTGAGGTCTTCTGTGCTCCCGTCGCCCCAGTGTAGTCGTTCTTTAACCACGAATCTCATGACTGACGAGTACTCGGCTTTGATTTGGGCTGTGTATTCTAGATACTTGCGTAAGTCGCTTGGAACACGCTGGAATCGATCGATCCGATTGGTTCCTGGGGCTGTGTTAGCTTGAGAAGCAATATAGTATTCATAGCAGGGAAATAGACTCACTGATTATCTCCTTCACTTCCCCCCAGTTCTGTCGTGTATAGTGATCATCGGGTGTTGAGAGACAGATGATGTTTTTCGGCGGTTGATCCCGCAAGAATGCAGGACATTCAGTTGTCCATCGCGACCGGGGTAGATTCACCAGCCAGAAGGGGAGAGTTTGGGAATTCAAGTGGTGATCGTGGAGGAAACATGCTGGGGCTGTTGTATCGGCGTCTGTTAGTTTCTCATCGAGTGTAGTGATCGTAGCCGCCGGAGTTGACGGCTCGGTAAAGTGTGGCATGGTGACTTGGCAATCGAATAAAGCCGACAATTGAACATGTTATGTTGAAGCTCACCCCCCCCTTGCGACGTCACCGCCATATGCCGAACGGAGTATGAGGCGTTTCCGGCCGTTGTCGATCCCGGGAATCCACTGTGGCAATTTAGCTATAGCAATAGCTCAAGAGAGCTATTTAGTACATTGATATATACTATACCTGATCTCGTGAAAGATCATAAAATGACCAGTGAACACGTATGATTTGAAGAAGTGGTATCAAACAGCGCCAGTATCAAATCCACCCCACAATATCTCAATAAAACAGAACAAGATGTCGCCGAGACGAAGACCCCCCAGGGAAGCCCCTAGAGACATGGTCCTAGCCCCTGGACAATCGGATCCCACCAAGAAACAACTGACACGCCCGCAGCCTCCAACTCCCCCTTAACAGCATCCCAAGCATCAGGCACAACACACCGAGTAGCTTCCTCAATAACCCAAGTCCGGAAGCCAGCCTTGACAGCATCAATAGCAGTACACTTGACGCAATAATCTCCAGCAAGACCAACGACAAAAACATCAATAATTCCGCGCTCCCTCAGAGTCGCCGCAACGTCCATGCTAACGGATTGCATATTGATACCGGGATCACGGTTCCCAAAAGCATCCGCGAAGACGGAATACATTTCAACCTGAGAGTGCATACCCTTCTGGACAACGAGATTGGCTTTCCAGGCCTCAATTTCGGGGATTATCTCTGCGCCGGGAGTATCCGCCACGCAGTGGACTGGCCAGAGTTGCTGGGGTTTGGCTTCAAATTCTTTCCCTGGGGCTGGGTTTTTCATTGTGATGCTTGAAGTAAAAGGTTTGTTGTTAGGTTCTGGGTGGTTGCGGGCGAAGGAAATGTGGTCCCTGGGGTGATAGTCTTGAGTTAAGATTAGGATATCGAACCCAGATTTCGAGAGGAGGCTGTTGATTGCTGATGCTATATCTCTGCCGCCTTGAACAGCAAGTGATCCATTCTGGGTATTGTTAGTATAGGGCTTTTCTGAGCTTAGATACTTCAGAATGAACTACCGGGGGACAGAAGTCTTCTTGCATGTCTACCACGATGAGGGCGGACTTGGTAAGTCCAGTTATAGCCATGTTGACAGCTGAGGCTAAGTTGGCTGAAAAGAAGAGAAAGTTGTGTAGGCAATATAATTATAAGCACATCAGGTGTGAAAGCGATAACGATAACGATTGCGTACATTTGACCGGCAGAATATTATATCAGCAACACAGGATCCCACATACAGAAGCGGACAGTTTCGCGGTGAACAGCAGCTCAGCCGAGCACTAAAACGCCGAAGTTCTGCAAAACCTTCACTCTTTCTTCCTCTTTAGGGCTCCGGCCCCAATACACTTAAGGTATGTGTTTTAGTATATCCCAATTCCTCTGAATTACCTGATGAACCTTTTTATTGGAGCTGTCTGAGCTTTTGCTATGCGGATAAACTCATTATACGCTTTTTTTCTGAATCACCCAACTTCCACCACGTTTTTGTCCATCCATCTACCAAGATCAGTCGCTAACTGCCTCTGATAGTCAACAGGAAATTGTAAACACTTGAAAACCTCCCTGAATACCCACCAAGAAAGAAACCCCCCTAGAAACAACTTGAAAGCACCCATATAGTCATACTCTATCCACACCCTCCTATTATTATAGTCCCCAAAAGAAAGATGGCATATGATCCCCGCCGCCCAAACTCGGGCACCTCAACTCCCCAACCAACACCACCACCTCCTCCCCCACCGCCAGCACCAGCAGCAGCAGAAACCACCGAGATGGCAACGGCCCTAGAAGAAGCAAAGCCAGCCGACGAGGCCGGCACAACAGACTCCTACAAGCTGAAGTTCTGCACAGTCTGCGCCTCAAACAACAACCGCTCAATGGAAGCCCACCTCCAGCTCTCCGGCGCCCCAACCGCCTACCCAGTCATATCCTTCGGCACAGGGTCACTGGTTCGCCTCCCAGGCCCATCCATCACCCAGCCAAATGTCTACAGTTTCAATACAACCTCCTACAACCAGATGTACGAGGAACTGAATAGCAAGGACGAGCGGCTATACCGCGGCAACGGCATTCTGAACATGCTCGACCGCAACCGTCACCTGAAATGGGGTCCGGAGCGTTTCCAGGACTGGGTTCCTGGCATGCCGCGTGTCGACCATCTCTCTAAGGGCGATAAGGGTGCTATCGGGACGGAGGGTGGTGTCGTCGATGTGATTATTACTTGTGAGGAGCGCTGCTGGGATGCTGTCGTTGATGATTTGATGAATAAGGGCTCGGCGCTGAATCACCCTGTTCATGTATTCAACGTTGATATTAAGGATAACCATGAGGAGGCGTTGACGGGTGGAAAAGCGATTCTTGATCTGGCGAATCGCTTGAATGAGGCTGCTGTTGCTGAGCATCGGGTGCATGGGTCTGCTGGGTGGGAGAATGGAACTGGTCCTGCGCGTCAGAGTTTTGATGAGAAGGTTCCTGAGATTCTAGCCGACTGGCAGGAGAAGTATCCTCATCTGCCGGCTTTGTGGACTTTGGCGTGGCTTTAGTTTCTGACTTGTTTGCGGGTTCGGAATCGGAATCGGGGCGTTGGTTTTTGCTTTGATCTACACAGCGTCTACTTGATTACTGCTATGTCTGCCTTCTAGAGGGATTCTAAAGGCCACCATTTGCGAGCTTGTCGAATCTTAAGAGAATAATTCAATATCTCATCATTCATGAGTTTCGCATTAAACTGAAGGGGTATCAAGCAATAACCAGAACAATAATGAAGCCCACCACTCAAAGCAGAATCTGCTCATCTTTGATCCTCGCCTCCCCTTTGATATTCTCATCCTTGATGTGCTCACCAGGAGCCTCACGCTTGACCCTCTCTTCCTCCTTAACACCATCCTCATCTTTCGCAAGCAGAAGCTCCCTTCTTTCTCGATACCAGGTATCAAGACAAGCCCTTCTCTGCTCCTGCGTCATGCTTTCAACAACAAGTGCAAACTCCGTAGCATCAGCATATCCAAGGTGCCTCGCCATGCTACAAAATTGACGCCGTCTCACATCCTCAGGAGGATGATATCTGAACCGCACAGGTTCCTTCGCTTTATCAGAAACAGGCTGGGATGACATGAACACCAACTGATCACCGGTAGTATCCTCGGGTGCAAGTTTAGCGCGACGACTCAAATCCTCTTCGACTCGTGAAGATCCGATGACTTCGTTGTTCAAGTGGGTATATTCTACACCTGCGCCAGCGAGGATTGCTTGGACAGGATCATGTTTGTGAGGGGTAGGGAGGTTTGATGAGGCCGAGGGCTTTGGCTTCTCTTCTTCATCCTCGCAGATCATTGCAGCTAGTTGGCTCATTGCCTCGTCTTCGGACTTCATGGGTCGTTCTGTGAAGTCGTGGGCCTCATCTTCAGCTTTTAGATCTACATCAACAACCTCGACGCCTGCTCGACTTTCGGCGACGTTGGTTCTGTTGACAATATCGCGCAGCACGATGTTGTTGTTCTGATAACCGAAGAAATTGCGCAGACCAAAGATTTCACCCTTTTGATCCTTCTTTTCTTGTACACCCTTGAAGTAGCGGCGCTCCGAGCTGGCGTTGTAGCCGATATTTGCTTGCTGCTGTTTGTAAATTTGGCGAGCGTAGACAATTTCTTCAATCGTTCCGGCAGAGATGAGTCGGAAAACTTCGACATCACGGTGCTGACCTATACGGTAGGCACGGTCTTGGGCTTGCAGGTCATATGAAGGGTTCCAATTTGGATCGACCACTACTACCTTATTTGCTGATGTGATATTGAGACCGACACCACCGGCTTTGGTTGAAATCAGGAAAACAAATTGCCCGGGGTCCGAGTTGAATTGGTCAACTGCTTTTGCACGGTCATCGTAGCTCATGGACCCATCCAGGTAGCTGACATTGTAGCTAGTGTGATGGAATAGCATCTGTAACATCTTTAGAAGCCGCACGCTATGTGAGAAGATGAGGACTTTATCCCCGTTGGAATGCCACCATTTCAACAGCTTCCGAAGGACTTTCCACTTTCCGCAGAAATCAGGGTTTGCATAATTCACAATTGAGTCTCGCGAGCGATACAGATCTTCCCACTTGGTAGGGAGTGCAAGTTCTAACATGACCTTGTCCTTCTCCTGTTTGTCTTTCGGGTCTGCCCCTTGGGGGATCAGAATAGCCAGGTGATTGCTGAGCTTTTGAAGAACGGTGATAGCAGGGAAGACATAAGACTGCCATGCAGGAGGATCTCTGTCTGGAATGTGTTTGTAGCAACACCACCCAGCTTTCCTTCCTGACATACAGTCGCACGGAAGTGTTGAGTTTTTAATGTACTCAACAATATCACTGTCAAGGAAAGTCTCGTAAGCTTCGGCCTGAGTCTCAGTCAGAGGACAAAAAACGACTCGATCGCTCTTTTTAGGCAGCTGATCTGCAATCAGTGTCTTCATCCTTCTGATAAAGAACTGGGGAAGCAGGTTCTCAACCAGCTTCTTGGCCGTTTTTCGAGCTCTGCTGAGCTCACTCAAGGTTGCGTCGTGTGATTGACCAATCTTTAAGGGCTCGCAAATCTGGGCCTTCCAGGTGGAGACTGGACCTAGCATCCCAGGGTTAGTCCAGTTGAGAAGAGTCCATAGCTCTTCGTATTTGTTCTGAATGGCAGTGCCGGTGAGACCAATACGACACAGCGCATTGATCTCGTTCATAGATTGGGTGGTTTCCGACTTGCGCTCCTTGATCTTGTGACACTCGTCTGCAATCACGCAGTCCCAGTCAATCATGTTGATTGAGCCCTTGTTGTTCATGTAGGTGGTGTATGTAGTTATCAAGACCTCCACCCGTCCAGACTTAGCTGCATGAAGAGCTATGTCCTTATTTTCACCATGATAGCTATCAACAAGCCACCAACCCCATCTTGCAAACTCAGCCTTCCAATTGGCAATCAATGTTCCAGGGCACACGATGAGGGTACGTGGGTACCACGCGCTATCGTCAGATCTCCGTATTTTTCGCATGCGCTTGGCATCTCGTTCATCTCCTGTCTTGCCGTAGGCGGCGGTTAAAAAAGCAATGACTTGAATGGTTTTTCCGAGGCCCATATCATCGCCAAGGACACCGCCCTTTTGATACACGAAAAGCTCGTGAAGAAACGCAGTACCTTCGACTTGGTACTGGCGAAGCCACTGGGCAATTGGCGCGGGAATGATACCGAGAGAATACGGAAGCTGAATATCTTCGTATTCCTGTTTCGGTTCAGTGTCTAGAAAAACAGGCCGTTCTTGAAGCTCTTCCAGTCGTTCGTCATCGGAGAAATCGACATCATCATAGGATGGCGGCAATTTTAGACCGAGATCTTGCAAGTGCTCCTTTTTGCGATCAAATTCATCGCGGCGAGTTTTCAAATAGCCAGGTAATGCATCTTCAAGGAGTTCATCTTCCGAAGAATCCTCAGCATATTGCTTTAATGGGCGCTTCTGGACAGGCTTTGGTCGCTCTTGCTTCACACGACCAACGATTGCATCTGTATCGTTCCTAGGAGCTTTAGCTTTGCGCGTAGCCGCAGCAGTCTGCCTGCGCTTCAGGGATCTGCGGTCCTTGAACTTCTTGTAGGCGGTCTCGCCATCATTAAACCCATCAGAGTCACTCTCCACGGAATCAGCTTTCACCGCACCTGATGGCCCAGCAAGAGTGCGCGTAAATTCTGACTTGATTGGCGTCGTGTATTGCGGCTTGGCAGGACCTCGATCTAAAAAGATGTTAGCTGCATGAAAGGCGCGTCACGAGGAATCACATACTGCTTGCAGGGGTCGAATAATGTGTCGCCTCCAGATCATCATCCGAGTCGATAGAAATCACATCGGTTGGTTGATTGTTTCCAGTCATATTTTCTGCATGTTTATTGATCTAAGGTGCGAGCTCAAGTGTTGTGTAAGTCGAGGTCGTCACTCTAGGCTCGTGACACTGCTCTGATACAGTCCGCGATAGCGGCCACCAGACAAGATGTGGATTTCTTGGCGACTTTAACTTGAATGAGTTATATAGACAGAACCAAGTGAGCTTTTTGATTTTGATAATGTATCAGCCTTTAATTGACTATTGAAGGTCAACAGAATTGAGTTGAGTTGACAAGCTACGCTCGTAGAGCAGGTCCCACTTTAGTCACGTGATATCAAGGGAACCAGAAAAAAAGAGCGGCCGAATGACAATCTACGCTTGAATTGACATATAATTGATTCTTTACAGACAGAGCCAAGAAAAGGCGCGTTGGCGATCTACCCGTGCAGCCCTCATCTTTGGCCCCAGGATATCTAGCTAACAACCGTGCCTCTACAGTATCCAACACCAGAGCTTCATTTCTTCCTACCGCATACCGCTTTTCACCTTAAAATAGCTGCTTCCCTGAAAACCCAAGAGGTCCACAGCAAAGATGCCTCTCGATACTTCGACCACATATCCTCTCACAAAGCTGCGCCTTGACGGCCGTCGCTGGAACGAGCTCCGCCTCCTCCAAGCCCAGATTTCCACCAACCCCGCCAGCTCCGGCTCTTCATACCTGTCGATGGGCAACACGTCAATTATGTGCTCTGTCCACGGTCCGGCCGAAGGTCGCCGCGGTGAAGGAGGTGGTGGCGCAGGTAGCGGTAGCGCCGTCGTCGAGGTGGACGTCAACGTCGCCGGGTTCGCTGGCGTAGATCGCAAGCGCAGGGCCGCCGGAAGTGACAAGTGAGTATACCCACTATCTCCATATCAGGCACTGTTGGAAACATACTTGGAACCACAAAATTCAGATAGTGTTCATCAGCATACAAGTCATACTAATCCGCTACAGACAATCGTCGCGCATTGCTACAACCCTCCGCTCTGCTTTCCAGTCGCACCTACACACATATCTCTACCCCCACAGCACAATCAGCATCCACGTCTCCGTCCTCTCTGCCGATGGCTCTCTGCTCGCCGCCGCAATCAACGCCTGTACTCTGGCTCTCGTTGACGCCGGAATTCCCATGCCTGGTCTGCTCTGCGGCTGTACTGCCGGTATGAGCGGTAGTGCCTCTACCCCCAGAGATCCACGACACGACGAGCTGGACCCGCTGCTGGACCTTTCTCTGCCAGAAGAACAGGAGCTCCCGGTACTGACAATTGGAACGACGACCGTTGTGCCTGTGGGCGAGAACCATTTGGATGATGATGACGAGGACACGATGAAGGTTGCAGTGATTAGCACAGAGTCTAAGGTCCACGCTACGTACATGGAGACGATGTTGGCAGTTGGAATTGATGGATGCAGTCAGATCCGCGAGTTGCTGGAAGGTGTTATCAAAGGGTCGAACCGGGGGTGAAGGCAATTCGAGATGAGAATTATTGAGATACCCTGGTCTTTTTTTGCTTTTATCTTTCAACGGCGTACAATGTGAGAGAATCGGCCAATTTCATTCGATCTGAGGATCATAATGTTTCGTGCTACCACATGCTTTGCATTTCGTTTCCTTTTCGTACCCGCGGCTCGTTGTCTCCCGTGTACAGCAAGCACAGTCAATCTGGTTATGGTTCTTTGAAGCATTGAATACAAGATCCTCGAAGCGATTGTACCATTTGTGCAGTTTACTTGGGCCCTGCGTTGGCCTCTCTTTCGTCTCTTGTTTCATGTCTTATTTGTCCATTTTCGAGTGCTTCGAGCCAACTAGATCATGTAAGGGTTTTACGATGAGTGCTGTATATCATTGAACCAAGTATAGTTCTCGTACCTCAAGAAATGCTGGCTACCAATCATGTTGAACCCGGTCATCTTTGCAGTAATACTTCTTCCAAAAAATTGTCACCCCATGGCGCTCGTCACCTCTCGGGAAACTAACCGCTTAATCTTGAACAGCGTGCCCGTTCTTGCAGTCATCCTTATGGTCGAGGGATTGATGTACCACGGCTGAAGATCAGCACTCTCCGGTCCCCAACGTGCGTGCCAGACGCTAAGCTTGCTCTTCTGCGATGTCGAGCTTGTTAAACAGGTTCGGTCAGCAAGCACACATCAGTGATTCTGTTGTATGTATAAGTTTGAGCTAGCAAGTCAGGAAGAGATGCGTTTCTCTCGCTTTGACTCAACTCTCAAATGATCCAGTCCCTTCACAATACCGTTCCAACTCACTTTGTGGCAGAATCGCCCGTTCTGGAGTAAAGAGGAGTTGACATACATGTCATTGCTACTACTCTGGGACACTAGATACCATTTATGTGATCTACATGGCGAGTCTGAGGCACTCGAAGCTAGGCAAAAAGAGGTGAAATACGAGAGGACTAAGTAGGGCAAAAGCAATGCATACAGCAGTATACTTTAACTTTCGCGTAGAAACTGCCTTACACCCCATAGTGTGTATACACACCTTGGCTACACGTTTAGCGCAAAGAAAACGTTATCATCAATTGCGCATGTTTTCATAGGAAGTGGAAACCTCTTCCAGAAAAAACCTGTATTCAACGCGGGGTACGGTGATGTAGTCCGGGCCCCCTCGATCAAAGTCCTCGAATCATCGGACACGTGGAAAAATTGAATTTTGGGCTTCTATTTTTGTCATTTCGGTGATCGATTTCGTGATTTGGGGGTGGATCACTTCAAATGTCTAGGTCCTGGCTCATTACGGGGGGGTTTGGCAAATAGAGAGCAATTAAGTAGTCTGTCTACACAGATTTACAGTTGAAAATCGGCTCCCTGTCACAAAGGCATGGATGACTAGTTCAGTGGACACTCTAGATTACAGTGCGCAAGGGGGGGAGCCACCTTGGCTAGTTCCCACGCACGGCGTGAACTGGGATAGGACTAGGTCCATGGGAAAAAGAAAGACTTCCAGGCTCCGAACCTCCAATTAAACCTCCCAATTGAGCTGTTTACTGGCCACCACAGCCGACAATGGTGGGCTTGGTAGCGGAGCGGATGGAGCCGGAAGAGCTGCCGAGAGCCTCGATGGCCTTGACAACGTTCATGGACTCCTCGTCAGCGACCTCGCCGAAGACGACGTGCTTGCCGTCGAGCCACGAGGTGACAACGGTAGTGATGAAGAACTGGGAGCCGTTGCTAAGGGGGGAACGTCAGTTTTGCTTTGGCATTGTTGAGGAGGTGTATCACTTACGTGTTGGGGCCAGCGTTGGCCATGGAGAGGAGACCGGGCTTGGTGTGCTTGAACTTGAAGTTCTCATCGGGGAACTTCTCGCCGTAGATGGAGCGACCACCGGTACCCTATTGAAGCGAAATGTCAGCCAATTGCGATTCACCCACTGTCGACGGGGTAAAACTCACGTTACCGCGGGTGAAGTCACCACCCTGGAGCATGAACTGGGGGATCACACGGTGGAAAGCAGAGCCCTTGTAGCCCTCACCCTGGGGTGCGTTGCAGAGCTCGCGGAAGTTGCGGGCGGTCTTAGGGACATCAGCCTCGAAGAGGTTGAAGTTGATGCGTCCAGTGATGGCTAAGGAGGAAGTCAGTGCCAATTTCCAATAAACAAAGCTTAAGAAGATCTGTGTCTGGATCTCAAAGGGAATTGAAGACTGAGTTTCCAAGCAACAAAGGGGTGAGGCTGAGGCTTGGAGGGGCAGAGAGAATTTGCCCCTCCAAAGAGGAGAAAGGAAGGAACTTACGGGCAGGGGCACCAGCGGGCTGGTACTGGACATCGAAGTAGGCGGTAGTGTTAGACATGGCTGCGGATGATGAAGCAAAAGATCGGGCAGCGGGGTGGAAAGAAGTGCAATTGAAGAGAGAAGAAGAGAAGAGGGAAGAAGGTGGGGTTATTGACCTCAGTCGGCAGAACATGGTGAGGGGCAGGGCGGAGCGGGTGAACTCGGGTGCCGGGCTACTTTGGGGTTAGCTTGTTGGTTGGTCCATTAAGACCACGTATGCTGTTTCTGCCTGAGGCGCCATATTGAAGCTCCCCAGATTCTCCAGGGGTTCACTTCTTCCCACAGATAGCTCTGGGGAATCTGGCAGACGAGCAACAATACACACTGCAGTCCACAGGTCCAAGGATCAAACTCACTAAAGATGGTTTAGATTGAGATTGAGATGGTACAGAAGTAGATGAGAGGAAAAAACGAAGCTCAACGCCAAAAAGCGCCTAGAGCTCCTTGCTTATGTAAGAGCCGGGATATCCCTTCCGGACTACGGGCATAGGCACCATTGGCATTACTGCATCGAGGAGAATATCCTCTATACTGAGGTTTCAAGGTTAACTACCAAAAACATTTCAGATACATGCCACCTGATTCGAGAAGGGGAAGTTTATGATTAACTTTAGGTGACATCAAGATGAACGGTAGACTACCTGGTGTAAATCTCTAGATCCAAAGATCATTCCATCCCAAAACTTATATGAAGGACCCAATAAGCCTTTTCATCTCTCATGTCTCACTTTGAACGACCAAGGGAAGGACTCGGACTCGAGCCTCATATTACTGGCGAACTGACCTGGAAAGAAATCCGCCTCGAACAAAGTAGAGAAATAGGTGTCTTTCAACGATATCGATACACTGCTTACTGCATGAGTGCGGAGAACATGAAACAAATTTCTTACAGAAATCTCCTCGAAACAGAGGCCAATCTCTGAACAGTCGTTCAAAAAGAAATATACCTTAAAGAGCAACGCAAGAAGAGCTGTGTCGATTGCCTACAGTCCGACAAATCGACCAACAAAAGCATCAAAGAGGAACTCGAATCCCTTAAAAACAAGTGTTGGTTCCTCGAGCAAGAATGGTGGCAGCATCGCAATTCCTTCTTCCAAGGATATCACTCAAGGGGTTTCCATCTCTGGCGATCACACCCAAGGTGGTATATGCATCGAGGCCTTGTCAAAGATTGCGCTGGCAGACAAGGCTGTTGTGCTCGGAGCTGCGGATGCTGTATAAACCGTTTTAATTTAATTCTCTGAGCAAGTTTGGGGTAGGTCATTGTACTCGTGAGGGTGGATGTTGTCAGAAGGCCCGAGGCTTTGAGCTTACAGAGCAAAAAAAAAAAAAAAAAAACGACAGCAAAGAGCGTTTCAACCTTCAACTTGACAACCCCTTACTCAACGTGGACGATCCGACTTGCAGTATGGGGCGTTGAGCACGATAACTTTGAGGAGCCCAGATATGATTTCGTTAAGGGGCCAAAATGTGATTTCAATGAGGCAAATGATGGAAAGAGATATGTGAGGTAGGCAAGGTTTTTCCCTGAAAAGCCTCTCTTGAGAAGTCACTTGCTCAGCAAAGATGGGACTGCAATTGTATATTGAGTAAGCCCTAAGTTTCTTTGTCTACTTGCTGTGAGAAGATAGCACTCACATGCTGGCCCGGCGCAGTTGGTATGTGGCGACTGCCGAATTCGCTTTTCTAATTTAAAGTATATCAAATCCTTGCTATGATGTACCTGTTCATGCTGCTGGTCTCGAGACCAGGGACCATTCTCTTATCTGAAACAAATTGGTTTAATGCTTGGTGTAGGGCTAGAGATAGGACTGCAAAGTATCACCCCTCGTTTTCCACACCCCCGTCACCTTGGCCTGTCGGCGAATATTGTCTATGGCAGCGACTGGACAGTGCCAAAACGATATCCTGACGCGTATGAGATTTGTGTACCTTTTCCGCATCCTTTCTACATCCTCTTTCACTTCTTCTTATTCTCCTGTCTACTTTGTTTTAAATCCTCACGTGTTCTCCCTGTCCGTGTGTGTTGCTGCTATGTCAGTTCATGACCTTGGCGTCGGCTTATTACCTTTTTCTGCGTTCTACACTTCAGCAGCTGAAGTGAATCTTTGTTTTTTCCTTCTGGCCACGCTATTGATATTGTAGTCTCTACATGTCTTTCCTTTACGACAATATCTACATGTCTTTACTTCACTGGAACATGAATCATTCCCTGCCAAAATGACTTTAGAAAATCGCATTCTCAAAAGGGATAGAATTCTTCCAAGGTGGTGCGAACGCACAGGTTCTACATATCTACGATGTTCCATTTGACTGGGAAATCACCACTATAAGGAAAATTCATTTCCTAATACGGAAGTATGTTTCTCAACCCCAGAACAAATTGACTATCATCGGAAATCATCGAAAATCATCAGCACATGCCATGGACAGTGCGAAAGGGCGAGGATTTGAAATAAAGTACATAGAATAGTAATGAGAAGTGAAAGGGGTGGGTTGTGGATAGATAGACAAAAAAATAACCAAAGAAATAGATGTTAGCTGGAAAACAGAAAGAGTAAACGGAAAGGAACCATGAGTGCCAGACGCGTCGGGATATCGTTTCGACATTGTCCACTCGTTGCCGTAGATAATGTTCGCTGAAAAGCAGGGGCAAAGAGGATTGAGTTTAAATTGTAAATTGTAGGGGATTGAGATTTGACAGGGGGGAAGGCAAGGAAATGGGGATTGGGATGGCATGGCGGACATGGGATATGATTCATGTACATGCACATGCACTGGAAGATGACAATGAAAATAAAGAAGAACCCCGAGACAGTATCAAAATGAAAATCGAGTCAGATCACCGGAAATCGTCCTCGTCATCAGCAGAGGCCATCGACTCAAGACGCTGAACGAGATCCTTCGTCTCACGAGCAATCTCAAATGCAATAGGCGGCAGCTTATTCGTGACCTCCCGTAGTTCTTCGGCTGTTGCGGCGTCTTCGCCCTCATTAGCAGCGGCAACCAGTCTGTTACGGCATTGTTCCAAAGCGTGAATAACAGGCTCAGAGGTCTGCCGTAAAGCGACGTCGCCACTGCGTTCGTGCATCAAACGTTGTGTGTAGTTGACGACGTTTGCGACGACGCCTGAGATGTCGTTGACGTGTGTCTGGACAGTGTGAAGTTTGTCTCCGGCGCGGATACTGGCTACCAGTGCCTGAATGGATTGGACCATGCCGTCTGTTTGGTTTTCGACGTGAAGCTGGATCAATAGTCAGTGTTATGATAATACTCGATTGTGCATTCAAAGTCTTACCTTCAGTTCCAGCACTTCGTGATCACCCTGCGGCACACCCCAACCATCATGGTTGGCACCATTAGTATAGCCATTCTGCATAGCAGGGAATTCAGACTCGTCAGGTCGGCTCATGGCGCTGTAGACTGAGTTATTGCTCAAACGCTTCTGGCTAGCAGAGGTATCAAAGTAATCAGGGAATTGGGTCTGGGAAGCATCCGCCTCCTCATCATGCTCATCCTCCAGCTCATCCGCAGGCGAGGCCTGGATCTTCACGATGCGGATCAACTCAATGATAGCAGTGCAAAGATGCGAAGCGGCTGCATCAAGGAGAGACACTGGAGACAGACCGCCAGAGCTGGCGAAGTTGCGTGCGGCGGTGATCATGTTGTTTGCTGTGTTTGATACCTGGCTCTTCGCCTTGGTGCGCTGCGCTGCTGTACCATCCACTGGGATTGGGGAGTGGTCCACGTCTTGGAGGACGTGGCGGACGCTCACAACGACTGCCTTGATTTGTTGGAGAACCACGCGTGGTTCCTCAAATCGAGCAACGCGCAGAAGCTCGTCGACTGACATCTGGAACTTGGTGACGTGGACATCTTTGACCACGCCGTCCACCTGGACGAGTTCGTGTTCTTTGGTGAAAACACTTGCGTCTGGTCTGGAGTCGGCGAAGCCGCCAGAGGATGTACGGAGGTGCCGTAGCTGGGACTTGACCTTGGCGTAGCGGTGCTTCCATTCGTTTGCGTCTGCCTCGAGTCTTTGGACTTCGTTGGAGAGACGCTCTTCGCGTTCCCAATTTTCGTGGCTCTCAGCCGTGAGGGTCTTCATTTCCAAAAGGAAGGCTGATGCCTCACGCTTGACCTCGTCGGTCACTTGCTGCTGCTGTTGCAGCTCTGCTTGCAGACTCTGGTGCTGGCTCTCCAGATCAGCGTACCGGGCCTGCAGACCAGCATCCTTGGCACCCCGAGAAGACTCCTCGAGCTGAATGCGAAGGTCACGTTCCATCGTATCATGCTCCGTCCGAACCCTCTCGAGCTCAAGCTGAAGCGAGCTATTAAGGTCCTCCGCTTTCGACACCTTATTCTCAAGATCCTGGCGCAAGTCATCCCATTCCTGGCGCTCATTATGGCTGATCCCAGAGGAATCCGCATCCTGAGACGAATGAGCCAGCTCCTCGTCCTTGGAGCGAACCAATTCTTCCAGCTTCTCAATCTTATCCTGCAAAGCCGAGACCTGCGACTGACTCTCCAACAACAATTTCCGCTCACTATCACCCAGTGTCGTCGTCGTCCCCCGACGACTCAAAACAGCATCCAGTGCGAACGCATCACTCCGAGCATCATCCTCGTCCTCCCCGCCCATATCGTCACTATCCTCAACCATAGTACTCTTATTTGGAACCATCGTGTTACTCTGGAAAGCCCGAGGGAACGGCCCATCCCCATTCATGCCACCAGGCGATCCGCCAAGGGAACCACCACGCGGTGGGAACGGACTCCCGGGCGGTCCACCAGATGGATACCCACGACCCATGCGCGACGGCGGACCCCTCGACTGCTGCGAACCCCGCGAGCCCGGTGGCATATTTGGAGGTGGGCGTGCTCGAAATTCCCGGCTGGTGAAGTGCGGGAAGCGGCGTTCCAACTCACAGAAGACATCGGTCGCGAGGTCGCGGAAGCGCTGGTGGTGCAGGGCAGCCAGCTTTTGGCGGGCGTGGTTGCGCTTTTCGTGGAAGTCGGCGCGGGATGGGAGGTAGGGGGGTACGTCTGGACGGGGAGGGCGTCCTGGCGGCGGCATGGCCTGCTGCCGCCGGATCAATTCGTCGTATACATCTGTTGACAGTTCGTGGAACTGGGTCGGGGATAGACGTAGCAGTTTGTCGCGGGCTTTGTTTGGCTTGCCGTTATCTTCGCGGGCCGTGCCGTTCAAGAATCGTCGGAGCACTATATAGTGTTGGCCGAGTATCTCTTCCATCTGGCGGTATCGTCGTCCATCTCGGGGTCCGGGTTCTCCTCCTATTGTGCCCACACTGGACCTTGCGGCGACGGAGCTGGGAGGGGATGGGTTGCTGCTGAGGTTCGAAGGGGATAGTGACGGAGGACCGCCGCCGCCGTTTGGGCTCAAAGGTGCGCTAGGGACGCCTGACGTCGGGGGTGTGGCTAGGTTGGCGCGAGATGATGGGAATGTTGGTGAGAATGGGGATTCTGATTTCCCATACTGGTTCAACCCCGACCAGTCGCTTCCATCGACGGAGACTGGCGACATGGCTCCCGAGCCCCCATTCATGTCAGGGTCGAAATGGGAGAGTCCTGCTCTTCTCTGACTATCCTTGTCCAAGGGGGCGGATCAAGGCATTCGGCAGTGTGTCCCCGTGTTTTTGTGTATTCTCCACACGATATCAAGGATCTGAGACAGTCCCGGTGAGATGGGGCGTTCGATGAGGAAGAGAAGGGACGGCTCTGAAGGAGAGGAGAAATAGAAAGTGTGAGTCCGTCAACTCCGGACTTTTCGAGACCCGCTCCTTACAGCAGGTATCAACTTGTATCACTGGGTATGCAGGGGATGTGATTTGGTTGATCTTTATGTATTCTGTCTCGACTGTGCCACAGTCGAAAGAATATTTCCTATACGGTACTCGTTCTCGTATTGACACTCCCTTGGCAGGGGAACAGCCACACAGGGGCTGAGGTACATGTACAATTGTAGGGATGCACGATCAGATAAGTAGTGAATACTGACTGATATCTACTATCCAGTACCTGCTGTCCTTTTTTACTCTTCTTCATCCCCCTGATCTCCTCTGTATTCCTAACATCTAAGCGAAAGGAAAAAGGGGAGATGACATTCTAGGCCCCTTCGGCCCCCAGATTAGTGTCGCCGGTACCACTTAGGTACCACTTGGGTATCTGTGCAGTACCACACTGTATTATAATGCCCGGTC